TGGTGGTCTGCTATAACTGTACGATCCCCATAACTGTTTTCCAAAATCAGCTGCATCTGCCTCTAGCACCCTCACCTTTCAGGACCATCTCCATAATAATATCTGTATGCTTATTTATTATACCCATAACACCATGTGTCTTTCTTCTGTGCTTTGTAAACATCATCCCACATACTGTAATTTCATTTCCAATATTTCCTAATCTCCACAATTGATCAACCGTGGAAAAGGTGTTCAATTGATTTTCTAAATAAACTGTCTTGATAGGAAGATTTATCACTGATTAATGTATACCATCAACATATTGTTAATTCATCAAGAAACATACTTATAAAAACCAAAAAACCAATTGAACTTCAAAAATTATCATCAGAATGAAGTTGACTTGGTAGAATCAGTTGATATCAATCATCAACTATTTTGGTTTTAATCTTTTTTTTTAAATCAAATCACATCACTTTGACAGTTGCTGAGGTTTCCAAGTCCAATATTGATATAGTTGTTTAGCTAAAGCAGACATTTATGAAACGTTATTTATTAAAAATAAATCCTATCAGTGCAGCTCATGGCATGTACTACCTTAATCATGTGAGAAGTGTATGGAGGCTGGTACGAGAAGGAGAAAAAAAAGAGGTAAAGAGAGTAGCCACGTGCCTTCAGTGTAGCACACGACCAACCTAACGGTTTTGAGTATACTCACCCCACAAGTCTACACCTAAACCAGTCCTCACTCTCCACCCCTTCTCACCCTTTGCCAAGACAACTCTGCCAACTCAAAACATACGAGAAAACACTGTTATTCTATTGGCTCGTATTCCCCCTTTCTTGTTCCTTCAATTTCCCCTCTCTTGATGTGTCTATAGTCTGGACCCCTTAGCGCCGCCAGGACAGCTCTAGCTTGGATCAGGACAATACTTTAGCTGTTCTCTTTCGAGAAATTGGCTGCTAAGTTTTTTTACTCCTGTCCATGGCTTTCCCTGCTGCTGCTATTGCTGCATATCGAGTCAATGTTTTATAAAATTTTTCTAGATATTTAGCGAGTAATTGTCATGGTAATAATAATGTGGAAAATTGTATTGTAATGCATTGATCGAGCAGGGACTGATTTTTTTAAGACTGGTCCATTGAAAGAAGCTAACTGAGAGAAATATAATCGAATGATGTAAGGCCCTAATAAAATCGTAAGTCGGTTGACAGGCGACGAATACAACGCGTAAGATCCCCGCTACTTTTATATATACCTCCCCCGTACACTACGGTGGGCCCGTCTTCTTTGTTAAGTTGCGTAAGAGAGCTAAAGAATGGCGACGACGTAGGGAACAAGCAGATGCTACTTAAGCATTCGGCTGCAACGTTGATACATGTTTGGAAAAAAAAAATCCTATACGCTTTAATACGATCGCATATCTTTGTATAATAAGATATTTCGTCCAAGATCATCACCATGCTACTTTGGTCCCATGTTTTCTTTTGATTCTTCATGGTGTTGTTGAAGAAGATGAAAAAGCAAAATAACTCTTTTCCAACAAATTAAATTACATTTAAAAATAGTTTAACTTCTGGCAATAATATGAAAGTTTGCCATGTAAACGGTCTTGGTAAGCGTGTTGAAATCAATAAATAGATTTGGAAGTAAGGATAAAGAAATGAGAAAGGAAATGAAATAAATTTTGTAGGCGGGTTTCTTAAACTAAAAAGAAAATGAGGGATGCAACCGCGAAATTGGACTCAGCCATGAAAATAACGATATTTCTTTTTCATTTATCTTCTATTGCTGCTGTAGTTTATGATGATCACTATTTGTCAATGACTTGGCAACTTTTTTTTTCCAGCTGAAATCATTTTTTATTCATCAATTTTACATAAACTGAATCAACTGTCATTCTAACTAAACATCTAATTTTTTCCTCAATTCAAATAGATTAAAAAAAAAAATTCTATTCCTCAGAAAAAAAAAAATCTTATTTAAATATCATATAAAATTTGTATCACCTGACTTGATTCGACTGATGTATTCGCATGACTGCAGGACAATGTGGTCATGTAGGACTGAGCTTATTGTATGAGGTCAGGTCTTGAGTAGAATTTAGGACTATTAGAGAAAGAGAGGGAAAAAGATTGGGTTTAGTTGAAACTGACGCAAGGAACAGCTGGCTATTGTGGATCTCACCCTTATCTGAAATTGGGAAAATGAACTATTTCTGTTGGTGACTGTGTGGGTGATGGATAGTTGTTTAGTTACTGTGTCACTCGTGCAAATGATTAAATGGGTTTACTAGATCACTCGATGTCTCCAATACTTGATTACATTCACATGGATCTTGTTGATCCAAGACTGGTCAGTTGATGATACCTAGCATCAATCTATCTATACCAATAAAACTGATTTATTAAAATGATATTCACCAACTTACAGCAGATATCCTGTATTGAAAATAATTATTTATCTTTCTTCAGTATATCCTAGACCCTAAATATCTTTTAAGCATGATTCTAAAAAAAAACATTTACGTTAAAAAAACGAATCCTGATTGAATGTGAAGGTTGGGTAATCCTTAGCTTCTTTGTACTTCTCCAAGGTCTTTCCATGTGTTGGTTGAGTTTGTTGGAATAGCGAAAAAAATATAATAAATAGCGTATCACGTAGAGGTGGAAGGAGAACTGGAGGTATTTTTGACAGTTAATGGGTGTATGTTCCCTGATGGTCTTGAAGGATTCAGCAACTGCGTACATATGGAAGCTTCGCGAGAAAAACCGTTATTTTCTATATTTTCTGGTGAGATGTTAACGGACAATTTTTTTCGCGTCACTTTCGCAGGTATGCTCATGCAATTGCGACTTGAAAGCCTTTTCAAAAATAAAGAAAGCAAGAGATTATGGACGTGAAGGATTGAACAAAGTATCGAAAGTGACGGGTGCCTTTTTACCTTATCGGTAACCAGAAAGGTCTCACCTGGAAGAATGAAGAATTGCACTTTACAAGATTATTATACAAAAGGAAATCAAGTTTATTTTTCCCAAAAAAGGGTACAGAGAAATACATGATGGCAATGGCGACTATTAAAACCAAGAGAAATCACCCCAAAAAATTACTTCCCTTTTTTTTTCTACTCTCACAGAAAATTCTCACGAAGAATCGTGGATTTTACAAAAAAATTGACATGCCCTTCATCCCCTTGGTGATGCAAATTTTGAGAAAAAAAGGAAATTAATCTACCTGCGTACCCTCGAAAAAATAAAAAAACGATAGAGGGGTGAAAGATTCACGAATAAAGTTGATATCAACTGAGATATTTTATAGTAACTCCACCAATCTCGATCTCCTTTTCTTTGGAAATATATGTCTACCTGCTCATTCTACTTTTTTACGTTTTTCAGGGGAATCCGCGTCAGGTATGAAAGAAAAAAAAGACCCCGCGGGGTAAAGTAAGACAGGAGAGGGAATCGCAGAGAATGAAAGCGCACGTTAGTTCAAAAACTAGCATCTTCACAGATTTTTTGAATTTTTTTTTTCACTTATTTCTCCATCATCCCTACAATTTTGCTCTCTTTGTCACACCATCTTTACCTGTCTCGCTACTTTTGTGCGACCCGTATGTTTTTTCACAGGATTTTGGAGTATGGGAAGCGATCATGATAGAATGTTAAGCATTTTTTTTACAGATCTAATTTTTTTCAGCATAGATTCCTTTTTCAAATAAATAATCTCTTCGTTAGGGTCCGATAATTGTATGCATTATCGATTATTTTCTCTTGGACTAGAGTATACCACCAAATTTGGTGTGAATATTTTTTTCACCAACGGACTTTTTTTTCTGAAATAATTTGTCTTCTCCCCTCTGGAGTCTCCACTCACACCAGAAAAAAAAACTCCAACAGATCACGACACTTAAACATTAGCTGCTATAAATCGAAAGCGCGCCAAAAGATTTCGGTTGTGGCGAATCAATATAATTACATTTAAAAACCGTTACTGACAGACACACGCGCGGTTCAGAATCCGTCAAGCTGCAGTTCAATCGGTTCCAAACGATTATTCGAAGATCGTATTACGATCTAAAAAGGAGGTAAAGAGTTGAGGTGAGGAGAGGAAAGTGGAAAAAGTGCGATAAGAAGCACAGAAGTATCAAAGATCAAAAAGAGACAGAAATGAAAAATACATGAAAGGGGTGGCGAGGGAGGTCGTCATGAGATAGGATGATGGATATGTTCGAAGGGTTGTTTTGAAATAGAGGGGACTGGCTATATTGAGCAAAGGGTTTTTATTCCAACCAATCAGAAACAAGTTTCTTCAATGCTTCTCCAATAGTGGACCTATTCAGTACCAGTAGTGGGGGTTACGTGCCCTTCGGGCCTCATCTCCAAGTCTTTCAGTATACATTGCGTCACTCTGACATTCACTCACCGCCGATTCCTCGATCCACACTACTCTCGTCGTCTCATTGGAGAACATTCATTTTAAATTCATTAGTATTTTTCATTGCAGTGATGTGAATATTTTATCAACTTATAAATAAATTTATAGTCAGTACTTAGCATGAAACATTGTAGTGAATAACTAGTTATAATGAGCTAGGAATGTTTTAATAAATATTAAAATGTTTCGTAAATTAAAAATAATAAAAAAAGTGCAAATGTTGATGGATTTTAATTAAATGATTAAATATTATAAATATTTAATTTAATTAAAGGATAAATATATTTATCAATCGTGCTGGATCTCGAAAGATATCTACATGTGACCAAGGTGAATAGTGACGGGTCGGTGTGCAGTGACTTAAACATGGTCTTTCTTGAAGACCCTAAAATGATTTTTGCGGATATGCGGCTCCATGCCACGAGCACACCTACCACAACTCCAAGACGTTATCTTAATAAATATCAAGCACAAAATAATAATAATTGTATGCTATTTATAATTAAATTCATCATCAATTAATAATTATGTTCAATACTTATAACGAACGTTTTAATTAATTTCTTGACTCTTATAATTACAGATGCCGATTTGCATGGTGATGTTGATGCTCCTGAGCTCAGTGGAGATGATAGGAGTATTGCCAGTGACGTGCAAGATGCAAATGAAGCAATTCTGGATCATGACTCGATGGACTCGGATCGAGGAGCTCTTAACCTGGTTAGTTAATTAACTTTCATTCTTATTTATTCATTGAATTAATAATCATTTGAGATGGTTGCTATGAAAGTGTAAAATACTATATTGATCACTCAATATCAATTACAATAATAACATCAATTTTCGCGATCTAAGATATTTAATTTAATTTTGGTAATTTCATATTTTTGCCACCTTGCTGACCATACAGGTGTTGTGTATTTCAACGTATTTCACGTAAATTATCATTTATCACAATAAGAACAGATGGGAATATCATTCTTTGTTCACACGAAATAAAAAAAAAAAAACTCGTATTTTGGAAAGATAATTTAGCCTTATCTTCCTGCTTGACGAATGAATATAACTACATTGATAATTAAGGGTTGGTGGTCGAATCTCGATGAAATCTTACAAACAATAGTGACAAAAAAATAATAAAATAAAACATGAATTCGTTATAAATTCACAAGTTAAAAAATAAAGTCGTTGAAAGAAAACATCTGGCGATGAAAAAGTCCCGCTATACACCCCCGAAATAGTTTCCTCATTCTCGTGGAATATATGCCACAGGGTAAAAAGTGTGTGAGCTTCAATATTTGACCAGTAAATAAGGAGCGAATGAGATTTATACCAAGAAGAGGAGAGAATCAAAAAAAAAAAAAGGGAGAACAGGATTTTATAAAACACAAAGGAGTGTGGGATATGGGCTCATAGTGACCAATATATCTTGACCTGAATGACTATAAACAGATTCATTGTTATAAGTGTAAAGTTTTGCTCTATGATATCTTAGATTCTAATTCTAAGCGTTTAATATCTAAACTTCTATTTTCCCATGTGTATTTTTTCTTATTCAGAAATAAATCAAACAACTTCTATAAAAATAGTCTAGGTCTTTGATGGAAGTAAATCAAAATCAACTTTTTTATGCTTTGATATAAAATAGTGAGAAACTTTTTCAATTAATCTGCCAAAAGAAAAGTGGACAAACTAGATAATTAATCATAGAAAAGTGATAGAAATAGATATTTTATAAAATAAATGATTGCAGGTTACTGATGTCTCACAACGGAATAGCAGTAGTGGAACGAGTGGGAGTGCATCTTCGCCAAGTTCTGGAGTGAGCAGTCAATTAACCGGAAGTCATGCTGGTAATACGGGAAACTCACAAGCAGCATTGGCAGCACAATTGGTTGGTCAACAACTATTGATGCATGGCTCTCTTGGTGCATTGAGTTCTCAAGAAATTCAAGCACTAGCTTCAACGTTTCAGCAACAGCAGCAATCACTCCAACAACATCTTCAACAGATTGCCATGTTTCAAGCTAACCCTGCAGCATCGGGTCAACTTCCTACACAGGCGCAGTTCTTTTTGCAAAATCAGGTTTGTAAGATCTCTCAATTCTTCACAAGGTCATTCATTTCTCGTTTTCTAAGTGCTTTAAAAGATTAGTATGACATATCCCACCAGTAGTTTCCTACGTCAAAGACGTCTGTATCTGATTGAGACTTTTAAGATTTTAGATTAGTTTAAAAAGATTTTTCGAGTGTTTTTGACGACTCTTTTCCATCTCCATTGACATTTTTCCCTTATAAGACCAACGTTTTTAAAGATGTATTATTTATGCTCTAATGCGCGATGAAGTTTGTTAGTTGAAAGATTTGAAAACACAACAATTATAGTACAGGAGAAGAAGAAAACGATAACAAAGCATAGATTAATACAACTCCTTTTTGTTCTCAAACAAAGTCCCTATCTTTTGAAAGCCGCAGCATCAGAGTGATCCAATGGAGAATCACCTTGCCACATCTTTTGTAAGCTCACACGTGGCAAAGCTGAAAAGATGTATTTTTTTTTAAGAACCCTTTGCATCATTTTGTTGTCTCGTTTAATACAAAAGAGACACACGACCTTCTCAAGGCATATTGGAACTCTTTTCCTCCCAAGGGTTTGCACACAACCTGCATATCCCTGACACGCGATCAAACGGGATATTTGATCATAATCCTTGCTTTAGGGTGTCTTCCGGAACGGATACTTAATTTCTCAATTCGTCATGAAGGATTCTCTTTCACGTACCATTTCCTTATAATTAAAATTAGTTGAAGACACTGTTAAAAATTAAACTGGCAAAATATAAAAAAATCTAATTTTATTGTGTCACTGATAACATTTAAATATATTTCCATTGAAATAGAAGTATTATCTAATCAGGTTAGTTATCTGCAAGCAGTGTCCAAGCGAATGGCATCTTATCACTTCTGAAGTGATTCAATTAATGATATAAAAATGTTTAACGACGATAGTGAATAAATATCAGGTATAGATTACGTAGTAGAATAAATAGATGACAAAAAGGTTGAAAAAATTGTCTAAGCATTGATAATTGACTCGTGACTCTTGTAAGTGGGTAAAAAATATATTAACCCTTCATAAATAAAGAAAAAAAGAGGTGTTACCAATCCTATAATCTTCTATTGAAATTCAGCCCACGAGAATGGGGTGAGAGTATAATCAATTCCAACTAATATCGACCGCAAAATTTTTACCTGTCCACGTGGCACCACTTCATATGTACGACATATGCAATCGATTCTATTTATTACCATCACGTAATATCCTCAAATCATGAATGAATGAATACAATCTCTTGCAGGGGCTGTTGCAGAGCGGCAGTTACCCTCAGAGATCAAGTTATACACATTCACAGTCTATCCAGGTACTATAAGTTTTATTTATAGTACCGTTTTATTAATTAGTCACTTCCCTTTTATTGCACGTATTATAAAGAATGTCCGTTTAAGGATTCATTAACTCTATAATGCACATTCTTCCTTATTAAAATAAACACACATTCAATTAGCTCTACAAATATCTGTATTGTCATTAAAAAATATTCCAAGAATCTATTCAATTATTCTAAATGTTTTTTACTTTTGTTACTTTATTTTTAGATTTTACATCATAAGAAATTAAAATACTAGATAATTTATGTCCAATGAAGTGTTGATATCACAATATATGTGATATCAACACTACACTAAACTCACATGATGATAAAAATTGCAATGAATTAATTTAGAAATAAATGATTGAACTCTGTAGCTTTAGTGATCCATAAAATGCATTCTAGGGTTAATAAACAAGTCGATGAAAACGGATAATAAACAATTTATGATTGATGTCTTTAGATGATTTTATTGACGATATATTTAATGTACCAGGTGCAGCAGGCTGTAGCTCAAGCGGCGCAACAGCTCCAGGCTCTTCAAAAACAGCAGGCTCTTCAGGGAGGTGGTGGTCTCGTGGGAAGAAACGTGACACAGCAAAGGTCACCACCTCCTCCTGGCACACCACCAGCTGTAAAACCACCATCTACACGACTAGAACCTTCCCCGGAGGAAACGACGGATCTTGAAGAGCTAGAACAGTTTGCTAAAACTTTTAAACAAAGACGTATTAAGCTTGGCTTCACTCAAGGTGATGTTGGACTTGCTATGGGAAAACTTTATGGAAACGACTTCTCACAAACTACTATTTCAAGGTGAAGATAATGTCTTTATCATCCTAACATTGTCTCTAAAATGTTTTCAAACTAAATTGACAATGAATTTAATGGAATGTTTATTCGTTTAAATTCTAATCTTATCACAAGAATATTCTTCTAAAATAGAGTTATGACGAAGATTTCTTTAAGACCTTCAATATTAAATATCTTAAAATAAATATAATAATGACTATTAACTAATTAAATATTAAGAATCAAATTATGTAAAAATGATGTTAATTTTATTTTTAATTTCAGGTTTGAAGCATTGAATCTCTCCTTCAAAAATATGTGTAAATTGAAACCACTTCTCCAAAAATGGTTAGAAGATGCAGACAATTCGTTAAACAATCCCAACTCCTTATCAAATCCAATGACGACACCGGAAGCTATTGGAAGACGAAGAAAGAAAAGAACGTCAATTGAAACTAGTGTTCGTGTTGCATTAGAAAAAGCATTTGTACAAAACCCCAAACCGACGTCTGAAGAAATTACTGTTCTTGCTGATAGCTTAGCAATGGAGAAAGAAGTAGTGAGAGTGTGGTTTTGTAATAGGTCAGTATATTTTTTTAATAAGAAAATAAATTTCTCTCAAGATAATAATATAATTGATAGGGATTTTATTTTAAATGTTTCACTTTATTATTTTTATTATGATAATATTTTAATATTTATACAATATTGTATATATTCATTTTTAAAAAATTACATTTTATAAGTATCATTAAATACCTCGAATTAACTTTGAATTTGTGTAAATAAAAAAAGATAAAGATAGTGATTTATTTATTTAAAAAATCTCAACTGAAAGTATTATGTTCTCAATGTATTTACTTACTTGGAAAAATTCGATAGAGTATGATAGAAAAATATGAATCATTTACTTCTTTTTATAATTGCTTATCTTGTTATGATAAGTGATGATAAGTAGCATTATCTGTTTAAATCATAAAATAATTATAATGGTGAACAGTTTGAGCAATATACTTGTAATATATTTGAATTAATTAAAAGTTATAAATTAAATTATTTAATTATAATAAAAAATGCTAATTAAATTGTTCTCTTACAGGCGGCAAAAAGAAAAAAGAATTAACCCACCTACAGCAGCAATGGGAAGCCCCACAATGGCATCTCCAGCACCTTCAGTCTTTGCATCTCTAGCTAGTTCGATGTCAGCGAGTCCATTAGCACTTACGACACATTCTTCGGGGATGGGACACTCTCATTCCCATGCAACACCTCTAGGATCACCATTACCTTTAGCTCTCGTTGCATCAGCTGGAGGAAATTATCATGCTTTAAGTAGCAAATCTCACGAGTGACATCAACCTGCGACCCACCAAGGGGACGCTCTCTTTTATCACCAATCTCATCATCATCATCGGCAAACACAGCAACAACCAAATCATCAACTTCATCATCATCAACATCAACGACTCTCGTGCAATCTTCCTGAATTTTATCATTAATCTAACAATCATCGAGGAATGGAAAATCAACTGATAGATTTATTGATCACTGTGATCAAACTTCATCTAAGTTGTGTTTTACTGATGCTGAGTTAACTAATGGACCATCAAAGTTAACCGAAAGATGTGATGAGATAATCAATCAATGATTTTACCTACTCGATAAATACATAAAGATAAATAGGCAGCTTAATGAATTAAGTTTATTCTTGAAGCGAGAATTTTAAAATAAATCAAAGGCTGTTGTTTTGATGTCATAACTTTGCACTTTAAAAGTGTGTATTAAATAAACCTAAAATATTAGATAATATTTGGCGACAATATAAGTGAAGTTTTTCGCCAATCTTGAATTCTCTTCAACGATAATGGTTGATGTATATAAATAGATAAAAGAAAAAACTTTAATTAGAATTAATTATTACTGTTGTTTGTATGAATCAAGGAGGCAATTCCAAAGATTCTCATAATTATAAAAATCGTTGAGTTAAAAACGAATTAGAAAAGGTTTCATATACTTTATCGATATCAAAAAATTTTTTCGTTATTTATTATTAATAAAAAAAATAATATGCGTATCTGATAACCATAAATACTTCAATGTAAATTAATTCCTTTTTAATTTCCTTTATTTATAATTATTTATTAGGAATTATTTTTAAACATTAAATATGTTGAAATTTTTATTTTTATAAGAAAATGCAATTTACGACTGCCAATTTGTAGATTATATTTTCTTAAACAGAATATTAATCTTGAATTCTAAGGGAAATTGTAAGGATATCAGGACGTATAAGATTAAAAAAAGCTAGTTTTATTCATAATTTTGGTATCGATAGAGATAATTGGAAAACGTGCGATTTAATAAATAGTGTATTCACTTAAAAACTTCATACATATGTATACAATCGTACACAAAAAAATTTATACATAAATGTATATAATTGTAGTAAGTGAATTATAATATTTTAAGTATGCATCGACTGTTTGACTATATATATATATATATAACTATAGATATTCATATTCATATTAATATGAATATAAATTTATAAATAAAAGCATTGTAAATAGTCCATGATTGATGAAAAAAAAGTTGTAATCAAACAGTCCACATCAAAATAATTCATTGCTGCGGATAGACAGAAATTTTTCTTTGTTATTTCATAACTAATATTGTTTTGTAAATTATAAGATAACTTTTCTAACAGAAAAGTTATTCAATTGTGCATAGGTAAAAGCATTTTTCAAATATTTATATAAATATATTCAACACCACTGGTTTTATTTGTTTTGAGTAATTAATTTTCAATTAAATAGAATTCCAAAAAAAGTGGACCAAGTGTAGCAAGAAAAATTTTGAAAAATGTGACCTATCGATCAAACACTTTGTAAATTTTCTATATATAATTATCAAGTGATGAATGAACAAATGTTTCTTAAAATGACAATTGAAATTCATTCCGTAATTATAACACATAAAAAATGTAAAATTTTGAAAGTTCGTGATATGAAAAATTACAAAATATGTTGTAGATAATATTGACTCAGTGCCGTAAGTATTTTGTTTCCGTATTTCAATTTTAGTTTTAATTCATGTATTTACTGTGGTAGCATAATTTACGGCATGTAGGTATAATGTGGAGTTAGTTAATTATTTTATCAATTGATTTATTATTATAATTGATAATATTATTTCATTATATTTTAACTTACATTTATTGAAAATAAAAAAGTATAGATGTTTAATTTATTTTTATTTTTTTTTTTCATTCTTCCTATGTTAATGCAATAAATACGCACAAATGCGTTTTTAATATCATTACTCACTAACATACCACGAACCAATTTAATCATGATCAATCTTTAAAGAATCTTTGAGTAAAGTTTTAATTTCCTTTGAAAACAAATTCATTATATCACTTAAAAATAAACAAATACATTCTATTTTTTTTGGTTTAAAAATCAATCATGTTTTCTTTAAATAAAAAACGCTTTTAAATTCATCATTAATTAATATTACTATTATTTAAATTAACATATTCGAACACGATTATATAACAACTCTAAAAATGAATCAAAATCAATTTTTATATTTTTTTTTCATCACATTTTTTAGCTTATTCTTCAACGAGAACAATAATCAGTAATTGATATAAATATTGTTCTTGAGTGAAATAATTATTTTGAAAATTATTTTAAAGAATATGTCATTGCCACCGTCCCATTAAATTATGTGTAAATATTGATATTGTATCAAAGTTTAGATGTGCATATTAAAATAATCAATCACTTCTGATATTCCAAAAATAAACGCTAAATACATCAAGGGTTTATCGTATCAATTATAAAAAATAAAATGTAAGATTATTATATGCTCTGATGATCAAATAAGAATAATTTTTTTCTATAAAAAATTTCAAAGCATTATTATACCAATGACTGATGAATGACTTAAAAATTTAGAAATGATTAAGGGATATGTGCATTATTGTAAATTGTTTTTATTAGATTTTAGACTGATTCGATTGAGGATTCTGAGTGCGTTATACTTTTCATTAACATTAATTTAATTTTTTGTTATGTAGAATGAAATGTGTTGATACATAAAGTGAATGGCAGAGATAATACATTTCATAGTCAAATGAAAAATACGAAGTACGGTACGAAAAAGTTCCTAAAATTATACAAATATGAATTAAATATTATCGTGAAAGAAAATTTTATTTCGAGATATTTGAATATTTTGTACTAACAATAAGTCTAAAATAACAATGACGTATCGAATAAAATTTAGATTAATCTTATGTAGTTGAATAATAAAAATAAAAAAAACATCTGATAGAATGAGGCAGGTACAATGAAGAAAGCATTCGATGATTCTTTAGATTTTAATGAAAAATTATGTATAAATGAAATCATATCAATCGTAAATAGTTAATGTTAACGATATACAGACATTGTCTTAATCAATAATTATTTATCATTATATGATTAGAATGATACAATGTAATTATATAATAAATTGCATCATAGTAACAAGTTGTAAAATTATTTATCTCCATTATTGAGCAAAAAATGCTTTGTTTATTGATCAGAAGAACATTTAATTTACTAGCTTTCACCAGAAATTTAAGCTGGGCTCAAGTCAGGAAGTTTCCCGGAGTTGACTTTACGCCCTCACGTCATGTGGTGGAAGTTCGAAGCTCGATTTCAACAAAATTCAGTAGGTAACAGAGGAATCGTTTGAAAAAAAAAATTTTCAGGGATGCATCAAGAAAAAAGCGCCTTAGGGCACGGAGAATCTACGAATCTCCGAGTCATCAGTTTCAGACAGAAAAGAGAAACCAGTATAAAAGTCCAAATGTAATAATGAGTTTCAGAGCACCGAAACGTACAGAATAACCTCCAATCATCAAAATTAGAGAATTTTACTCTAACCTCAAAAATAGCAAAAAATCGTAATTATGCTTGGATCATAAAATCAAGGACGCCATTGGGAAGATCATGATGAGACGAATCCAAAACACTAGCTATTGACTGTATTTGGTCAGTAAAATCAAGAGATATTCCTGAAAAACTGCGATACATGAAAAATATGCATAACTTCTATGCTAATGATGCTACAAGGTTGATCGAGGGCTCATATGAAAGATCTGAACCTAAGTAATAATTTTGATTCCCCCTATAGGATATCCCCGTCAAAAATGCCGTATCTCGCTTAGTTTTCGAGTTATGAGCGTTTAAAGGTTTTTTTATGTTTTATTGGAGCATAGCTTCGTTTTTCGCTCATAACTCATGATCTATTAGAGGTACATTGAACACAAGCATATCAATGGATTCCTGAGAGCAAGAGCTTTCCATTGATGTAGTCAAAATCATAATCCGAGCATAATTTATGCCAACGTTATAGCCATTTCCGGTTTCACCGTCTTTCGTATTCTAAGGTCGTTGGAGTAAATTGTTATTCGAGGTCGAATTTCAGAGCACCGAAACGTACAGAATAACCTCCAATCATCAAAATTAGAGAACCTTTTTTTCAGCGTAATCCTTTTATATTCTGCAAACTCGATTCCATTTTAAAAAAAATAGATCTGAACACACTTTGTGTGCTAAGTGTTCTAAAACCGAGACAATGTTATTAATTGGGTGATGTCATAACACCTTAATGGGAGTTTGCTAAGTATTTTTGCGATTTCAAGGGTGAAGAAATTTTTCGAAACATTTTTTATAGATATGTATCTCTAGCCCAGATCCTGAAGTTTCTAAATACTCCTCAACCATTACTACCGGAAAATTTTCTTACGAGTTATAGTGGTCAAAAGGCAAAGGGTAGGAGATTTTTTGACTTTTTCGTTGCCTTTTGACCGCTATAACTCGCCAAAAAATTGTTCGGTAGTAATCGTTGAGAAGTATTTAGAAACTTCAGAATCTAATCTAAAGATACATATCCATGAAAATCATATAAAGAAATTTCTTCACCTTTAAAATCGCAAAAATACTCAGTAAACTCTCAAAAAAAATGTGACTTTTATTCTATTTTTGCAATTTTAAGGGTGAAGGGATTTTCTGAAACGTTTTTTATAGATATGTATCCCTAGCTCAGATTCTGACGTTTCTAAATTTCTCTCAACAAGTACTGCCTCACAATTTTTTGACAAGTTATACCGGTCAAAAGTCAAAGAGTGGCAAGACAAATAATAAATAAATTACTCACGTCTATTTTTTCAAATGCTGACACTAATTAAATAGTTCTTTATTATATAAAACATCGAAAAATAAATTTTATCAAAGATTATTTTTGTTTTAATACTAACCCAGTATCCTCCTTATAAGACCTAGAAATCTGCAACCTAAATTGAACCTAGACATTCTTAAAAACTTTGCTACTAATGGATATTGAAAAATAATGAGTATCATTATCAACCTTTTGATATTGTGATGATATCAAACAACAACATAAACACCAAACTATTAACATGTAAACTGATAGATAATGTAATGACTTAGTGTATTAGAGCATAGTTTAAGTATTTGGAACAAAAACATATGATATTATGATAAATGAATTTAATAAAAATTGTAATTAAGCAGCACATAAACAAAAAAAAAATTAAATAATAAATACATTAGTAGTAAAAAAAAAACTTCATGAAAGAGTTCTGCTCAAGCTTACAGCAACTAGTTTACTGTGTCAACGGTCTAATTCAAAGTACGTTGTGATACAGGCACGAAATTCAATTATTATTTTTTTATGAAGAAAGTTATGGTGGGTGCATGTGTTCTTACATTTGTAAATTTTTTGGCGCTTCAAATAGTTCAAGAACGAATAGTGAGATCAATTCTATTAAAAAGATAACAACATAAAAAACACTTAACAAAATTAACAAAAAGGTTGAATAAGTTATTTTTTTTCAATAATCCGAACACTTTACAAATTAAACAACTACATAAGAGAGAGAAAGAGATGAAATTATCCTTAGTATTTGAAAGCATCAAATTTGAACTTGACTGGTAGGATGAACCAGTCTCATTTATTTTACAATGAAGAAAACTCGAAAAAAGAGTTATCGCTGGTCTTTGAGTCTCCGGGAAGCCATCGAGTCGAGAAACTACAATTATTTAAAAAATTATTTGGTAGATGAACGAAATATTCATACAAGAGAAGCTGATGGCTCTACCGCCCTTCAAATCGCTCTTCTAATAGACGACATCGAGATGGTAAGGTTTTTACTCGAACATGAAGCAGATCCAAATCAATGTTACGTTTCTGGAAATTGGGAAGGCTGTTTTCCACTCCATTTTGCCTTGTCTGTAAGAAGCAGTGCTATGGCCATGTTGTTGATCGATTATGGAGCTGATATTTTCGCCAAGTCGCCTAGTGTGCTGCCTGCAATTTGTGTTGCTATCATCAATAACCGTCTTTGTGTTCTTCGCTATCTAATGAACAATGGGTTGAGCCCTGATACTCTCATTGATGATAATATTTCGCTCCTGAGCTACGCTGTGTTAAAAGGAAATATCAGAATCGTCAGGTGTATTCTGGCGTACAAGCCTAGTCTCAACCTCCACCAAAATCAGCAAGCTCTTTTAAACTCAATCCACAGGTCTGGTAATTGTTCGAAAAGACTTGTAAAAATGCTTTACAAGTATGGATTTACTTTGCAACCGGCGGAAATAAATCCTGATCTGATCTACAAAGCTATTATAAACGGTCATTATGAGGCTGTTCAGGATTTACTGAAGCTGGGCGTCAGTCCTGACTTCAAAATAAGTTCTCATTCGCAGAAAGAGAAAAACGAACAGATACTGCATAATGCTGTAAGGTCTGGAGAGATAAAAATCGTTCGACTACTCTTGGAAAATGGTGCCAACGTAAATCTCCGAAATGAAAATGGAATAACACCTATAATCAATGCTGCCTGGAAAAACAACCTGGGTATGATCAAACTTCTCTTAAAATATGGCGCTGATGTAACGAACGCTGATTCGAGTGGCCGTACAGTGTTACATTTCACCATTATGGGATGTATAGATCACATCTACACAAGTCTTACTTTCTGTATGGACAGAACTAAGGCTAAAATTGTTAAGCTATTGATTTCTAAAGGAGCAGATGTAAACGTTCAGAAATATGATACTAATAGCAGTCCTCTTCATTTCGCAGCATGGTTAGGAATACCTGATACAATACAGGTGCTGTTAGCTCACGGCGCTCGAATGGATTTAATCAATTCCTTACACCTGACTCCACTTAAGTGTGCTCGTAGTGAAATGATTGACCTCATAACCGAGATAAACTACATCAACCACCGAGATGCCTTGTGGACTCTCAAACTTTCTACGTTGAAGCTACTTGAACAACATGTTTATCAGCTTTACCGGATCGGACTTCCCGTCTGTCCGAGGGACTTGAAGGAAGTTGATGCAAATATCTATAAATTGAAGGACGACGCTATTAAAATGATTAATAATGAAATTCGGTTTATGAAGAAGACTAGGATACTCCACAATTACATAACTCTGTATTGCTTTCTGACAAGTACTGATGAAAAAGCAGCAAAAGTAATCCGGAATGAAGCCTCTCTCAAAAGCCTCAAAGCAATGCTACGCCACCCAGTTAAGTTTCCTCAATATGCTAAACTTATAAGAAATAAGCTGACGGTTGCTTTGAGTAAAAAAAAATTAGATACAGTTACATTTAGATTAATGAAATTCTTTTTTAAAGAAAAAAAATTACCATTACTTCCAGACGAATGCATTGAACACATTGCCAGTTTTTTATCGGATAAAGATAAAGAAACAGTCATTAATCAGTTTACTTGAAAAAAACTACATATAAAATTAGTTTATTCTGAACAGAAATTCTAAAACCGATAGTACTACCTTAACTGCGCAAATCCTTGAAATTTACACTTAATGATGTAAACTAATTTTGCCGTATCTCATTTGCAAATATCACCGAATCCGTCACATTAATATTTTCAAGCAATATTATAACTAAATATGAAACATGTTAATAATTATTGATTATAAATTTTATAAATTTTAAAATTTTTTCAAACGGTTTAAGTGCACAAAATTTAAGATTTATAAATACTTATTTCTGACAGCAGCAAAGAAAGTCAATGTATCTAAAAATCTAGAAAAAAAAAACATTTCTGTACAATGAAAAGAGGAAAAATAGCTTTTATTTACTGTAAATGCAAACCTCTTTTCGTAAACATTTTTCCCTCTCCAATACTAACGTAATAATTACTTCATGAGACCTAGAAATCTACGACCTACATTGGACCCAGACCCGTTCTTGAAAACTTCGCCACTAATGGATATTGAAAACTAATGGGTATCATTATCAAACTTTTGATACTGTGGTGATATCAAATACCTACATAAGAATTTAACTATTAACACTTAAAATGATAAATAATGAAAAAAATAGTATATTAGAGCACGAATCAAGTAAGTGGACGCGAGCATTAGTAATAAAAATTATAGAAATAGAATAAAATATTGTAATCAAGCCATGTGTTAGATGGGCAATTAGTAACAAATAGTTGTACAGTAAAAAACAACGCGGTCGTGTAGGTTTCGTTAAAGTTTGTTTTCTAAGCTATCGAACCTATGTTAAGTGACAAGTATCAAATGTAATTGCAAGTATTACACAAAATTATTGGCTTGTTCATCATGGAGTTATCCCAAAAAGATTATTATCACTGCTCATTGAGTCTCCGGAAAGCCATCGAGTCAAGAGACTACAATTATTTAAAAAATTATTTGGTAGATGAACGAAATATTTATACAAGAGAAGCTGATGGCTCTACCGCCCTTCAAATTGCTCTTCTAATAGACGACATCGAGATGGTAAGGTTTTTACTCGAACATGAAGCAGATCCAAATCAATGTTACGTTTCTGGAAATTGGGAAGGCTGTTTTCCACTCCATTTTGCCTTGTCTGTAAGAAGCAGTGCCATGGCCATGTTGTTGATCGAGTATGGAGCCGATATTTTCGCCAAGTCGCCTAGTGTGCTGCCTGCAATTTGTGTTGCTATCATCAATAACCGTCTTTGTGTTCTTCGCTATCTAATGAACAATGGGTTGAGCCCTGATACTCTCATTGATGATAATATTTCGCTCCTGAGCTACGCTGTGTTAAAAGGAAATATCAGAATCGTCAGGTGTATTCTGGCATACAAGCCTAATGTCAACCTCCACCAAAATCAGCAAGCTCTTTTAAACTCAATCCACAGGTCTGGGAATTGTTCGAAAAGACTGGTAAAAATGCTTTACAAGTATGGATTTACTTTGCAACCGGCGGAAATAAATCCTGATCTGATCTACAAAGCTATTATAAACGGTCATTATGAGGCTGTTCAGGATTTACTGAAGCTGGGCGTCAGTCCTGACTTCAAAATAAGTTCTCATTTGCAGATAGAAGAAACTGAACATATATTGCATAGCGCTGTGAGGGCTGAGGATATAAAAATCGTTCGATTACTGTTAGAAAATGGTGCTAACGTACATCTTCGTGATTTTCATGAACAAACACCGATATTAATCGCTGCTGGAACGAGCAATCTATGCATGATCAAACTTCTCTTGAAATATGGAGCTGATGTGACGGATGCTGATCGAAATGGTCACACAGTATTACACATTGCAATTATGGAATGTATGGAATATATTTACGAACATATGAACTTTTGTATGAACAAAACTAAAACTCGAATCATTAGTCAGTTTGCCACTTATGGTGCGAATGTAAACGCTAGGAAATATGGTCCTTCTAGCAGCCCTCTTGATTTTGCTGCCTGGATCGGAATCCCAGGTGCCGTTCAGATACTATTAGCTTATGGAGCACGAGTTGACGAGGTCAATTCCGTGGATATGACGCCACTTAAATACGCTCGTAGTGAAATGGCTGATCTAATAACCGGGGTAAACTTCATCAACCACCGAGAAGCCTTGTGGACTCTCAAACTTTCTACGTTGAAGCTACTTGAACACCATGTTCATCGGCTTTATCGGATCGGACTTCCCGTCTGTCCGAGAGACTTGGAGGAAGTTGATGCGAATATATATAAATGGAATGACGACGTTATTAAAATGATTAATAATGAAATTCGGTTTATGAAGAAGACTAGGATACTCCACAATTACATAACTCTGTATTGCTTTCTAACTAGTACTGATGAAAAAGCAGCAAAAGTAATCCGGAATGAAGCCTCTCTCAAAAGCCTCAAAGCAATGCTACGCCACCCAGTTAAGTTTCCTCAATATGCTAAACTTATAAGAAATAAGCTGACGGTTGCTTTGAGTAAAAAAAAATTAGATACAGTTACATTTAGATTAATGAAATTCTTTTTTAAAGAAAAAAAATTACCATTACTTCCAGACGAATGCATTGAACACATTGCCAGTTTTTTATCGGATAAAGATAAAGAAACAGTCATTAATCAGTTTACTTGAAAAAAACTACATATAAAATTATTTTATGGTTTTTTTTAAATTGTTATAGCCAGAATAAAAGACCAGAATAAAATTGTAACAATTCATAGAATACTGACAAATAAATAAAAAAAAAACACATTTTTGAAGTGAAGACAATTAATCGAATTCTCTAACTTACCAATTGTAAATTACTTATCAATGTGGTGTGCAACAATTGTAAATATCTGTTTTACCTTCAGAAGATTTTCTAGCCTTCTAAAACTAGCCGCTAGTGGCGTTTCAGCTGTCAATACTCCAATTTTACATCGAACAGGTTATGTTCTAAAACCTACACGTGATATAAAGTGTTTATATCCTTCAATAAATAAATTTTTTATTTTGTTATACTGTGAATAATTAAAATGTCACGCCTCGTAGTAAAAAATTTACCACCCAACGTAAGTATTTATATTGTTTTTGATTCAATGTAATAATAAACATAATTTTTCTATGAATTATGGTTTGTTTTATGATTCAATTATTTCACAGCAAATTAATTGTTTTTATTTTAACTTTTAGATTAAAGAAGCTAAATTAAAAGATTTGTTTAGTACTCAAGGAGTTATAACTGATATACAATTAAAATATACAAAAGATGGAAAGTTTAGACGCTTTGGATTTATTGGTTATAAATCAGAAGAAGATGCTAAAAAAGCTTTAGCATACTTTGATAAATCTTGCATTGACACATCTAGGATAAGTGTCGAATTATGTGCTGAATTAGGTAATATATAATTTATTCCTTTCAGTAATCATCTGTGAATCTTTTTACTCATCATTATTTATATTTCAGGTGATTCCTCCAAACCAAAATCGTGGAGCAAATATGCTCCAGATAGTTCAGCTCATGTGAAACTTACTCCAAAAGCAAAAACTACTGAACATTCAGAAGTTGATGTTGGCAAATTGGATAAAACTAAAAAAACAAAAAAGAAAAATCAAAAGGATGGAGAAATAAAAAAAATATTAGAGAAAGTAAGTACACTTGATAATGAATAAAGAAATTAATTATAATAGTAATGAAAATTCTAATTGTTTAATACACTACTATTATCACTTTTATACATACTACATTTGTTGTACAATTTCAGCATAAAGAAGATCCTCTTTTCACCGAGTTTCTTGAAAGTCATGCTGTAAATGGAGCTAAGGAATTATGGGGCAATGATTTAATGATTGATACTGATGATGAAAAAGATAAAAAAGATTTGGACGAAGAAAAAAATGATTCTAAAGTGGAAAAAGAGGACAATGATCTGGAAGAAGAATCAAACATAAAAGTAACTGATGAGAAAATTTCTGATTTGGAATACATGGAAAAATTAAAAGGGAAAGGAAAAGATACGGACAAAAAACAGTCATTAGAAAAAAAGTCTACGAGAGGAAATATTAAATTATATACGGTAGTACTAAGAGGATTAGGCTATAAGCATAAAAAGAAACATATAAAGCAGTTTTTCCATCCATTGAAGCCAAAGTCAATTCGAGTGCCAGTGAAAATTAAAGGAATTGCTTATGTTGGATTTAAAAGTGAGAGACAGAGAAATCAAGCATTAAATAAAGATAAAGGCTTCTTCGGTAAGTTAACTCATTTGTTACATTGTTTACGTAAAGTTTTTTTATAGAAGTAATTGATTAAATTTATTTCTAATTACTTTCAGAGGGAAAACGTATATTCGTATATAAGTATGAAGGTGATCATAGAGATGAAAAAATTGAAAATGATAGTAAAGATGAAAAAAGTAATGTTCGTTGGAAGCAACAGGAAGAGGCTTTGAAAAATGAGGAAACGATTGCTGAATCGGGCAGAATATTTGTAAGAAATCTTTCTTATATAACAACTGAAGATGATTTAAGAAATCTATTTGAAAAATATGGTCCTTTAGCTGAAATTGATATACCAATTGATAAAGTTACTCGGAAATCTAAAGGTTTCGGTACTATTACATATATGATGCCAGAACATGCAATGAAAGCATACTCCGAATTAGATGGAAAGACTCTACATGGTAGAATGTTACATTTGTTGCCTGGAAAAGCAAAATCATCAATTACTGAAGCTGAACAAGGTTTGAGATTTTTTTATTTCCTTATCACTGCCAATTAAATTTTAATTCTATGATTATTATTAAAAATAACACTCCATATTGAATATTTTTTATCAATTAAAGTTTTTGTGTGGTAACCACCATATTTTTTTTTTATTTGTCTTTAGAGGGTATGAGTTTCAAAGAAAAGAAAGAGTTTGAAAGAAAAAAGATGGCTAATTCAACACATAATTGGAATACGTTGTTCCTTGGGCAGAATGCAGTAGTAGATGCCATTGCATCAAACTATAATACTACTAAAGAAAAAGTACTTGAAGATGGAGGGAAAGGAACGAGTGTGGCAGTAAGGATCGCCTTGGGAGAAACCCAATTAGTTGAAGAAACTAGAAAATTCTTGGAGGATAATGGCGTGAAACTTGATGCGTTCAATAAACCTACTGAAAAACGTTCAAAGACGGTTATACTTGTCAAAAATCTGCCACCAGCTACATTAGCAAAAGAATTATGTGAAAAATTCTCCCCGTTTGGTATTTTAGGACGAGTTATCATGCCTCCATCGGGAGTAACAGGTGAAATAAACTGTTAACTAATTTTTTTTTTATTCATAATCCTTTAAAGGAAAATTTTTTGCGATAGTTTTATTTATTATTATTTTATTCCACAGCACTTGTAGAGTTTTTGGAGCCATCGGAGGCTCGTAAAGCTTTCAACAAGCTTGCTTATACAAAATTCAAACACTTACCATTATACCTGGAGTGGGCACCTGAACATAGTTTGTCTCCAACTACTCACAGTGCCAATAAAAAATTGTCATCTGACGATAAACTTAACGAAAACACTCCTGAAGAGCCTTCAGGTGTTTCTCAAAGCACTAAAAATAATGAAAGTGATAAAGTCAAACAGGATGAAACAAGTCAAAATACAGTAAATGAGGAAGATGATGAAGAAGAAGATGAACCTGAGCCTGATACTACATTATTTGTTAAAAATTTAAATTTTTCAACTGGCGATGAAGGATTAAAAAAACATTTTAGTAAATGTGGGCAAATACATTATGCAGCAGTTGCGACGAAAAAAGATTCAAAAAATCCAGGACAAAAGTTATCAATGGGATATGGATTTGTTCGATATAAATATAAATTAGATGCAGATCGAGCATTGAAAGAATTACAAATGTCAGAGTTAGATGGAAAGACATTAGAATTAAAAAGATCTGAAAGAACATTAGGGTAAGTGGAAAAAATTCGTCACGTACTATATGAATAAAATTATCAAATTTATTGCATAAAACTTTTATGATAAAGATACTTTATTGTAGAATTGCTGATGAAATTTTAAAGATGATAAGTAACTTATGTAATTAAATTACATAATTTTATTACTAATGACAAAATGTAAAAGAATTTCCTTTCAAGCTAATTGTTATCTTTAATTGTATATTCATTTAGTAATCGTAGAAATTTTATGAATAATATATGTATATAATTTTAGAAAAATCAAGAAAACTAATAAAATATTTGGTTTCATTATTTATAGAACTGATGTAGCAACGACAAGAAAAATATCTACATCAACAGTGCCAGCCGGAACAAAAATTTTAATAAAAAACATTCCATTCCAAGCAAACGAAAGTGAAATAACAGAATTATTTAAGTATGGCTCATCAGATATTACTTTAATATTCAAAACCATCAGTCTGACAGCTAATTGAATTGTTAAATAATTTTTTTTAGGGCATTTGGTCAGTTAAAAGCTGTACGATTGCCAAAAAAATTGGTTGGAGACGAAAAACATCGTGGATTTGGATTTGTTGAATATTTTACCAAGAGTGATGCTAAAGTAAATTTATTTTATTCATGATGATTATTTTTAAATAGTGTCCACACTTTAAATAACTGGATATTTAAATGAAATATGTTGTTTACTTTTTCAGAAAGCATTTAAATCACTATGTCAAAGCACTCATTTGTATGGCCGAAGATTGGTACTAGAATGGGCCCAAAGTGTCGAGGACGTGGACACCATTAGAAAGCGAACTGCAAAGCATTTTCACCAAGGTAATTTCATTCATTCTTTCTTTATATTTATTCTTAAATCATTACACGTTTTTCACTTCATTTCTTCCATCTGCAATTCAAGCTGTCAATTATAAATCGCAACATGCTTCTTCATTCCAGAAATATCAAGTAAGAAAAGCAAAAAGGCTGTACTCGATCCGGAATCAGTTGGTCTTGAGGGTGAAACATGATAATAACATTGGAAATTAATTATCTATCAAGTTGTTTAAATAAAAGTTTTAAAGTAAGTCATTTATTACTCTAATAAAATGTAATAAAATGTTTTTAATTTATTTAATTATTGAATCATATTTTATTTATAAAACATCTTTTAATAGATAATCATTTAAATTTAGACTATAAAGAGCAAGTGCAATGCTTTGAAGTAAAATTAAGTTTAGTTAGTTTAATTTATAAATCTAATTTTTTCCTCAATAATTTATCATAGTATCTACATTGAATAAATATGTTTGAAAGAGTTTTCTTTTGAATAAATTAAAAGTTTCATCAAAAGAAAAAAATGTTTTTAATTCTCTTAAGATTAATTTCTTTACAGTAAATGATAATTTTTCTTTTCATTAAATTTACGTAATTTTCAAAATTTATGACTTTTGATTATTTTAAAAAAATTTTTGATAAAAATTAACAATTTTCTCTATTAAGAAATATCTTTCTCCTTTCTTTGAGTAATATTCATTTTAAATTTATCATAATTACATAAGTAATACCCACGTAAAGAATATAGTTGATTTCTTACCAAGTACAGAAACTGAAAATTAAAACTTGATGAATAACTTTTATATTAGACCGAAATGCATTCTTGATAGAAGCTTTAACTTCTCATCACGTTTCCAAACTTTTCCTTTAGCCTTTAGTCTATCTCTCTCACGAATGTCTCGAGGCTAACCAGCTCTTGATAATGCCATGTATCTGGGCTTCGATTCTTGCATATGCTTATTAACTTTCCGAAAGTATTGACTTCCATTCAATCTATTCAGCTCTATAAATTCATTACATTATACATTACATGTATGCATCTCCATCCTTATAATAGAATCAATAATGAATGGTAATCAAGCATAATTCCTCATATCATTGCTTTGTAAGCACATTATTTGATAAAGATTACATTTAGAAGTGAAAAGTCATATTTTCGTGCTAGTCAAGTGCATCCTACATTAATTGTATGAGACAGTGTATGCATAAGTATTAAGCATAAATAGTTTCTAAATAACGTATAGGGAAGAAATGTTTTCCTTTCACATCCCCCGCCATGCCATCAACATCATAGATGAGACTCTACATCGCAAGGCAATGGAATTGGCAGGATCACGATTCTCTGGCTCACTTGGTGGGGCTTCTAGAGGTGGAGTTCAGCCGCCGATGAACACCCATGAAAGTAACAGTGCTGTAGAACACCTTGAAGTACGCGAAAGGGATTCTCCTTCTCTCAGTTCAACATTCCTCGTTGTCGTGAACGCATTCAAGTCTCGTGTGTGTTTTTATCATTTGACAGATCAGTTACTAATTCAAAGGCTATCAACTTTTTTTAAATCAATAATAAACAATTAGTAAATATTTGTTATTTATTTATTTCACTATTGAATTGTAAATAATTGAACAATTGTAGGGTTTATTTGAATTGTGCAAAAAATTAGTGAGCTCCAAAACAGGATGCGAACTTCCTGAAGAAGGTTGTTGACATTTGAAAAAAACATCTTTGGATTTTAATCAGTGAGAATGGATTGGGTAAGGATAAAACCTTGAAACTAATGTTTGTTATTATTTTGATGTTTTTCAAGTTATTTTTTATTTCTCGAGTTATTTACTTGATTAAAAAAAAAAAAATTAATCGTCCTGGTTAAAAAAAGTTATGAGGTCGAAGAAACCGAGTCTACATGTGTTTTTTTTTTGTTACTTATATTTGTTGCACTACCTCACGCGATCTCCAGTGAGTGCGACCAACGAATTACTGAAGCCGGTTCAACTTTCTGCAGCCTTGAGACTATCCTACCGAATGATGCATTTTTAGTATTACCTTTTTCATTCATTTTCATACGTAGGAATATTTATCTTATCAATTCTTAGAATGTTTTTATAACAAATAATTAATAATTATTTCTTACTACTAGGGGAATGTTCCCTACGTTTCATAACAGCTTCAGCTGAGAAACCAATTCACACCATAGATGCAGAATGATGTAGAAAACAGGAAAAAAAATAACTCTTTAGCACTATTATGGGAGCCATCATATCACTTATTACGTGGGAGAATCTCGTGGAATAGTTATTGGTCGGTGTGGGAATTTAAATCCATTCTGCCCACAGGTACTATCCCGCTTCGGTGAGGAAGAAACGAATGTAGTAATGATTTTATTGCAAAATCTTCTGCCAACTTTTAATGATATAAAATCCGTAATTTGCCGCGAAAGAAAACTCATTTTCAGAAGCTCAAGAAATTTCTTAAGGGCTCATGAAAAAACGATTATTACTGGTAATTTTCATCTAGATTCTTTAACAATATACTATCATTTTCTCATAATTTTTTTCTTCCATTTTTTTTATGAACTCAATGAGACAAAATGAATTCGTTCATTAGTAAAAACTGTTTCCTTATTATTTGAAAATAGAACATTAAATTGATAATAAAATATAAAGTTTTGTCTTTTGTTGGATATAGCATTTAGAAAAGCTTTCTAACTTATAAAATTATTTCACTTATTTTTCACAACTATTATTAAATCGTTTTGATTTTGAAAGGCTTCTATAAAACGTTTGACATCATATGATAGAACATTACTTCTTTTTATATTAAATTTATAACAATTAATCAACTTTATCTCGACATTCCTTTTACGCTTCTGACACGAAAATCTACGTCGGTCATTAGGAAAGTTTTGAGATACGAGTAAGTGTAAAACAGTACATATATAAAATTTATGCTGGCAAGAGTTCAACTCATTAAAAGCATATTAACATCAGAAAAACTACCACCCTACCTTAAATATTTTTTTATAGCATCTGAATAAACTTTAAATGAAACTATACATTGAATTTATAGCTGTTTATTAAAACTTTCATTTTTTAGTTTGTCCAGTTATTTATCCAGTTATGCACCAGAAGTATTTTGCATTAAGGCGTTATCAATAATAGTAATGGAAATGTCTAACTGTATTTTTCAAAGCATGCGGAATTCAAATGCCATTCCAAAAGGAAAAAAATTATTATATAATATTAATTTTATCATTGATTTTTAACAAAGATTACGAACTTGTTCCTTACGCCTTTTTTGACAAGCTTTACTATAAAGTATATGCTTGACATAAATTAATATTCATCAATTAAAATTCACTTTTCCACAAGGAATTAACTTTCATCTGATAAATTATTTATCACTTTAAAGTCCACACGGTTTCTTCGAAATATGCATTCAATACTTTTCCTCACCCCCAAAATATGATACTTTTCCTGGAAAAAAAAAGAAATTCATTATTGTATCATCAAATATAAAATTGATAGTAAAGTATAATAATCTGAGAAATTTTTATTACTTCTAAAACTTATTTAAAAATAGTTAAAACACTGTTAGATAATATTATGGTAAATTTTCATGTAAATTTGAATTGAAAAGGAAAGTAAAGATTTTTTACACTTCCGACAAAGTGTTGAATAGTTAGATAATTAAAGGGAATTGATGTAAATTTATCTAATTCGTTATGAAACGAAAAATGTATTCTGTTATGAAAAAAAAAGTAATATAATTCGATGTTGTAATGTATCAATGATTTAAGAAATTAATTGAACACTCTTCTGACGACTTTCGAGAAGAAAACTAGTTAATTCAACACGTGCTAAGATCATGTGGATAGTGAAAGCGCGATGTTTAATTTATGCTGAAGGAAGAGCTCATCAATTGCTGCGACTTTGATTCTTGCGACCTTCATTTAATAGTTAACTTACTTACTGACTTACTCTTCAACATTTCTACATAATAAGAAGAAAGACGACCTTCAGGAAACTATAAAATTTTCTATTTGTGGTGTAACTGTCATTTCCATTGACAATGAAATGTGATGCATTAAAGACCATTATAAAAACGTATAAAAAAGCTAGACAACATTAAATTTATCAATGACAACGAAAGTTTGGTCATAAGAAATATGGAAATTGGCAGCTGGTTAACCTTTTCTAGTTATTACTTCTTGGAGCAGGTTCTTTGGGTCATCTATCCCCCTTTCTCTTATCTGTGACCAACGTCACATTTCTTTTCTCCTATTGCTCTTTATTACTTTTACTCTAAAACATTAATGCTTATTAATAGTCTATTTCTATTTGTAGAAAAAAAATTAATGAGCAAAAAAATGATTGATTTATTTCCTGTGAAGAAAACGATCGTCCAGTCCCTCCAGCAAATTCCTATGAAAGTAAAAGTGAGTCAGACATAACAGTAAAGCAAGGCGAACTGATACACAAGAGCTGATCTCAATATTCTTAGAGAATGTTTTGTATATGAATGAATAAAAATAAATGTCAAGATACTTTTTTTTTTAAACATGTAATTGTTACACTTGAAATGTATATTGTAAAAGAGAAGATACTTTTAAAAAGTAATGGCAATTACTCAAGCTAAAGTTTTTGTATAGTTTCAGTAATACTTTTTTCATTAAAGGAAGTTATTACTTACAACTAATTGATTGAATCAATTTATTCAATTAATTTAATTAATTCAATTATTTCGAAGATTCATTGATACTTTAACATCGATACATACCAGTGATATCATAATTAATAATTATCTCTTGTGAAACATTTCATTTGAAAGAAGTCTACGAATAGACATTTCAATATTTATTTATGCTAATACAACATTTCAATCTTAAGAATGTATATTTTTCATTACCGCTTTTCTTATTTATCATATTGTTAAGAATCAAATATTTATCTCTATCATAGAATGCTGCATTTAATTAGAACTCTTTGAATAATTTGTAAAATTATTTCTCTGCAATCTTTTCCAGCAGAATAATTTTAATAACTATTTATTTTTATTAACTAAGGAAATAACAATAATTGCTTTTTAACAATTACATTTAATAACTTCAAAGAGTTTTTTATTAACAAGCTCTAAACAAGTTATGAATTTCCAATATTATTAATCCTTTTATTAAACTGGTATATTTTAAAAATAACTTAAAATCAATATAAACTAGAATATTCAATCAAATATTCAAAGCTGCCTTTTAAATTTCCATTTACAACATAACCAATAATTTTGAACATAAAAAAAATTTAATTAGGAGCTACATAACCAATTAAAAAATACTTTCTACGATAAAAAATAATTATATATACCGTTTATTAATTAAAAATAGCCCAATCTAAATGAAAACAATCGTTCTTTTGATCAAATTCCTTGTGTTGTTGCCGGTCCATTTCTTTGTTCCACCAACAACAAAGGCCATAAACGTGTAATGGCGTCGATGCGATTGCAGGAAAGTTGGTAACATTAAACATTAATATAAGCAAATATAATCGCTAGCTTTGTAACGATTAGTTGACACCGCTACGATGTAACAACGTAATAAGATGTTATTACGTTTGTCGCGCCGAAACGCCCGAGAAAGTCGAATCAAAACTCGCTCCCTCATATATACGTTCCTTCGTTCTTTCTTCTTGCTTTCTCTTTACACATACGTTGCATAACGAGGAGTGTCGACGCACCTCATATATACAAACTGTGTGTCACGGTCCTATACTTTGGTACACACTTCTTTTAACATCAATTACGGTTTAAATAAAATATTTACTTGACAGTCTTGACGTTTATCCTGTAATTATATCTATTCTAGTCTCTACAATCAATTTCTCCAGTAAAAAATTATGTACAAAAAATGATTTATGAGCTAATTGTCACTTTGAAAAATGCCTGCAATAAATAAATCGAGTGAGTAAATAGATAGAAATTAAACCAATCAATTAAAAGATTTTACCGTTAATTAAAATGAAACATTTTATTTCCTATGGAGTCTTATAAGACTATGGTGCATTGGAACCACTAAATTGTTTTGTTCCAATCCTTCGAGCACGTTCTTCGATGCGTGACAGTACTTGTAAGTGACTGAATTTGTAGGATATCCGCATTCTTCTGATGTAAAGAAGGGCCAATCACTTCGTTGCACCTCGATGAAAAAAAAAACTAAAAGCTTTCTTCAGATCTTCTTATTTTCAAATATCATCTAAGGAAATTGAGAAGTCTTCAATTTCATATTTCATTCAAATACCATAAAAAAAAGGAATTTAGAAAGTTTCTATTTCGTTTTGATTCTAATAAAAAAAAATTAGACAATTTATAAAGATTTCCAAGTTGGAAAAAGAAAATTTAATTCAATGATTCTTGCCTTCATTGTTGATACTGGTGAGAGAAGACTTATTTTAATTTACACTTTGAAAAGAACCTATTATTAAAATAAATATAGGTATGCTATTAATGTTCTATTTATTTCAATTTGATTTCAGAAAACACCAGGAATGTCACTCATACTGTGGCTGGTATTGATACTAGGTTTAGCTGACAATGGTAAGGCAATCAGTAATCTATCAATTTTATGTATAGTATTCATTCTTTCGAACGAAAGTTTAGAGGCTAAAATTTCTCCATGTAAACCGCAGTTTCACTCCCAGCCATTTATGTCTACTTCATTCCCTGTAACGAACAACATGCGTGATGTTGAAGTCTCAATAGATTTTTCTCTATAAAGTACTTAATGAAATGTCAATAGTTAATGGCACAGACCTACATGGGTATTGTTGTATTAAATAATTAAAGAATAATCAGGTCGATTATATTCAATTATATTTTTCATACAGTTTAGCATTTATTATTCATAATAATTTCATAGACAATTTATTTTTTACGTTCAATTCTTATTTTTACAACAAAGTTGCATTTCCTAAACTATCACGATTTTAATTTTCTAAAAAGTTGAAAAGTTTTGTAAATAGTCAATTTCATTAATAAGTATTGAAGATGATTTGTTAACAACAATATATCAATCAAATTTGTTATTACGAATGAACTATTATTCAATCATCATTATTATCACTATTATAGTGAGAAAAAATAAATTTATTCAAATTTTATATACAAGAATCCATTATTCATACGATTTTCATGCTCACCGAGCAATCTTCAAGGTAATAAAAACCTTAATATCAATCAGTAATGAAAATTTCATTTTCCATTAATACTACATGGGTGGTTATAACAAACAATCATCATGATTTCGAAATCAGAAGCGACTTTTACAAACGTAAAGAATGTAGGCCTGTATTTGATTATTAATAACCATCAGTTATATACATGAATTCATTATGGAGATTTTGATGTATATCTTCATAAATATTAGACGTTCAAATATTATAAATAAATGATTTATTTCGTTTAGGACATGCTGAGAAGAGAGTCGTATGTTACTACACTAATTGGTCAGTCTACAGACCTGGAACAGCCAAGTTTTCTCCTCAAAATATCAATCCATATCTTTGTACTCATCTTATTTATGCTTTTGGTGGTTTCACAAAAGATAATACTCTCAAACCTTTTGATAAATATCAGGATATTGAGAAAGGTAAAGTAACAGATGCTTTTTTTTTAGCAAAGACTATAATAATAATTTTATGAAATTACCCTTTAATGGCTTGTCTACAGTGAATTATGATGTTATCATGATCTAGATATGAAACAAATATTTTTCCCATCATTTCAGGTGGATATGCCAAGTTTACCGGTCTAAAAACATACAATAAAAATCTGAAAACAATGTTGGCGATTGGTGGTTGGAATGAAGGATCCAGCAGGTTTTCTCCCATGGTCGCAGATCCTTCAAGGCGTCGAGCATTCGTAAAAAACGCTGTTAAATTCCTCAGGCAAAATCATTTTGATGGACTCGACCTCGATTGGGAGTATCCAGCTTTCAGGGACGGTGGAAAGCCTCGCGACAAGAATAATTATGCTGATCTTGTTCAGGTACTTTATTGTACATTGAGATAAGAAATTTTTTAAATCATAATCATTATAGTCTTGAATAATTTTGCCATGTAGATATCGTTACATGAATCACTACAAGTCACGAATTCTTTAAAATATGGAATTGTTGGATATTTTTCAAGTTTCTTTTAAATATAAAAACGAAACTTCTTTTATTGTTACAAGCTTAAAGAAACTAAATAAAAATGAGACCAAAGAAAGAATCTTACGTCTTACTTTAACGTCTTAATGTTCTAAGTTCTTTAAGTAGTTTTACTCAAGTCTAATAATGACGGATAATCTATCTGATTTCATTGCAGTATGATAAGAAAGAAAATTAGAGTTGAAATTAATGAACAGAAAAAAAGCAAATAAGAAATGAGATTGGTACATAGAATCATGAAGAAATCAAAGAATTATTTAAAGACAGTAAAAAATAAATGAATAAATCATTTGCATGACAATAAATTACAAGATGAGATTCACTAATTGAATATTAAAGTAATTATTTTTAATAAGGAAATGTGATAGAAAAATAAATTACCTGTTCATCAAAAATCTATAAAAGAAATTTATGATCATTCATATTTACATAGCTAAACCCAGAAATAAAAAATTGCAATATAATCTAATAAATCACGTCATTTATCATAAATTCAACCACGAGTTTCTTTACTTTTAATATTTTCGATTGTGCACTTTTCATGTCTCTATCTAAAGTGATAAATGTTCAAATACTAGAGAGGATTTTAAAATGGAAAAATAAAGAAACTTTTAGCTGATCTATCATTTCATTTAACAGTCTAGTACGATAAGAAAATAATTTATTTGTTTATAAGAAATCAATAAAAAAAATAGTTGTGTAAGTTATGGAAATAAGAGAGTGGAATTCCACTGAATTTGTTGTTAAACTTGATTGTAGGAATTACGAGAAGAATTTGAAAGAGAATCTTCGAAGACTGGACGACCAAGATTACTTCTCTCTATGGCTATACCAGCTGGTATTGAGTATCTAGAGAAAGGATATGATTTGCCAAGACTCAACGAGTATCTTGATTTCTTCAATCTTCTCTCTTACGATTACCATTCAGCGTTTGAGCCAGCTGTTAATCACCACTCACCACTTTATGGCTTGGAAGAAGACAACGAGTACAATTATGACAATGAGTTAACAATTGTGAGTAAATTGCTTGATAATTATGTATCCATTTTCTCTGGTTTATTAATTGAATTATTAGTGGTTTATTTAATTATATGCAACACATCATTATTTAGGATTACACGATATCCTATTTATTAAAACATGACGTTTCATCGGATAAAATAATCTTGGGTATCCCAACATATGGAAGGTCTTATACTTTGTTCAACAAGGATGCTACAGAGATTGGATCTCCAGCTGATGGGCCAGGAGAAGAAGGTGAAGCCACAAGAGAAAAAGGATATCTTGCTTATTACGAGGTATGACTATTAGAAAATATTCCTTAAATGGTTAATAATATACTGGTAATGGCTAAACTTTACTTCTTCAACCATCAAAGAATAATTATTTAAAGGTTAAGCTAGTGATTGTGTTAATTTGAATAAATCAACAGTTATGAATTAATTCTCTAAAAGAATAATTTCGGTCAATTTGTCTTGAGGTTTCCTATTAAGTAGAAAGAAACCAAAGAAGTTATTTATTAACATAGCTAGCATACTTTGATTATATCAAATTGCAACAATTTATTTATTTTAGTTTAAAGAAACGTTTTATGTAATTATTTAAATTTATCTGAAGAATATTCACTTAATGATATTCAATCAGTTTTATTTTTTATACTTTGAAGTATAATTAATGTATCACATTTGTTAATTTAAATTTCTTGTCTTTAGATATGTGAAAACATCGGCAAGTCGGATGAGTGGGAAGTAGTCCAACCAAACCCAAAGGCAATGGGTCCTTATGCATTCAGAGATAACCAATGGGTTGGATATGATGATGAAAATATTGTTAGAGTCAAAGCACATTATGTAAATGAAAAATCCCTAGGTGGTATTATGTTTTGGTCGATTGATAATGACGACTTTAGAGGAAAGTGCCATGAAAGACCATATCCGCTTATTGAAGCTGCTAAAGAAGCTATGCTTACTTCTGATTCAGGGTAAAATTTTTTTTTCTAAAAAAAATTCTTCAGAATGTTTTTTTTTTTGTACTTTTTGACGTCAATATCTGAATTTTTACAGACGAAGCCAAACAACACAAAAGCCAAAATTATCAGGAAATAGAAAGAAACCTAAGCCTCAATCGAATAATGAGCGAGATGATGAGACATCGAGTCGGCGACTGAGACCTGAAAAACGTAGACCAGGTGCTACAACGTCATCTAATAGAAAAAGAATCTCTTCACCGAGATCAAATAGTAGAAATCAAGGTAGCTTTGAAGATGATGACGATGAAAGGATTGAAGATGTCGAAGATGATGGCAATGCGGTGAAAGAGAATTCTAATAGAAATAGATCAAAACCTGCATTTAGAACTCGCGCGAATAAATCTGGTTCACGAAGGAAATATCAAAATACACAAAGAGATGAACCTTCAGATGAAGAAATTGATACTTCTAAGGAACAATCATTGGGTAATAAACTTACAACGCCAGAACCACCTACTACACCCGATCCTGGAACTGGTTAGTAATTTTTTACGATCCTCCAAGCATTCCAGTGGTATTTAAGTTGTTGGACTTTTTTCTTTGTAAAACGAAAGTTTTTTACGACTCAACTTCCTCTTAGCTTGCTTATATTCAGTTCATTTTAAAGTTTTAAAATATTTCTTTATGTAAATGTGATGAAAAAGTTCTTTTAATTTTCAACTATTATTAAACAAGAAGCGAATAATTTATTATTATTCTTTCGAATAACAATTAATAAAAAGTAAATATATCATTTGTTTTTTTAGATTTTAAATGTGAGGATGAAGGATTCTTCTCTCACCCTAGGGACTGCAAAAAGTACTTTTGGTGCTTGGACAGTGGCCCTGGGGGGCTTGGAATCGTTGCTCATCAATTTACATGTCCCTCAGGACTAGTATTCAATAAAGCTGCTGACTCCTGTGACTACCCGAGAAACGTAATTTGTCCAAAAACAAAATCAACAAGTACTGGATCATCACATACCGGATCAACAACTAAAGCTCCCATAACTGCTGCTACAAGCAAAACAACATTTTTACACAGCACGACTCGTCGGACTACAACAACAGAAAAAGCTGAATCAGAGGAAGAATATGAGTATTATGATGAAGAGACGAATACAGCTGAAGATGAAGATAAGGAAGAAGCAACAAGTACTACAACAGTTAAGCCTTTGATTTATAAGACAATTACTCGAAGTAAACCGGTAACTACAACAACGACAAGCACAACAGACATTCCTGTCACTAGTTCTCCAAGGAGTTTTAAATCAACGTCTGATAGGGTTTTAGGTTTAGAAGATGAAGAAGATCCTCAGGTTATCAAAGAATTAATTGATTTAATTAAAAAAGCTGGTAAAATACTTTTTTCATTATTTTTTAATTATTTTTTTTTTATTTATTGATTATTAATTATTTATTTGTATCATAAGGTGGCCTGGAACAATTAGAAAAGCAATTAAAATTAGGAGATAAAAATTCTAATAAGAAATCAGAACCTGGAAGTGATGAAATTACTCCCGCTACAATCAGTCGTAGTTTATATGAACGTGTATTAAACCGTCAAGCTAGTAAAGTCGGTGGACTTTTTGCAACTACCACAACAACTACTGAGCAACCTAAAATAAATAGAAATGTATTTTTAACTGATCAAACGACAAGAAGTAATCGAATCAATTATCAAAATGGTCCTGGACGATCTCAATTTGAAGGTCTTGATGAGGTTCCTGAAGTCAAAAGTCTTCGTCGTACTAATAAACCACATTATGTTACTATTGAACGTCAAAGGTATATTTTCGAAAGTAAATACAGTAATTCTACTCGACACAATAGGTATATAATTTTCAATGAATTATTATTTTCTTAGACCTTCAACTACAGAATCAATTTCTGAGGAAGACACCGACGATTTCTTAGCAGATGAAGAATCGGTAGATCGAGATACGGCAAATGTTGCTTCATCTGAAGATTTAGCAATCAGAGATTTTGCTGGGAATGAGAGAGAGTCTCCATTTAAAAAAGCTACACCGAATTACGTGAACATTCGTCGTCCTCGTCCAACTACACCTGCGTAAGTTAAAATTTCATTATAATAAATTATAAATAAATTATTTTTGTTTGAAAAATTTTTTTTATATTTTTCTACAGCAGTGAAGATGATTTTAGAAATAAAGAGGACACTGTAGATGAAAATCAACAAAGGTTTTCTTCACAAGAACGGATGGATGAGAAAGAAGAATCAAAAGAAACATCTATTCCCAAATCTAGGTTTCTATTCCTATTCTTTTAATGAATGAATACAATTCACTAGGTTATAAGTTTTAAACAAAGTAAAAATATTAACAACTTGATAAATTGATTTACAGGTACACTAGCATTCAAAGATTTAGAAGTACAACTTCAAAATCATCGGATTCGACACCATTCATTGAAAATAGTAATTTTAGTGAAGAAAAATCAGAAACTCCAATGACCACAACGTCACTATATACTCAAGACAATAAATATAGCTCTGAAAGCTTAGTTGTTTCTACATCGCCCTTGTCTATTGAGATTTCTTCTACGTTAGCCTCTAAACTGCCTGAAGCTACATTCACTACCGAAGAATCTTCAGCAACTAGATCGACAATTAGTACAACCCATCTACCACGCACAGATCCTACAATTTTCGTTGAAAACTTTGTAACCGATTCTACATTAACAACTTTACCCGTATTATCAAGTTCAAAAGCACCAGTTAGCAGAACCACAGTCGCTCAACCTCGGCCGTTTGGTTTTCCCCGAAGAGGTCGGCCAACTTCATCAACGAGTCTACCAAATACTTTGCCATCAACAACAGAACAAAGCAGAGGAAAGGTGAGTACCAGACCAACGAAAAACTTTGTGAGAACAAGAACACGACCAAATCAAAGACCTAGTGAATTACCTGATGAAAATCATCTTGATAATGAAGAGGAAAAGACTGTTGATGAAAAGACAATAAATAGATCAAGACTTTCTGCAGTAAGAAGAGGAAGTAGCCGATATTCAACAAGAACACCGGTAGGAAATAATAATTCAAATGTTAATGATTTTTCATCAAGAAGACGACCACAACGACCAACTACATCTGCTCCATTAGTTATTACTGAAGCATCATTTGAGGGCAGACCTTCTTCCTCATTTCACAGAAGACGAGGAAGACCAACGACAACTACAACACCATCAATTATCGAAAGTACAACAGAAAATAATAATAATTATAGTAGCAATAATAAACGACGAAGAAGACCTACTTCAAGATCCAACATTGATAACTTTTCTGATAGTCCTATTATAAGAATATCTCCAGCCCTTTCAGAGGGACAGTTTGGCCAGTTAAATAATACCAAAGTCAATTCCAGTGAGCCATTGAAGGTCACAAATATTAAAATTATTAGAGTTTACGATGAAAATGAAGGAAAGAATGATATAAATAATATAATCAATAACTACGAAACCACAACATTTACAAGTGGAACAGAAAGAATTAATTCTGAAGACTTGGATAGCGTGACTGAAACAACATTACTTTTTTCAACGACTCCCTCACTAACTAGGTCTCCTGCGTTAATAAATAGACACAATGTTGATAATATTATTGATTTAACTCAAAACGTAATCAGTTCAACAGAAAATCCAATAGAAAAAAATGAACAAGAACCAGAAGTGATAAGAAGGAAAGTTTATGTAAGAAGAAGGCCAATTTCATCAACAACGGAAGTTAATTATCAGTCTGAAGTACTAACAAAACAAAATAGAAGACGGAAAGTTATAAGAAGATTATATCCAGTATCATCAACAGCTAATACAATTGATGAAATTGAATCATCAACTACTGGAGTAAATGATGATGGCCGAGAAAATGAAATAATAACTACGACAGACTCTTCAGGGTTATTTACAACAGTAAGAGATGACGAAGGATCGATCTCAACTAATACTTTCACTAATTTACCATCTATAATTGATTCTACAACACAGTTTAGTTCAAATCCAACTACTTTAGCTACTGAAGAAGATACTTTATCTATAAATAACGACATAGAATCAGGAGAAAGTACTACTGTGAGCAATAGTTTCGAAGATTCCTCTACGACAATTTCTGTTTCAACTCTACAGACTACCACAACAACAACAACAACAGAGAAGCCAAGATTTGTCAGGAGAAAGTTCATTCGTAAAAGACCATTGGACTTTTCATCATCTACTACGTCAGCACCTTCATCACTTACTCCAAGACGCGTAGGATTCCGACCTTCAAGTGATTCTACTTTTAACTTGAATAATTTATCTAAACATAGAAAGAGTTTGTTTATTCGTAGACGTCCAATTTCTTCCACACCATCAGGTGCTGATGAAGATTTTCGAAAAGATAATAATAATGATCAGGATGATGTTGATGATTTTGATGATCGGGAAGAAATTTTATCACAAACAAAAAAACCAATTGGGGTAAGTCATGATACTGAAAGCTTTTGGAAACAATACACAACATCTTCAACACCTCTGGCATTGACTCCAAGCTTTCAAGACACCTTAACACCATCTGTTGATGATTCGTCTCCTCAAGAATCGGCAGATAAGCCTGGAGATGTTGTGGCTAACCGTGAATCTCGTACTTACCTTCACAAAGACGACTCTGACAATGACGGATCGACTAAAGTATCTAATTCACCTGTTTTTAATTCATTTTGGCAAAGTCAATCAACGAAAAATCGATCATATCCAAAACGACCAAGTTCTACTACAGACTCTTCAGCGACAGAGACATTAATTCCATCGAAAAAATTCGACTTTGCTGCTGATGCAGCTCACAGAAAACAAGGTTTACAAAAAATAACGACTCTACCATCAGTTAATGATGATAACGCTGTAGAATTGACGACACCTTCCTCAAAACCTCAAGTAACTCGGCTTGTCACATCAATCGCTGAATCAGGAACCACAGAAAGACATAAAATTCTCATTAGGACGAGAGTCTCTTCAGTAAAGACAATGACGAAAGTACCTGTTAATAATAAAGACAATTTAAATAACATTGACAAGAAAATTTTATTTGACGAATCACGACATGTATCACTAAATGAAATTCACGAGCCAACAGAACGTGTGCCTGAAAAATCAACGCTACCAATTGAAAGCGAATTTGCACGAAGGCCACGTTATTATTTTATAACAGAACCATCGATTGAATCATCAACCATTGCTATTGAGTCAGTGTTTAATGATTTAATTAATAATAAAAAACATCAGCTTTAAACTCTAAAGACTTATTTACAAAGATTAAATATTTTAATGTATTTGTTTTTTGTTAATGAATTAATTAAATAATTAAATAGTTGTTAAATATGTTGAAACTCTTTATATAAACGATCATCGATCATCAAATCTTTCATTTAAAAATATCTTCTTGACCAAAGGAACACTTTCTGCAATGCTGTTGCATGTTAACGACTTATCTCGACTCTAAACGTCGAAACAGTCACTTCTGCTTTTTCTACACTACAACAAAAATTGTGACAAACAAATATTTATCAACAAAATGAATAATTGTTGTTATTTCCAATGGTTATCATTTTTCAGGTTGAAAATACTCAGGAACTTCCTACTCTGAAGAGTCTGATTAGTAATAATAATCAGATTAATAATGATAGAGATCATATTGAAAATACATTTAGTGAATTTAAAATAATTAATGATAATAATAATCCTGATATTAACATTCAGAATGATAAAAATTATGAATTCGAAGATGAAAATTCTGAAATTCTCAATGTTGAAGAAAATTTTCACGGTATTAAAATCCCTGTAAGGATCATTGATGACCAAAATAAAGAAATTAATCACCAGTTTGCTGTTCTTCAGCTTCCTAGAAGTTCAATTAATTCCAGTCTGCGTGGAAATATTTTTAAAATTGAGATAATTGATAAACAAAATGAAAAGATATTTAAAAATCCTTTTCAGCTAGAAATTAATGATAAATTACTCGATAATGATCATGATAATAATGATGACCATAGTAATAATCAGGAAACTGCATTAGAAAGAAAAATAAGAGAAGAAGATTCAACAGTTAAAAATAATTTCAATGATTTTAATCCAACGTCTATTAGACCAACTACTATAAGACGACCTGAAATATTAATTCCCAAGTCTCAGAACTCTCTTCGAGGATTCTTCATTACTAAGAATCTTGACGACATCACTGAAGCTGTAACTGAAGATACAACTGAGTCAGATAAAGAATTGGAAATAGATTTACCTTTAGAAGTAGTTACAACTATGAATGAATTTAATTCAGAAAATAACTTGATTGATAAAACAACTGGTTTTCTTCAAAGTACTTCTTCGTTTATTGATGATAATTTTTCTTCTGTTGATTCCACTACGATTAACAGCATAAAAATTCAAAAGAATGCTGATTTTGAAGAAGAAATATTAACAAATAATATGACATCTGTAAATAGTACTGAAAATAGTAAAACACTTATCACCAAAAATACAACATTGTTAAATAGTCCTAAAGAAGCTGAAGAGAAAATTTCATCAGCTGTAGAAGGAAACATATCACCAAAAAATAAATGGAGGAAGCGGTTAATACGGAAGAGACTAAAGGTACCGGAGTTGGAGGATGATCAGACAATTGCTGAGACTGAGCTTGAAGTGAGTGTACAGGAAGTTAAATAACTACTGGAAACAATCAAATAGCAAATTATTATTATAATAATAATATTAATAATCATAATGATAGTAATTATAAAAATAATAATTTATACGGGTCTGCCTTCTATAAATCGCGTATAAATAAAATAAAACCACTCTATAAATAAAATAGAAGCTAAAAAATAACACGAAAAGTTTTTTTCAATGGCTCAGGATGCTAACAAATCATCACCCATCAAGACTGTCTTCTAACGCTATCATGTCTTCAATATAGTAAGAAAAAAAGGGGGATGTGTTATAAGATTTCAAGCTTCGTCACATCTGGATGATTCTTCGTACTACTCAAATAACAATCTTTTGTCTTTATATATCTTATGAGGAACTGCTTCAAGCGTATTCATCGCAAGTTGATGATAAACGCAATGCTTTTTCTTCTTATTTACAGTCTTTTTACAGTTCTTATTAACGCTTGCGAATAGAATTTTATCTTTTTATCTAATCGATTTCCAACTTTTATTCAAGAATATCTTCTCAATTACTGACAAATCTATAAATCAATCATTTAAAACAGGTTAATCAAGTGAGGAATTCTGGTGCTTCATTAAGAAAACCTGGGAATGTTGTAAGACATGATGGATCTGATCGACCAAAAGTTATTACACGTAATCCAACAGTTGGTGAGTTTAATTATTATAGTAAAGATAATTATAAAATGCTGAAATATTTTCTAAGTATTTATAATTATTTAATGAAACAGGTGAAACTAAGTCTGATAGACGAAACACAAATAAAACAAAATCAGAAACATTTGATCAAAGTAGTCGAGCTCAAGAACTAGAAGTATCTGTAGCAGATCCACCTAATGATTCTACAACACAACCAAGTACGTAAGAAGTAAATTGTATTCAATTACTATAAATTAAATTTTTTTTTACCAATTATATGTTATATCAAAGTTCTTTTTCACTCTGTCTCGTTTAAAAACTCTTACTTCATGGTTTCTTTATCACTCTTTTCTATTTCTATTGGTGTCATAACGTCTTTAATTAATCTCAACTGATTTCTCCCTCAGCTGAAAATAGTGCAAGAAATGTTACATCATTGAACTAACAAATAATCACCAGTCACCCAACGAAATTCATCGATGCGCCAGAAACTCTGCGAATCATCTACTTCTCTTCATAACTCTTCTTCCTCCTTTTATCTTTTTTTTTTTTATAAATAATATTTTATTATTAATTTATACTTGTATATAAACTATACTATATCTATTTTTATTCACTAACGATCATTCTAACTGCTGAATCATCAAGAAAAAAAAGAATTTTATTATCGATGTCTACCTTACGATCATATCAGGTAAAAAAAAATCATCAAGATTCAGAGAAAGTCAAAGATATACTATTGACACAAGATCAGCGGATAAAACTGATGTACCAGTACCTACTAAAACAACTCCATCATCATCATCTATAAGACGACAACAAAGACCTAGAAATAGTAACAAAAGTAAACTTATCGAAACTACTTCCACAAGACCACGCCAACCAGCTGTAATTGATTATGATTATTATCTTGACGAAGAAGTTCAACTATCTCTACAACGTGAACTAAAGGATAAACTTTACGTAACTCGAGAAGGTGGTGTACGATGTCTAGATCAAGGCAACTTTGCTCATCCTACTTCTTGTAAAAAATTCATAAACTGTGCACGAATGGTCAATGGCCATATGATTGCTACAGAATACACGTGCCCAGATAGATTATCATTTGATCCAATTGGAGGAATTTGTAATTGGTCTGCTGGACTTGGCTGTAAAAAATCATTAACTTCATTTGTTTGATAAATTAATGTTGTATAAAATATGTATTTTATTTCGTAACAATTTCGACAATATAATGGCATTATATAAAACGTGATTATTATAAACTTTATATGTTTTTTTGAAGATAAAAACAATGAGAAATCCAGAATACAGTTGGAATTTGATTAAAGTTAGCAATGATGACTAATTAATCAGGATTAGATTTTTTTATTGTATTAACTTGGTAGCCATATACATTGTATGTTAATTCTAAGCACATGTCGTGATATTATCGTGTAATGTATCAGTTTTTTAAATTTGTATATACTAATTTGTGTAAATAAATATATAACGAATGTATTAATAAAGCAATCAATAAAAAACTGATTGTATGAAATAATGATTATAATTTTTTTGTTAATAATGTGGTCATTATTTAAATAATGAAGTAAAAAATTTTTATAATATTTTTTTTAATATACTTAAATTAATGGAAGGCAGGTTATAAATAAAAACAACACCAAATAAACTTATATCATTAAAATTTATTATATTAAGTATTAGATGCATAAAATATGATTAAAAAAATGCAATTAAAATTCTTTATTAGATTTAACATAACAGTTGTAAACAGAAATAAATAATATAAAATATTGATACAGATGATACAATTTATACATAAACTAAAATAAATAAAAAACTATTTACATATTTACAAGTTAACTTAAAATACAATTACCAGTTAACAAAATCAATTCGTCTCGTGATTCGAATTCTTTTAGTAAACTGATCAATAGCTATTTTTTTCTCTTCATCGGATAGGAAACTAGTTATATATTCAATGCATTCAGTTGGAAGTGGTGGTAATTCTTTTTCTTTAAAGAAGAAATTGAATAATTTGAATGTGACTGTTTCTAATTTTATTTTCTTTAAAGCAACCGTAAATTTATTTCTAATTAATTCCGCATATCCAGGAAAGCTATCTGAGCGGTACAGTAGTGCTTTGAGGTTCTCCTGAAAGACTTCATTCCGGACTAATTGTATAGCTTTTTGGTCGGTACAGGTAAGGAAGCGTAAGAGGGTGATATGACAATCGCCGATATTGGTGATTTTGACAAAATCGATCTCCTCGTCGATACATTTAATAACGTCGTCGTGCAACTTGCATACCCGATGGCTGTTTTCTACAAGATCTCTCAAACAGATGGGAAGTCCAATCCGATGAAGCCGATGAATGTGGTTTTGAAGTAGGTGAAATGTGTAAAGTTTAAGCAACTTGAAATCTTTTGTGTATAAAAATGAATTTTCTCCAAGGATGTAGTTCTCCACTTCAACCATGGCGAGGTCGAACGGTGTCATACTCTGAGAGTTAATCGCATCTACTCGTGCTCCGTTAGCTAGCAGCGCTAGAAGAGCACCAGGTGATCCAGTAAAAGCTGCATAATGAAGAACAGAATAATGATGACTCGTACTTGCATTTACGTCTGCGCCATGAGTAATGAATAGTCTGACGATTTTGGTTAAAGCATTATTCCTATGCGGGTTCAAATTCCTGAAAATATTTTCCATATCTTCTCTAGCTGCGAAGTGTAATACAGAAAAACCGTACACATCGGAATCCATCACATTTGCTCCATATTTTAGAAGAAGTTTAATGATGTGTACGTTTTTTAACTCAGCAGCAATTAATATAGGTGTTTGTCCGTAATAATCACGGCTGTGAATGTTAGCACCGTACTCTAAAAGTAATCGGACCATTTTTGCCTCTCCAGTTGATACAGCAATATGCAGTATGTTTTCCGTTTCATTCTTATTCAGATTATATATGATTTCAAAGTTAGGACTAACACCCAGCTGGAACAGATTCAGAACAGCCTCACAATGACCATTGTAAATGGCTTTGTGGATCAGATCAGGATTTATTTTCGCTGGTTGTAAAGTAAATCCATACTTGTAAAGTAACTTTACAAGTCTTTTCGAACAATTACCAGACCTGTGGATTGAGTTTACAAGAGCTTGCTGATTTTGGTGGAGGTTGAGACTAGGCTTGTACGCCAGAATACACCTGATGATTCTGATATTTCCTCTTAACGCAGCGTAGGTCAGGAGCGAAGTATCAAAATCAATGAGAGTATCAGGGCTTAACCCATTGTCCATTAGATAGCGAAGAACACAAAGACGGTTATTGATGATAGCAACACAAATTGCAGGCAGCACACCAGGCGACTTGGCGAAAATATCGGCTCCATAATCGATCAACAATATGGCCATGGCACTGCTTCTTACAGACAAGGCAAAATGGAGTGGAAAACAGCCTTTCCAATTTCCGGAAACGTAACATTGATTTGGATCTGCTTCATGTTCGAGTAAAAACCTTACCATCTCGATGTCGTTTATTAGAAGAGCGATTTGAAGGGCGGTGAAGCCATCAGTATCTCTGAAGTATGTATTTTGTTTGTTCACCAAATAATTTTTTAAACAACTGTAGTCTCTTGACTCGATGGCTTCTCGCATACTTAGCGGACGCGTAATTTCTTGAAATGGTTTCATTATTAATGATGTATGCACTTTACACTTCACCAATGACGCTGTAAATTTGGCACTTAATATTGCTTTGAAAGCTTTAAAAACAAACTTGAGCTGTTTCACTACAAAGGCAAAAACCTTTTTGGAAGAATTGCTAGAAATACATGGGCCTTTTATCGGCCAAGAATTTCTATGGTTTATGGAGGGGTTGTTGGGTCAGTAGTGGGGAAAAAAAGCATGTTTTTGGTCGTGAAGCAATGTAAGCAACCATGAAAATTATCAAATTTACGTTGGAATTTTTCTTTTTTCCATGTTTTAATTTAAGATACATAATTTCCTTTAATCATTTTCATTTTGTACAAATATCTCTAACTATTTTGGGACTTGAAAAAAATTATCTCAATCCTCGTTTAAGTTGAGATTTCATTTTATAAAAACGTAAATTTACGGGTTACCAAGTAAGCTTTGTCTTTAAAAATTGTAAAAACAATGCTCCCTAACACTTTCGAAAAGAAGAAAGCATTCCAATTTGTAAATTCAAGGAAAGTGCACGGAACGAAGAATTGAATATATTACCCTGCTATTCAAAGTAACCCAGGTACCCTACGCAAACAAAGTAAAGTTTACCCTACAAGATGGTACAATTTTTTCTTCTGTTTTGTGAAAAGTTCGTTTCTCATGGGGCAGCTTATGATGTAATTATTCTTCAGGTATAAATGTGCCTGCATTCTGCACCCATAAACATTAATAAGTGTGAGTAAGCAAATATTCATTTAGGAAGCTCATAAAAATCAAATAGGCCCTGGTTTCTTGGCTCTCGACTATGATGACTAATTTCTTAATTGTTTATAATTATAATGCAGAATATTAGCCTTTCTTATCTTTGTAACTATTATAAAATGATGTTTTAATGAATGTACTCATTTCAGACTGAATCAGATATGACTGTAAAATTATTTTACTCAGAGTAATCCTACTTACTATTGAACATTCCCAATTTATTGAAATTTACTGCCAAATTTATTGCTATATTCCTGTAGAAATAATTTTTATTATCATTTGAATTTAAAAGTTCATTAAAATCTAATCATAAGAACAAATGAGTTAACCTCTTGACGATTTTAGATAAATTCTTCTCTTTCTTTGCTTCAAAAAAATAAAAATGGTCGATTTCTGTTTTGGAGTAGACATAGATTATCAAGATTTCTAGAAATTCCAGACACCTTTTAGTACTGGTGAAGAATGAAGACGAACATTAAAATGTAGATAATTCATTTGTATGCCTACTTCAACATGATATAGATAGCATATCTGTCATATTAAAACTTATTTATTTCTTCTCATTTTTCATTTTATTGTATTGAAGGATGAATACTGAAGTCGGTCCAGGTGTATCAACATGCTTACAATTGTAGTTACTTTGTCAACAATCGATAAGTAATAACTCGTTCAGTGCTCCTTCGGTGTTGCAGGGTGCATTTAAAATGACGTTTCCAAGCATCAAATCGATACTCCCCTCTTCTCAGATTACTGTTCATTTTCTTATGGTATATGTTCAGTATGTATGTGTATATCTAGATTTTCCTCGTAGTGGGATGAACGTTGATAATGCGCTGTGCGATACAGTAACGATAGAAGGGAAGAATCATTAAAGCAGTGGCTTTGCCTGGGTATTTTTGTCGATAAATTCATAGCAACAGTATAAATTCACACAAAGTTGAGTGAAAACCTGATTGTGATACTTTACACATGCACAAAATCAAAAAAATAAAAACTGTTTTGCAAATATAAAATAATAATAATAATAATTACAAAAATGTTTTTGATTATTAATTTAAATTTTCGTTACTAATATTATCTAAAATATAAAATAAATTATTGTGCAATGAACTGTGTAAATGTTCATTGATGTATATTTATTATTGTGATATTTTTTTACTGTAATTAAAATAGACTGCTAACTGAAAAATCAATTCAATCTAAACAGATTTTTTTAATAACAACATACTAAATTGTTTATAACTAACGTTTAAAAAAATTCAAACGAGTGCAATTATTTTAATCATCTAATAATAATGATAAACTAGTCTATAATGAACAGTATTTTTAGATAAAATCTGGAGTATTTTTAAAAAATTGAAAAGACATTAAAAATTGATGATAATATTTAATAATAAATATAATATCAAGAATTAAATAAATTTTCGAAATGTTTTCACTGCAGACTGATGTGATGATGATCGAATTTTTAAGGTAAAGAATTATTCTATTATAATAGTCATAATAATGAAAAATATTAATTTTGTATTAATAATCCATCTATTTGCTTCCATTTGTAGCATCCCATGTGCCTGCTTTTGTCCATTAATATATCATAATATGTCAAATGTATTTATTGATTTTGAAGTCCACTACGGGAGTCATGTTGTAGCCTATGGATAGAATAGAATTATATGTATGAATTATGTCCATACATGAACTCTATATATAACTGATATTTATTATAAATTTTTACATCAAAAACTCTTAAATAAATTGAATTCATAACTTTCTATTTTATCAAATTCAACTTATCTTTGCATAGAAACAATGACACTCATTAATAATGCATTACAATTGAATTCAAAATTCAATTGAATCTCTGATAGATATTTAGATTGTATAATAAAGAATCTTTCTATTCAATCCAAATAATAAAAATAAATGGATTTAGTCATTTTGATGTACTTGTTCTGCATATTCAAATAGTTTGGACATGTTCAATAACTTCAAAGTCAATAATCATTTGCATTTGTTAAAATAAATTAACATCTCAGTTAGAGGCATTCCCATCAGACTTCGATGACATAAATGTGATTATTGTCTTTACAATTTTATTACATTGAATATTAATATTTTGTACATATTTTATTTTCAGTACATTGAAGCAGAAAATGCCAAAATTAGAAAAATTGGAAAATTTAAATTGTCCAGAATGTTCAGGACCTCCACCTCTATTTCGAGTACCACCGCCACCACGGCCTCCTTTTTTAACAGAAGCTTCAATTTGTTCAGAAGCACCTTTGGCAGAACTTGAAGACTGTATTGCTATGCCAGTAAGTAATTGATGGTTCAATATAAAAAAAATACATCATCACAAGTATCAAGAATTTATAAGATGTTGATCTTTATTCATTGTCAATCTATACGATAGATAATATAACTACTGTCAAACTTAATTTTTCAGATGATTGATGCATCCTACCATGCCAATCCTTCTTTGCAAAATACAGCGCTAATCATAGCATGTACTGTCATTTTATTGCTCATGGCAGCAATAGTTTCAGTTGTGTTTTGGAAGTAAGTACTTTTATTTTGCATATACATTTTGGTGATTCAGTTAATTAGAGAGCACATCATTTTCTAACTTCATTAAACAATCTCGAATCTAGTTAATGCACAAAAGTTAGGTACGAAACTTTAACGGAAATAATCCTTATTAGTTCCAAAGGTACAGAAACTAATGCGATTACTTTATAATAGAAGAAATTTATAGTTACTAAGACTAGTAAATAGAAACTTAATTAAAGTTGATATTATCAACTTTGCTCATGTTAGTGCGTGTACCAAGTTATTGATTTTTTATTAGAGAATATTAGACTGAATTCAATTTTTACACGGAGAAAACTGAGATAAAGAGAGATATTGGAGTAGAAAAGAGAGATTTTCAATCCAATTGAAACCATTCGGAAGTATCAATATAATTATTTTTAATATCATCATGAAAGAGAATATTTTTTTCTAGAAAGTCTTCAACAGTCTCATTCTGCTCTAATATCTTTTATTCTTGTTTTTTCCAATAATGACAAGTCTTGTGATTAATGTTTCAATTATCATTTTATTTTTTTTTAAATCAAGATGCAATTAATGTATTTTATTGTTTATTTATTGTGTTTATTCATTGAATATATTTATTATAATTTGTATATTATTTATATATTTTTTTGTATAATATGACATTAATAAATTCTGAATTTATTTTATTTTTATTTATTATTTATCCTTTTTCATTTATTTTTTAGATTAAATATTTCAAAATAAAACACATAACTATTGATAAAAACAATACGCTTTTAATCTCTATTATAGACATAAAAGGAAAGTCCAAAATCTCCTCCCTTGCAAGAGTGCAGTGGCTGTAACTGCAACCACAAATCAAACTAGAGTTTTGCCAAATGGTCAAACCTTAACAAGCTCTAGTAATATTACTGGAAACACACGACTGTACGAAGATTTAATAGAAAATATGCCACGCTCTCAAATTCACAATCATTTGACAATCCAACCCAGGATCCAACCCACGATTGAGGTACGAGGTACAAATTCCTCAAGGCAGCAGGTGAGCGAGTTCATTTCACCACCGCATCGGGTCGACTATGTTAATTATCGTAATTCACAATCAAATATTTGCACTACTCGATTGTCAACGAAAATGAACCTTGGTGGTGGATATCACATACTGCAGACTCATTTGTCAGAATCACCAGATGCACCGATAATGACCAATATTACGTTGCATCCTAATTTTATGAATGATTTTTACCAACAATCTACCAATACGTCTTTGTCAAACCCACAATTAGCATTAACATTATGTTCAAATAATCCAGTATTTAATTTAGAAAACATTTCTCGATTTCTAAAATTTCCTTTATTAATAAATCATTATGATTCCGATAAGAAAAAATATTCCACCAATTTGAATGCTGTACCCGAAGCTTTTAATCATTCATATTTTACCTCAGTAGTGGAGCTTGCTAATTGTAACTTATTAGTCGGAAAGCAATTTTTGAAAAATAATATTGATGATATTAAAGATAGTCAGAATAATGACTCAAGTATCAAAAATAGTATTTGCATTGATAGAAATAAATTACTATTAACTACTAATTCTAAAAAAAGTACATATTCAGAAGCAGGAACTAGTGATAAAAATGATAAATTAACTTTAAAAATTCATCACACTCACGATCAGCAAAATATGCAGCAATATAATAGTAAATATTTTCGAAAAAGTATTCTTTATAATATATCGAATTATAAAAAAATTAAAGGCATAGTTAAAAAATATTCTCATCTAATTCCTACTCGTAGAAAGACGACGTCTCAAACAATTGTAAATTTCCTTCCCTACGAGACTAAAGATGAAATTTGCCCACTTTGTACGATACAAAATATTCATTATCTTCTCTTGTTACCTGATAAATCCTAGATGTAATCATTCAAAATTCATTAATTTACTTATTCAACAACACTTGATTGAAATGTATGCAATGCAAAATTAAAACACTCTCCGATACTAGACTTTTTAAAGTTTTATCTTGATTACTTATAATTATTTTTACTCTGAAAATTTTTTAATCTATATCGACTCTAACTTTCAACATTACTTGGGAAAAATGCAATTAATGATTTTCGGTCAATGAGTCTTTTATTTTTAAATATCCATTTTTTCCCCAGTATATTTTATTAAATATCTAAATATTTTTTTAAAATTACTAGATTGTATTATCTATTTTTCTATAACTTCTAATTAAATGAAATAAAAAGAAGAAAATACAAAGTATGAATCTAACTCACATCACATTATTGATCAGTATTAATTATTTCAGAACTTGAATACTTCTAGCATAAGCATAAAAATAAATATTACATTTATTAAAAATAAAAAATGACTCTAAAAAAAAAGAATTTTACGAGTTTTATCTTTTAGAAGAATAATAAGACATTAATTACAATTTAATTGTAAAGGTTTTAAATATTTCAGAGTAAACTTAATCATGAGTAGCAAACATTATCCACTGTAAACTATGTAGGAACATTACTTTCCATAAGGTATCCTTTAGATTTAAGAATTAATTTAAATATTGGAATATCCTTCTACACAGATAAACATAAAGTTATATGATAGCAACAAACATACAGTATAAGTTTCCTTCACAAAAACTCACGTTGTGTATATATAAAGAGTGTAATATTCAATATGAACGTGTATTCTAATCATTAAATTATTATAGACTACTAGAATTTAACAAATAATAAAATATAACTATATTCACGGTACTAAACATGAATTTAATCAATATTTATTTTTATTAGAATAAATAACTTTATAATGAGCAATGTGGCTGTTATTATTTAAAGTATCAATAAGAATGACAATGAGAATTTTTTAATAAAAAAAAAAAAAAAGGTTTTATAAATCTCAATTTCATCCCTTAAAATAAAATTCAATAAGATTAACAAGAATCGGATATTTTTTATTAGAATGAAAATCGGCTGCTTTGTGCTTAAAAATTTTTCTCATCACTATACTTTTAATGAAAGTACAATTTATATATCTTCACTGTAGATGATTGATGTCAATAAGGAGAAGAGCATCGATCGAGGAAGTTTTACTTGTAGCAGTCCTGGACCAGATCTGTATGGATCACAAGATCTTTACAATCCAGTTTATGAAGAATTATGTAATGGTAATTTTAAATATAGACTATGATTAAAAATACCAATACTTTATTTCTATTCGATCAATAGAAATATATATATCACCAAGTTAAATAAATAATTATGATTTGTTCCAGGTGACAATCATTTGAATACTGATGACGAAGGAGAAGTAAATCCTCAAAAGTATTCACACCATCATCGATTATCGATTAATTTAAAATCAGGAAGTGAAGATGAATTTGCTGAAGATGAGCTATCAGTAGGTGAACCTTCAGAATCAAGAATGCTTACATTGTCTATAACACCAAGATCGTGGGGTACATGTCCTAATGTAACCAATAAATCATCAAGAGATCGCAGAGGTAGAAGTCCAAGGAGCTTAGATGAACGAAAAAACAATAAAAGTCACGATGTTGGTGAGTTCCATGAAGGAATGCTCCTAGATGCTCTACTTCACTTTTATCCTAATGTTGCAGGTAAATAGCACTTTCCTTACACAGTAGATATTTCCTTACACATTATCCTATAAAAACCATTGGGAAAATTGCTTTGGAATTACCTGCTGTCCAATTATTGATAAAAAAGTCTTACAAAAAGTATAGATAAATCGTCTGCTTTTTTTTGTTAGTAAAAATAGATTTGGCTTACCTATTGAAATACACTGCTTATCCACTTAAACAATTTTATATGAATAAAGTTATTCACAGTTTAATATGAATTTTCCAATATTTAGGTATTGTTGGATCAAAGAATAATTCAAATGCCAATGAAGCAAGCAAATCCGCAACAACATTAGCTCATAAACTGCCATATTTTTTGCCATCTGCTCCAACTATGCAATCAATTCACAAAGATGATGAAAATCCATATGAAAGTGTTCCAGTTTTAGGTCCTTTACACCATTATTCAAGTCACACTAAAACAAATAGAGAAAAACATCACAAAATGTCAACAATGGACCATTACGATAAATATCCTCATTACGGTTCCAAATATTTTGGATTTAATTCAGACAATATGGCTCCTATTTATACTCAAGTTGGAAGTGATTATTCAGAAACATATTCTCAAACAATTGATAAATTATCTTACAATGATAATAGATACGCACAACCTGTTTATTTCATGTCAAAAGATCCTTCATCTCGTGGGCTTTATCAAAGTCAACCTGACAGTAGTTTTGGAAGTGACAGCGGTTATAGTCATAATACGTCTAGTGGTGCAACCACATATACCAATGGTATACGAAGCAGTACCACACGAGCAAATCATCGTAAAGACAAACATCGAAATTCAGACCATTCTCATCATTCAGCTGATTTTATATTTTCGCAATAAGCAAACACAATATTATACGTCACGTCAAAAACATTAAAAAAAAAGTACTATCTCTTAGATTTATATAACGTGGAAAGTTTATTGATTCTAGTAATCATCAAAAATGATTTATTTACTGATTATAATTTCAGTACTAGTCATTATGAATAAAAATTAGGTATTTGACACAGCAAGTAGATTTAAGGAATTTTTAATAAGTATTATATTAACATAATCTCCCTAAAGTAGTATTATTCTTCTTTCTTATTCGAAAAATAGTAAACGTACTTTATCACACATATTGCAAGCTTAGTGATCAGTGGAAGTTGATGTTACTTCTTTATGAATATTAATGTTGTGTAATTAGTATATAAAGTTCGGAAATTCATAGGATTTGTTGTACTCATTGTTAGGTAGTTTAATATGTCAGTTTCTTTATCAAGAATCCGATGTTATTTCAATTATAAATATTATCATGCAGATCATTAACTCAAAGACTACATTAGCACCATGGCATCATTAAGATTGCTAAATTTAATTATAATAACTTATACAGTTAGCCACGATAATAAAGTAATTAAAGTGAAATTTAAGTCTATCTTACTTGCACAGGCCTTCAGGAATGTGCCCTATTCTTATAATACAATGCTTATAAAGCTTGCTTCTAACAACGAGTAGAGTTTAACTCACCTTTTTTACGCTACCAAGACTTTATTTCAATCAGATTAGTCATTTTGATGTCAATACCGACAGATATGTACATCTTTTTATAATTTTACTGTAGATAAGACTGAGTATTATTATTATTATTAATAATGAAATATCCTACTGATTTTAGTTTTAGTTTTATTTATGTAAAATATATTATCAGACTGAATCTATAATAAATGTATATCATGTGTATTCTTTCAACACAACAAGAAGAAAACTAATAAATTTATATAACTGTATTGTATTGAGACTTTGAAAAAATTCGATGAGGTTAGAAACTACTTGATATATATACACTAATTTTTTTGCAAGTGGCTTGAATTCCTGTTGCCATTGTTCAAACGCTACTGAAGCAGATGGTATTTATATATTGTTCAGATGAAGAAGAATGTTGATATAATTTTTTTCGAGAGAATCCTCAATGTAATAGGTAAGTGTTATAATACATATTTCTTTCTATTTTCTAAATATTGTTATAAAATCATTTTTTAAGAATATTTGTTATATTTACAGATAAAAAAAAGATTTTTGAATTTTCAAAATTATTTTTATATTTTTTTCAGTTGATCGTCAAAATAAAATAACAATTGAGATATCTTGATTTATTTATTTATTTTGCGAGATACGATATCAACATGATTTAAAACAAATTGATCAATTTTTTATTAACACCAAAAATTATGACAAATGTTTGAGAATTTAATTTCTTAATTGTTATTAATATCTATGGTAAACTACAAAATTTTTGTAAAATTATTAAATGTCTCTTTTTAAAAATTATTCCATTAACTTTGGTATGACAATATAATACAAAGATATAAGTCTTATCAAGGCAGTATATTCATAATTGATACTCTTAAAAAAGCGTAATGTTTTATTTAATTTTTAATATCAATTATCAAAATCCTGTAAATTATTGAATAAATATAATTCTTCTTTCATATTCTTATTTTAAGATAATTTTTTTTTTCTTGCTTATTAAAGTAATTTACATGATAATTTTATTATAAGGTAATTAATTTTTTCACAGTATTAAAAATGTTTTAGATATTTATTTAAATTGTATATTAATAAATTAATAATTGAGATCATGTTTTAACATTTAATTATCAAAATAAATAAAAAAAATATTCAAACAACAATATTCATTAAAAAGTAATTTTTTAAATATCAAAAACATTAGTCTAATAATAAAAATTTTATCTTACATAAAATGCTCCTATCTGATGGAGTTTATCATTTTAAGTCATTTGAAAGCATATAAAAAATTTATTTATTGTTTATTGAAAAAACCATGTCAGCATTTAAGTTAAAGGAATCGTGGTCTTTTATTCGTTAATTGCGCTGCAACATTTAAAAGCATGATTACATGTTCAGAATCAGTTTGTGATCTTCTAGATGATTTTGCTTCATAGGAATTTTGATCATTCTCAAGAATAGAACGTCTACATGCATCATACATTTGTTCTGCAGGTTCAGGAGATATATCAGATTGCACATTATTAGAAAGTATTGCAGCATGGGTATGCCGAACAGTTGAACGACATCCATGAGGAGCCTGTTGAGCAACAAAATCTCTTCTTATTATATTAGGCTCTTTCAGAGATGCATGAATTAATCTCCCTGCAGGATCATCGGTTGACAAGTGACAGTAGTGTAGAAGATTTTGCCAGATGCGTGCGAATCGAAATGTATGCACCCATGGTCGTGTAAAAAATCTGAAGCAAATAAATCAAAAGAAAGATAAATCAATACATCAAATAAAAAAGTGAATAAAATTATTAGTGAGGACAGAAATAAAATAACACAAATCTGTATTATTTAAATCACATTTGACATAATGCTTTTTTCAGCAAAAAAAATTGTTAAGGATAAAAAAGAAGAAAAATGCTTGAAAAAATTGATGGGGAAATTTTTAAAAGAATCCAGGAAAAACCAATGAAAAATGGAATTTAGATATCAAAAAATTAATTGAAATATCTACGCATCTAATTAATTTTTTTATCGTTTCCTTATTATGATATGTAATTCCTCTAAATGAGGAACTTTTACTAGGAAACAAAGAATTTTTACAGCTAAACAACATATTCATTGTTAGCACATTCAACTTACTTCCATGATGCAACGAAAATTGTAGTAGTGACGAAAAGTGAAACAATGACGTATATAATTATGAGTGCTTCATTTTGCACTGTAGGAGTATTATGATATGGTACACCAATTAACTGTAAGGAAACATAAATGTTATACAATATTTTATGAAAGAAAATTTATCTTATGTTACAATTATAAAAGATATTCTAAAAATTTCTTTAACATTTATTAAATAAAAAAAAATATTTAATTTTATATCCTGAATATTTCTACTCAAATATCAAACCTACCAGAAATTTTACTTTATCAAGAGCTATTTATATTATAATATAACTAATGTTATATTTTTTTGTACTATTTAGGTATTTAAAATGCTTTGTGCTTACGGAAATAGTACTACAATCTTCAAGTTCAGCTAAAGGTAGCTCTGAACAGAATGTGGCTTCATCAAGAAACGCTGGACGAGGTGGAGGTGGTAGCTCAAAAATTGGTGGTGGCCCTGAACATTCTAAACAATCTTCACTTTCTGCAGGTCGTCGCATTTCCGTCATAGTCCGTCTTAAAGATCTACATATAAATATATCATTTACATTAATTCATCTATTTATATTCCCATATTTAAAAATAATTTATCAAATATTTTAACAACTATTGATTAATTCATGAAACAAAGTGTATTTGAGTATATCATAAAATTTCAATTGATTATTATTTACATTGTTTTTACTCCAATTATATTATGGAGCACAAAGAATATTTCTATTTGGTAAAATTTAATTATAAACAAGATTTGTTTTTATAAAAGAATATAAGTATCATATGAATTTTTATATGATGAAAGTCAGGTAATTTTGTTGATCAAATTCATCTCATTTTTTATCATCATGATGGAATAATAATGATCTGTTTTACGCCAACGCAATGCATTGTATAATTATGCAAATTTATTATAAAATATTCAACTTTTATAAAATTGCAGATGTTCTGATAGAAGTAATTATCTAAAAATAACATCTTCAGCATTAAAATGAGAAGAATGAATATATTTACAGAAAAACTGTAAATATATTCACGCTATCTATCTTTGTTAATACTAAATATGGATACAAAGGCATTATGCATCTATATAATTTGCTTACCTTATGAATTCAATCATCATATTTGACTGCCACATTAACTCAATAAAGTACATTCATTCTTTACTATCATATCTAAGCAATTTTCAATCACATGCCATTAAATATCAATTTGTTTAAAAAGTTTTAGTACTTATAACATCATTTAAGTGAATGAACACTGAAAAAAATTGTTTTTGTTTATTCACTTTTTTTCATAAAGCTTTATTATGTCAAGAAATAAATACTTTGCTTCGATTATCGGTGTATCAAACCGTGTAAAAGCTTCATGAAACATTTTTATTTTTTCAATGAATACATGACCGAAAGATACTGTACACACTTTGCAAGTATTGATTAACTACGTATTACACTGCCACCTAAGAAATAATTGAGTTTAACAAATTTCAAAAAATTCTATAGATATTTTCAAAAAATTCATTACAATTTATTGTATTTAATCATTTGAATATCACATTTTTTTTCTATCTGTAAACATGTCTTTTTTGAATCATAAAATGTAAGTGATGCAGTCTGTAATGTAAAACAGAATTTTTCTATGGATTTCACGTTTGTGGACCTGATACTATAATATTTCAGAAAAATTTTAGAATTTAAAATAATTAAAACTTTAAACAATCTAATAAATTTTAATTATATGTAGCTTGATCAATATTTTTTACTAATTCTTTACTGAAACAAAATTGAAATAACTACCAAATTATATTTTTGCTTTCAATCTTTTCAGTAACTCTACTAATTTTCAGTGTACATTTACACAATAATATTATATTTTATTAAATTAAGAATATTCATAAATATCAAATTGTCTTAAATAATAATAATAATAATAATGCTTGAGTGAAATGTAATAAAGAAACAAATATTTGAAGGTATAAAAAATTTTATTACAATGATTATTGTTATAAAAAAATATAAATACAGTATTAAAATATTATCACCGTTTCCAGTTCATATTGTAAAAAAGTACAAACGATATCCTAATTTATAGAATATAAATAAATTAATAAATAAGTTACGAGATGAAAAATGGAATAAATAAGAAGTACAATGATATCAATAATGATAGCTTATAAATTAGTGTATAAAAAAGATTATTTTGGCAGTGTTCTTTTTCATCGGTGGTATGTTCATATTCAATAAATATTTTAATCTTAACTTATTCTAAATACTAGTGATCAATTCTCATAATGTTGTATCAGGGTGTAATTGCTTCTTCTCAAGATCTCCAAGTAATTGAGCACAAACGCATCCAGTGTTAATTCTGATAGGCTTCTTTTTACCTCCATTCTTAACGATGACATGAATTTTAGTGTATGTTTGAATACAACAATAAGTCCCACTCTCTTGACATCTGGATCCTCTGCTGTTGCAGGTGATGTCAACCAAGCCTTTAGGCACTTCGTAATCCTCCAGATTCTTCAAAGGAGTCACAGTATAATTACACAAGGAGCTGTTTTGTGCGTCTTTTACCAAAACTTCAAACTTCTTATTATCATTACTCTCTAGATGTTGTAGAGCTTTCTGATCCCTATCGTTGATTGTGGCGTACTTAACTCCTTCGTCATTTCGCTTCTTCAGCAAATGATGATTATGATAGAGTAGATGGTCCATCGGTGAATTTGAATGTGAATGGATCCTTGATCGCAAATGCCTCATATTTACGTGTCTCATGATTGAATGTATATTTGAATAATTATCACTTGTAGGTCTCCCCAATGAACGAGATTTGATCTCCTGCACCATCAGCAATAGGCTGAGTATTATCACAATTAAAGTATGGATTTTGGTTTTGGATATATAAAGTAGATCCATGTATTATAAATTAATTGACAAAACTGTATAAAAGTAGTATAAAATCAGGAGAACTGTTCCTATCAGAACCAAGGGAATGACTGAATTTCGAACGTTCCTTAGTGAATTTTTTATCCTGAAGCTTATTGTAGCACGTGTATATAGTAACCCCCCTTAAGTTGCAATCTAGTATAACTACAAAACCAGAAGTCACACAAATCCTGTCAGTAAAACCTGTCATTACGTCATAATTTAAGCCTTCTTCAACGTCATGATCATTGGTACTGACGTCAAAGAACTTCTTTCCTTCTGCGAATCAAAAATCCCCGTGCCTTTCTATTTTTATGTATTCCATAGATAATCCATTTACTAATCAATCATATTTATATGTTATTAATATTATTATTATTGTTAAGATGTTCATTTAAATATATATTAATAAACTGTCAGCATGAACGTCAGAACTGACCATTCTCTTATCAACAGGACTGCATGCATGGCTACTAGCTTTTGCTTAAGTATATGACTTTGTACTATCTTATTACTGTCATTTTATTTTTAATTATAATTATACAGATACGTTAATTGTAGATCTTATCATCGTTAAATGTTAAATTAATCAATTAAATTCACGAGGAAATAAAAAGAGGAAATGAGGATATTACTTTGACGTCAAGAACTGCGAATGATATTGAAAGATCGTATGTGATTGAATTGTGAAATTTTTGTCATCAAATTGCGATTAAATCCAAAAGGAAAAAAGCTCTTGTGGTTTTGTGTACATTTACGTTTGATTGTTGTAATATGAAAGCATAAAACCCCATATGTTCTATCAATTGATACAATAATAGAACTTTTGAGAAAGTATTTGATAAAAGAACACATCGATCGATTCCAATTGTTCAGAAAGTAATGAGACTAAAATTGTTTACAGGAGAAAATGTTAGGATTAAATAATCATACGATGGAGACTCTAAGTCTCGGTTTTCATTTCCTCAATTATCGGGTATTACCCGCCATTCTTAAATTAGATAATTATTCTTATTTTTCTTGGGTGTGTTACATTGTTGATTCTTTCATTCATGAGGAAATTGAAAAGATGATCAATTTATCATTATTCATTGAGAGTTTTATTGCTCAATTTAAAAATCCATTAAACTTAAAATAGATATTTTCATGCATTTTTCTCCATATTAAAGAAGTAATTTATTCTAAAGAATAAATAAACAATTTAATTGACATTTTAATAAATGGACTGGAAAAATAGTGATCAAAACAATCAAGTATTTTTAATATTTTATTAAAGATATAAAAAATCCTTAAAATTCGTATAATTTATAAATCATTTTTTAAAAATATTTCAAACAACTGTTGCCAATCTGCATTTTTGAGACTCCATGTCTTCCAATAAGTCTGTCAAAAGACCTTCCATTTGGGTGGCAGCACGTTTTAATTCACAATTTTCACTTGCACTCAAAGACTCTAAAAAAATTATTCAATAAAGTCAGTTAAAAACTTAATCATAAATAATGTTTGCTAACTCATTCATAATCAATCATTATATTTTAATGATTCAAATGAAAAAATTTTTATGAATGAAATTTGATGAATGAATTGTAGTAATTTGTCATTGTTTATGTAGATAAAGAAATAAATAGAAATACTTACTACAGACGTAAAGAATCACGCGATATTATAGGAAGTAAAGAAAGTGATAAAAGTTGTGACGTTTTACTTTCAGAAGTCTATGATGTAATTGGTGAATTGATACGTAAAATTAAATGTGAGTGTGATATTTAATATTAATGACCTAGATTAACAATGGATGAAAGACCGCAATGGCTCAACGTAGCGACGGAGAATCAATCCAAAGAACAGAATGAGTTTGACCACGACAGAATACGGTCACTCATGACAAGTTTTTTATAAAACTAATTACTTATTCAAATTCATGAAATTATAAGTTCTACATACTGTTAAGTAATCTAAAGTTATTTAATTCGACGTAATGACGTCTTTTCGGAAAAAATAATCGTGTCATAAAACTATTGCAGTTATTAACCTTTCTCTTACCTTCCAACAAACACTCGTTAGCAACCATGTGCTGAAGTCGATTTAAAATGTCATTTAAATCTCCTTGAATATTCTGAAGACTGCTATGCTGTGAATGTCTATCAGGACGTTGAAGAGAAGACGGTGTATTATCTCGGGAAAAATCAAGATTAGAATCATCATGATACTTCATAATATTCTGTCGTGATTCTGATTGTTTAAATTGTCTTGTATTCTCAGAATTAGGATCCAGCCATTGTGAGAATCGACCTTCATCAAAGTCAATATTCGTTCGATTACCTGGTAAAGTAAATTACATTGATATTTTTTAAATTATTCGAATTAAATATTTTGATAAATAATTAATAGTAGAAAAGATACCTCCAATCCAGGTACTCAATTCGATTTGTGGTGATGATGGTAAAACTACCGGTGATCTTTGGATGTGGTTTATGCTTCTAGTTTCCATTGGTGGATCAGAATCATTCCCATTTATTTTAATTGAATCTTGTGAAGTATTTCTACGATGATTAATAGGACTCAATTGAAATTCTGGCAGTGGTAGAAATCGCGATTCTGATGGCATTTGGTGCAATGGCGCAATCAAAGGTGTACTTTGAACACATCTCATCGTTTGTGGAAAAGAAGATCGTTTTCCATGAAATAAGCATTTCTACAATTAATGGGAACATTAATTTAATCTCTCTTAAATGAATGAAAATTTTATTCAAGCAAAAAGAGCAATTATTCGAATAATTCATACCTTTAATATCTTGAGTCGTTGCAGCTGTGCTTCAACAGTTTTTCGATGCTGCTGCAATCGTTCTGCTCTGCTACCACAAATTTCTTTCAATTCCGCTTGAAGTTGTTTATTTTCTTCTTCCAGATGATTAATTATACTTGAAAGTTCTTTATGAGGATCGCTTTTTACTTTTCTTTTTACAGCTGTATTTATTTCAGATATTGTGTCAAAAGTATTCTCTTTGTCACTCGAATAAAATATTGTATCCGATAGTGATGTCTCAATCTGTTGTGTTGTTTGAATTGGACATAATTTCAATTTATTTTTAAAAAGACTTACTATTGGCTTTGTTGCAGTTTTGATGGATGTCTCTGCACAGTATTCTTTTACTGGGTGCTTTATTTTGTGTTTATGTGAAGTTTTTGCAAAGAAGAAGCAAGTTTGGCATTGATGATATCTCACACATCTCATGCATGAAAATCGTGGTCCACGTACTGGCGTTGTTTTACATGAAGAACACTTTATATTGTGAACGACATTTTCTGCTAATTTTAATCGATTAAATGTTGAAATCCATGCGAGTAAAGGTGGATCTCGCATTAACCACATTCTTAACTCTACTTTACTAATGCCCAGACAACCTTGTGATTCTGCAAAACAACTGTCAATTGTTGATTGGACAAGATGACTGCCATAAGCTACACTTTCTCCTAGAAATTCAGTTACTTTGCAGATATTCATTAACAATAAATGTAAAGATGATTTAGATAAACATGCATTGTGATCTGCCAACAGTTTGTATAAATATTCATATTTGTCGTGTAAACTACCACAGCTTAATAAAGTCAATAAAACTTTTGTAGAGAATACAGATACTTTGTCTTTGCTGTAAAGAAATTGATCCATAATTAATGAGAATAAAATCATATCTTAATTATTTTATCGATTTTAGAATAAAAATTAATACAAGGTTTGTAAGAAAGAATGAGAATTTCTATGAACAAGGAAATTATAAGTTGTAGGATAAAATGTGATAAAGGTAACGAGTTGTTGTGACCCTTACCGGAACTATGGTCTAGTAAGGAAACTTTTTGGAAAACGTTTTTGATTATAAAGGTAAAACTTCATCTACAACTATTTATAACAAAAGTATACTCACTTATCGAACACATGTAATAAAACATTAACAGCTAATTCCGTAGATGCATTCAAATCAAATGTGGCATTTGCATTCTTCTGTGCTGCATAATAAATATCAAATACGACGTCTTCTACCTCTGATCTATCTAACGTGACTGAATTTTCTGTGACTGATAATTTATGTCTCTCAAATACTCCAATAACAAATTCGAGTGATACATATTGCACTAAAAAAAAAAAATTAATTTGACAATAAATAATAGTTTATAAAAAAAAAAATTAAAATACTTACTATACAGCTTTTGATGTAAGATTTGCACTTTTGCTGCTGTTCGATAAAAGGGATACCGAATGCCATTGTATTTTTTTATAGCTGTGATAATACTTTCTAATGTGGTCGGACATTCTTGCTTATTGTAATCTGAAATAAAACATAAATTACTACAAGAATTATAATTTATTAAAATAAAATCATTATTATCAATAAATACATTTTTTTATTTTGAAAAAATTAATTTTTAAAAAATTTATTTACATATTTATCTCAAAGAAATTTTTAAATAATTTAGTAAAGCTTCAGCTATGATTTTCATATTTATACTGAATTCGAAAAAAAAATTCATTTAGACTTATAAAGTAACCGGTAAACTATTGTAATGCAATAATGGCAAGCTTTTGATGAATAAAAATAAATTATTTTATAACTGGTAATAATCAAATTTCTTTTAAATTAATAAATCATACATACCTGGAGTCATGATGCATTAAAGTAAAATTACTCAAATATTAAATATTACAAAAAATAAATGAATAATAGATATTTATAAAATTTTGTTTGATGCAGAATTTATGTTTATAAAAACTATGATTTTCATGGCATTGAAATAACTTTAATAAAATTTAAAAAAATATATCATAGAAAAACTGATATTAGATCAATTATTGGAACAAGATAGAATTCGAAATGTGTATTAAATAATTGTTGAAATGGAGTAAATAAATCACTGTAAACAATCAACAGTCACTACAAATATTTACAAAAGAACGGTTTTGGTAAGAAGGGTTATAGTTGAAACAGGTGCTGCCAACAATAACAAAGTAAATACACTCCATTGCACTAGAGGTTTGTATGCATTACCGCGCCAACTTCAAATTGATTTTGCAAGTGCATACAAATGATACGATTATATGCTAAAATAAATTACATCATACCAGTATGATTTTTTTTTTATTTTACAATTGTTCATAAAATTTGTAGATAAAAATAGGAATCCATGTTATTCAATATAATTGTTAGAAAAAATAAGTACACTTAAAACTAGATTTAAATAATTTATTTCATAAATAAAGGTCTCAAAAAAAGTATTAATACAAATATATCAGAAATGCATTCATTTCAATACCACATTACTGAATTGTCATTACCAAATGTCAAACCAAATTGTAGATAAATATGATATTGAAGAATTTAACAGATATATTATAACAAAATTGTTTTCAAGTTAAACTAAAAATATCAACGATTTGAAATGCTAATAATTTTTCATGTATTCATTTAAATTGTTAAATAATGATCATTATAGCCATGAAAAAAATTTATACCACTAGAGTGTAATTTTCTTATACTACAAATTGAATTAAATAAATAACAGTCTATATTCATTTCATTAAATAAAAATTCAAGACAAGTTTTCCAACGGTTATAATTAAATGCATCAATAATTATACTTTGATCATTATAATTTGGACATCTTCAACAATTATTCATAAACTTTAACTATAATTATTTTTTTTAATCTTTGGAAATATATCGTAGATTACAAAATCCTACGTCAATTGAAAGCAAAAACCTAATCTCTAGTTTTCCATATAATTTATTGAATCAATCAGGTGACTCGAAAAAAGGATGTTTTTTTATTTCTGCAATACTTGGCCTTTCTTCAGGATTAAGTTTCAGGATGTCAGTTAATAAAGATCTGGCATTCTCTGATACTCTACATGGAATACTGATAACAGATTGTGAATAAATTATATATGAATCCTCTTCACTGAATTTCTGTAATAAACAATTAATATTTATAAATAAAATTCTATGTTAAAAATAATTTATCTTGTTATAACTTACTATTCCAGTTAATAATTCATATAAAATTATTCCATAACTCCAAACATCAGCAGCTGGATCGACAGAAATAGGTGATATATACATGTAAAGTTCAGGTGCCGTGTAAGGTATATGACAATCAATAAATTCGTAGCCTTGCTGGGGGATAATACAATTCAGTCTAACACAATTATCTTGATCAATTAATAAATTATCAGGACGTAAATTCATAAGTACAATATTTTGTTCATGTAAAGCTTCAAGGATTTGAAGTAATTGAATAGCCCATCGTCTAATCATATTCTCGGGTATACTCCAATATTCTTCGTCATCGAATATATAATTATTTTTTATTTCACTTGTATTTACATCTTGATCGTCAATATAATTTACAATATCATCAAACGTTAAAGCTTGACTACTATCAAAAGTTTCTAAATCTTTGGAAATGCCCATTTTTTGTACACTTGAATTATCTGCCAATCCATGTGCTAATAAAAGATCACTTAATTCACTATTTTTTGTGCTATGACTATCACTCTTTTGATCATAACTCTTGGAAGTATTTCCAAGTTCATTTAATTTATTTGTCATGGAATCACTTTGTTTTAATGTAACATCAACGGATATCAATAATTTTTTAGCTTTATCTAATAACTGGTTTATTGATAAGTCATGATCATGTTGACCATTATGAACTCCATTACTGCTTTCTTCTTGCTCAAAATGTTCTTCTAATTTATTTGGAGTAGTTTCTAAAGATTCATTTTTTGGAGTATCATGATCTAGTTTATCAGTGCCATCACTCGTTATTATATCCCATAATTTTTGACCTTTAATATACTCGAGTATAAAAAAAATAGTTGTCTCTGTTTCAATAAATGCATGAAGCTGAACCATCATTGGCACCTTTGGATATAGAATATAATTATTTACACCTTTTATACAACCTGCAGGTTTAGCTACAGTTTTGACAATTCTTTCAACATTTTCTTCTGTATCTCTAACAAGTATTGTTGTTGATCCCATGATTTTTAGAATTTTATATTTTTTTAATTCAATTGGGGGTTTCATAAACATAGAAACATCACTATTTAAATATTTTTTGTAGATTTCGTCTATTTTTTTAACATACTTAGAAACATTATCTAAAACCCTCTTTTGCCTATTAAGGTCTGGATCACTATTCACACAATGTTGAAGCTGCATAATACCAAGTTTATATTGAACATAAGCCTCCTTATACTCCTCTAAGTGTTCATGTTTATGGCCGGCGTTTATATGAGCAGCTGCAATGATCACATAATGATTAAAATCCTTCAATGTCATGTTTAGTACTTGTGAGTTGCTCGGTGCTAAGGAATTCTCTTGTTTCTTTATATTTCCATGATACTCTTCCAAAATATTATTGAGTCCATAAGATATAATTGATGTATTAAATTTAATATTATTATCACTTGAATTGTCAGCTGATGTCACAACAATACTATTGTCATCTGATTGACTGCAGACCTCTATTTGATCTAATTCACCATTAGAAATGCTCAAGTCATTAACATTAACTATATCAGACACATTGTGGTCAGGGTCTTCGTCGAATAAATCAGGGCTAACTGATTGACTATCAGCTTTTTGACTATCTAGACTAGTTTCAAAGAATTTAATAAATATATCATGAGTGTACAGAATAGAATACTTTGCAATAAATTCTAAAAACTTATTAGCACATTCACGACGTTCTTCAACCACTTTTTTATCGAATCTTCCGAAATATTTAGACTTGGCAAATTTTGGAAAAGGTTCTTTTATCGATGAATTTTTGTACACTGCATAAAGAGATTTATAAAGATTTTTAAAATCACTGTAGCGTTTCCACACTGATACAGAGGAAGCAGTATCTGGAGAATTCTTCAAAAATATCTTTAACAAATAAAAATAAATGTTATTATCAGAAATAAAATATTTTTAATATTATTATGAGAAAACTTACCAAAGATGTAACTTTGTAAATAGTAAAACCAGTTTTGTGAAGGCTTGTTTCAGTAATAAAAAATCTTCTGACCCACTTATCCTTACATGAAGTCATATCTATACACATTAATTAATTATATCCATTAACGTTGGTGATAATTATTCCTCGATCTAGGTTGCTTGAAAAAGTATAGAGAAATATTTAGAATAAGTAAAAGAGAGTATGTATAATAAGGGCCATGCGCAATGAAACAAGTAGGAAAAATATCACTGTATTTTTATTGGAATTGTGATATCTCACCGAAATATCAATGACAACTCAAATGTACTCAACAAGAGTTTTTAAAAATTGAATCTCTTTTTTATTTGTAAAATAGGTATAAATCATATTTATTATTTTATTAGATAAATTGAATTTAGAAAAAATTACATCACCGTAGTTACTAAACAGAATTATCGAAATTCTAATAAAAAATTTTATCAATACTCGGTATTATTATAATTAAAACTAACCTTCATAGGTGTCACCATTGGAATATTTTTCGATTAGTCCGACTGTAGAGATAATTATCACGTGGTTTCGAATTCGTTTTTTCTCTCTTTCCTTCTGACCTTTACCAAAAGTGTGTGATATAAAATAAACGTAAATATTTTCAACTTATTAATCATTATAGAGTGCATGTGCATTCAAAACAATGTAGTATCTTCTACCATTTTTACTATTGTTTCTTGTAAATCTGTGTTTACTTTCAAATAAAATTAAACTTTTCAAGTCAACACCAAACATAACCTTGCTACTTGTAATTAATTATGTATTAGTTGCATTGGATTTTTATTTCATTACTTTGAATAAATTTTGATAAAAAATTAATTTTACAAAGAATAGCAAAATTCAATTATCACTTTAATTCCTTATATCGACATTTATAATTCAAATTGCATCAGTTTTAGGTTTTATAAGGATTTTTTCATAAATAAATTATAGTTTTAAATAATATGCTGTTGAACTAATTATTGGATAATTTTAGATAAATCATGGATGAATATTCGAGAGAACCATGTCCTTGGAGAATCGTTGACGACTGTGGAGGTGCCTTTACAATGGGTGCAATTGGAGGAGCAGTTTTCCAAAGTATAAAAGGATTTCTTAATGCTCCAAGTGGTGTTAACAGACGATTTGTTGGTAGTTTAATGGCTATAAAACAAAGATCACCGATCATTGCTGGTAACTTTGCTGTTTGGGGTAGCATGTTCTCTACAATCGACTGTACTCTAGTACACTTCAGACAAAAAGAAGATCCTTGGAATTCAATAATCAGTGGTGCAGCTACTGGTGGTATTCTAGCAGCTAGAAATGGACTCCCTGCTATGGCAGGAAGTGCAGTTATTGGTGGTACCTTATTAGCACTCATTGAAGGAATAGGAATTTTACTTACACGTTTAGCTGCTGATGAATTTAAACCAAGAATATTAGATCCTAATGATCCTTCACAATTAGGACCTCCACAAGGATATCCATCGTAATTTAAGCTAATCAAAAGATTAATTCTAATTATATATTTATAGTTAATTCGGTTTCACTTATTGATTTTTAAAATTTAAACAAATTTAAATAGTCTATAGGATTTCTGTTCATGTACAAGAGTATGTAATTAAAATTTATGTATATTTAGGTTATGTATGAGTTATTATTTACAATTATTGATAATTTATAATATAATTTATAATAATTACTTAAATATATAAAAAATGTTTTTTTATTTAATCCTGTTCTTCCTCTTCTTCTGAATCATCAATAGTGTGTGTTGTTGGCACTTTAAGATCTAATTCTTCAATACGTAATGGATCTTCTTCTTCTTCTGGCTCTGAGCTATTATCATCAGTGTTTCTCAGAAGTCCTGCTAAATGAAACTGTTCAACCTGAAATAAATCCAATGTTATTTGACTGATATTGCTATTATTAATTACGGAATTGATTGATTATTTCTCGTATAACTATTAACTATTCATCATTTTGAAATTTCGTTATACCTGAAGTACATGAACTTGCTCTTGTAATTGAGAAAGAAGTTTTTTTAGCGTTTCTTCTTCATTAACAAGCTCTTGACGATAATCATGAAGACGTTTCAGACGTTCCATAAGAATTTGTTTTTTCATGTTGGCTTACTAAATATTAATTATATTATTTATCAGGAACAATAAATACTTAGTTATACGATGTTTAACAAGTTGTTTATTTTAAAATACAACTGTTTTTCAATTGAACAACAACAGAGTCAATAATCCTTGTTCCAACGTCTCTAATACACCATATTCACACTTGTAAATTGTCGAACTGAGAAAAGAGGTCCTTAGTTGCTTCAATGCTGTCAGGCTCCCTACCACTGATTCTTTACTCCTTCTACCATGTTTTTTCCTATTGCGCAAGCGTACAAGAATTCAAACTGTGCACCATTTTTAACGTAAATGGCAATTTAAAACTCAAAGGCAATAAGCAAATGAATTTACCAAAATTTAGTCAGCGGAATAATTTTTCTAGATTATTCTGTTTTAGGTTATATATTCCCATGATAATTAATAATACATAAACAGAAGTGAAAGATAAGACTAAATAACCACCAATGAAAAGTTCTTAGTGAAAACGACAGTTTTCCATGCATAATTTACTAATTAATAATTTGTAATATTAGAATATACATATTGAATATAATGCTCCAAACTGGTAATAACACACAATTCTATGTAAGACAGGTACAGTAGTAACTGTATAAATTTATAATTAGAAGGCTAATTAGAAATTACTAATGAGAAGTTTTCAATTTTAGGTATGAATAAAAGCTGATAATTGTTGTAATTAATATTTAGTAATGTCATTATGTATGAGACGAGGTATGCTAAAAACCGGAAAAGAAAAAAAAGATATAACTATCACGGAGTTGTGATGATGAATTTTTAGTATCAGCGAAATAAAGACAATGTCAACACTTTTAGAGTAGCATCAAATGAAAACTGATAACAATGGATAGGGATTATCAATAAAAACATCAATAAGTATCATTATTTTATAATTTATAATTAATGGTAAACTTTTCGTCTTACAGCAATTAACCAATTGTTATTAAAAGCAATGAGAGTTTTTGATCTTACACAAACAACAAACTATAACTGTTACATTGTGTATCACCAGTATCCATCACCCTTATTAAATTACCGAGTATATTAAAAAAACAAAAAAAAAAACATTGTATAAATGATGATTTATATTTATTAACTTCTTTGTCATTGATTTCTCAATTCTTTATATCTCAGTTCATATTTTAAATAAAAAGGTGACGGATTGGTTTTAATATTTTTATTATATCTATACGTTATCCATTAACTAATATCCTCTCAATTGCTTACTTACATAAATAAAATTAATTCTATTACTATAAAGTATTTCATTCACATTTTTGAAATATAAATATGATTAATGTACACCTTTATCGCAGACTCTTCTTCTTAACTCTCGTCACTGATTCGATCAATGATTGTTGGAATTAACTATCTCAATCACTTCTCCAATCAACATATATTATCGCATCGTTATGTTGTTATTCTCACTGTTTATTTAATTATTCCAACAATTACAATCAATCATTACCAATCTTTCTATTATTTTGTCTAATATATAAACTAAAATATTTGCAATCAAAAGTGAATAAGATCGGTAAAAATTTTTTTTTTAGTTCTTAATCAATTCTTCTTTTATTCACCGTACTAAAATGTCTCTATTCCATTTAATGATAATAATAAAAGAAATAACTAATTATTGTGATTTATTATTATTATTACTTTAATCATCATTATTGTAATAGTAATATTAATTATAGGAGTAGTTAATAATATTCATAGAAGTGCTAATGTGATGATAATAATGATACAGCTGAATCTCTAGAATTATTAAACAATGTACGCAATAGCATAACAATATGAGTGGTTTTAAGTTTTACTAGTAAATATCATTTTAGAGATCCACCTGTATATAATAAATGACAATAAATTTACATAATTTGATAAAATTTACAAATTAAAATGAGTATACTTTATTTTAAAAGTATCAATTACTCCATATTTTGAATGATAATAAAATATAAATTCAAGGTACAGTATGCAGCGGTTAAAAATTAATGATTTAAGTTTTTATTCTTTTTTTTTTTCCTTTTTTTTTATTTTTCAGCTTTATGAAATATTTCATAACTCTTTATTCGATCACATAGCGGGGACAACGATAATTGGGGCTCACTTATCTTCTAATAATCTTTTTTTAACCGAATATATTATTAACACACTGTAATGAAAGTGTAGTTGATTAATTTTTAATACAGTGTAATTGAGTTAAGTTAATTATTATGTATCATGTATTTGTAATACGAACGCGTCCAGCGCATAAAAAATAAAAATGATTAATTGTATTTTAGTTTTAATAAAATCAAAACTTAATTGTTTTTAGAATTTGTTTTAAAAATAGTCACAAAATTGATTATGTATTTAAAAAAGTTTTATTTTTATGACAAAAAATCCGTATTTTCATTCCATATAAGCCCAATATTCTAAAGAATTTTTTATTCACTCGAAATAAATCATTTTATCACTGTGCGAACTCGTATTTAAAATAAATCACAAATTATCCTTTCAATGATCATTATTACATTATTGTTGAATAATATTATCGATTAATAGTAATTAATCGATTTACAAAAATATTGAGCATTTATGGATTTAACTGATTCACTATTATTAATTAAAAACTATTTCATTCAATGGTAACATACAGAGAAAAAATTAAATACCAGTTATAAACACATTGAAAGAATTAGTATCAAAGCTTTTTCAGCAAAAGTTAATATATATATATATAATAAACATATAATAGTGATAATAATATATATTATTTTGACACTGTATTTAATAAAACAAATAAAGTTGAAGAAAAAAATCTTACATTTAAACATAAAAAAGTAAAGCGGTAAAATTAATAAAAATGCTTTGGATATTTTAGCGGTGTAATATAAAAAATATATATGAGATTCAAAAATGAAAAATCTTATTTTGTATTTGAGTCTCTCTATATGCTTTCATATTTATTATAATAAATAACCATGTTATGTCTGACTCGCGATATATGATAAAACGGTTTTCACCTGACTATACTTTTTTCTTTTTTTTTTTACTTTAATTATCATGACTATTGCATTTATTGATTACAGTATGAAGACTTATTGGCTATTATAAATTGTAGTTTGTACTTGGATTTCTTTATTCCTGAGAAAGTACTTGTGAAAGGGCTCACTTAGCGTATAATAAAAATTTTAGACGGCTTATGGACGCAACTGACAATGGCTCCATTTTTAGTTTCTTTGTAATACTTTGAATTCGTAACATATTAGCATTCAAGTTTGATAAACATTTTACTTTTACATATTTACTATTTTTGTTTTTCATTTAATTATCTCATTAATGTATGTCACGCATTTATTCTATTTACATAAACGCCAATATGTTTTGTCGCCATCAGTACACCCTGTGTTATATTTATTTGTGAGGTAGTATTTGTACTAATACAATGAAATATTGTAAATGAATGAAAATATTGATATATGTCACAGTGAATCAATCGAATTCGCATAGTTTCAACGAGTTGTACAGTTATTTATAATATTATTAATGATGATGAAGTTTAATAGTTGAAAATATGATATTGGTAAAACAAATATAATTATTTTTTTTTATTTTCCTATTTGTTGAACATTAAGGGAATTATTATTTTTTTTTTTTCAGTTAAAAGGCATACAATTATTCACAAGTTGCCGAACAAATCGACTTCTATTATTTTTTGCCTTAATATGCATTATAAACACTTATTAATATTAAATTTATTTCATTTAACTTTGTACTATAAATCACGAGCGTATAGTCAACGTCCCCGTAAATCGCAGCCCCGCATTGTGATGATAATTATATCTGAAGATCGAGTATTATTGTTACTCTAAAAATAATTGCATGGATTTATTTTCATTCTAGTTAAATTATTTTTAAAAATAAAAAAATATTATATCTTAAATCACTCAGAAAAAATAATTAAATTTTATGATCACCGGTTAATTTTTCTAGCAATTAATTTAATAACAATTATACACGATCTTACACATGTACTGATGTACATTTTACAATTCTTATTTTCATTAGACATTTATTTATCATTTACTACCCAACGGTATAATGTATTCTTACATTTTTTTTTGTTTTATTATTATATTTAATTTTACTAATTATTTTATTACTTTGTATTTCTATATATGAAATGTTTTCATTTTCATCAATTTGCCCAATTTCAGTTAGCTATGACTGATGGTCTCTTTTACTATTGTAAATTACTATCTTTGTATTAGAAACATCATCCAGGAGTTTCAGGCTTCGATAAATCACAAAAAACTCCAATTATGCTAGTTTATTCATCGTATTAAGAGAATTAAATGATTAATTTGACGAGCATTACCTATTCTAAATCACCGACTTTACTCGATAACATTTTTTTGTATTTTTTTATTTTTTTAATTTTTTGTTTCATTATACTCATCACTTCATCAAATAGCTCGCAGTGAATGATACGTTAAGCTGCATCACACAACATTTATGAAAGATTTTCAATCTATAAATACATATTATATAAACAACATGCAACATATTATTTTACGATGCAATAATACAATAAATTTATATGTACAGAAGATTAACATTGGTGTGATAATCTTCTGATTCTAAGTTATTAATTTTGCTACAGCAATTATCTTATGTATAAGCTAAATGATCCGAATGAAAGGTTGATCTTAAATATCAGATATTGACGACTTTATACGGCCACATATTTAATCATTTTAACATTATGAAATGAAAACAGGTAGCCGTTAAATCCCAATTTTGTTAATTTTTTTTTAACTCATTTGTAATCATATTTCTCATGAATTTTTCTTGTATCCTGAATATGTACATATTATTGCAAAATCTTAAAAAGTATTAGAAATATCAGAATTGCTACCGTCAAGATACTTCACTAGAAGATACATGTTTTCAACAAGAATTGTGTGTAAGAATTTTCACACTTAATAATCCGCTATATATATCTATATATATTTATAATATATTATTTATTTGCTGTAAAATTGTTATAATATCATGCATAAAATGACAATTTTTCAGTAAATAAGTAACATATTGACCACCATATTTCCACCATATAAAACACATATCGAGGAATGGTGGATAAATGAAAAATCACAGTACGTAACTATGTTAACGGAAACTTACGGGATAGAAAGCTTCAGTTATAAAAATAAAAAAATTTAACTCATATACACTATTATAATGTAAAAATATATACACACATACATATATGTATATTACATTTATATATGTATGTACAAATATATATATATGTGTAGGATATCAAAATAATTAGATACCTCGAATCCTGCATTAATGCTTAACAAAACAAGTATATAACATAGTAATTATTATCGCATGTATGCAAATAAACAAAATGGTAACAAGAAAATTATGAAATTGCCTAAAGACAATATTATAACTGACTCCATTCACATTCATGTGTTTTTTTTTTTTTTTTAAGAATACATTTTTTTATGCTTTTTAAAAACATCTTTAGAAAGTAATTCATGTGAGTTTTTTAACACTCAATTTTGTTTTTTTTTTCTTTTTTTTTTCGTAATAGTCACACTTAAGTTTTTTTACATACGATACAAAACATTCTTTACAATGATTCTATAAATCATTATTTCAAACTTAGTGTAAATTAATCTATCAATCAATTAGTTTTCAGTTTTGTCAATTTTAAACTGATGTATCAGTTTTACATCAATTGTGAAAGCAATGACATATTTTTTGTCAATAGCACTGATTTTTGTTTTCGACTCTTACATATATATATATATATATATATAAAGAATTTTATGTTTTCGAAAAGAGATTATTTTAATTCGAAATTGCTCCACTTTTAAAATCTAATCGATAAGTTGTTTTTTTTTATGTGTGGTTATCATGAAATTCTACTAATTTTTTAAATGAATTATTAACTATGATTTTTCATAATTACAACTTACATATTGTTTTCCACATTTATATGGTAACGATCGTTATGAATATTGAAATATAAAATCGTGATAAATTCCTCATGCTGTGAAAAAAAGTACATATCAACAATTTCAACGCGATAATTTATTTAAATTGTAATCGCGATGTTATAGTCTTTATAGTCAAAGAATGGGCTACAGGTACGTTCGTTACTATTTTTCCATCCCTTGTTTTTCATTTTAAATAAATTCAATCATAAAAATTCTTTAAAATATTTCAATTTTGGGATATAAACGGAAAAAGCTCATTCTTTGGCTAGTGTGACTGTTTATTATTTCATCATTGTATTTTTTTATATATAGAATATATTTATATATATATTTATTTATTTATGTATGCATATATATGTTTTTTTGTTTTTTTTTAATTCAGTTCTTCTTCATTATAATGTTTCAAAGTTTATACTTATTCAAAATCCATAAACATTTAGGTGAATTAATTGTTTATGTGATAACGTTTTTGAATAAGATAGAAATTAATATAAATACGGTGATGTTAGCAATATAACTGCTATAATTGTACTTCGATATTTTGTTCAATGGAAATTCTATATAAGATATTTTTTAAAATACATGGTGGTTTTCGCCTCACCAATATAAACTGAAAATAATATGTTCATAATATCTTAACTGCAGTAATTATTTAGTTATAAAGTTTGAACATTTTCTAACATATTTCTCTGCAAAATTGAATATAGTAAAATATAGAAAACGACTTATTTGATTTTACTGATTATTGAATACATTGTTCCCAGTGTTTTGAAGACAAAAGAAAAACTATGAGGTAGTATATTGACATGTTTGGCAGATCTGCATTTGAATGGCATCTTTAACAGTTGATTGTGTGAGTTGTAGTGTTTAATATCACTTGAAAAATGTATAAAAATAACAATATTGACTATTTTATTATATATTCAGTTAATCTTTTAAATATTTATTGTTTTCTTTTTATATACTGTATTGTTTATCATGAGATAGAATCGTTGTGTGATAATATCTTGATGAACTGCAGTAACAAAAAAATTTGTAAATACTGTAACAAGTAATAATGTGATGCCAACCTGACTAGGATTATTTATATGTAACACTATCGTATGGAGTTAACATTCTGTATGGAATTATATCAATTGAACCAGAGTTTAACTATTACTTTAATAATTCTTTTCTTTTTAGCTATTTGAGATGATATATCTATGTTTCTTCTTTTTACATTTGAAACAATTTAAATATTTAAACTTCCCATGAAAGCCAAGATATGCAAATTGTGTCAAATAAATTATTTTTAAACTTATAAATTAATAAAATATCAGGTTTCTAAAAGTTTTACAGTCAAATAACTATTATCAAAATTGTAGTTATTGCTGACTTTAATATTTATACTTTACAAATTGCAGTAGAATTATGTTAAACAGCCTTGAAAGATTTTTTTTTTTAATCGTAATCTTCAGTGAAATATAATAAATTATTAATTCGATATATTACGATTAATGGTATTTGTAATATTACATTAAATATTACAAATAATTTTAACTTTATAAACAAGGAAATAATAAAAAAAAATTGTTATTTACTGCCTCATAGTAATTGGCACTCATAACATGAAATAACAAACTCGCCCAAACTTTTAGATAAGTTGGAGTATAATCCTAGGCTCAACGTTTAATAATGATAATTGTTAATTACGTATTGCTGAGTTGATAAATTTCTCTGAAAATTTTTTTATCTATATTTAAATATGGTTTTCTTTAACTATTGTGGCAGTTGTGTATATTTATATTGTATATATTATTATTATTACTATTATTATTATTATATAAATGCTTGTGAGTTTTAAATATATATGTCTTATTGGAGGCAGTCTGTCATTGAGATAACAAAATATATCTCTATAGTTATTATGTACCAATATTCGTACTTTAACTATATTTAATCAGATTTGAAGTAAAACGGAAATGCATTGGCATGTATTATGAAAAAATAAAATCACCTGAGCAAGATTGTTCGTTTAAACTGTTCGTTTTCCTTTTTGTTTATAATCATAACCAGATTCTCAAATCTGTACCCATTATTTCATTTTCAGTTATGAGTACAATATTGCATACTTATTCGATTATATTTATTTCTTTTTCACTAATTTAGCCATAATCCCTTTCATATTAATTATAATTATTTCTTAATTATTCTTTATTTAGTATCGATTATTCAGCTATACCCTAGTTATTAATTTATTGTTGTTATTATCATTATTATTACTATTATTACTGTTATTATCATTGATATTAATATTATCATTAGATTTATTGTTTTTTTTATCATTATTAATTATTAGTAGTAATAATATTAGTATTATTATTTTTATGTTTCATATAGTAGCAGTTGTTTATAATAATAGTAGTAGTAGAAGTAGGGATAATAGTAGTAGAAGTAGTAGTATTAGTAGTAATAGTACGAGTATAGTATTATCGTATAAGCAGTATTATTAATTGGTAATTAATAATAACTGCATTAATAAATTTGACCGTTGCACTTTCATTGACTAGTTTTGTATTTGTAATATTTAAATTCTCTTAGTAGCTTTCTGTATATACCAAATCACTGGATTACTTTTTGTATTTCGTTTTCGATACCTATATAAATGACACTTTCTGCGTGTATTTTTTGTTTTTTTCCTTTTTTCGATAATGATTTCTCATTGTTTTGAGAAATTTTCTGCATCGGTAAAATTCACGTACTGATTTAAAGAAAGTGAAATTCAAAGATTGTCATATTTTTTTTTTTTTTTCATCGACAAATTTGCACTCTCTAGAACATTAAGTTCTTATTTTTTTTTTTTTTTTATAATATACACAATCGACTACCTAATTTCCCTTGTATTATTATATTAAAGTGATTTTTAATTAATTAATCAATCAATTAATTAATATTCAATGAATTTGAGTAAATTATATTAAAATGCTAATATTCTTATCATGATTTACAAACTTCATAAAGTTTGTTTAAAATAAAAAAAAAAACGTAATTGCTTTAAAATTAACGAAAATTTGAAAAAACCACCATAATAAAAACGATAAAAAAAAATATTAAATATTTTTTTTTGTAAGGTGCAGGTAACTGTAGTATTCATAAAATTGTTGATCTATTATCGATCATTAGACAGAAATGTTTTTTATGAAATGTAATCTATTCATGAATCATATCTTCAATAGTAGGAGCGTTATTATATATGTAAGAAGATAATTGATTCATGATGGTACATTTATAATAAACTTGAAAAATTACTCTCTGTACATGGAATAAAGATAATGATAAACTTAACATTTATTGTGGCATTGATTCTGCAACTTGATGACCTGATGTTTGAAAGGCCTTAATGCTTATTTCATTCTTGTGTTCCCGTGCTATATGTCGTCGTACAGTATTATTTCTAGTAAATGTGCGTGAACAAAATGGGCATGACACTCTGATACCTTGATGACGTTGACGTACATGAGCACGTAAATTTGTCTCGTAGCCATAAAGACGATCACAAAAGGGACACTTTAACTTTTTACCTAGAAAAAGATACAAAAATTATATTAGACTATCATCAAATGGTATTCTTTCATTAAAATAAATTTATTAACTTTTAAAACTATTTTAATTACAAGAAGTAGAAGTTGAAGGTAATGAAATGAAACAGTTTTAATCAATTGTATCATAATTGTTCTCAAAGAATTCATTTTAAATAGAATCAAAAAGAAAGTTCATCAACTAATTATAAGATGAAGTTAAAAAACAAATTGGATAATTTTTTTTGTTTGAAGAATAGAATATTATAAAAGTTAGAAAAAGAATTGATGATGTAGTTATTTTAAGTATCAAAAAGCCCTTAGGTTACTAGATAATTTGAAAGAGAAAGTAAAAATTGGATTCAGAAAATAACAAGGGAGTTATTAGAACACTTAAAATTTCATAAAAGCCAATTTGTAAGTTTATCATATAATAAAACGATTAATGAATAATGAATTTTATAACAGGTGTATATGTAGTTTTTTGTATTTAATAGGTCAAAAATATATTGAAGTTGGCGAGTTAATAGACTAATAGTTAACTTCTATATAAACCAATCATGAAACAATTAAACTAATAAATTCTAGCGGATGAGATGGTGGGTCTAAAGGTGTTTCATTGGTTGTCCTTGAGGATCATATGCAGCCCATAAGTTCGTAACGTATAGAACACCACCAAATATCTTGGCATGTGTGAGATGAGCTTATATGCAGTAATATGTGGTGGTACTACTGTCTTTCGATGAATACAAGCCTAAAAATAGATGTTGACCATCATAGAAAAATTCAATGTAATGGGGACATGGCTCACGGCATTTCGTGCAGCTGACTATGAAATTTACAAAGGATAGACAAATAATCACTGTGAGGAAAGAAGATGGTATCACTATTGTTCTAGATGTGGTGATAAAAAAAATCCACCGACAATAGCACATCAAATTTACTTGTTATTATTATTAAGAGAAAAATTTTTTTTCATAGAATAGATATTCAAGTTTCTAATTATTCAAATGAAATTAGCTATTTGAATAATTCACGAAATGTTGAGTGTTAAGATGTTCTTAAACGTACAATTAAGTATAATAATATATTTATGTGTAGATATATACATATATCTATCTGTGCTTAGTGAATGGCCTTGAACATTATTCATAAGTATACCTTACTATATGTGCTAAAGGTTGTAGGACTTCTAGATAGAAAATATAGTCAACGAATTTGTTGAGAGAGAGGAATAGATTGAGAAAGACATAATATAGTTATAGTCTTTGAAAGAAAAAAAAGTAGCAGCAGGAAGGCCAGAAAAATAGAAAGGTTAAATTATGAAGTAATGCGTTAGAATCAAGGTCTATCCTTACTACTTAGTTAAATATTCGGATCTAAGGTTCTCTATCTAACTGTACTATAAAAAATTCTCGCAGCAGTTATGCCAAAAAAAAAAAAATCTTATCTATCGTCAATTATATGATAATATATTTTTTTTTTTTAAGATGTTAGAAAATAAATTTTTTTTTTGACATTCTCAGGAATTCAAAGGCTTGTAATTTTAAAAAATTAGCCATCAATTAATTTATAAATAATCATTTTTATGCCTCGGTAGATTCTATCTTGGTATTTAATTGACATTGACATTGAAAAGAGATTTGAATAACTTACTTTATTGAGATTTATTGGTATGTAATTTATATCAAAGAGCATAAATAACGTCATTAGATAATGTTTATCAAGAAAGAGAAGTCATGAATTTTATTATAATCTTTTTCATTTTTATTTGTATATTTGAGAGTTTGAGAGCTTTTTGAAAAATTTGTTGTGAAATTTATTCATAATATGTAAAAAATTAATTATTAAAAAGACTAGAATAAATATTTTTAATATATTTCTGTGCTATAATAATAGATAAAATATTTAAAATTATTTGAATGATAAAAAAAAACAAAAAAATGATTGCTATTTTTATTCATAAAATTAGAATGAATAACTTCATTAATTCTATTCCCAATTTAATGTTTGAATTAATTTCATCTTTAACACGTTGAAAACAAGCACCGGAAGCAAATAATTTTTAAAAAATTTTCAGAAGCACTAATTAATCATCAAGTAGTACAAATAGTCGGTAGAACTATTACTCCAAAAATGTTATGATAATTTTAATTACAAAAGTAATTATCATTTATCAGTAGTTTTAATTTATTAAAAAAAAATATTTGTTATTATTTAACGTAAATTTACCAGGAAATTGATTAAATAAATAATTCCCTGGTTTTTGGTCAATAAAAATTGACAGGGCTAACAAGACTAATTTTTTATCATGCAACTACGAAAGCTCGTCGCACAATTTCTACTCTGCGATCAATACACGCCACAAGGTTACCATCATACCTCGAATAATATTGTTATGATGTGACTGTACGCCTATGCATGATTTATTAAAAGCATTGTCTAAAAACCATACTGAATAAATTTACTTCGTACACTTATTATTAATTCATCAGTTTTCTAATTTTTTTCTATTTATTTATTCTAGAATTGTAGATATAACCACCACTTTAATAACTACCCTAAATACTAAACTACCCCATTACAATTATTTCACAAAATTTTATTTTTATCTCAATGATATTAATTCACAAATATCAAAAACTCATTGATTAATCATCAATAAAATTATGCCCTTGACAATGAATGATATCAATATATCTAAATCGTATTTATTCGAAGAAAAAGTATGAATAATCAAACATACATAAACATTGAATCTCCCTAAATGCTGACTAGCATGTGGTGATAACTATTTTATGGGGGATTGACATGAAAAAAAAAAAGATAAATACAGAAATTGCATTATTATTTGAGCATTAGTATTAAAACAGTAAAGTCTGAATGTCATTTTATATTCATAACATATTTTTTATTCATCACTGAATAATAAAATTGCTTTCATCCTTCAACAAGAATTACTTTGCTGGAAAAAAAACTAATTCATCAATAATAAGAATAACTGCATTACTGTAATAAAGTGGATATTTTAATAATGTAGGACTGGACAACGTGTGCTTTTTAGAACTCAGTGAGAAGGGTTGCTGTTAAGAGCTCAGTAAAAGTCGCTCGTTGCCCAGCCCTGATGTAGGAAATAGGAAAATTCTTTGTTAAAGGCAAAAGAGAATAAACAAATATGCCTGGAACCCCTTTCTTGCATTCATCTATTGATCTGCTTACCCTATATTGGTTAATCCGTTTACTTAATACCTGTCAGATTTATCTACTAAATGATCTCGTATATATGATTATTTAACCAATCAGATAAAAATGGCTATCTTGAGTTTACTTTAAGGATACTACTGTTGTTACTTATATTTATAAGAAAGTAACATAATTATTACTTGCAATTAATTATTTATGCTAATTTCATTAAATTTATCAAAAGAAAACTAGCATTTTTTAGTTTTTTTGATACTGGAAGCTATGTAAATAATTTAATGAGAATGTAATGTTGCTGATGAAAAAAAGATAATTAAGAAATAATAAGTAGTTAACTTACCATCTGGTGTAGTAACTGTCCCAGCTTTATTAATTTTTGAATTCCATCTGGCTGGAGTTGTTGGAGCTGGGCTTAGGTCAGGTGTAGGAGGATGAGTTAACGGAGCTGATCCTTGGCTGAATGGTGTTAAGTTATGTTTATGATCACCAACTAATTCATAACTACTTGGTTCATATACTCTTCCTGCCGGATACACTTCACCAGATAATCTTTCTACCAATTTTTCAGTTCTTTCCCGATCAGTCATCACTAATGGTTCTTGTTTTATTCGTAAATCTGTAGCAGTGAGTTCTTGTATCAATGCATAGGATTCATTTGCAAAACATTCACAAATTGTATACATTTTTTTTTACAACTACCTTGCATTATCAATAGATAAAAAATCATAATTTTTATCAATATAAAACTTTTGCAAAATCATTCTTAAGCTGGTTTTTTATTTGCTTAGGATTGTGCTTTAGAATTTGAAAAAATTATTAGATAATTTATCCCAAGATTATTTAAGGTAAATAATAAAATATTAAGACATTACCTTCAGCTACTGTTTCCTTATGTTCACCATTATCTTTCTCATCTGACCTAACTCTCTCCAATTCTCTCTCTAATTCTGTCGGTGTGTGAGGTGCAGTATACGAATGAGTCACATTTTCTGAGGGATGTGTGAAAGGTTGATACAAATGATTTTCTAGTAATAATGGATGTGGTGCTGATGCAGGTCGAAAAGCTGCTCCATCTCGTAACACGCTTACTCTTCCAAGGGTATCAATTTCACTGGGTGATCTGATTTAAAGACCAAGCATTAAAATTAATTGAGGAAATTAATTATTAAGTTTATGACATAAAAATATTACCTTATTAACCTCGTCCTCTTCTGAGGACTTTCATAGTAGTGAGTTGAATTATAAATATTTGGTGCTGTGTAATTTGGTGATGGTGATGATGTTGAGGTTGATTCTTTCTTCATCACCCTACTAGTAGTTTCTGATTCCAGCACTTCTGCATTACCATTACCCGATTCTGTTGATGAGCTATTATTTTCTGCTGAACGGGTGTGTGCTACTGCCAACTTTTCATGCTCAATAGACAAACCTTTTACCTGTTTAATCACATTATTTTTTACTTTAAAATATTAATAAATATTTAAATAATTCTATTAATTACATCGTGTGATAAAAATTCTATTAATTAAGAAAATAATGGAAAATTTTACAGCATAGTATTTATATTAATGTAGCAAAATTTAGGCTACAATAAATACTTATTTCATTATATTATATTAGAATCAACTTCCTCATTTACTTAAAATTTATTTAGCATTATTTACAGAATATGTTAATATTGCGTTTTCAACGCAAATCAATGCGTGACTTAACTTTGCAAAGTTTTGTTCTCAAGCAGTATAAAATTGCGTGATTAATCAAAATTCTCTAACATTTGCATAACAATGTCAACTTATTCAACTACCCAAATGATTTACTGTTACTTTTTTTTTTTGTATTATATAATAATAGATGATAATAAATAACATTGAATTTTTCCAATATCCGGAAAGTATTCCATAGAAAGTATTCTAGAAAGTGCTTCACGAATTTAAATAAAATTTAGGTTTTTACATTTTCTCTACTTTTTATTGCACATCATTAAATGTAATCTTAATTTCTTTTACCATTTTACCATTTGAATCATTTATTATCTCTATTAAATTAAGTGAAAATATAAAATTTGAAAACAAAACTATCACTTTATAGAATTAAATCAAATATAAAATTCAACTTGACTTTTCTTTAAAAAATTGAATATTTAAATAATTTCTATCACAATTAGTTCACTTGATGTGATTAAATCTACTGCTATCATCCAGTTTTTTATTAATAAAGTATACACTGCTTTATTAAAGGCAACCGCAGTTATATTGAATAATAGCTTTATCTATTTAATATTTAGTAACAGTTATATTGTGTAATGAAAACTATGATAAACAAAATATTTAATACTAGTGTTTTAGAGTAATATTTATTCAGTAAATGATTTATTTAAACAAAGAAAAAAAAATCTGTTTAATCACAACAAGGAAATATATTTACTTTGAAATTATTGAAGGAAAGAATGTAATTTTTTTTTTTTCTAAAAAATTTAAAGAAAAAAATCAACATACTTGAAGATATTCAGCAGCCTTCAAAAAGGAGCTGAGTGATTCTTGAGAAACATGAACTTCGCCTCGATACATAAATTCAAGAAGAGAAGCCATATTATGTGCACTAGTACCGTCCAAAATGACAATAAGTCCAGCAGGAGAAGGCGGCATACTCTCAAAAAGCTCTTGAAAATGTTTACTACATGCTGCTAATATTAATTTATGTGCTTTAAACGTTATTCCTGTAACAATAAAAAAAAAACTAATTAACATCATTGCCTTAAGTTAAAGAATTTTTTGTTCAATAAAAAAAACTCTATATAAAATCGTTGATAAATTGATTAAATGCATTAGAATGCATAATGAATATTTTAAAATGATAAAAAAAGAAATCGTGATGAATTTTTCAAAACATTAGTCATATCAGAAAGATATGAGGAGTGTAAAAAATGCATCAATATTAATAATAGTTTTATATTTGAAATTCTCATCGAATTATATCATTGTATTACATTCACCTTTCTCTGACATACTTATTCACTTCGTACACGTGTATGTAGTCATTTGTATAGATGATAAATTCACTAGATATCAAACACTCATTTATTCAACAATGATTACTATGTCTAAAATAAATAAGTCAAAAAAATTTTGAAATTATTATTACTCTAAATATCCTTTTAGTTGCTAAATATTTTTATTTTTTATTATTAATTTGATATTAATTTCTCTACTTACATACTTTAATGAATAATGCAAAAATTATTTTATAAAATAAAAGAGAGATATTTTGTAATTTAATAATAAGTAATGATGGCAATATAGAATTAAAAATATTTGTAAGTTATCAGAAATGATAACTTAATGAATGTAAAACAAATAGATAGAATTGAATATATTTTATCACGTATGGTAATGATCAACAAATGTATACTGATGATCATATTTAAAATATGCAGCCATCCATAATGAACACTAGGTCTTTGTTCGATAATTATAATTTACTATTTGAGTTCTAATTTTTTTAAAATACGATTTTTAATAAAGTAAACATAGTTTGTCGATATTTAATCTGACAAGATTTAAAATTTTGAAGTTGAATTAAATTAAATTTTAGATAAACTATTAATTATATAATTTAAGGAATTAATCAAAGCTCCAATTCTGAATGATGGAGCTTTAATGTAATATTAAACAGGATAAAAAATTTATCTATCATCTTTTTGCATTATTTAGAATGAAGATTTATGATAAATCAATGATTTAATATTTTTTCTAACTAATCTATATAATTTGATTGCATTGAATATTTTAGTATGAGCTAGAAATTTAGTTGCTTAAATTTCAGCAACTGAAAGTGATTTATAAGCATGAGTTTTGAAAATTCCCACTTTCATACACGCCTGTCTGAATAATATCTATTTGTATCCCTAGCAGTTTCAATTCTTACTGGCTGTGCTGTACTGTACTACATCTACTTAAGAATTTTTGCATCACAATTATGTACTCTCTGTTCTCAACAAGCTAGACCTAAAAATATAACACAAGTTAACTACCAATATTTTATCTTTAATTAATGTGATTTTATTTATGATAAATAATTAGACTTTAACTGATAATAAATAATTACAGTATTTTTTGGGGGTACTATAATGATTTTGATGTTCAAAAAATAATAAAAAGAAGTTGGTTTATAAAGTTGATGAAGAATGTAGGCTTGAATGTAGCTACTATGAAGTAGTGAATAATAAAGTTGGATAAAAAAGAAAGATAAATCTGTTACATCAAGTAGTAAATATAGCAAAAAATGGATCCTTGTTGAAGTAAAGAGAAAAAAGACATTAGTGGAAGATATATTAAAAGTAGCAGTTGTGAATACACCTTGTTCTGCTAATCAGAAAAAAAGATTCTTAGAGCGGGGTCAATGTGCCAGCAAGGCCGTTGCAGAGAGTACAAAGGCCCGCACGCTGAACTTTTTAAGTGGCCAATTGTCATTCGACTTCCTTTAAGTTCGGCCAATGGCCGCGTGGGACCAAGGCCATACTCTGCACATGCTGCCTATTGCAGAAATGAGAGAACGATGAGTCGAAAGATGCTTATGAGTTTATTCCACTCCGTCCACCGACCAATCTATTACATCACTATTTCATAAAAATAACTGCGTATAATATCACTGGAGTCAATTATAAAATGTGCGATACATGAGGATAAAGTTTATTTATTTTATAATAACATAATTTTTGAGAGATTAGCTAATTAATAGATCAACATAATCTAAGTTAAATTAAAAATAACATTTTTTTTCTTTCGTTTAAAAAATTCTATCAATTTTTTTGATCAATATTTTAATTAAAAAATAAAATAGGAAGCAATTTTTAAAGAAATTTTTTAAGATGTCCACCTTTTGGTGTGTATTGATTATTCTAAATGCACTGAGAATAGTTCGTCTAAAAAGTGTACTAAAAATAAAAGAAAGATGTAGTCTACACACAGACGTTATAACATTGATAAACTAAATAAAGAAGCATGAAAATAGATTGGGTATGTTCTAACATTGTAGTTGAAAAATTCGTATTAAAATAAAAAATAGTTTGAATTTAATTGCATCAGAATAGTAAGTGTTATTTCTGAAAATATGTTACTATAGAGTTTATTGCTTGATGTAACATGATGCTTGCGCATATAAAAGCAGTTTTTGGCGCCCACGTGTGCTTCTTATTACTCCACAGAAAACTTCAAGGTTACAGAAATGGGAAAGAAAGAGGGGGAAAGCTAAGAGGGGCTGTTGCACTCTATTCGGCGAACTATAATGTATGTCACGCGTGTTCGTCCGTGAGACATGTTGATCCAATAGGAAGGTTTGACTGCGAATGCGTGCGTTGAACTCCCCCTTCTCTTTCTCTCTCTCTCTCACACACTTCAACTTGCTGACAGATTCTATCCGATTTGAAAATTAACTAACGCATATACCCAAGTATCAATACTGTATTGACACTTGCTAGCTATTCATGTATATAAAACAATCAAATTATAATTTTATCTATGTTAGTACTGTCACTTGTACTAGGATATATATATATTCGAATATAAAACCATCCATTTTTGAACCCTTCATTTAATTATTGAAATTATTAGCATTTTTTATTTGTTAGTTTCATTATTTTATTTGTCAATATAAGACTGAAGTTTTAATAAAATAGTTGAATTAATTAATTAAGATTCATTTTGTATTTACAAATTTTAATGGACAATTAAATTTTAAACCAAATCTGTTTCATTGAAAATATTTTTAAATATTTATTTATTAATTTATGCCTAAAACTTTTATTGATTTTTACCTTTGACATAAAAACTATAGCCATCTTTATAAATAAAAAAAATCTTGTAATAATTATTATTAATAAATAATAATTTCATCATGTTGAGTGGTAATTTCTTCTATTTTGAGGCTTTTATATATTTTCAAAATAAAAAAAAAAAATTATTTATAACAATGTCCAAAAGCCATTTCTATTTTTATTAATTACTTATGATAAAAATGGTAGAGTTTTACAAAATAAAATCATAAGTGATAACTTTTTTTTTAATATTATTGTTTGATTATAATTAGCAATTTTTTAAAAATTTAGAAATCATATCAATAAAAAAAACTGATTATATTATAATTTAATTTTCAACGCACATGACATATATATATATATATCATTGTTCCAATTGAAGCTCAATATAAATCTAATCAGTCATATCGATTAATTGTATTAGACGTCAATTGATACGTTGCACAAATATTAATTAAATAAAATTAACAACTATTGTGTTCTGTGGAAAGATGAATGGTCACAGTTACAATAAAAAAATAGGAACAATATAAAAACGTAGTAAATGAAATGAATTACACTTTTTATGATGTAATATTTATGGAAAGAAAGAGTGAGTAAAAATTACTCTGCCATTGAGTGTAATTGAGGCAATGTGCAGTGACACAGAAACAATAAAATTTACCTGGCAAGATCAATATAATTTATTCATTTTGATCTAGGATTGCTTGTTTATTTTTAAATTTATTTTACGAATATACTTCACTTGAATGTGAATTTTTTTTTAATGTTAAAAATAAACACATAGAAATGTATTATCATCTCTATGAGAAAGAATAATTATCTCATTGCTTGATACCTTTTTTTAATAAATTTTTTTATGTGTAAACAATATTCAAAATTCTAGCTATTTTTATCTTATGGAGCAGAAAAAATTTTTTCTATAGAAATAGTAATAATAATTTTAAAAAAATGAAAAGTCCTTTCCTGAGAGGAAAATTGAGTAAAAATGCACCTTCTATACAGTGTAATTGTGGTACACTGCACAAGAATGGTAAAATTTACTGTATAAAAAAGAGAATGTTACTATCTTTCAGTGTAAATGAAACTTTTTCTGTGCATTGTACCACAATTACTCTGCACGTCAGGAAGTAAGATCAATATTAGCATTTAATTATTCTTTTACGCAGTGACATAAAAAATTATTGATAATAATTTTGAATTTTTAGGTAATTATATTTCGTATACAAAAAAATAATAGCTGAATTCACTAGCATGTGCATCTGTGTAAAGATGATGTGTATGAATAAGACTATTTACTAAGTAGATAAAAATTTCATAGAATATTACTGATATATCTAACTTAATATGTATGTAATTCTATAATGGTTTTTTTTGTATAAAGAATGACGTTTATTTGAATTGAAATTTTATTTAAAAAAAAAAATTTAATACATTAAAAATATTTTATTTCAATATCAATAGAGGACTGAACGTAAAGTGAATTGGGAAATATTTTTTAAACATACTCAATAATTTTATCGCCATTATTATTATCAGCATGGTTGAAATTATGAATAAATTAATGGAATATGCTGAAGTAAAAAATGATTTAATTAATGATGTAATTTGGAAGTAAATAGACCAATAAATAATCATTTATGATCATCAAAATGTTAACATTAGAATAATTTTTATACTTTGTTTATTATTTTTAACTAATATTTTATTTATTATTTTCCTTCGCACTATCTTATCATTTTTTTTAAAGCTTTTTTTTTATTTATTCACTGATAATTATGACAGATCCAAAAAAAATTGACATTTGCAAGTTCAAATGAATGTTGACTGATAAAAAATGACAATAAAGAATTGTATTCGAAAATGACCTAAATTTTGGAGCACGAAGAAATAGACGAATCTTATTGATTAGAATCAAAATTTTTTCATTGACATCTTGATGAAAGTTTCATGATGACTTCGATATTAACTCAGGATATTCAAAGTGAAAAGACTGATGTTAATTTTAATAAAATATACATAGCAAACTTATCCATTTATTTAAACGTCATATTCATAGCTGGGTGAGTTAAAAATATTTGAGTTTAAATTTTCTCACTGTGATTGAAATTCTTTCACACATCGGGTGTGTTATTGACATTCGACGGTTTTTTGTTGTGAAACGCTGGGATTACCAGGTAATTTTTATAATGATAGGTAAAAAAAGAAAAAAAACATTAATAGCTAGCTTGAAAAAAAAAAAATCAAAAAAGGCCTAATAAATGTTTGATTTTAAAATGCATATAAATTATGTGATAAATTATAATAATTAAAAAGATGAATTTTGTAATATTTTATCAGATTAAATTCAATTTAATCTCAATCTACATTTCTATAGATATAAAAAAATAATTTATGTTTAGAATGCACTTTAAAATGAATTTTTAAATACAGACAATTAAAAATAAAAGTAATCAGAGCATGAAAAAAAAATGAAAGTATAATCTTTATGATGACCCAATAATGCATTTTATAAATTTAAATATCACTAAAATATGTTCCAGTAGCTTGACCAATTAGTCAATGATAAATCATTTTTCTTCAATGCAGTGAAAGTTGATTATTACAAATGTAAAATCAATAAGAACATAAATAATGATATTATTCATCAAATTACATAGATCTTTATGTTCCAGGAAATTTATTAAATTTATTCAGTAAAACTGTTTTGATAATAATAACCTTGAAAAGCTAATAAAAATCATTCTTTTTCAACGATTCAACATTACATAAAATAACTTTAAAAGTTGAAGTATTTTATGAATGAAAATTTATTCATTGTTAATAAGAAACCAAAGAATAAAGTATATCTTTACCAAACATGAGTTTCATTTTAAAAAAAGTAATAATTTCTGAGAGTGTAGAAAAAAAAAATCATCAAATAAAAGATCTATTTTTCTAAAGTGTTCCAATACTTAACCAACTTATTGGCTACATTTATCTTATGTTGGCCAAAATGTTAACCTAATTGTATACCAAAAACTGTTCCCCTTCAAATAAATCAGTATTGGTGAATACATAGTTATTAGAACTATTCTCCTTTCGACATAGAGCAGAGTTAGTATTTGTGAATAGTACTGTTAGATATAACTGTAACCTAAACCTACTTAGAGCAGCTTCTTTCAAGTCAAATAATTCGTCTCATCAAATAGAACGACATTTTTTAGCTGTTGCAACTTTTTAGCTGATTAACAGGACTAATTCAATATTATTCATTGAGAGAATTTGATTGAAAAATTGATACATGACTGGAAATATTTGTCAGATAAGCAGCTTGTTGATTATTGGCTTATTTTATCTCGTGATGGATTCATTCATGGTAATATCAGTGAAAAAATATGTCAGTAAAAGTAAAAATAACTGGATTTAAAGTAGATCATTGCCCTAAGTTGGATAGTTATTTGCAAAGCAACATCAACCCACAAAAAATACTTTTATTTCTGTTAGAAATAAGTTTTCTTTTTCAAGCTTTGATGATTCTGAGTTTCATTAGAATTCATTTAACCTTATTAAAGATGATAGCATGCTAAAAAATATTATTATTAAAATTATTCTAAAATAAGTATAAATATTGATATAGAAATTTTTAAATCAAATCCTGTGCTATTTTTTGTGAGTTGAATTGATGATAGCTTTGAAGATTGCCTTCTTTATTTTTTAGATGTTAAAAATGATGATCATGAATAATTGAAAGTAACATACCTTCACAGAATAGTGTTACATCAGTAAGACTCTCACTTTTGAAAAGATTTGAAAATGCAGTAGCTAAATTACTGCCAAAACTATTCCACTTGAGACAAAATTGTTGTTGGTGAGAATCCATGATGCCACCCTTGAATCTGGGCTTTTCGCCACTTCTATCACTGTAGTCCTCCGGCACTATTTTATCTTGTCGATCACACGTGAGTCCTATGGCTTCCCCAACTGAAAAAAGAAAAATACTGGCTGATGAGATTTTCCAATTTCCACAATATCGACATATATTAAAATAACCCACAATTTAAAAAAAAAAATCTTAACGTTATAAGAAAAAATTTTGTATGAAATTTTGAAGGCTTGGTGACTTTCTTGATGGTTTAGTGATTGAAATTTAAAATGAATATATTGTGAAATGTCAAAATACAATGGTAATTCTATTAGAGAAATACACTTGCACAAATTACATTTTATTTGAATTTAAAAAAAAGTGAAATTTTTTTAAGAGATTTAGCAGCTATAAAAATGCATTTGATAAAGAAGCCAATGAATGAGTAGTTTAAAAACATTAAATCTTTTGATAAAATTGTTTTTATCATTTTTAATAGAATTATTACTTATAAAATAATTTTAATAATCATTGTGCTCCAAAAAAATATTTACAGTAAACAATTAATTAATTTAAAAGTAATATTTTAAATTGTTTCAAATTTATTTTTATTCGTTTTTTTTTCTGATAAAAACAACGAAATTTCTCATTGACCTCAATTCAAGTGATAATAGATTTTTAGAAAACATCAAATTTCACAGTTTTGGAAATTAAATAAAGAACTTTATTGCTAAAAAATGATTAGTTTAAACTAACTAAAATAAATACATAATCCCCAAAAAATAATTATAGTTTCACTGTCACTTATTTCTAACAAAAATTATTTCTTTCAAGCTAATAAATCTAATAAAAAATTCAAGACAATACCACACCAAAAACGAAACCCTAAAAATCATCAAAAAAAAAAAAAACAAAAATTCCTAATACCACCTGAAGCCTAAAAATTGAATGCATTCATCAATCAGCCAAGAAAAAAAAATATCTAAATTTCATTAAATATTAAAAACAGTTCTAAGAAATCTTATATCATTGTTATCAATCAAGAAAATCAAATTAAAACCAGTGATTAAATCATACCATGTAGTTTACACAGATCGATAATGTTTTAAATACATTTTAAAGATGACATCAATTAACTAAATATTACTTAATTCCACCTATCAACATAAAAATAGCCTTTTTTTTAAGAAAAGAAAATACTACATTCCATCCTAAAGAACCTTCTCTATCCATTATTCTCTCCAAGTTCCTAGTAAGTGAATCATTCAGGATTTCATGTCTATAATACTATGCAGTTTTGTTCTCCCGAAAGGTGTTCTTTTTTTTTTTAATAAATATAAAGTTAAAAACAATATTAAAGTAATCAAACACGAACAGTGTAACAGTAATAATAATAGTCACATAGAAAAGAAGGCGTTAGTAGCAGCTATGATAGCAGAGGGAGAGCTCAAGGTCATTGCGAGGCCGCACGCGCGGGTTTATCTCACAAATACATACACCGGCTTCGTTAATATGACATTCGTAGTGTGTTGCAGCATCACATATGTTTACACGCAGGCACCCACTTCCTCCATCACGTCACCACTGACACAATCATGAATACCCGGTTTCTATACTTATTTCGCGTTATTATAATATCTTGCCTGCAATGAATGTATTTACTCTGTCCAAAATATTAATGCATTATTACAATATTATCATAATTGTTAAAAATATTAAATACAAATTAAATGTTAATATAAACTTACACGAATTATTGTAAAATATTTTGATTGAAATCAAAGCAAGGTTGTGTAAGTTCAAACTTTTTATTATAAAAAGAAGATCGTATGATTTTTTCAGTTGAGTAGAAAAGTCAATATAATTAAACTTATTGTAGTGTGCATAACACCGATTGTTTATTTTAGAACACACACCTTATCTTTATTTGTTTTATAATTTATTTTAAACATTCACTATTTAATATAAAATATGTACATTTTACGAATACAAATCATTTGATCTTATAAATGAGAAATTATAGAGCGTAGTTAATAAAAAGAAAGGTCAAAATAAAAAACCTGTACTATAATTCCTGGAGACAATATATATATATATATATATATATATATATATATATCTTAGTAAGTGAATTAGAAGAATTACATGTATCCTAAAGACTTTCTACATAAAACAAATTATGTCAACTGTCAAACATTGTTTATATTTGTTCTCTTTTTTTTTTCCTTATTCTCATGAATTCACTAGTACATACATTCCACCGAAATCCTTTTTACTTTCTACATTCTAGATAATAGATTTGAAGAATAATAAAAAGAATAATCATTATTTAAATGTCGTGTAAAAAAATTAGGTCATGAGAATTGGACATTAGGTAGCTTAGAAACTGGTAATTTCCAGTTGACTTTGGAGAATGAAATATCTTAGCAAAGTTAGATGATATATCAGCATAAATGTGATGAAAAAAAAGGAAAGAAAATGAATATTGATGAGAAACTTACGAACAATGAAAAATAAATAGGTATAAATGATGCGTTGATAGTTGAATTGCACCTGATGATGATGATAGTAATAATAATATTATAAAAATCACTGCACTTAAATAGAAACGATTTAATAAACTTTTACACCGAACTCTTTTTGTATGCTCGGCTCACCTGTTCTTTCGACCATTCGCCGTATCGTTTGAAATAAAAACTAAAAAGCCGCGCAACCAAGCGAGCGGATAAACCAGGTAGTACGAGCGCAACGAACAAAGCACGTGGACGCGCGGGAAACAGCGTCAGAAGAAAGAACGACTTGGTTCACGTCATAGTTGAAGAGACGCAACGCGGAAGTGTGCTGCGGCTATGGGACTGGTGGTCGGCCTGCGAATAGGAAACGCGGTATTGGGTCGACGTGTTGTAGATATACCGCTAAAAAGAGAAAGGAGATGAAGAAGAAAAGAGAAAGAAACAACTAACTACAGTCTAACTGTAATCTCACTCACTGATTCTTCTTTTAGTGTCCTCGTTCGCACTGTAACTTCAATTATTACAACGTTTGGAACCATGACAGTGCAGTACCTACATGGTAACAGGATTTCGCTTTTAATCCTACTATTTCTTATTAGGTGACATCCTTATTCTTTATTCTGATATGATATCTATTTTATTTATTTCAACGAAATCTACATTTATTTAGGAATGCGCAGGCCTACCATTTTTGGAGAACAAACATTATCATTGCTTTTTTGAATATTTATTTTTATTTTAAATTTAAGAGTTTATTTGATTTTTAATTAATTTTTTTCCGTTTTTTTGTATTTTTAGGTGATTAGGAATTATTTTTTTTTCTTGAGATTATAAAGATGATGATTAAATATGCTTTTGTTCTTGTATTTTATCTAGTAAAATGTTCTAATGAACAATCATATTGCTCATTCTAGAATTAAAATGCTTTTTATATCTCTTAAAATTCGAATAAAAAGATAGAGATTTTTTTTATTTGAGTAATAAACATTTATTTGTTGATCTTAGATGGATTGGCTTTTTTTTTATCTTACTGCAGTCAAAATTGTGTTTAGTAACTTATTCTCCTAATACGAAGTGTTTAGTGAATCTTATCGTCATTAAGATACCAGAAATTATAGATAAAGAATATTAACCCCCCGGTTACATTTTTTTTTCGACAATATTGCATTAATATTGATGTTGACAAAATATTTAATCACCTCTATCGATTATTTAATAATACATTTCGTAATCATCATAATTTATTCACATTTATCATTATTATCATCAACCTTATTTATCATCAAAAATATTCACAATTTATCCATATAATAATTAATTACAATAAATGGTAAATTCTAATGGATGACAATCATTAAAATATGTTATTTTAAAAATGATATAAAATACTAGAATATTGTAAAAAGTATTGATTGTTATAAGAATAAAATCTCTAGAATATTTATTATCTTATTTAAATTTAGTAGTGTGTGAAAATAGAAATAATAACGACAAAGTAATTACAACCAAGTAAGCACAATATGACATGTGATTCCAAGTGTCTTCCACACTCTGTTGTCACCAAAAAGAAGAATTTTGAAGTCAAATCGATGAATATTAAAATAAACTTGAAGTTTGGTCTTCTTTCAAAACGTATTGAATGAAGTAAATGTCAAAATCGATAAGAAAACTTGACTTGATCAAAAAATAAAAAGAAAACAAAAGTTGAAGCAGCTTCGTAGTCTTGTTGAGTTATTTACAAGTAAAAAAATTAAGACGTCCTGATATTAAAGATTAAAGATACCTGGTGAATGAAGCCACCATGAATTGGCCGGTGGTAGTTGTTGATAACTCAGGCCGTCACCAGAAGGGGCGTACATCCTCCCTGGACTACGTCACGCCCGTTACTGCTATACGCAGCTTTTACTTTCTCCACTTTTACGTTTAGTAAGGGCTGTTTTCACCCCTCTACAATATCTACTTGCTTCCCTTCTTCCTCTCACGTACGAAGGGGGTTGCAAGGTTACTGCCAGTTTTCCATCTTCTATTCGCTGCCGTCGCTTTGTCGCCTTTGCTACCATCATCACTGCCTCCAACGCACCCCTTGCATCACGTCTATATACACACGGCCGATATTCTCCCTTGAACCTGTGTAGTACACTTTCACTGATGAACACTACGTATTTTAGGGTGCGCGCAGTTCGATAAAATATATTGCAACTTTGTCCAACTGCAATTTAGCCCTTTTTGCACATTAGGAACTCGTGATTTCATTGATCACTGAATTCAATTTATTTCCTTGCCCAAATAACATTTAATCTTTATTGAATAAATTCTCCTTCAAGTTGGTCTCTTTTTTCTAATCAATATTTATGCAATATTGTTGCAAAAAATTTTCTTAACATTCTAGAAGTTGTTGTTTATATTATTATTACCCTGGAGTATTAGAAAATGCTGAAATACATCAAGGATAAAAATTCAATGTCAAAAGTGAGATGAAAATATTTTTTAATTGGAGGAATTGAAGCAAAAGTTGATTGCAAGAATATATCTACACCGAAAGAAGCACGATACGCTCCTGTTTTCGAATCAATTAGGAAGGGAGAGAAGTTTGCAGCCCTTGCGTCCCTGAGGGTGCGCATAGAGGCATCGCCAAAATTCTGCTGGTGATTCTCGTATTTTCAGAGGTTTGCGAAATACCACGCAATAAAGTTAGAGAACCTAGATATTAGAGGGAGTGAAAGAGACAGGTTTGAGAAAGATGGAAAGAGAAAGAGAATTGGCAAAAAAGAGTGAGAAGCAAAACAGAAAGTTAACAAAAATGAAAGAGAAAACTATTGACGAGGGTGGGAGATGATATCGAGTAACGTGCACCCAGCAACAGCCCCGACCTCGGAAGAACTAATCATTAACCTCCTTCTAGACGACAAACTACTGACTCGCACGCTATATTCTCCATTTACTTTCACCTGCGTCGAGTCCACGAAATCATGTGCGCCACATTCATCCCTACAAGTTCAAACCTTTACAATTTTTATATATACAGAAATATTCATCACTCATCACCATCATTCATTATTATCTTTAATATTATGATGGATTTTTCTACCCTAGGAAAAAACTTTTCTGTATAAATCTGCATTTTTCCCTCAATATTACCAATTATGCTAAATTTATTGATGACCTATGATGCAGGATAATCAATTATTGATTATAATTAGAAAAATATTTATTCTTCTCCAGTCTGTTGGGATAAAAAAAAAAGGTTCAGTTAAATACACATTATCTTTGGTAAGTGAATTTCACTAGAGAAAGAAAGTCGAATACATTGAAGTTATAATTTAGAATCTTGATGGGTTATATGTGTATATATGTATAGAAAAGAAAAGGTTCGTTATTGATTTCCTAGTTGGTTGTGTGTAATTAAATATTATACACTTGCAATTTTTACATTGCGTTTCACTTTTTAGTAGTAGTAAAAAGTATCACACATTCTTAGTACCAAAACATGTTCTTTTTTTTTCATCATGCCATAGCTAATATACTTATTTTGCTGTCTTCAATGTCATTAATTGTGTCATATTTTTTTTCATCATATTTAAATCATGATAATAAACTTTTGAATTGATGATCAAGTTTGTCAACATCTCATAACTTACTTAAATTATAATTAAAAATGCATAAATAATATTCCCATCAAATACCAACTAAGATCAACAAATATGTTTGCTATAACTTTAAAGAATTTTTGTCAGTAATTAATTGCACTTGATGTAAATATTTCTCTTTACAAAATACTTCAAGGTGCATATAGTTTTCATTTCGGAGTATTGTTTTGATTTAGTATGTATTTATCAAAATTTCCTTCTGATTATCAGCTGAATGTAAATAATGTCTGTAATTATATTCAACAAAAACTGTGTAGATATATTAATCGAAAAATAATTCGTTTTATTAAAGCACATTAAATAAAATTACGTAGTCATTCTTCAATTGAACGATTAAATAAATAATTCTTACATCTATATTATAGAGTAGTGTATGAAAACATGATTAATTATTCACCATGAAATGGATGTAGATATAAATATAATGAAATAATGAAAAAATATTTATAAAATACTTACAGATTGTGGTCAATTTGCCTTTTACACACACAAAGTGCAATGACCAATGTTGATTTTATGACTGAATGAATTTAGCTGACCATCTGTACTGAATTTCCTGATCGTATTTTGTAGGTATAATCTCAATGACAAATTTCATTTACTTGAGTTCTATTTGAATAGCCAACAATCATATGATAACACAGTTATTTTTTACCATAATCACTATTCCAAATAATAAATCATCCATTAAATTGCTTAATATTAGATAGTGAATCACAACGATATGAGTGCATCATTTACGTTGTACACTTAGTTTTTTTAGTACGACACAATAATTAATAATCGTTTTTCTTTTCTTTGCAGTATCATATATAAACATTATGTTACTATAGATACTATCACTTGTTAATTCACGAGAAAAATTTGAAAATCCACAGTAAAGAATTTAGTTTCTCATGTCAATTTAATGCTAACAGGCTACTAACAAAACTTGACTATGGTTTACCGGTTTATGAATCATATGTGGAATTCTAGCCTATCTCAAAGATTTTATTTCTCGTTTAATATTAATATTGACTTTAACAATTCATTTATATTTGAAATTTAGCTTGTAATTGTCAAACTGAATTTAGAGACCCGTAAATTTCACATGTTTACTTTGTTAAACTCCAAATTTGTTTTGATCCAAAAAAATTTTGCTTCATGAACTCTGAATCGCCTTATTACTAATCGCCATACTGGTTATTTTTTTGATATGCCTTAACGCCTCTATTACAATCAAATTATATGAACTAAAAAAGTATGTATTCTATCGGTAATAATATGTGTGAATAAAATAGATTTCACGAATATCGAGAAATTTATTACATAATCAGTCGTTTTTTTTAGATAATTAATTTTTCAGCTGATATAAATTAAAAACAAAATATACCTCGGACATTTATAAGATTTTTTAATTGTTGAAATTAATGGTTTCTGATGATTTGTTTAAAATATGAAATAATTTAATAAATTTTTCAGTTATTCAGAATCTCAAATTCATGTACATTTACTGACTGATTTTAAATGATTTATTTGAAGATAAATAAATAAATTTACAAATAAAATTGATAATTAATTTGCAAATGATGTAATGAAATGCACTGAATTGTTGTTTTTATGGAAAAATTTATGTTCTCATGGTAAATTGTCTGTTAATTTATTCTGAATTTTGTACAGCTTAACATTATTACACATTTTTGCCGCACATTTTAGAAATAATTTAAAATTTGAAAAGATTGTATTTTTTGTCGTAATTGTACAAATTATAGTTTAAAACTGATTGATGCTGATTTCACGGCATTAATAATATCCTTTATTCAACAATGATGTCATATTTTACTACTAAGAAATCGTTTTTATTTAACCAACGACGAGCAAGTTATCAATGAACTCATGGTGAGGTACTTCTAAATTCAAAGGAGCTGGACCTTTCCTAATTCTGCCACTAGCATCATAATGTGATCCGTGGCATGGACAATAATAACCACCAAAATCTCCAGCATTAGCAATTGGTACACAACCCAAATGCGTGCACACTCCAAGGACAATTAGCCATTCGGGATTTTTTGTTCGTTGGTCATCACTTTCAGGATCTCTTAATGTTGAAATGTCCACTGATTTTTCTTTTTCAATCTCCGCAGAATCTCTGTTACAATATTATCCAATTTATTATCATAAAATCATAATATATTTTTTAAACAATTTATAATTAAAATTCTTATTGTCATTTTTTTTTTTTAATAATATACCTGTGCCGAACAAACAAAGGTTTTCCTCTCCATTTGAATACCACACTTTGTCCCGTTGGAATTTTAGTAATATCAATTTCAATTTTGGAGACAGCTAATACATCAGCAGATGCTGCCATACTCGAGACAAGGTCGGTGACAATTACTTTAGCTCCATAGACTGCTGTTAATCCAGTTGCTAAAAATTTCATAATGCAAAATTTTATTATTTGTGGATAAAAAAATTGTAATGTTTTATTTGAATTATACCTGCGGTAAGTAGATACTCGACACTTTGTTTACTTCCTGATCTATCTGTAACAGCAGCGGGATTTTTCGTACTGTCTTTGCGGTAGTAGTCGAAATTTGGTACTCTGATGTCTCTATGAGCCCATCTTTTTTGAGAGATTTGGGTGTTCACTAAAAAATAGAAAATTTAAGTTGATATGTCAAAAACACCATTTCCATAACGCTGCATATTGTAGAAATGGAAGATAGAAATATTATATAACCTTTTATGAGTATCTTACTTCCAAGTTACACTAGTGTACAATTAATTGATAATAGTTTTAAAATAGAATTAAAAAACACTCACCAGCGGGTCCAGAACTAATACGAATTGGCTTGGTACAGAGATTAAGTGCAAGACTATACGAATTTATCCGCAGGATTGGATCAGGACGAGCTGATTTCTTGGAGTCTTCAACGGTTCCTGATGTAGCCTTACTTGATACGGCTGTTGCTGTTACTCTCATAAAAGGAGCAACGTTTGTATATTTTGTTATTACGTTCATTTTTTTACCTTGTTATTAATTTCCCAATAATACGAAATCAGACAAACTGGTGACGAATTGCAAGCTATCCCGAAATCAGCTGCAATCAGCCGTACATTTTTATTTTCTGAACCAGCTGATGATGTTAAGTACTTTATTGATCGCAAGAGGACGGAACAAGACTGTGTAATAAGGCGGTATTTTCAAATATTATTTTATTGTCGAGTGAGTCGATTCATGTTTTTAATGGTTAGAAAAATAATTTATCATACAAAGGAGAATTTATTGAATAAACGATTTACTAGTAAGATTAATTAGCTTTTATATTCAATTTTTTATTTAGCACAGAGTCGAAAATACTAAAAAGAACTCCTAAAAGATCGGATTTAAATTATTTGAACCTCTAATGAACGCATTCCAAGAACATGATGTCACTTCTTATATCTAATATAAATTTAGTACAACTATAAAGAACACCATTATCGATGACAATATTTACATAAATGATAAACTATCCTACAGTTTGATTATAAAAATGTTTAAAATATTTAAGGCTACGCTGAAGCCAGAGAAGCAACTGATTCCCCCTATTCAAATACATGGGAGCGGGATAATTCTAATTTTTTCGCCAATTTACAATTATTTCTATAAAATTAGGTACCAAATTACAGAGGAATTAATGCCGGACTGACGTAAACAACAATTTTTTTTATATAATGAATATTTTTATTAAGAAAATTAAAAAGAAAAATAAACATATCATAAATTGATTTGTCACGCTTAAATTCCAAGATGGCGGCCACATCATTTAGATGAAAAATTACTAATTATTTTATTTTTATACGTTTTTCGCCCAAAATTCGTGTTTGCATCAGTCCTTGCTACCTATCTGAATGTCAAAAAAATAAATTTATAGTATAAAATTGAATAATTTAGAAATAATTAAAAATATTGTATTCTACATGATTTTCTCCGGAAATTAGTTTGGAAAAATTTCAATAGGTGGCAGCATTATGCTTGCAGATGACCTCAGCAGAGAAAATAGACCTGCATAGAAGTTCAATGCAGTGTTCTGTTTATTAGGGATCATCCCAGGCCACCCCAACTGTGTTAAACTCCTACCTGGCTCCATAACAACCCATACTAAATTCTTGGAACACATCGGCCCATTTGAAATAAACTTCTATTCACGTCTCTCTTCTCTGACCTCAGTCATCCATATCAGAGAAAATAAATATTATAGAAGAACCATTGCATGAAGTTTTACCAACCTACTTAAAAAGTCAATTATTCATTAAATAAGCTCAATGTTGTTTTTTTTTTCGTCATCTCCATCATCGATGCAGTTTGAATCTTTTGGAAGAGACATTAAGCCTGTGACAATACTATATTGCTCTTTTCTGACATTGTTAAAATTAACAACACTACATTAGAGAAGAGAAACGTGAACAGAAGTGTATTTCAAATGGGCCGATGTATTCCAAGAATTTAATATGGGTTTTGACGGAGTCAGGTAGGGGTTTAACACGGTTGGGGTGGCCTGGGGTGATCCCTAAACAGAAGACTGCATTGAACTTCTATGCAGGTCTATTTTCTCTGACTACATATTTTGCTTGCAACCAGTATAGCGTCATATTTTAGGACGTATCCCAAGTCGCTTGTAGAACGAGGGAAAATGATGGGCCTTATCCCTCCTGTAAACATTGGGCGTATTTAACTTTTAGGGCATGCGCACAATGAAACTAGAGTTGGTGGAGACTACCAGAGAGTTGAGTTCTTCAGTTTGTCCACAGAAGTGTATAGGAAATTTATTTTTCAAATCCACGTCTATATTATTTCGGTGAAATCGTACAATAGTGAGGTACATAATAGTTAATGTGTTCTGGTAGCGTAAAAAGTTTAATAATAAAAGAACAACTTTTACATTGACTCTTTTTGGAGTGAATTACACTTCAGTGATATTATATGAATATTCATTAATACGTGGTTGTATTTACTTCTGTGCTAATACATAATAATTTTTTAAAAAATTTCATAATTTTCTCGAAAATCAACAAACCATGTTTCATCTACCACAAAATGATTACTGCTTCCATCTTTATCATGCCATCGGAACAGGAAACAGAGTAACAGCTCTGCGCTTGATAAATAATAGCATTACTGTTAATTATTCTCTAAATGGCTACACTCCTCTACATTGGGCCATTTACAAGAATGCAGACTTTGATATCATAAAATTATTACTTGATAAAGGAGCCAATATCTTTACTACGGATCATCAAAATAACACACCTCTTCGAATTGCGATTGATTATTACAGAACAGCGGCAGCATTATTACTTATTCAAAAAGGAGCTCTTGACGGAGAAAATTTATCTGAATTGTTGGTTAAACCTGCTGTACAAAATAATCCCTATTTCATCAACATGCTCATTGACCATGGGATGCAAAATGAGCCATCAATCAGTTTACAATGTCGTATAAGAGTTGTTTTTCGTAGAGGAGGTCTAGAAATAATTGACGAATGTATCCCAAAAGGTTTTGAGACGAATTTAACCGATAATTATAGTGCTAATTCTACTAATATTGAATTGTTGACACCTTTGCACATTGCATGTGAAGATGACAATCGAAACAATTTGAGAGCTTACCTGGAAAATTGCGTTGATGACTTTGCTGTAAATCCTGAAAGTCAAATACCCGACTTCGATAATAAACTAAATACTAGAGAAAAAATAGAACTATTGCTGAAAAATAATGCAAATATTGAAGCTCAAAGCAGGATCGGTCGAACACCACTTTTAGAAGCTTGTCATCACGGAAATAATGAAGCGGTTAAAGTGCTTTTGGAAAATCATGCAAATCCCAATGCTATGGATTGGTTTGGTCGAACAGCTCTTCACTTTAGTTGCGAGAGGAAACATAAAACTACTTCATCAATAATACAGTTATTACTGGAACATAATGCATATACTGAAGCTGTGAACTGGGTCGGTCGGACACCGCTTTTTGTAGCTTGTCTCAAAGGAAATAATGAAGCAGTTAAAATTCTTTTAGAGAATCATGCGAATCCAAATGTAAGAGATCGGAATGGTGAAACAGCTCTTCACCTTATTTGTTCATGGGAATCTAAAACAAATCTCCAAATAATAAAGTTATTGCTGAAATATAATGCAGATATTGAGGCTATGGATGACAGAGGTTGGACACCGCTTATTACAGCTTGTTCCATTGGAAATGCTGAAGTAGTTAAATGTCTTTTGGAACATCATGCTAATCCGAATGTAACAGATTGGATTGGTCAACCAGCTCTTCACCTTGTTTGTTCGTGGGAATCCGAAACAACTCCCCAAATAATAAAGTTATTGCTGAAATATAATGCAGATATTGAAGCTGTTGATGAACAAGGTCGAACACCTCTTTTTGTAGCTTGTAAATCTGGAAATGTTGCAGCAGTTCAATGTCTTTTGGAGAATCATGTTAATCCAAATGCTACTAATCAGCATAGTCAAACAGCTCTTCACTATATTTGTTCAGCGAAACCTGGAACTACTCTCCAAATAATACAATTATTGTTAAAACATAATGCAGATACTGAGGCTATGGATGACAGAGGTTGGACACCTCTTTTTGAAGCTTGTTCCTCTGGAAATATTGTAGCAGTTAAAGTTCTCTTAGGGAATCATGCTAATCCGAATGTAAGGTGTTGGAATGGTCGAACAGCTCTTCACCTTACTAGCGCATTGGAACCTGTAATAACTCTTCAAATAATGCAGTCATTGTTAAAACATAATGTAGATATTGAAGCTGCCGATGAGGAAGGTCGGACACCTCTAATTGAAGCTTGTATTTACGGGAATGTTGTAGCAGTTAAAGTTCTTTTAGATAATCATGCTAATCCAAATGTTACTAATCATTGCGGTCAAACACCTCTTCACTTTATTTGTTTCGGGGAAACCGAATCAACTCTCAAAATAATACAGTTACTGCTGAAGCATAATGCAGATATTGAAGCTGTCGATGAGGAAGGTCGGACACCTCTTTTTGAAGCTTGCAACTCGGAAAATATTGGAGCAGTTGTAGGTCTTTTAAGATACGGTGCTAATATTAATATTTTAGACCAAAAAAATCGATCTCCGCTTCAATGCGCTGCTGATAAGATTTTATCAACTTCTCCCGAAAATTCTAACATTTATACGATAATCCAAATGCTAGTGTCACATATAATTACATTAAAGACTGTTAGACTAAATGTAAATACATGTGAGTTTATAACTATCAGGGGAGTGAAATATTCTGCAATAGAGGGATTAAAATCCAATGAAGTTTTAGATGATACAATCGATACACTCGACATCAAGTGTGAAGAGGAAATTAAAAAAATGAAAATGGAAAGTATTGGGATTAATGACATGTGTTTTTATGAGTTGTTAACACAACATATTCATCTTATTGGCATATTAATGGAAAATAAGAAAATTCAAGACATTTTAAAATCATCCATTTACGATGAAAAGTTTCCATTATTTATAGGTATTGTAAGATTCCGACTGCGAGATGCAAGAATTCGATATAGACGATATAAACTACAAAAATCTGCAAGGGAATACTTTAGTTCAGAAATTAATGAAGGAATTCCTCATGAATGTATCGACAAAGTGTTGGATTACTTGACCATCGTAGATCTGAACACTTTTATCCGAACTTTTAAGCCTTCGAGGGGAGAATCAGTCTTATGAGAATAACGATTTCAATCTATAACTAATTTAGTTTGGAAATATGGGAATCATTTATTAATACTAAATGTAAATTGTTTATCGGACAATTAAGTTATATCGAGTAGCTCGTAAACACTTTGAAATTTGTATCAAGTTCTAACTGACACATTGTTCTAACTTTTTTTTGAAATTCACTTAGTAATGAGTTTTTGAACATAATTATCAAGTGTGTACTACACTATCTTCTTGACATTGTGCAATTTAAATTTGTAAACTATCAATCACTATAACTTTTGGATAAAAAATCATGTAATATTGTAAATATTAATTTATTTTTATTTAATAAGTAAAAACTCCAAATAATATTAAGTTTATATAAATCGGTGAAGCAATTTAATTTTTAATGAAATGAAATCATTTATTAAACCAAAGGTTCATTTAAGTAATTCTCCAATACAGTTTGACTATAATTTCTGTATTATAAAGTATTGTAATTTTTGTATCTTTGTATTTCATGAAAAATAAAAATCAAGATAAATTTTTTGAAAAACCACTGAATATATTTTAATTTATCTTATTACCTATTCTTTTTGTAAAATTTAGATAATACGGACTATGAGTATTCTTCAAGTTTCTGTGACCGAGTACCTTGAAAATCCCTCATTAAAAAGCAATTTTCTCTTTACTTCGAACATTGTTAATTTTCCATTAGAAAGTTATTGCAGGGGGGTCGATTTTTGAAATTCGTAATTTTATCATATCTTTTCGTTTTAAGACATTTTAAAGCATATTAGAAGGTTTCAAAATGGACGTATGTATACCGTGTTAAACTCCTACCTGACTCAATAAGAACCCATACTAAATTTTTGGAACACATCGGCTCATTTGAAATAAACTTCTATTCACGTCTCTCTTCTCTGCCTAAGGTCAACATAATGGTCATTACATCTTATACTCATTGACTTATGTTAACTTAATGAAAAGAATGCCAAGATGCAAATGATTAAATATTCAATTATTAAATTAATTAATAGTATACAAGTAACTGTACATGCTGTTTTGTCTACGAATTTAACATGCATTGGTATTTGTAATAGTCAGTTTTTTTTCCATTCGTGTAACTCGTTAGTTATTTCATATTCTAACGATATTTCCAATATTACAATCATTTACAAAAAAAAAAAATTATAAATATACGGAAAATTGAATGTTTGATAAAAATTTATTTTGTTTATTTTAAATTATCAATTTCTTGAATTGGTAAAAATAAATTTCTAATTTTTTTTTTGTAAATGATTGTAATATTGGAAATATCGTTAGAATATGAAATAACTAAAGAGTTACACGAATGAAAAAAAAAACTGACTATTACAAATACCAATGCATGTTAAATTCGTAGACAAAATAGCATGTACAGTTACTTGTATACTATTAATTAATTTAATAATTGAATATTTAATCATTTGCATCTTGGCATTCTTTTCATTAAGTCAATGAGTACAAGATGACCATTATCTTGACCTTAGGCAGAGAAGAGAGACATGAATAGAAGTTTATTTCAAATGAGCCGATGTGTTCCAAAAATTTAGTATGGGTTCTTAAGGAGCCAGGTAGAAGTTTAACACGGTTGGCCTGGTATGGGGTGATCCCTAAACAGAACATAGCGTTGAACTTCTATGCAGGTCTACTTTCTCTGCCTTAGGCTAATTACTACTGTACAATTTACATAAGTAAAGTATTATTATTCATTTCTTATGCGTTGGTAATTGTAGATCAGCAGTCGTTTATAATTTAAAGGAAAAAAGAGAAACCTTTTTAACCGGCTGATGTTAATATACTTGAATTTGCCTCTTTAAAAAATTGCGCCAAAAAATGTATCTAAATGGCGTGGTAATAGTAACAATTTTGTCCACTACGAGGCGACAGAGTCTTCAATCACGATGGCGGAAGCCATGTGACAAATAAGTTTTATTTGGAAAAAGATTTTCAGTGTTTTTTGCCGATATTTGTATGAATGATATAAATATCTATTCATTAAAACATTGACTTTAGTTAATAAATAAATTTTCTATGTTTTTATGCATTTATATGATATATCATTGAAAAGTTAATTATTTGTTACCGGTAATCTTACGTTTCAACAACGTAATATTGAATCATTTTTCGTATTTTTATATTTAATAGAAATAATATAATCAATGTTTATGAAAAATACAATAATACAAAGCTTGTCTTACAATACTACATTGTAAAAACATCTAAAAATATCAACTGTTTGCTTCAATCATGTTGCGAAGACTTTGTAAGCTTTGTCAGATTGTAGAAACACCAGCAATTAAAAGTTTACGGATTTTTTCTGTACGTTCTACTTCAATAAACTTCTTAATTAAAATAATTAATTCATTATATGATTATAAAACTATTTTTAATATTACAGACTGCAACAGTACGGAGGTTAGAAGAAGAGGCGATTGAAAAAGATGTTTTCGCTGATGACTTTCTATCTCATACATCAAAAGAACCTGAAGTTGTTGTTAAATCCAAACGAAAACCAATAATACACTGTAGAGATCCTAAATTGCATCATTATTATGGTACAACATATCCAAAGTTTCAAGAAATACCTATTGCATCCAAAAACTGGATGAGCAGAAAATCCAAAGGAGATTATTTTACTGTATATCCTACACCAGTGGTATGTTTCGACTTGTTTTATTATTGTTATTCATTATTTTTTAATAATTGTTCTGATTTACATAAATTTACTTGCACTTATGGATAGCTAATATTTATTTCTTTGAAGTCTTAACTTCATTCTATTGTATTATGAGTTACAATTATTAGTCATACCAAATGTATATTTATTAGCATTGATTTATTACGTAATTTATGATTGAACATTTATTTCTTTTTTTTTTTTAGAAAGATGATTCAACTGACAATTATGATTTGGAAAATACATATTTCTCTGACATCAAACTTGATTCTAGATTAGTAGCAAATTTGAAGAAATGGGGATATGAACATCCTACAAAAATACAATTGGATGCAATTCCACAATTGTTAAGTGGACAGAATGTTATTATCACAGCGGAAACAGGATGTGGAAAAACATTTGCTTATTTGATTCCTATTGTACAGCAAATTTTAAAATGGAAAAAGATAGGCCAAGAGAGAAATTTAAATACCCCTTATGCTGTAATTATTGCAGCCAGTCGAGAGTTAACAGCACAAATTGGAGTAAGTGGCGCTTGAGTTAATAATTTACATTGATTGTTTATTAAAAAATAGGCAAGCAAACATTTTATCTCATTGTTCTGTCGATAACTTTGTCCATAATATCATATAATTAATGAGAAAGTTTTCTGTCTGCCTCATGTCTTATATTATGTTAGACCTTTTTCTAATAAGCCTTTTTTATTGCGGTACACTCGAACCTAATCCGTTCAAGTCTTATTACCGCGTGATTCTCAGGATCATTTGTCTGACATGTGTTTTCTGTATTGTTTTCTACCATGGATTTTCCCAATTTTATAGCTTTCAGCTGCAAGGAATTCAACTTTAATAGGTTACTTAAGATTGAAGCCATATTAATATTAGATTTTTTTTTTTTTAGATGGAAACAAAAAAGTTAACAAAAGATTTAGACATTGATGTGCAGACAATTGTTGGTGGTAGAACCACTAAAATAAAAAGGAACCCTCCTATACGAAATGTAGATATTTTGATTGGTACAGTAGGTGTTTTATGTAAAATGACAACATGGAAAATTTACAAACTAGATCATGTTTATCATACTGTTTTGGATGAAGCCCACGCTTTATTTGACGAAATGTATGATGATAAATTATTATCGTTTCTGAAGAAGATAAAAGTGAGTTTTAAAACTAATTTTCTCGGTGTATGATCCAAAAACAGTTACATTTATTTATGAATTTTTACAGTTTGGATTCCGACAACCTGGAACCTCGATTCCAACGAGCAGTCAATTAATATTAGCTTCAGCTACAATGCCCGAAACCATGCCAGATTACCTTGAAGAAGTTGTTGATGTAAGATTAAATATTATTAAAATTGATCAAACAAAATATTTCTTTTTCTAAATATTTTTCAGGTGAATTCCATCATTAATCTTTCAACCCCTAATACACATCGAGTGTTGGTTCCACAAAAATTTTGGAGACTTGGAGCATTACAAAAACCATATGAACTTTTAAAATTGGTAAAATCAAGAGCATTACAGAAAGCGCCTACACTTATTTTCTGTAGAAATGCTGCAACTTCTGACTGGATTGCAATATTTTTAAATTCAATGAATGTCAAAGCGATTGCACTTAACGGGCAAATGCCTGCTGTCATCAGAAAGGATAGATATGGACAGTTCAAAAGAGGTGAGGTTCATATTTTATCAACCACGGATTCAGCTGCACGAGGATTAGATACAACGATGGTTGATCTGGTTATCAATTATGATTTTCCTGCAAGTACTGCTGATTACGTTCACAGGTTGTTATTTTTATTAATATTTATTGATGATTAATTCATCTTCGGCAATTGTTTCAAGGAAGATTGAAATTTTAATAAATAAATATTCAATTTTCAGATGTGGTAGAACTGGTAGACTTGGCGGAGTGCAAAATGGAAGAATAATAAATTTTATTTCAAGAAAATATGAAATCGAGTTGACTCAGAAAATTGAACGAATTGCAAGAAGAGGAAGAGCTATTCCAATGTTTAATATAATTGAAGCAAAGGAAAATATTTCTGTAGACCAAGAACTTAAGATGCTTTTAGAGAGGTCGTAATTGGCTGTAAAAAATAGATAATAAACTAATAAAAATAAACAGTTAATTTTTTTACTGATTTTGAAAAATAATAAAAAAATTAAGTATTTTGGCAAGAGGAAATGGGGGAGATGTTGAACCAACCCATCCGCTATTTCATTCACTGAATCTACATACCATCACATCCGGTTTTAACATATGCTATGAATGTTGTATCAACTGGATAACATGCTTTTTTATTGAATATATTTTATTTCATCTTTTCAATCATTATTTATTCATTCAAACCCTAAATAAAATATGATAAATTAATGGTAAGTAACTAAATCTTTACTCCATTTTTAAAATCTAAAGTTTTAAAAAATCACTCTTTCTAGTACAGAAAACTATGACGATAATAATGAAGGAGTAATTAGCGTGGGCAGATGCGTAACATGTAGGACAGGGGCATTATGCTAAAAAAAATAAGCTAGAAATGGCGATTGAAGCGTCAGAAAATTTATGTGATGAGTTGGAGTGTTGGAGAGATGCGTGCGAATGGAGTATACAAAAAAATGAGAGAGAAGGATGAGTCATTTCGTCTCGGAAATGCCTGGAATTGTTGACCAAACTTAAATGTATAAGTGAGTGTACCGGAGGTCTAAAACTAGAATATACTTGGCGATTTGTTGCCCGATAAACGAATAATTTTAAACGATGTTGGAAAAAGATAGAAGGGGGATAAGTCTTGAGAAAACTTAAATGGTAATAAGTCAAATGGAGGGGAGTCCTTTAAGTTACTTTAGTTGTATTACTTGTGTTGCCCTTTACTTGTTACGTCGAGGTATCGTCATCGTCACTGTACAGTAGAGCCGCATCAGCATCACCCCACGGGCGTCGCCATCACACAATCGGTCGGCATCGGCATCTATCCCTACCACCATTTCTAGCATCGGTTTAGCTCAGTTGCACTCGTGAGCGTGACGCTCACGTTCATTCTGACGCGTTTTATCCTCGTTTACCTCGACGACGTGCACATTGTACATTCTGTAGTAGAACTCGCGTGTTTTGTGCCTTCGTTTTCAATCGCTTGGTGTTTTTTACTTCAATATAAAAGTGATTCTGGTGCCATTGACTGTCTATACAATGAATTAAACACCATAATAAAAATATAAAACTCCATTTTTTCTCGTCACACAAAGAGAATGATGAAGAAAACGGTCAATTGATGCTGCAGTTTGATGGTTGAGTGATCAGTTAACTAAACAAATCAATCATGAAATCATTAAATAATTCAGACATTCATAAATCTACGTATGATCATGTAATGTATCGTCTTGGAAGTTTAAGACGATTTCGGAATAGTGAACCTACAAAAATGATGAAGCTGAGTAGGAGGTAAACACTGCGTGAAACTCGGTCGGACAAAGCGAGCGTCTTATAGCTTCTGCTAGGCTTCTTTCAAGCGAACCTTGGCTATTTGATGTGCTTTTCTGTGTTGTGCTAGTGCCTTGCGTTATTACGTTACTTTTCCTGCTTCCTTGGCCGCTTTGCGTCTCGACGCGTTTCGTTGCCTTTTAAATGGTCTCGTGTGGTGTGTTCCGTTGTTTTTCCAAGCGAGGCCATTCAAACATTGCGACTCCTTCACGTAGAATGTGACACACAACAAAAGATACACTGAGGAGTGGAGTATTATTATATTTATATTAATACATACCAACAGCATTATTAGTGCGGTGATTTTTTCTTTTATTTCCGCTTGGTGTATAAGTGACGTTCACCATGTAATCGTGTGATTATATCAGTGATCTTTGTTGCGTGATGCTAGTTTAATCAATGCAAGTGCTTGGTATCTTATAAGTACTCTGTTATTGCATTCAATCGATTTTATCGTGCCTTTAATCCTTACGCATTCTTTACTATATCACTACTAATCACTATCAAGGAGGAATTATCGTGAAGCGGAAACCGCTATATTGGAGAGGAAACGGGAGAGCGGTCTGCCGCTCGCATTTCCGTGTCTGTCGCGCCAGCGACATTCAACTCAATTGGAAAACGTGAGTTTCATACTTTTTTCTTATCTATATCACATTGTTTTTATAAAGATTGATTTTTATCATTGTAAAGAAACTCGGTTTCCTTGATATCAATTTATTAACCACAAAAATTGAATACAGAGAAAAAAAAAAATAAGTATGATAAAAATTATTTTTATTGCATAAAATTGGTGTTGATTGGTGATAAAAAGTTATATTTATTGCTTTAAAAAGCAATCTTTTAGATTCAGAAGTTGATAAGTTGTTGATTGATAATCTGTGTTGAGTTTTAGTTTTTTTTTTTTTTAAAATTTGTTTTATAGAAAGAAGGTTTCTATTCTTGAGGTAGGAAACAATGGGTTTATTCATAATGACAGGATACAGTAATTGGTTAGGATGACTGGTAACTCAATTGGTTTATTGGTTATTTAAATGAGGTAATAATTAATTATTATTTTTTTTTGTTATGTCAATTATATTGTAAATATTATATTTAATCATTTTATAAATTGATTTAATATTGAACCATAAATATAACTGCCAATCAAATCAGTTTTAACCTCTAATACTTTGATTTTATTTCAGGTTATTTATTACTAGGCTATATATTTAAATATAAATTTAGGGAAGAATGATGAATATTTATTTTTTTTAAAGAGAAATGAAAAATGATTTTGATGTTAAATTGACTTGAATGTTGCTACTTCTTCCTATTGTGAGGAATAACCCGTATCATAACTAAGAGTTACTTAAATATGATAAAGTAACTTGTTGAATTCATTTTAATTGATGTTTATTCCTCTATTAATTTATGTTATGTTGATGAACATCTTTATTCTGGGTTATTTATTTCATTCTAACACTTCAACTTTTTTTTTTTTTATTATTATTATTTCAATTAAATTCAAAATGAATAAATATTCTTAGCATTTCAAAGTAAAAGAAAATAATTTTAAATAAATATTGCAATATGTACTCAAGTATGTTGAAAGTTATTCAAAGATTATTATTTTTCAAAGAAGAAAAATAAATAAATAAAAGTAAATTCCAATCTATTATTTTTTATGATAAATGAATGTAATAAAAGGAATATTCAAAATACCAGAAACTAATTATTTCATAATAAAAGTATTACAACACTTTAAATCATAACACTTTGATAATTAACACGATGAAAACGAGTAGCTATTTTATTTGAACTTTTTCTACACCGGATGTAATAAAATAAATCACTAATTATTTTCAAATAAATAATGGAAGTTTATGGTGAGTTAGAAAGCGCATTTAGTTTACCTTGTTCTCAAGGAATAATATTAAATAAATGAGTTAAATCCTGCGTTGGTTTTTAATATACCTGCATGACCGGAAAACAGGGTAATATCAGAATTATAATGTAACCGTTATTATTATACATGTTCAAACTTGATGATGAATTTTTTTTAATCATATTTTAGTTCAAAGATGCTTACATAAAATATATAAAAAAAAAAAATAAATAATCATACAACAAATGATAAAAAGTGCAATGCACATAATATTATAGCTACTGAGAATTCTAGAAGCATTTCATCCACATTTACTCCAACTTATGGATACATAAATGTAGAGTGTCTACTTATTTGCATTTAAATAAGGTATTCACGAATTTGCTAATTAAAAGTGATATAATTGACAAATAAAAATAGACACTGCATAAGATGGAGTTATCTATCATTAATTGAGCAACATGTTGGAGAAAGAGAAAGCGTAGAAAGACTTTGATGACTACTTAAGTATGTACTTGTTTTGATCTACACTCGTGACTTGCGAGCCATAGCAAATGGAAAATTCATTAACCAACGGAAGCTACAGCCAGGGGAAATATGCAAGAGCTCTTTAACTTCTTCATGAACGGGGACAAAGAAGCCACTAAAAGCTAATCCTGGACTCTATAACTTTAACTACTGCTTATTTATAGTCATTATTTCCATAGAAATACGTATATTTATTCACCATCACCACCCTTTACTAGCTAAACTAACTATTTAATCTTAATCCTGGCCTTAATTCTTTATAAAAGATTACCTTTAATTTAATTTAAGCAATACTGCTTATGTATATTAAATATATACTTCTACTTTCCATGTTGATGCTCATAATCTTATTAATTGTATTCAATAAGCTTTTTTTTTTATTCAGAATAAAGATGAGTTTAACATTAATTTACATTGGCTTTTATGTAACTTAGTAACTTTAATACTCCGTTTATTTTTTAATTAAAAGAACAATAGAGTTTTCTAAATAAATATATATCTTTGTTGATTTAATAACTTGAATTATGTTAGTATGAAGTACAGTTTGGCATTCAACCTAATATTTTCCCATAAAATATCTTATCATGAATTTCATGACAAACTTTTGTTCTTAGTGACTTGACATTTTCCAAGTGAACAAATATAATTATACTTTCAAAGAATTTTTTTTTCATTCTTGGAAACATTGAATATTTTAAAAACATTCATCTATTCAAATAACAACAGATATTTCATGATGTTTTTCGTTATTTATCTCTGAAGCATACAAATGAGTCAATATTCTTTTGATTTCTATTTATTATCCAGGTTTACATTGAGTTAACAATTGTCAACATAAAATATCTTTTTTCCAGTTGGACATATTAATTGTTTTTTTTTTTTTGAATTGAGATTATTCATTGAATTTTTCTTTCAGTGACTTGAATGAAAAGAGATTGAAGAAAAAGTATCCAAAAAATTCTTTGTCAGCATTAAATCTGTGGAATGAAATAATTCATTAAAAAAGAAACAAAAAAGCAGCATTATAAATGATTAGCTAAAAATTTGTAATAAAAGTGATTGGTAAAAAAATAAAAAAAATATTTTCAAGAATTTTTTTCCAAAATGACTTTTACGTTCTATGAGTCAACGAGTAACTGAGTTAATGAATGTAGGTATGGTCAGAACAGCATGACGAGGCGCGTGCAATAAAACAGCGAAATTGTAAAAAGAAATGAGAGAAACCTATATGTATCGTCACGGTTGGAGGTGTTGCGTCTGAATGTTGGGAAAATCTGTATAACTTATACATATATTGAAACCGGTAGCTATTTCATTGTTTCTCTCGAGCGATGGACAAGCTGCGATGGATCGCTGGCAAAGAGTAGACGAGAGCCAACGAGTCCAACGAGATGTAGTTGGCTTGCAGAGTTGAGTTCGATGCCCCTACGACAGACAACGCTAGGCGCCAATGCAACAACACAAAAGAACAACAAAAGAACCTCTTCATGTGGATTCTCATACGTCTATTGATCAATTTTTCTTAGAATCTTATTAGGGAAAAGGAGTAATATGAAATCTGCAACATACTTGGAAGAACTGCTTGACACAAAAAGATCAAAGCTAGCAAAAAGACTCACTTGATCCGAGTTCACTGAGTAATGGTTGCATCTTTGATAAAAATAGCTAAATTCTCTAGCAGCTTCGAGTAAATTTTCAAGCTTCTTGATTTCAAAATTTTCTTCAACTTCATCATCAAACGCTAATTTGTCATACATCATTTAAATCAGTGCAAAACCTTCACTTTCTTTTTCAATGTATTTTTTTCCATCATCAATTCTGCTAAAGCAGAACCTTTCTTTTGATTTAACATGATTATAATTCATGATAAAATAATCGTACAACAATTACCTAGACTTCATTAGAAAGCTGAACATTTCCTCTTCAGAATACTCCAACTGTATTTTCAATAAAAAAATTTCTCATGTTTTAATATGTATTCTAAAACAGTGTGTAAACTCGTGTTTTTCTTGTTTTTCAATCTACTTGCTGTCACTTTCTAAAAAATGGTTGAATCATTAAGATGACCATGTTGTTTTTTTCTAGATCAGGTTACTCAGATTTTTCTTCACACCATTCAATCTTTTTAAAAAATTAGCTATGCTAAAAAAAAAAAAATTCTGATAATTTTTTAGTCAATTAAATGTCTTAATTTGAATCAATAAACAATGAGATATTTATAAATTATATTACGGAGGTCAAGTATTTGAAGCATCCAAGTCATAACGAGTGTATTGGCCCAGTGGATGAGGCGTCCAATTCTCAAGAATGTCCGGCACGATATATTAGCATAACTGGTTCAGTCGGTGCAGGCATTGATGACGTCTCATGCTGAGTATTCTGTTTCGTTGGTTGCGAATGAGATTATGGAATGATATCGATACATTTACTGACGTAATCATTGGCAAGACATTAGTGATTCACTTTATCAGTGTTGTGTAGTAAAAGAGTAAATAGTAGTACGTAAAATACCAAGATATCAGTAATGAGACATAAAATAATTGTGTTTCAGAATGACGAGATGATTGCTCAGCTGGCGGTGATGGGCGGCGGAAGTGGCGGTAGCGGTGGTGGGAGTCGTGTCAGTCGTGGCGGGCTTACTTTGCACAGATCAAATTCCAGCCTAGAATTACCCCACAGTCCAGAACGTTCAGGACGGACACTGGATGCTCAGCCACTTCGGCGAGAGTATGGATCCCACGGTAAGTAATATACACAACCCTTATGCTGATGGTAATATGAAATATGATACGATTCTGATCGATTCGCTTGATTCACATAGGAAGCATCGATGTGGTGGCAGGACAGTGCAGTCCAGCAGGCGGTAACGCAACAGGAGATCATATCTTTGCGATGCTTCAAGATTTCAGGAGTGGAAGAGCATCAGCAGATCGTCTTCACCCGCATGGAGATTCTGCTGGTGCTTTAAATGTGGGTGCATCTACTGATGAAGTGTGTGGACCTTCCGCTTCCAGTCCTAAACTAAGACTTAAACTCAATAGACTGTGGGGTGGTAAGGAAAGTAATTGTCCATCAGGAGCATCAACACCTGGAACTGTTGTGTCTAGTGATCTTGAAGAAAGACATCGTAGACGAGCTTTTGTTCATTATGATACTCAATCGCTCACTGCGAACCTTGGGTATGCAGCTAAATTGAGAGGAATCTTGCTTGCAAGAAGAAGAAATACTGCAACAGGTGCATCTGCTGCTAGTACAATAAGATCACCAACACCTGATAATGAAGCAGAAGGAGCGGAAACTAAAGATGATCCCGGAGATGGTAAAAGCAATGAGTTACTTGAATCTTGTCCTTTTTTTCGCAATGAAATTGGCGGAGAAGGTGAACGAGAAGTTGCTTTGGCGCGATCTCCTAGTGCAACTATCGGTGCTCATAGGCCTTCTTTGGCTTATGGAGTTTCTGTATTGGAACCGCCAATAGGAGAAACACTCTGGAAACACACCTGCCCTTTACGTAAAAGACTTCTACCGATTGAGAGTGTTGATGAAGGTGCAAGATATTATCGGAAATATTTCTTAGGTAAATTAACATCTTACGTAGATATTAAAACTGTTACTAATCGTAAACAATCATCATAAATAAATCTTTTGTACTTAATTTCTAGGTAAAGAACATCAAAACTGGTTTGGAATGGATGAGCAGCTTGGACCAGTAGCTATTAGTATACGTAAAGACATTAGTCATTATAGAGTGATCGTTCGTACATCAGAACTTTTAACTCTTCGTGGTTCCATTGCTGAGGAAGCTCTAGGACTACGGAATCATCCGGGTAATAGAATACCAACGAGAGAAATTTTAGAACTGGTAGCACCGGAGGTTCAAATTGGATGTCTGAGGCTTGGAACACCGGCTGCAGAGGAAGCTCTTTGTAGATTAGATGAGCAGGGTCTCTCTAATCGTTATAAAGTAGGAGTGTTATATTGTCGAGCAGGGCAACGTACTGAAGAGGAGATGTATAATAACCAGCATGCCGGACCTGCTTTCCTTGAATTCTTAGATACAGTTGGTCAGAGAGTGAGACTGAGAGGCTTTGAAGGATATAAAGCTGGTCTTGACACGCGAACAGATTCCACTGGTACTCATGCGGTTGCTGCAACTCATCGTGGAGCTCAAGTGACTCTTCATGTTGTCACTATGTTACCTTTCACGCCGAATAATCGACAGCAATTGCTGAGAAAACGGCACATTGGCAATGATATTGTGACTATTGTATTTCAAGAACCTGGAGCATTGCCTTTTAGTCCGAAACGAATACGTTCGCAATTTCAACATGTATTTATAATCGTCAGGGCAATTAATCCATGTACAGATAATACACAGTATTGCGTAGCAGTTTCTAGAAGTAAAGAAGTACCAATTTTTGGCCCTCCAGTACCACCAGGAGCTATTTTTAACAAAGGAAAGTCTTTTGCTGATTTTATTCTTGCTAAAGTAATCAATGCTGAGAATGCAGCTCACAGATCAGAAAAATTCTCAACAATGGCGACAAGAACGAGACAAGAATATTTAAAAGACCTTGCGGTTAATTATTCTTCAGCGACTCTCATCGATACCGGCCAAAAGTTTTCTATGTTATCTTTTAGCAGTAAAAAGAAGGCTCCGATACGTCCGAGATTAGCTTGTGATGCCTCTCAACGTGGTGCTATTTGTTGGCAAGTGATACTTGAAGAGAGTAATCAAAATACTGATTGTTATTTGGGTATTAGCGTAGATACTATTGTATTAATTGAAGAACACTCAAGACAAGTTGTTTTTGTGTCACCGTGTGTAAACATACTTGGATGGCATGCTCAAACAAATAGTCTTCGGTTGTATTACCATCAAGGAGAATGTATAAGCATTCATGTGCGTCCAGATTATTCAGAAAGAGATGAAATAATGGAAATCGTTGCGCGACTCAGAGCCGTAACTCAAGGATCTCCTGCATCAGAGCTATCGTTAAGGAGAAATTCTCTTGGGCAATTGGGGTTTCACGTTCAGCCCGATGGAGTAGTCACTCAGGTCGAAAGTATGGGTCTCTCTTGGCAAGCTGGACTTAGACAAGGTTCGAGACTTGTTGAGATCTGCAAGGTCGCTGTGTCGACCTTGAGTCATGACCAGATGGTAGATCTGTTAAAAACCAGTGCTCAAGTGACCGTGACCGTTATACCTCCAACGAATGACGGGCAACCGAGAAAAGGTTGTTCGCTGCAAACCTGTCAGTATTTATCTGCTAATTATGAGAGTGACTATGAGAATGTATCGAGCTCTGAGAACGTGCCGAGTCAACAGATGGCTCAGCAAGTTCAAAAGAATTATGAAAGATCTCTAAGTCCCCCACGATCAAGTAATAGCTCTGGATATGGAACTGGATCTAGTTCTCGATCATTTAATGATCCACGCTTTGTTCAGGAAAATTCAATGACAAACGTGAATACTAACCATGATGAACGGTGGTATGACCTTTATGAAGCTCCTGAACAAAATGCAAGTCATCGAACGGATGGAACACCACCGCCACCTCTTCCGGCTCGAGTGAAGAATGATCCGGCTCTTGGGAAAGCTGATGGACTTAAACACTATCATGAATACTATTCAAAAGAGCCTAATTATGTGTCTCCGCGAGTCATTCATGAGAATAATTATCAACGACTTGATGAAGCTAATCGGAGTAATCAAGAGGAACCAAATTATGCCAGGATGCAAAAAGATAGTCATGGATATTGGTATGGTCATCAAAAATTATCGACTTCCACTTCATTACCTTTAAACCAAAATTCTAACTATTCCAAACCAGTGAACAGCAATGGAATTCGTTATAACGAACAAGTAAATGGTAATGAACAAGGAATTGTTTATGATAACGATTCTAATCGTATTATTCAACGGAAGCCAAAGGATTATGAAACAAGAGTAGAGTGGGACCGAAGTAAAAATAAAAATGAAAATTATGAAGAATCAAGAATTGTCGAGAATCAAAATGTGACTTCTTCTGCACATAATCATGAATCTAACGGTAAACTTCGCGAGAGACCAGTAAGTTCTTATGAGTTTTTGCAGAATGATTGTGATAGAAAAAATGGCGAGACTTCAGATGGCAATCGACGAGTTTCCGACTTGAATTACGAAGTAACTTTACAACGTGATGATGGTGTTAATTCAAATTGCGAGACAGCACATGAATTTTTAATTGGTGAGAAAGTAACTTGCCTTAAGAACAATTTGCCTGAGCGAGTTCTTACGCGGAAATTAACACATGAATATGGGAGAAAGGATTATGCTTCATCAAGTTTACCACCGGAAATGAGAATTTTAGAAGGTACTGTTGTTGAAACTGTAACTCCAAGTGAAGATGAATCATCTACGTCTCGAGAAAATTCATCTCCAGGATTAAGAAGAGCCGGAAAGCATAGGGCTAATCCGAGCCCTCGAAATCAATCTCCTCGACCAAAGTCTGCAATAAGAAATCCTCACAGAAATTCAGCAAATTTAACTTCTAGCACACTTCAAGAGGACTTGATGAAGTTAATTAATCCAGATTATATCGCTGACGATAATCATATACCTGGTAATACATTGAGTGGCAACAATGACAGTAATTATACCGACAATGTGAATAATAACCGGGAGAGTAATGCGATTATTACAGTTGAAAAGAATAATGATGGCTCTAAAATGATGGGAAACAATAATAGTCATAATAATAGCACCAGCAATAATAATAGTAATAACAATATCAACGAGTTGGAGATTCAAAATAGATGTAGATCAAGAGAGAATTTGTGTGGGACGAGTACATCTACATTAAGTGTTTTAACTCCAGCAAATCGCCAGGATAACACTAATCCTGGATCAGAAGTGATTTTAACTATGGCTAGGCCTGCTACAGTTATCTCTAATACCAGTACAAATTCAAGTCCTGCTCCAAGTGAGAATAAATTGTCTAAAGAAGAGAGGTTATCACCTCGTGTTACTAAAACACCACATGTGCCTTTAAAAACAGCAAATAACTTGAATACGTCAATTCGGGATGGGAAAAGTGAAGGAGAAAGTGACAACGACAACACATGGGTGAATTGTCATGCTGATGTTAACAATGCTAGGTCTTTGAAACAACATGACCCGGAATGGAGTGATGAAAAGATTTACGACACCAGTAGCTCAGTCACTGATTTACAAAGTCATTTATCAAACCTAGAATTGAGAGTTGCACGTGAAACACGTAGACGATTGTCTCTAGAAGATGAGGTTCGAAGATTGAGAGATGAAAATCGTAGACTTCAAGATGAAAATCATGCCGCTGCGCAGCAATTAAGACGATTTACTGAATGGTTTTTTCAAACAATTGATCATCAATAATAATATGTAGAGATAGTTAATTAATACCTTTCATAAGAATAATAATAATAACAAACGAATTAATATCCTGTTAAGAATGTTAAACTGATCATACCGAACAACGTCATTTTTTCTATTTTGTTATACAATTAGTAGATTATATAGATTTATATATATATTTTTTTGTACATGTCAGATCGTTTGTTAATGGAATTATTATTTTTCTTTTGTGTAAACCAAACACTCTCGTTATCTACTTCAACACGAGTTAATTATTCGTGCGTTAGCAGTATTAAATATTAATTATCAATTTGAAACCGTTGATAAATAAAGTATTCATGAATGCTCATCATAATAATGAATGATTAAATCTGTATTCATTAATACAACATGAATTTTCATCAATAGAATTTCTATCATTGAATAAAAAATAAGGAAAAAAGTAATATTTCACTGCGTTTATACGCAAATAGCCGACCAAATATTTGTATCTTAAGATTTATTTTATTATATAAAAGTTAAATATTTATCAACTGCCTTATATATCAATTATTAATACCATTTTAATATTTAAAATATTTTCAATTATAAAATGATATCAAAAATTTGGAGATAAAAAACTTAAAAAGAATGTTAGCCGGTAAAATATGTATTTTTTATATTCGGCAGAGAAAATGTAAGAGAAAAATTTTTGATGATAAATAAAGGATAATAAAAAATAAAATAGAGAAGGTGATTTATTGAAATATCACAAATCTATATTTAGAATAATAAAATAGTTTATTGTAATCCACAGAGAGAAAAAAACAGACATCTGATAATTTTATTAATGCCTTAAATATATCACTACTGTCATTGATTGACAATAACACTGCAATCACACTCTGCTGGAAATCTCTATGGAGGACAGTATGTGAGTGCAAATTGCATGAGGAATAAGCATAAAATTCTATTAACTATTTAAAGTCTGATAAATTTGTAATGGACTTTTTGCTGTTACTATTTTGATAATGGATGGGCTGTTATAACATTAGTACATCAAAGTACTACTAATTAATTCATAAGCAAGTATATAACGATAACTAATTCATTATTAACTAATAGTAATCATAATTATAAAATAATTAAAATTATTTATAATAATAATAATAATAAGATCTTTACGTGAAATTCTAAATGATTTTTCAAGACTTTTACACTCTCATTGTTGTTAAAACTGTTTTGAGTTTATAAATATTAATAAATTATGTTTATATGATAATCAGTAGAATATTATATCACTGTGCTGCATTCTAAATTGAGATTTCTGTTTTGGATACACATTAAAATGTTTAAGTACTTTTATTATGCCGTTAGAAAACGTTGTTATAACTGTCTTAACTTTCTATTTATTTCCATGAGTGTTGCATTAACAATAGAATTTTTTTTTCATTTGCATTTTTCTCTTCTTTTGTTTATTATTATTATTAAAAATTGGGGTTTTCATTTTTTTTTTTAATTTTACGCTTTAACAGTATAAATGATGTGAAATGAAAAAGGAAAAAAAATCTAACCGAATCAATCGGACTAAAGGAGGTATATAACATTGTGCGAGGATAAATTGTAATTGCGGCAAACAATTAAATGTATAAACAATTTAATTGTTTTCTTATGGCACGCACTGAGTATATAATATATTTATATATATTCGTACGATTTTTTTTTCTGTACGTGTACTTAATATTTTTATTTTGTTTTATTTATTTTTTTTTTTTTTTCATTATTAAATGAATATTCGTAAGAATGTTAATTAACAGGCCGCGCAGTGTGGTAAATAATATTGAGTAAGACAAAATCACTGGTTATAATCCAGCATCACACAAACAGCACGTGGTTGAAATAACCGGAATCGCAGCTTTACCAATACAAAAATACTCTTTGCTGTCTATTCCACATATATCACACACTGCTGTGTATCATACTCGATACTCTTTACAGTAATTCTTACTTATTCATAATATGTCACGTTGATAAAATGTTCAAATACTGGAAATGGCATATCTTTTTAACAATTTCAAAGTTTTTTTTTTTATGCTCACACCATGGAATTTGTTTTATTTGTTTTTTTTGTTTCAATATTTAATCTTATAAATGCATGTTAAGAAAAAATTACCTGAATGTAAAAGAAATTATTTGAGTAATAATAAATTATTTATAAATTTTGGCAATTTACTATTCATCTACATACATACTATTAAAAAATATATTTTTAACGATACTAAAAAATTATCATTAGAAAAACGACTTTTCTCATTAAATATCAATTAGCTTAAATAATTTTCTACATTCAGGATAATGTTCCTCCCACATACATATATTACTCTCTTAAAATGTATAGTTTATCTATGATATAAATATGTAATTTTTATAATTCTCATTTGTAAATACTTCAAACAGAGAGGGACGTGTACTTATAACAATGTCCCGCATTTTTAGTAATTCATCATTCAGTAATAGTAATTAATCATTAATAATAATTATACTCATAATAATAGTTATTATAATATAAGAGAGAGTACTGAGAATAATGAGGAATTTGTTTGTCACCATGCGTTACATTTCACAACGTCTCAGTCATATTAATAGTAATATCATACAGTATATTAACAGCATCACAGCATGATAGCGCCCTTCAGTATAACGTAATGATTAATCCCGTTTTTTATTAGTATTTATTCATTTATATATTTATTTATTTATTTATTTTTTTTGTTATTATCTCATTTTTATTTATTTTTTCATTATTTTCATTTTCTTGTTTTTTTTTTTTTGCAAATTAATATTTTCTTTTATTGATCTTAACTGTTTATTTTTAAAAACTGATAAAACTCGAGGATACATTTCTTTTATTTTTTTTTTCGTTATTTTTTAATAAAATAGCACACCCTATACGTTTAACAGTATATCCTACAACAACCCGTTTGTAATATTTCCCTCGTATTTGATAGATTCATGTACGTCTGCTCGGGAAACAATAAAACACTTATATTGATTTTTTTTTACTTTATATAATGTGATAAAAAATGTAAAAAAAAAAAAAAAGTTGCATTCAAAATGAGAGAAAAAAATTAAATTTTTTTTTTATAATAAAAAATTGAATGCAAAATATTCAGATTCAATAGTTAAATATTATAAAAAAATTTTGTGCGTAAAAAAATACGCAATATAAATATTTATAATAAATTTTCAAAGCGTAGTAAATAGTTCATTTTAAGCGCAGAAGCAAATTTTTTGTAAGCAATTGCAGATAAAATCAACTAATAGATATATAGTTTAATTATTAAATTAAAAAAAAAAGAAGCAAATAAGAAATAAATATTTTCTTTTTTTTTTTTTAAATCGTTAAATAGTTTATACTCATGATATATAGATAAAATATATAAATATATATATATATATAAAATGACTCGAAATAAAAAATCATTAAAATTAATTTGCACGTCGCAGGGAGCGGAATGTAGCAACTCGTTCACTAGATTCTTTTTTGTTTCGTTTTGATAATAAATATCTCGATTAACGACAATAATTTATAGTATAATTAGTGCATTTGCAATCGAATAACATTGGACGAATTAATAAATAAATAGAAAAAGAGTCTATGAATAATATCAATTTGACATAGACTATTTAGAATAATAAATAAAACCGATTAAAAATATATATTCATATATATCATGATTAATTAGATGTAATCTTTAATTTTCAGCGAATTATATATCGCATTAACTTCTTGATAAACTCTTAAAAATGAATGGCAAGTAGCGCGCGGTGATGAAATTCAATTTTATAATTTAAAAAGAAAAAAGACACTGGAGAGAAAATTTGTACTTTTCTACTTATGTTTGATATCTACCACCTATAATAATTAGTTTTTTTTTCCAATTATTCAATTAAATCATCCGTTCTTTCATTAATCAATTGTCAATTTATAAACTAATAGATTCTAACGCTCTATATACTGGCTGACAAATGATTATGAGAATTTTTATTTCATATTATTATCATCATCTCGTATACTTCTGATAAATCAGCACCAAGTCTTGAATCTGTATAGAGTCGGCTAAAGAGCGAAAAAATATTGCGTGGCAGGAAGTTTATGATGAGATAATTGAAATAATGAGATTGAAAAAATATATATAAGCTCGAATTATTACTCTCGACGTGTCCTCTTGGGACGCTGATGTACTCCAATCTCATCAGTTCCTCTTGACTTTTTTCCAATTTGCACTTGACTCTGTGCAGTTAATTGCAATGAAATTGCATGAGTGTTTAATTTTTCAGCCAGTAAAAGATCCTTAAGTCCTTTCATTTTCTCACTATAAAGTGTTATCCTAGGGTTTTCGTTCTCAGAGTCTATTTCAACTTCTGGGTCAAGACTTTCCTGGGAAGTAGAAGGTGTTGGAGGTAGAGAATTGTCCTGAGGAGCAACAAATGGCTCGCCATCACCTTGAATAAGGTAATCCCTATTTAATATTTTTTCACTACAAGCAGCAGTCAAAGCTTGAATTCCTGGATGCATTGGAGCAGCATTTGATGGTACTTTAGATTCAAGCCTAGCTATCAAATCTCGTGCAACACTGCTTCTTTCCTTCGTTTTATAGTAATTATTATTATTGTTATTATTATTTGTAGCATTATTGTTATTGTTGTTATTACTCGTAGTTGTATTATTATTATTATGAAACCCATCATCCAAAGTTGGTTCCCTTCTCGATCCATTTTCGTCATCGTGTTTATTGAATGTTGGTTCAGAATCGTGACATTCTATGATCACTTGTGCTCTAATACTAGCATCGAATTTCGATATTGTATTTACCAATGGCCTCGCCCAACCTATATGAAGTACTGGAGTATTTGCTCCCTCTTCCCACTGGCATATTCCATCGTAAAATCGTAAGAGATAAGCAAAACAACGTGGCTGACGTAGCAAACGCTCATCAGCTCTCACAGTATGAGGTATTAATTCATTTGCAATTTCCAAAAGTTCTTTATAAATTTCACCATCATCACGAGTATAATCATACCTGAAAATTCATCAATTCATGCATTAAAATCGATACTGAATTTCATTACAATTCTATATAAACAATAACCATACAATCTCTCTTTTATTATTTGTTCTTTTTTTCATATTCATCAACAATGGAAATTCAATTTTTTTTTTTTTAATAATCCAACGCTAGTATTTACTCAACCCGTTAAAGATAGAAGGACATTAACTTCAATTAAAAATAGAAAAAAACAACTACTTCCGTTAGCAGCGGACGAGTATTGAATAACATATGGCAGTTTTTTTATCCTCCTAATGGAAGTTATAAGACTGCAAAGTATTTAATTTTACGGACCAACTGCCAGAATTATAGATCGTTTTAAAAACATATTTGTTAAGTTTTTATGATATTTAACGAATGGATTTAATTCTTATCATCCAATTATCGGATAAATTGATATTTTTTTACTGCTCAGTTGATTATTGCATACTAAAATAATTATTATTAAAAATAAACTACATTTCAAATGACGATAGATTATTTTTTACTGAGTTACAAGATGACTAATAGAATGTAAAGAGATAAGAATAAAATTTAAAAAACGATCGTCTTAATATAGAAATGATTATATTCAACCAATAGATCTAGAAAGTTGGGATTTGAAGAAGTTATTTACATAATATGGTCATATAAGATAATTCAGTTTGAATACGTAATCTGTCCTAATTTTGGAGGTTTTCGAATTCTAATTTGTTATATTTCATTAGAATAAATATTTAATTCTATATAAAAGATAAAATGGTGTTATTCTACATTCATTGGAATTTTTCCACTCATTCTATCTAAGAAATAACTCCGGTTGCATTATTGTATATCATTTTTAAATGTCCCAGAGTAAAGTAATAAAATGTTGTAGTAATTATTTTCTTTAAAGTATGCAGTGAAATAGTGTTTAAAAGGTTCTTGTACTAATACTAGTTCAAGCAATAATATGCAAACGAGATGTAAATAAAAAAAAATATCATTTAATATCTCTCATAACTCCGTTTAAAATTAAGCAGCATATTAAAGTTCACCGTGTAATGCTTTCTACATAATAATTTAAAATGAGAATAAAGTTATAACAAGTATAAAATAATATTTTTCTCTATTCAAATATGCTTTTTCATAACAAATAGCCTCATTTTACACGACTCTTTTTAATGATGAAAAAGCTTCTTAACTGTTTTTATTTGAATTAAAAAGTAGTTTTTTTTTTGAAATGGCTGTAAAAGTATCGATTTCTTTCAGCAAATACTGCGTTAAACAAAAAAGAACTTTTCCTTGATAGATAAATATATGATAAGAACACTTGGAGTGATGTTAGGTAAATTTACCTTCTTAGAACATCAGCAGCGTCTGCCCAAGAAGATAGTGCATTTGCATGAAGTCCATGACGATATAAATATCCACCTTGATACGTGTAAGGATAAACGTGTGCATTACCATAATACTTTCTCGCCGACCTGATTGCTTCCTGAAAAAAATTAGAAAGATATCAATGTCTGATAATGTTGACAATCAAAGTTGATGAACTAACCTGAAAAAGAACGATTGCAGGAGGTCGTCCGGGTGTTGGAGCAGCTTCTTCTAAATCTCCAAGATTGCCGAGAGCCATTGGATATTTAGCTAAATGACCCAAGTCATAAAGTAACCACAAAAGTTCTTGCTGGAGAAGTGCAACCTCAGCAGCATCTGCTGTTGCACTTAGACTAGGATTTATCGCGGATACAATAGTTGCAACTTCCATTGCTCGCGTACAAACAACAGCATGACCATTGACGTATAACCAAGAGCGTGACGCGACACCTGCCTCTACCGGCTGGCCTCTCTTATCTTCATTTCCCTTGCCTAAAATCATTATTAATTAATTATTTATTGAACTAAATATATTAATAAGACAACCAGATGCTTTTTTACATACCATGCCACGTAACCTCGACAGTTTCACTGCCGTCTTCCCCACAAACAACCCACGCATGGTCCTCGGACATTGCTAAATGAACATCCTTGAACCCTAAAACTTGACAACCGGCAACAACAGCAAATGCTACTCCAAAACAGTCAAGTTTATTAGCTGTGAGGTAGCTGTAAAGACTCTGAAGATGAGCTCGATCTTTGTAATAACTTCTTGTCAAAGAATTCCATATTACGTCTGATACTCTTTTAACAAGTTCTCTTGTAGCATATTTTGTGTCATAAAGTGTCAAATCAATCGCACCTTTAATTACTGCATGAAACTTGGAATATAAAGCTTCAGCAATGTGATATTCGAGAGCTGGAAGCTTTGGTTCATCATAAATAGTATTTTCCGGCGACGCAACTGTACGATTACAGGTTAGAGAATTTTCTACGGCGCCAACAAGTATTGAGAGCAATGTCAGATCTGGTTCTGAATTATTTGATAATTGTTTTTCGAATATTTGAACAATTGAAGAAATACTGCGGACTGGAAAAAAAGCTTTGAGTTCTTGTAAACTCGCCATGGCTCGGTCACTTACAGACCGAAGCCAAAGCTTCACACCACGCACGATTTACACTTCTTTCACTCTCTCTACTACGTTTCTTTTGACTCTTCTCCGCAGTTTTATGCTTCTATTCCGTTCGAGAATCCACTCGTACTCCAGTCACTGTGCGCGGCAGCTGAACGTTCGAGAGACAAACGTACGAGTTCACACGAAAATACCCGAAAGACTCCGGTTATTTATGTTACACGATTCTCGCTAACATACTTTTCCAGGTGTATTTTGCTTTGTACTAACCTCACTGAAGCCGGCCTTCACAACATTTTATCAACAAAATGACAGCTTTTGAAGGTTTATCAACGATTTTCTATTCATTTTGTCATTTATCTCTACTTCTTTACCAATTTTTCTCATCCTTTGTCTTTCAGAAATGGGCGTACTGCCTGAAATCGCCAAAGCCACTGAGGATATGGAATGGACGTAAGTTTTTTCCTCATTTAAAGCTCCAATGAACATATAGCTCCAATAAAAGACATTCAGAAATATATTCAAATATCAACAATAAATTTTCCTTAGGCTACCAACTGATGTCCAAGCTGAAGCAGTTCCATTAATTCTTGGTGGTGGTGATGTTTTAATGGCAGCAGAAACAGGAAGTGGAAAAACTGGTGCTTTCTGTTTGCCAATTCTACAAATTGTTTGGGAAACATTAAAAAATATAGAGTCTGGAAAAGGATCTAAAAAGTCTGGTGGTCAACGAATATGTAAATTTTTTTAAAATTGTATTCTTTTGTATGAGCTTTTCTTGGTAGAGGTTATAATGACTGCTAAACATATCAATTGAAATATTTGCCATACAGCTTGTTATTCAACTTTAATTTATTCAGAACATTAAGAGACTAATTGAAGGTAATTTTTATTTTAGCTTCCCAATGGGCTCTCAGTCTTTTCGATCGAGGTCGAGCTATGGCTGTAACTCCTGATGGTTTACGATGTCAAAGTCGGGAACAAAGAGAGTGGCATGGATGCAGAGCAAACAAAGGAGTGCAAGGGAATGGAAAATATTATTTTGAAGCGACAGTAACTGATGAAGGATTATGCAGAGTAGGATGGTCTACTTCACAAGTAATTATTTTCGCTATAAACATTGCCATTCCAATTGTATTATTATCGTGGTTATATTATGACACTTAATTTAGCATTGTTCTCGTCCAATGTCCTTTTAACTTAGTTCAACCAACAATACCCTAACATATTTTATAAACCTATAATTTAATTCATCAACTATTGATGCAACAATTAAATCAATTATTATCGTTATTCATGTGTAATGATAACGCTTCACCTACTTCTCTACTACATTTTCAAAGCTTAATTACTATTATTCAATAAAAAATTTATTATATTACAGGCAAGCTTAGATTTAGGAACAGATAAATTTGGATTTGGATTTGGTGGAACAGGGAAAAAATCAAATTGCAAACAGTTTGATAATTATGGTGAATCATTTGGAATGCACGACGTGATTGGTTGTTTATTGGATTTAGACAAAGGAGAAATAAGATTTACAAAAAATGGAGTAGACTTGGGCAAAGCATTTGATTTAAATGCCCAACAAAAGTCACAAACATTCTATCCAGCAGTAGTGTTGAAAAATGCTGAAATGTCATTTAATTTTGGAGCACAAACTTTCAAACATCCACCACCTAGTGGATTTATTGCCATTTCAGCTGCTCCAAAGGAACGTGTTAAAGAGAATCCTGTAAGTGACAGTGGCCAAACTCAAAGCGGTGATTTGACACCTCCAACAAATGCACCTCAAGCTATTATTATTGAACCATCTCGAGAACTTGCAGAACAAACTTATAACCAAATAGAGAAAGTAAGATGAGTTGATATAAGTCAAATGGGAGTATGATTTAAATATTTTATTAATTACTTTTCTTTTTTATAGTTTGGTAAATATCTAAAAGATCCTGTAGTCAAACAATTACTAGTAATTGGAGGTGTTGGAGTGAAAGAACAAATATCAGCGTTAAATTCTGGAGTAGATATTGTAGTTGGAACACCTGGGCGTCTAGAAGATCTTATTCAAGGTGGATACTTAGCATTAACCCACTGTAGATTTTTTGTCCTCGATGAAGCTGATGGGCTTTTAAAACAAGGATATACTGATTTAATTGATCGAGTACATAAACAAATTCCAAAAATGACCTCAACTGGAGAACGATTACAAATGATTGTCTGCTCTGCAACATTACATGCTTTCGAAGTCAAGAAATTAGCGGTATAGTAGTGATTAAAATCGCATTAAAAAAGTATAACTGATATCGTTAGGATATAAATTAGTTATTAAAAAATTATATTCTTTATCACAGGATCGTTTAATGCATTTTCCAACATGGGTTGATCTAAAAGGCGAAGATGCTGTACCTGAAACTGTTCATCATGTCGTGGTAATGGTTGATCCTCAGAAAGATAAATCTTGGTATAATCTAAAACGTCATATTCAAACTGATGGTGTGCATTACCGAGATAATGTTCAACCTGGAAGTAATACACCAGGTAAATTATTAAGCATGTTTAATTTATTAATGCACAGTAATCTTGGGTAATTTTAAACCTCAGAAGTTTATTGGATCATATAATACTGTAAATAACTTTTTTATTACAGTTAATATGCGCGATCAAATAATAATTTTAATTTTTTAAAATAATTTGTTTAAAATTTCTTCTTAGAAACTCTCTCGGAGGCAATAAAAATATTAAAAGGCGAATATTGTATCCGAGCAATCAGAGAGCATAAAATGGATCGAGCTATAATATTTTGTCGTACTAAACTTGACTGTGATAATCTTGAGAGATATCTAAAACAAATGGGATCTAGTGAATTTTCTTGTGTATGCCTTCATGGTGATAGAAAACCCCAAGAACGGAAATCTAATCTAGAGAAATTTAAAAGAAACGAAGTCAAGTTTCTTATCTGTACGGATGTTGCTGCAAGAGGATTAGATATCACGGGTTTACCTTTTAGTAAGTATCTTACTGATTAAATTTAAAAATTATGATTTAAAATCATTTCAATGTTTACAGTGATCAATATCACTCTACCTGATGAAAAATCTAATTACGTTCATCGTATTGGTCGAGTTGGTCGTGCTGAACGAATGGGTTTAGCAATTTCTCTAGTCAGCAGTGTGCCTGAAAAAGTTTGGTATCATGGTGAATGGTGCTCAAGTCGTGGAAGAAATTGTAATAATTCCAATTTAACTAATCAAGGAGGATGTTGTATTTGGTATAACGAACCACAGGTCAGTTAAAAACAGAAAGATTAAAATTTAACAAAGATAATGATTGATATAGAGATGAATCTATTGTTTGTTTAAACACAAACAAAAGATAAAAAATGATGAAAACTATTAGATAACATTCACTGTTCACTGTCAACTATTTTTTCAGTATCTTGCTGATATTGAGGATCATTTAAACGTGACAATACAACAAGTCGGTCCAGATATCAAAGTTCCAGCTGATGAATTTGATGGCAAAGTTATTTATGGTCAAAAAAGAATGGAAACTGGCACGAATTATCAAAATCATGTCCAACAAATGGCTCCAATTGTTGCAGATTTGGCAAAACTTGAATCTCAAGCACAATTGTGTTATTTAAAAAGGCATTTAATAGCTCATTAATACGCTTATTGAAATAATATTCCATTTACCTATGATAATAATTAAAAATACTGAAATTAATTTAATAATTAGTATCTACCAGCTTTTATAATTTAAATATGAATAAAAAATATTTAGAACCGAAGGAGAAGTGTGTTATAACGATAAAAGCATTTATCATTTATATAAGACATACGATAAGTATTTATTGTATTTTCATAGCTTTATAATCATTAATAGACTTTAGTTACACAAACGTATGATACAGTGGCTCCACAGCGTTTCATCTTTTAATTTTTATTACTCATTTTGTTATTTTTATTAATTCATTTCTTTATGGTATTCTAGATGCATCTGTGACCGTGCGAATTAGACATATATCCGTATATATGTCATTGAAATTTATCAGACAAGTTCTTAGTACACCTAATACACATTTTATGGCATGTAAATACGTATTTCGAAAGCCATTCTAAACGACTATCTCGCACAATGTACAAATTACACGATCATAGTTTTTTATTTTATTTATTTTAATTATTAATAAGAATTTTCACTTGTCATATATTTTTTTTGTTTCATAAAATGCTGGACTTGTATATTCCTAAAATGTTTTTTTTTTTATCATTAATTTAATTTACCTGACTTAAATTGTGTACACCCAACGACTATTTAAATTTCTTTATATTACCAATTATTTTTTCTCATTTTCTTTCAACTCTATCATTTAATTATTAAATTAAGTTTACGTGAATATTTCATATTCAAACAGTCATCACAGAATGAGAATGAAATATTTGTTTTTTTTTTTGTTTTTTTTTAATTTGATAATCTAGAAAAAATTAATACAATCATATTCATAATATCATTCACAAAATGACATACATACAGGTATTATTTAAGACATTCATTCATTGCTTCTCCATTTAATTGATTTATTTATTAAATTCATGTATGTGAAAACTCAATATTTGTCAATTAATTTAATTATTACTCAATAAATGTTTATTTATTGAGTAAGTTTATTCACTTACGTAAATTTAAATTAGTCTATTTAATTGAAATTCATTATTTCATGCCATCATTTTAATAATTAAATTACGATATATGTAGATAAAAAATAAATAAATGTACGTGCATATGACGTTTATCAAAAAAATTTGTGGTCGCGAAAATTTAGGATTAGCGAATTAACGATCGAATGAAAGAACATTATTACTTTTCTACATGATATAGAATTATCATTCAACCACATTAAGATCGCTATTTGTTATTGACAGCGGCTTTATTATTATTACTTTTTGTCACTTTCCATCATCTCATGATCATATATAAGTAGCTTTTAAGTTACCCATAAAAGTTTATTCATTACTAAAGGAAATTGTACCTCCTATATCAATACCAATTTATTATATTTCACGCATACATTACGTCTAATTACTTGATTCTTGACTCCTTCATAGCAGTAATTGCTTTTAAGTCGTATTTTTTTTTTTTTTTCATTCTTTTATTTTTATTTCTACTCTAAACATATTTGTTTAAATTTTTTTTTTTTTCCTAGTAAGAGAAAGTTGAAGGATGAAGGAGTGATAGAACAAGAGATACATGGGCCTTTTTTTAATAATAAACATCGACTATTTACCCTCCTTAATCGTTCGGCAAAATAGATTTTCATTTATAAATTTTCATTATAAGTTTAGTTTAAAAAGTTTTTAATTAAAAATGTGATGATGATTATTTGTTTTTCTTTTTTTTTGTAGCTCGGTGATTGCTTCAAATTACATTTCATTCTATTTTGTAATTTCTTCTCTTAGATCACTAAAACTTATTTTCATTTGTAATTACCCTCATTATATATACATTTCTCATCCAAATAATTGTTAATACAATTGAACTATAATGATTTAATTAAATATATTCATTAGAGTAAATTATTTTTATTGTGATAATAATGAAGATGTTATAACCACATGATTGAGGCACAAAAAAATTATTTCAGTTATTATTGTATATTTTTTCACGTATCAGGATTATTTTTATAATGCACCCGAGTTTATGATAGATATGATTTCTAAAAGTTGTATGCTCAATTACACTTATTTCTGATAAATTTCAATCTTTACGATGCACAATAATGGTATCTTTTTATATGATTTTTATTTCATTACCTGATTATTGAAATATTGAGTTAAAAAATTCACTTAAATCCATCTTCGATTGCATAATAATTGAATTAAATTAAAAAAAAAACAATGACTGTTTTTCCATTCTAAAATTACGAGTAAATGAGATGCAATGATATCAATTGATTAGACTCAAATAGATATGGATATTTGATTGAATGCAACATTATTAGCACGTAAGAAAGGATAGTTAATATAAATCTATTAAATAGAATATATTAGAGGACACAATTAGACGTTGCATTCAAACATTTACTTTTTTGATTTTAATCACAGACTTAAATTTTTTTATTAATGGCTCGAGTAATGCTGGTACGCTAGTTATAATCAATACGTATTATTTCTTTAAATTAAATTAATATTTATTATTTAATTATTTTTAAATGCGTATTGGTTTTAATTTAACGCTTATCATTATTTATTATTATTCTTTAATACGTATGAAAATCCTTTGGCGTACTTTAACATCATGATATATGACAAATAAATTTTCTAACATCAACGTGTTTTATAATTGATCATTTCAAACATTTTCTTTACAATTTCATTCTTTCATTATTAAAAAATTTTTAGCCAATAATTAATTCAAATAATCTTACGTCAATACTGAACACCATTTAATCACCAAACAATCCTATACTTTCATACAATAGTGTAATTATTTAAATTATCTTTTCTATTACGTTGGCCATCGACTTGTGAAATCATCAACATGATAGCACATATCTTTTCCTTATTAAATGTACGACCAAGCCATTTGTAAAATTATTATATTACCACGCAAGAGTTAACAATTATTGATAAGTATAAATAACATTAAAGAACTTACTTCTTATTATCATTAAATAATTCATTAATAATAATTAATGATAATAATAAAAGAAGCACAGCGCGAAGTAGTATATAATGCAGACATTACTGCAATGGTATAAATGGTTCAAATATATGTATATATATATAATTTAAATATTTATATGTATATATATATGTATATTATGATAAATATATACATTGAAAAATTGACTTATAATTGGTATATGAAAATACGAAAACGAATCTTAATATTTGACTCTGCCTCATCATATACCTTGGTATTGTTTATACTTGCATTAATTTTCTATTTTATTCCATGATGATTTAATGTATAAACTACATTGACAACAGCATTTATAATTACAATGGCAATAATATTTAAACGTATTTCATAAATAATTATGATAGGTAATCGTGGCGATGTAAATAATTGTAATTATTTACTGATAACAATAATCATTAACCGACCGATTGCTTTTCCAATAGTAAAGGAAAGAGCTGTGAAAGTTTATCGATATCGGTAATAAGAGATTTTTCAACGTACAATAAAAATAATAATAATGGTAACAACAACAATAATAATCTAGTCAATGACCAATAGAAAATTCTTAAATAGCAAGACTTTATGATGTTCATTAACGGCTTTTTTTAATAGACTTTTGTTTATTTATATTTTATTTATTAATAATTTTACTATTTCATATTAGTGTTAAATAATTGCCGCTTTATAAAGAAATTTTTATTACATAAACTAGAGTTTGACTTTTTTTTTTATTTACATTATTGTTTGTTTGGAATATTTGGAGTTCAGTACAGACATAAGAAAAAATTTAATTATTAATTTCTTTAGATAATTATTAATCATCGCAATCGCTCTAAAACCAGTTCAAAAATTTTCTCTTATCGAGGCCTCAAAAAGAGATAGATTAACAATAGACGTTTAAAAAAAGGAAACAATGCACGATATTATGGACTTGTAATTTTTTATATAACAATCATAAACTTGTGCGATTGGCAATAAAAAATAAACATTAGTTATTCAATCAATTAATTTTTTCATTCTTTTTCAGTATTTTCACACAAGATTATACACTTTCATTAAACACACTCGCATTCATATTTGTGTATTTTCTTTTTTTGTTTTAAATAACAATGGCATCGACAATAGACTTCTAGATAGTGTCTATAAATATACTTCGTATTAATTGGATGTATTTTTATGTTTATAATTTATTTTATTCGACGTAGCATTTCATGGGAATCTATTATTTCTATGTATTTCAAAGCTCATTATTATGTTTAATAAATTATGCATTATAAATTCTGCTTCAAACATAATTGAAAAACAGAAATTAATTCAGGCGCCAATTATTCATAAATATTCAGTTTTGTGCCAAAACGAAGTTATTTTATGATTAACAAATTACATATATAAATTACATGACACCAATATTTTTTTTTGTCTAATTATCATCAAATTGCACGTGTATAATGCGGTAAAATTGCCAACTTAAAAATAGTTTGACATTATAAATAAATTTAAAAATTGCTAAAATCTTTTAAAGACATGATAAATGTAATAGACACTTTATTAATCGAATAATTAATCAATCGTTCATTCGTTCAATAATTAAATAGTCTATTAAAAATTGTGTGCGTGTAAACGTGCGTGCACGCTCGACAAAATGTTTTACAAAAACATAATGATAATACAATAATTATTATTAATTTGTTTTACGAATGAATATAATTAAATATAAATACTAACATTTAAAATTTACTAAAAAGTTAGTTTACAAGTTGCACAATTATGATAAAATGTTTCAGTTGCATGTATAAAAATTTTTTACATTGCATTAATTGGCCTCATCATACATTTAATTGCTGTTCTGCGGCCTGTTGCGTTGTTATTTTTATGCGTGCGCGCACGTACATGTTTGCTTTGCAAATGTAATAGTAAAATTGAAGAATTTAATTTTTTTAAAATCATAACATACCCTTTCATACTCGTATACACGTATATACGACTGTACACTCATATTCACACACTTTATATAGATTTATTTTTTTTCATATGTGTTTATATATATATATTTATGAATTATTTGTTTTATATATACACACATAATGATTTTTTTTTTGTCATACACACATATTCCATATTCTGGAAGAGTTGACTAAATCGTTTATTTTTAATTTTAAGATAATTAAATCAAATTTAATTTTATTGTATTTTTAAATATATGCAAAACACTATTCGTTTCATCACTTTCGTCACGTTGGAATAACGATGTACCGAATGTGTAAGCACAATCATAAATTGTCGAAGAGATGTGTCGAGCATCCTCTCGTAAGCCCGTTGTAATCTCCTGACCGGCGGTGGGCTTTATCAAGATAATATTTACAGACTTGATTTAATAACTTTCATTGACGTTTTTACAATGTAATTATGAAAGAAAAAAAACAAATATAAATCTATATTTGTAAAAAAGAAAACAAACATAAAATGAAATTAAACGGAAGATCCTAATTGTCGAGATGTAATTATTAAATAATAATTACTCAAAACTGAATAATGTGATAATTATTTAATATACAATTAGTTTAATTAATAAAATTCTATAATTAAAACACTCCTTGAAATACTGTAAAATTTCATAAAATACTTGTTACATAAAAAATTATGTAAATGAAACGTTTTTTTTTGAGAATGTGCCATTTGATATAAAATAAATGTTGGAGACTGTAAAAAGTTGTTGAGGTTCAAAGCTATTAGAGATTCAACTGTGTAAGAAATGGAGTCTTTAGGAGATTCATATTCTTATTGAAAAGAACACTAAAATGATTACAGCAAGCGAATGAATACAATGAATACCATGAATTATCTCTCAATGCTTTGTAAAATAGAATTCGAATCAATTATTTATCATTCATACAATATTCGCGGATACACAATTTCCTACGGTAACAAATTCACTGTTCGCCCACCTAGGAACACGATTTGTACAAATAAAAAATATTGTTCGAGGTAACAAATCACAGTGTATTAAGTGGGACATTGAAAAAAAGAATAAGAAAAATAAATAAACTTTATTTTGTTGTTGTTTTTCTCTTACGAGCCTTTGGAGCTTGTATCGCGTATATATATATAATCTTGTTCATCTCGCTAGAAAAGACAATTCTGCCGGCCGATCAAGGAGAGGAATTAGTGGCTCGTTAAGTTTAACCTTCATTAAATAATTTGATTTGGTAAAGCTTTGCTCTTTGTAGAGAAAATGAATTTTAGACGTTATTTAATGCCCCATAAATGACATTATCCATGACTGCTCACGCGTATGTTTATATATTAATATATTTATATATAATTAACGTGTGTGAGTGTATGCAATTATAATTAATAAATCCGTTCATTTTCCATATTTTCTCTCATCGATAAATCGACACATTATTGAATTAATGATAGTTGCCGAGACATTTGGCGTTTATCTTGATTAATTCGAGACGATATAGAGAGGGTTATGAAATGGAAAATAATTTTCTTGGGCAGACGACACTAAGCAACGGCAGGAATGAAGTCACAAGAGCTCATATTGACGCAGATGCATACGCTGAATTATGTCACGACAGTCATTGAATACTCTCTTGATGTTTTCCGTGTCGACTGCGCACGTAAAGTGAGGGTAACAGTAGTGTTTGCCATCTCCACTGGCCGTACTGATGCGCTATAAGGATCATTAACACCAAAGAAAAAATCATTATAAATATTAATTCCAACTCTAAAAAAATAAATACTTGATATAATGTATTACCAATACTAATAACTTACAAGAAATTCATCTCTGATGAAATATTTGGCTCGTATCACTTCCGGAGGTTCACTAGGATCTGCTACTACACCAGGCTCCACTGGTGTTTGATATCGCGAAAATTCCGGAAAGTAGTCCTCCAATTTGTGCTTACCTGCCTTTATTTTTTCCGCTAAAAGATCTTGTTTATTTAAGAACAAGATTACTGATATCGTTCGAAGCCACCTAATTAAGGTAAATAACAAAATATCCATTAATCAGTATTCTATAATTCTTAGAATTAATTGATAATTAATTAACAAAATAACTTCTTGCCAAATACCATTTATCATTCATGCTACATATATTATTTTGGCTAAAGTTTAGGTCAAATATAACTACTTAAATAAATAATATTAATGTTATTTTTAGTCGGTTAATTCATCATGACGATGATGATATGGATCATTAACAAATTATGTATCCAAGAACAAATTTTTTGATAATTAAATTGACTACATTTACAATCTACTTTTAACATTGAAAATAAATCTTTTCTGACCCATATAATGTTAATCAAAAAATACCAACAATTCTTTTCTTTAACTGTTTTTTATGTGCATATAAAAATTTACAATCAATAAGACTGTCTATAAATAACATCCCCAACTGTATAAAAATTATTAGCTTTATTTTCAGTATTGATTTAATATCTATTTCTCTAGAACGTTAATTAAATTCGACTTAAAAATTATATAGACACTTTATAAATTATAAATAACAATACTTTCAATGATTTTATCATTATTTATACAGATAAAATATAAATGTAGTTAATTTGGCCTCTAAGAAGTTAATATTAATACAATTCTAGAAAGTCAAAGGGCGGAGTTAGGAAAACTCACCGATTATTCCAAATGCTTTTAAATAAGTCGAGACTTTCCCTGAGTCTCAATTTAGTTGGGTCTTCCCTGAGCACCATATTATAACTACTACATGCAGTGACAAATATAATCGCTGTTACATCATTAAAACACTGTATCCACTTTCTCCTTTCATCTCTTTGCCCACCAACGTCGAACATACTGCAAATTGAGATAGTATAGTGAATATAAATTGTAATTAGTTCTCTAAAGATTAATTAATGATCGATTGACTAAGAGCACTCACTGGAAGTTAACTTTGTCGACTTGAAACCGCGTTTCAAAGATACCTGATGTGAGAACACGACACCTGAGGATGTCCTGAAACAAATATACATTTCAAATAAATACATTTATTCACGCTTAATTACTCTAATCAGTTAATTATTTAATTAATTAATTAACATTGTATTGTTGAATTATATTAATTTACCTGCTCGGTTGGTGTATAATCCGGCTGCTTCACGATTGCAACTTTGTCTAGAAAGCTGAAAAATAAGAAGAAAAAATTGAAATAATATTAAAGCAAATGAATAAAAGTTTGAAAAATCAATGAAAATAATTTATCTGATTATTTAGCTAATGTTGATGCTGAATAGATTACTCTAGACATTTTAACAGCAATGAAAAGAGTTTAAATGGATAGGAATTGAATTAAAACGAATTCATATAAAAACAGGTCGGATATAAGAGAACATAGAAGAGTGGAAGAATAAAATTGGAGGATAGTGAGCGATGGTGAGAGGGCGAGGAGGTAAATCGATCGGTCGTAGCAGCCGCGGTGGTGTCCTACCCTAACCCCGAGCTCCACTCCATACCAGCCTTGTTCTCAGTGACCGAACGAGGGACTCTAGGTTCTATACCTAGAGATACTAACCCCAGCAATCCAGGATGATAACAAGAAGACAAAAAAAACGCCAAGAAGCTAAGCCCAACTATCAATAAATCACACTATTACTTTATCATGTATTCCCTCTCGTGACCTAATCCTTCCCCACGTCCTAAAACTGTTCATTTGTTGACATACTTAACCATAAAGAATCAGAATAAACTGGCTTAAAAATAAATTTCATTTTTTTTCCTGTTTTAATTTAAGGTTTTAAGAGAAAGAACTGTGGTGTTCCCAGTGATTTTCTTTAGCTATTTTTAATTTTAATGTGCGATAAGATAAGATAAAAATTTAACATATATTTTGTTAAGAATAAATTTAGTATTTAAAAGTTATTTTTAAAAATACTATATTGCTAGAAAAAATAGCAATCTCCCACGGGTTATACTTTTAACTCATCTTTTGAGCATCAATGTTATTAATCTCATTCAATAATTTTGCAGTTAAAGTCAGAAGAAAATTATTGATAAATAAAGCATGTTATTTATAACTTTGTCCTTTTTTTTTAGCTTTATAGCTGTTGTATTTATTCTAGTAATAGTGTAACGCAGAAGAAAAAAGTTATCTTCAATATCTGCATTTTTATTTAATTTTTCATTATTACCAGTAAATATAAAACTAATTCTATGGTACAAATTTAATTTATTTAATGGCTAAAGATCATATTAAAAATATATACATAATTGATTATTTCCATTCAAAGCTATGTTATTCAGTAGCTTTTTCATTTATTCTCATTGTAATATCATAGTAACATGTTGAAAAAAAGTACTTTAAAGGTAAAGTCAATGTCAAAGGTCATCTTCATTTGTTACTTTTGTTTTGAGCTTAGAAAGTTGTAATTGTATCCAGTAATTAACAATTGAATAGAATATAAATATGGTATAGTGATGAATAGAATTTAAATACTTCAAAAAAAAAAATGTAAATCAAGATAGAATAGTTATGCTGAATGATAACATTTTTGGAATAATAAGATGAATTGCAAAATGATAAATGTCTAGATGAAGACTCTTGGGGAATGATGATGAATTGGTACAAGGGGACATCAAGTTTGCAAGGACCACTGGGCTATCTTGTCGCGTGTATCTACACGCTTCTTCGTATTTTCGATACTTTCTAAAAATATCTTTGCTATTTATAGCAACAGCCTCTTTGGTTCTCGCGGCTCTGACAAACAGGAATGAACGTTAAATTGCCAAGCCAAAGTCGATTGTTTGTTCATCAAAATTGCAACAAAAATGTCAAATAGTTTATCTTTTTATCCTTCCTGCTACTCAACTTTTGAAGTTGTTGGATAAATTTGCGACGAGTTTCATCTTCATGAACATCAAGTTAGCCAATTATTAATGTGGTGTTGTTAAATATAATCATTTTTGTTAATGGTGAAGTTATTTTACCAAAGTAATTGATTGAAATATATCTGATGAAATATTAATATTAATGTTTGTATAAAAAAGTTGATTTAATTTTAGTGGAATGATTAATTGTGTTTACTTGTAAGCTTCATAAGCTGCAACACGAGCGATAAAATACATCTATTGCGGGGGACACGGATAAAACTTGCAGCTAAAAATAGTCGTCGGTTGGTATAATTAAAGCATTGAACAATATGAGCGCGCGAAAGCAAGTCACAAGGTAGGCAGACGAGTCAGTAACGAAATGACGTTATAAACTAGACATAAAAGTCGTAGGTGATCATCATATAGAAGGTCATGCATCACTAAATGACAAATGATGGCAACAAAATAATAGATAAACAAAAAAATATTCGATGTCCAATAATCCATTTTTTCATCGAAAATTTAGTTTACCATTCAGAATAATTATTCAAATCAACTTCTTATTACTCAAAATTTCCCAGCTTTTACATTCAATGTTTTTGAGTTGAATTTTTTATAAATCTTTTCTACCATAAATGATTATTACACTCAATTATTTAGTTGATAAATAAATAGTTAATTATCGTGTTAGTTACTGAATTAATAATTTAAAATCATACTCCAAGAGTTGATTTAAAAATCAACATATTTAATAATTTCAGTGCTCTATTAATAATAAAGCACTGAGCACAGACAAATCTCTAATGAAAATAAAACAAAATAATTATTAATTGTTTTGATGACTAGAAAACGAGAAAGAAATGTTTAGTGACACATTTTATAATAATCTATGGTTATTTTAAAATAAAATAAACAAACAAAGAATATGAGAATTTGTTGATAAAATTTGTATATTACTGACGTCATTTTTCTTTAAGAATAAAAATAGTCTTCATTATGAACTTACGTTAACTTGTGATAAATTTATGACATACGTGTGGAGATAACTATCACAGAATTTAGTTAGTTAGATTCATATAATGTTCATTTGTGTTCTTCATTAATTCATCATATATTCACCTTGAGTTCTTAATGAACTTCATTAATATTTAGAAAGATTTCTTTTTATTATAAATTAATAAGTGATCATTTATTTTCTAATAAATATCAATTTTTATTATATAATTATTATATAAAATACTTTAATATTTTATTTCTTTTATTAATTGTTATTTAATTGTATCTCATTAATATTCGAAAGACGACTTTTGAGTTCAAAAAACTTTAGCATTTGGTAGAATGTAAAGTAAGTATTATGATTGATGTAAAATTAAATCAATATTTAAAGCAATGATTCATTTCTTATTTCAACTTAACATGAAAAAAATCTTGAGCACATCATTCAATATGTACCTGCTAACATATTGATTAAAGTAAAAATGACTTTCATGATGATGTCATTTCTAATGATGGAAAAGTTTTGCTACATTTATGGAACTGACTGGTTTATTACTGCTTGAAACATCTGACAAATTTATGTTTCAAATATAATTAATTTTGTGTTAAATCGATTTAATTTCGAAATAATAGTTAAGATATCTAAATATAATCAACTAAAATACTAACAAAATAACTTCGAAGGTTTCAAAAAAGAAAAATTTTTTTCAATTTATTAATAGATAAAAAAATTATTCTTCTGCTAAAAATATCTCGAAAGAGCTATTAAATTAATTCAGCTTGTTATTTAAAAAGTTAGATTGGAGTTTTCCGTAATAACCCAATTTTTTTACTTCTAAGATGCTAATTTTTCTTCATCATAATGATCTAGGCAAGTATAGGATATAAATAAAAATCAAAACTATAACTAAAGTTACAAAATTCAAGTTAAACTCCTTGTCAATGTGAGTATATATACCATTACACTAGTGAGCTATTATGCAAAGCGATTACCTCGTTGAGAGATATTGTCTCAACTATTGGCGACAAACGACTCTAGCAAACTAGTATCTCCTCCCCCGCTGAGTTACAACGATCACTCTGGTCTCCCGTGGACTCAATATTACTGATTCCTCGTATGCACGAATAAATTATCCAATTTTTTTGCTCCCTAGTGAAGCTGATTCGAATGCTGATTCTTATTTAAGAGAAAAAAAAACGTATACGAAAAGAGGGGAAAACAGTGAGTGTAGGCGGTGTAATAAGTATTCACCATTTTTTATCTTCTTGTGAATACTATCCGTATGCCGTAACGCCTACGTTATCGCCCTTTTTATCATGATTATAGATACCAGTGTCGCGCGACTTGATAACGGAAACTTTGCCAAAGATAGGCATTCATAATGAGAGATTTAAAAACCTCAAAATCATCATGTAGATAAGAGTGAAAATTACTTGATAATAATTATTTCTTTTTTTGCATTTATCATCCATCATATTATTCTGTGTGAATAATCAAGTAATAAATAAACTCACTATTTAGCGCAGTCAATCAATTGGTACTCGTTACTCCTTTCAAAGCTTTGCTGGACTCCCCGATCTTTCCAGAGGGCTTCAACGATTCCATAAAACTCCTGAAAATAAATCAAGTAATTTATTTTATTTGCTTCAGTGATATGATTGATTAATAAAATATCTCAATAACAAAATAATAAAGATGTGAAGGAGAAAATAGGAAAAAGAGTGTAAATGAAGATAAAAAGCTCAGACTGAGATGGTAAGCAACCTGTGTTGGATGACCAGGTTTATGTCGCGCCCGCGCGCTTCGTTTCGTTTATTAATAAATTCTCTTGGTTCGACGTTACTTCGATTAATCGATTGGCCAAAAGCCATCGCTGTCCTTCAAATAAAACATTAATTTTTGAATTGATATGCCGTATTATTGTATCGAAGCATCATTTGAATAAAAAATATATGTATATGATATGAAATAAAAACAGTATCTTCTTTATCTCTTTTTCCTTTTCTGCACTCATTTTGTTGGTCTTTTATGCAAACATCATTTAGATATGATTTGATTGTCTTTCTTAAAGTCAAGATATTTTGCATGTTCTTCATCTTCAAGTTTCTACATGTCATAATCTCTTTAAAGAGAAGAAAACAATACTGTGTGGTATACAAGCGACGACTGCTGACTCACCGGAGGGTAATCAAAGTCTGGGGAAGACGATACGTCCAATACATAGTCGACTTTACTCTGATTTGATGGATCCTCGAGCGTCACAGGTGGCGTCAATGTGCTCATGGCGCTTGTTATCGTCTGAAATAAATTTATCAAAGTTGATTGTTATTTTATCATATATAATTGAGCGATTGATTTACCGATCGTTTAATGATTATCAAACAATTATACTTACCACGATTGCATCTCTGATGTTTTTCTTGATATCTTCTATTTTTTGCCGCTTCTCCCTGCAATATTATGGCAATTATTTTAGTTGTAAAATCATCAATAACATGATCCATCAATAAATAAAAAATAAACATTATAATCACAGTAGAGAACATCAGTTAATCGAGCATCACTAGTGGTGACAATGACAAGATTAACAGAATAAACTTACGCTTCACTGAAGCCGTTGACGTGCAATATCCTCATTTGTTTGACGATCGTGCTTTTACCGGACTCTCCCGCCCCTGCAATTTATGCCAACAATTTATTATTCACATTCGAATACATATTTTAGTTGATTTTATGAATTAAAAAATATTATATAGTAATCAGACATAATAAAAAGATATTTATCGAATACAACAGCTAATACATGTGTGAATAATAATTAAATGTTTGAAAAAAGTAATTGATATATTTATAGATAATTATTTTTTCCTTAGGAAAGTGTTGAGAATTATCCACGTCGTAAAATACATCATATAATGATAATTATGCTGAGAAATAATGTCGTCGACAGCTGTTGCTTTGTGGCCGGAGACTGGCCCCTGTCATACACAAGACGTAAGACGCTTGGTTCCAATTGGAACGTCGTTGTATAAAACGCACCGTTGCAAAAATAGAAAGTTGAGAATATTTATGTCAGTTGCTAGTTGTTTGCTTCAATTCTAACAGAACTTACATATTCACCTAATGTATTAGCTGAGATTAATGAACAAATACTGATTATTTTTATTGATTATTGATGATGATGATGGTAATAATAAGTTGAATATTGAATTGAAAATTTAAAGTAAAATGTAATGCATACCAAGTAACAGAAGCCTGTGTGTGGCTCTGTAAACTTGTTTATCCTTCTGCAACTGCCTCGTGATCGCATCTGACCGCCTCTTCTGGTTCTTACTGTCATCCTGACTAGCCTTACTGCTCTGACTCCCGAAACACCCCATGACATACGAGCCACACAGCTTAATTTCTTCCTTCGTCTTCTGTCTATTCACTCTACTACACCCACTTAATTATCCGTCAAACAACACGCCACGAATTATAGGCGTGAGTATCACAGACCTATCGGACGATATTTCTATCGCAAAAGCGAGAAATAAAGGCTCATACACAGCACTGGCCTCTGCAAAATAGCAGAGAACACTTGAATAATTGAATTTATTAATTGATTTACACCATCCCTATCTTTTAAAGTTGAATCTCAATAGTGAACCTTGAATTTTGGATTTCCTTTTTTTTCTTAGCCTCTCCTGTTTCCAACCTCTCGCCACCTTTTCTTCCTCTTCCTCGTCGTCTTCTGCCCCCGCCCCCTCCACCTTCTCTTCTTCTTCTTCCTCCACTGCCACTAATGACAGTAACAGCACCACCAACAATTATTAATTCACCTCCTCTTATCTGTTTACCTGTCACACTCGCGGCGTCAGTGTTCTTAACACAACTTCAACAACTCCCGCCGTCTTTTTCTTGAATTTCCAATCCTTTGATCTCCACACCAATAAATAAATCTAAATTCTGATAGTCACTAGCCCATCCACCAATCTCTGATCTCACACCTTCTTTCTTTACTTGGTTCGTGGGCTCTTTTTTTGTTCTTTTTTTCTCCTCTATTAGATATAGGGATGAAGCACGCGCGCGCTCACTTTGCACCTTTCTCTTCACCCCGTAAGACCATAACTACCATCATCCTACTACTGCACTATACTACAACAGCACTGTTTTGGACGGTGAGCCTGTTGAAGCGGCAGCAGCCGCGTGTAGCGTTTTCAAAAAGGGCGATAATCAACCAACCAAATGTCCAACCAACCGGCAGAGTATTGCTCTATACTCCTATTTATTCTCTCTTCTTGTCTTCTCTTTGACAATCTGCTTTCTCTCTTGCTTTTCCTCTTGGCTACTCACTTGAAGCCGACGGCGCCAGAGACATTTACGTCGGTCTAGCCAACTTTTCTTTTCAAGTAATTCCACCTTTTTTTTAACTCTACTGATGCACTTACAGGTAATAACCACATTAGATACTACTGGTGCTGAACATATCAATTTTCGAGTTGAAGCTTGATCATACACCCAAGTAGCACTTTTGATAATTCTTTTCCTGGATTCAATGATTCTTCTATGACACAAGATGCCGGGTAGAATTACAAGCACCATGCACCAGCGATCTAGAAACCAAGGCACAAGTATTAATTATGCGTGGATTATTGAGTTGAATTATTTTCATCACGAAGGGTCTAAATAGTGGTATGATAGCTTGAGACACACCTTTGGTTGTTGGCTTATACCACACTAATGTGCGTTATAATAAATCGACAGTAGTAACGACAATAACGACGACAACGTGATGACACACGGAGGCGCGTGTTCATCGAGATACAACCTCGTCTCGTTGCTTCTTGTCCCCTACTCTTTTGACTTCTTGTCCCACCGATTCAACGTTAAAATAGATTGCTCGCGGCTCGTGCTCCGAATTGAGCCTACAGTCGACAGACTCGAGTTTCGACAATCCCAATGTTTCTCTCTACTTTTATCGTTACCCTCAAGTTACACTTTATATATCTCCACCAATATCAATACCACATTCAATCTATTGTTAATAACTTACTCTCTTTATTAACCACTTGTTCTCTACTTCACCTTTTTTATTCTATTTTCGAAATTTATCTATTTTTCTTTCACTACCAACACTCTACATATACTCAGGTATATTATGTATATACTACCGTCCATGTTTTATATGTATACACGCGCGCGCACACGCATTCACTCATACTAAACTTGACGTATAGATTCGAGTACGTATATTCCCTTATTGTTCTTCACAAAGTATTTATATTACACAACTGTAAAGATGGAATGTAAAGTTGGGCCTGAACAACCATCCCTATGTCCTGTGAACACCGCCAAAAAAATGACGGAAGAACCGCCCCCGCACTGTACACTAGGGTCCGAACGTTACGATCTCATCGGACCTCACGAGTTGGTCGCGTGTTCCTCCTCCTCGCACCTCCCTCGTTCGCCGACCTCACTCACCCACCTCACTCAAGGATTCCCGAGGAAACTCGCGGCCGAAACATCCGAGACGAGGTGCTCCCCGTAACCAACATGTCGTCGTCTGCTAGGCCCACCACCGTGGTGGCCCTCTCAGCTATCAACCACACCCTCGTATCAATTCTCTCAAGAACCCTCTTGTTTATCTCATCAATCTCCCCAGTCTTTACTCAATAAAATCCATCCAGTTATCGGTACAACGCATGTCCTAACAACTCATTCCACAGGTTCACAGGGAATATGATACATCCCTGTACCGTCGACGAACCGAGGTCCGAGGATCGATCGGCTCTTTTCGGCAATGAACGATGAGAAATATTCATCGAGGACTACCAGGTGCTGTATTAGGAAATTTTATTTTTTATTTAATATTTTATTGAGGTTCATAAAGTTTATCTCTTTCAAATTAATTGCTACGATTAATTAGTCGACGTTTATAAATTATTTATCAGCTATTTATTATAAAAATTTAAGATTTATCTTTTTATTATACAAAATATCACTTTTAATATATAATTCATAGACTTTTGATTATTAATTATAATAATAACAATGATGCTTACTCTTATTTATAAATATTGTCATACAATATTTATTACATGCAATAATAATACCATATTTGCAAAAAATTGTCAATAAAATAAATAAAATATTTGTTCTAATATAAATATTAATATTTTTCTTAACTTTTCTTTCTATTACTAATTTCAATTTCATAAATCTTACAAGACATAAGTACAAGATGCTATGAAGTCATAAACTTCTGCGTTCACGATTATACAAAAAAACTAATCATACACGCAGTGCCAAGCTCATCACCGAAATTGGCATCGTTTCAAGATGCACAATTTCTCACATAAAGTAGAGTCATTTAAGTCACATGATGAGACATGAGAAAATTCAATTATTTTCAAGCTGTTTCATTAATTTTTTACAATACATCCTTTACGTCTCAACCTTCGAACTCTTTGGATGATTCGTCTCATCCGAGTCATTTGCCAAAAGTGCATTCAAATCAATGTCTTGGAGATTGAATGAGGTGTGTTGATTAGAACCTTTAAAAAACACAAATCAATCAAAAAAAATAGAATAATATTCATTTAAATTAAATTTTTACCAGCATGTGCTAAAAATAAATCCTTCAAAAATCCCAACTCCTTCGTCAGCATCTTAATCTTTTCTTCTAGTAACTCATTTTCTGTCTTGAGCTGATTGACACGTTCTAGAGTTTGTTGAGTTCGTAACTTGCTTTTAACTCTGGAGCGTTTTACTGCCTATAAATATTTAGATGTTTTTACATTATTAAGCTATGTATTTATGACTACTTATTGATTTCAATCTTGGACAAGTCAAGTGGATAATTGAGTAATTAATTAATTTAATATAGGATAAAATCAATTTCCTGGTAAATTGATTTTTCCATAAAAATAAGACTGGTGATTACATAATTCTAATACTAACATAACTGATGACTTATTTTTTAGTTAATAAATATTGATTATTTTTATTTGAATTATTCTTGAACTTAAATGCATTTGGAATTGCATTTTTTAATTACCTGGTTATTTCTGTCTCGTCTTCGACGGTAATCAACATCATCATCATCCTCAGAAGACCTTTTTTTTCTATTCGAAGGATTCTCTTTATTTTTTGGAGCCATCTAAAATAAAGTTTTTAATATAACTATGTGTAATCATTTGATTATCAATAGAATTGATTGTTCGTATTATCATGTGGTAATTTTGAGCAATAATACAGGTGATCAAATAAAATATTATTTTCATATATTCTATCAAAATAAAGGTTGTTATCTATGATATTAAACAGTTATTGTACTTTTTTAAAGATAAAAATATATAAAATCCATCTCGATGTTTTATTTCAGGCTTGAAAATCTTTAGAATTTATATTAGTCAATGTTTTCGAAATGAGTTCTACAAATTTACACAGTTAAGTACAACATTGTTATTATATTTTGATAAAATAAATTGTTTCAAATTGTCAAGTACATTCACTTAGCATACTAACCTGCTTTCGTTTTTTTTATTACAAATACTGGTGTTGACAAAGAAACTTTTTATTGGTACACTTGATGCAATAAGTCCAATCAAATAATGACGCTTTAAGTCTATCAGCAATGCGTAGCTTTTGACAGAAAGCGTAATTACTGATGATTCAGATTCTTCGTGGAATTTAACCTTTTTTAAGATGAACTTATTAAGAAGAATATTATTTTTTATCTAGATTTTAATAAAAACTTTGCGTTCTACAAGAATATACTTGTAATTTGCACTGTTATCTTTGCAAAATGAATTCTACATTGAATCAAAGAATGATGCAATAACTTGCAGGAGTAAAAACAAATAAAACCTTGCGTTCGATTCAGTGACAATTCCTTGTTAAACATGTGTGAGTGTATTCGTATATATAGGTTAAGTCCAAAACACAATTAGAGAAGCGCGATGAAACGCTCTCAAGTGTCAAAAAGAACATTTAAAAGTTGATAAAATAAACTTCTCTTTTACCACACACGTGTTTACTATATTTTCTTTACATCTATACTGTATTCACTTCCATCTTGTATGTTTACAGACTATTCATTTCTTTTTTATTCCACGGCTTCATCCAAAAATTGTTTTGCATCCACAGCTGACATTTTCTCCTACTAACAACGCTACAATATCATTTCATTTATCATTCAACGCTAAGATTTTTTCATATATAAAAGTATTTTCAAGTGTAAATATTTCTTTTGAGAACTATTAGTCAAATACGGGGTATGATTTAATATTTATCAACGACTTCTTTTTCATTTAAATTAAAAGGTAAGAATGCTAGAATGTATCTTTGATGTAAAGAGAAATCTCCGAATTTTGAGATAAAAAAAGCTTTTGTCAATTAAAAGAAAACAAATAAAATTTTTACAGTAAAGAACGAAAGAAAAAAATTAATTGAAGAAATGTCTTCAACACGACGAAGACGTCAAAAACCATCCCAAGCCAGATCTCTTACTCGATCATTGTCTCCAGAGTGCTACATCGACTTAACGGTCGATTCGCCAGTACGGACGCCAATAGAGACGAGGATTTTGGATCATGAAGCAGAGTCAACTATGATGATCTCCCAATTACAGCGAGCATTGATATGGCCTCTTGGAACCGTATCAAGAAGAGCCGTCAATCGTGAAGAGTCACCAGAATCAAATACTCACCGTTTATCAATTGAAATCGATACACCTGATGTTGAATTGGATATTGAATTAAATGATAATAATAATTTTCGAGAAAATACAACTAATGAAACAGTGGTGATCGATGATCCTGAACCAGTTCCAGTTGTAAGGTAAGAGATTTAAAGAAAAATTAATATTTGTAAAAACTACTGTTTCTTTACTAATATGTTATTTAGAATATCTGTATAAATTGTCTAAATAAACATTTTTTTTTTTAGCATGAAAAATTCTTCCCAAGTTCATGAAAAATCAACTGCACCATGTTTATCGTGCCCTATTTGTTTCGAGGAACTTTTAAACACTTCAATACCAGCATATACGACAAAATGTGGTCATATTTTTTGTGAAACTTGTCTTAAAAGAGCAATTGAAACACGAAAAAAATGCCCAATGTGTTTAAAAGCTGTTAATATCAAACAATGTGTTCGTTTACATATTTAATCATTGACCATAATTGTAGTTTTTAATCATTTAACGTTGTGTCAAATTAAGGTAAAGTTAATAGTTATATGTATAGATTTGGTAAATTTATTCACTAGCAGCTTTAATTTCTCTTTCATAATAAAACTCATGCTGGTCATTTACAGATCCTTTGGTACAATGAAAATCAAAAGTATTTATTAAACAAACTTCACAACCAAATAGTATCATCTGCCCATGTACATTTGTAATTGCATTAAATAAATAAATATTTTTCTATTACCATTTTTCCAATGTAAATTTAAAAAAACTATTGTAATATTATTATTAATAATAATAAATAAAGTTTTTGGACAATGTAAACATAAACAATTGGTTCAGTTTATCATTTAAAAAACATGCTTGAATTAGAAGAATCATATAATGCCATCTATTTTTATAAAAACAAAATTCACATAATTCAACATAAAATATAGATTTTTAACATAATCTGTACATTGATAAATATATATGTACACATATTGATATAGTATCAGATGATACATAAAAAGAACGCACTAGACAACAATGGTGACAGCTTGTTCATATGTGAAAAAGTGTATATACCATATACATCAATACACTTCTACACAATACACTGCAATACATTTATGTATTTGCTGTTACATTGCTTCATGTTAAAATTTTTTTATTACTCTATTTTAATTCGCGAATAAATTACAATTATTTACTCTTAAATATGATGAATGGATAATTATGAATATAATTATTTAATATAACATATCGGTAGTGAGAGAGTTTGTTGTATATATATGTATATCTAGAAAAATTAATATGAGAACGAAAAAAACAATAGCACAAAGAAATTGCTTATGTCAGTGATACTACCAAACGGCAGAAACCTTTTATACATAAATATTTGTTTTTTTAATGATTATTGTGCCAAATATAATCAAATAATATATTGTATGTGAATTATAGAGTCTATTGTATCTAAAAATTCATTATCAAGGGTATTAATTACACATATTTATTCGTGATAATCATTCACAGTGATTGCTACCTTCAAGCCGTAGCAGCAGAAGATTTAAAGAGTCATATTATTCATAATCTTGTAAGTTTAATGCTCTTCTTTTTAAATGGATTTCAATATCATTTTAATAAAAATAAAATATCACTTTAATTTTTTATGTAGCAATGAATAAACTATGTTAACATATTTTTTCCAAGAATTCTTTTATTTTAGACAGTAAAAATAAATAAACATCTCGCTATTTTTTTTTATTTTTTTTCTTTTCTTAATAATAGCTTTTATCATTTTTTATTTCCAGATTTAAAAGGTTAACCAGCAAAGGGAGAACAACAAAAGTTTATTATTGAAATAAGAGTTGTTTGTAATCAATAGAATATTTCATTTAATGATGGATAAATTTAATTAGATGCGTATGTGTGTCTAAATATGACATCAATGACAAGAAGCGATAAGACCGTAATGAACATGAGCTCTAAACGAGTCAGTGAATAGTGATTATTCAGATGTATGTGTATGATTTAAAAGTAATGCCTGTTCATCAGATTAATGTTAATCCCCCTGATTGGCAATCACCCCAATCCCTTGATCCTTCCAATAATGCCAGTCCAACAGGAGATGAATCATTGCCGGAATGGTCATCGAGAGTAAGTTTACTATTCAACTGTATATCTATTTATTGTCTTTTTTTTTTCAATAACGTTTTTTGATAGATATAATAAAGTAAAAACAAGCAGTAAGTGAATAACAAACGATATGCATATGATCCCAAAATAAAATTTCAAGTGATCTACATTGGCTCAAGCCAAGTTATTCTAAAATAGCTTTATATAGATATACTTGCTTCATCATCATTTACATCTTTATCATCTATTATTAATATTTTTTAATGTTGCTTAATTTTTTTATGTCGATAACATACACAAATATAATAATCATTGCAAAAAAAAAGTAAAGAAAGGAAGTTATTTTCTTATAAAGTATAAAGGTCACTAGATATGTTAATATTAATAAATTATTATAAAACACTGTGTTCTTTGAAAGTATCAATAATTCTTCAGAATTGATTCATTATTATCAAAATAATTATCCCTATCATTATAAACAAATAATTTTATTAAAAAATATGAATTTATTTGAATGCAATTCTTTGTTATTGTATATTAATTAATGAATAATAATTATTTTTTTAGGAACCAACATACGCTACAGTTGTTACGGTAATACCAAATCATTGTCATTCCTCAGTGAGTACTTTATCATCCAGTAATCATGACATTTGTCGGTGAGTATCAAAACTTAGATGAAAACAAAGATGATTCAGAAGAACAAATTATACATAAAATGTTGACATTGCAGAATATGTCATTGCGAAGGTGATATTGGAGCACCTTTACTAGCACCATGTTATTGCAGTGGTAGTCTACGTTATGTTCATCAGGCCTGTCTACAACAATGGATAAAAGCATCAGACACACGTGCCTGTGAACTATGTAAATTCACATTCATTATGCACGCTAAAACGAAACCATTTTCCGAGGTTATTGATTGTTATTATTACTATTATAATTCTTCTAAAATTGACTTATCATCAAATATTTATACTAATCTACGACTATTGATTTATTTAAAAGTGGGAAAAGCTTGAAATGTCAGCACCAGAAATACGGAAATTATGGTGTACCGTAGCGTTTCATGCAGTAGCGGCTCTCTGCGTTGCTTGGTCTCTGTATGTTCTGGTAGAACGGTCAGTTGAAGAAGCACGAAAAGGATTTGTAGATTGGCCATTTTGGACAAAATTAATTGTTGTTGTTATTGGTTCTTCTGGTGGTCTTGTTTTCATGTACATTCAATGCAAAGCCTATATCGAATTATGTAGAAGATGGCGTGCATTCAACAGGTGATTATGATTTACTAATTTATGACTATTTGCATCAGTAAATAATACTTAAAAAAATATACAATTAATTTTAATTACAATTACTTTGAATTATAGAGTAATATTTATTCAAAATGCTCCGGAAAAGGTGGTACTTCCTCCATCACCCACAGATTCACTTAGAGAAGTAACGTTACCACTCAAAGATCCCACTGCCTCATTGCCTGAGTTGAATCGTAGTCTTTTACCAAGAACATTAGATCCTTCATGTGCTTCAGAAGCAGTCAAACCATCTGAAGCGGCATCGCCCGCCCAACGACATGATGCTCAACTCAAACTTTATGTATTCGATAAGCTATCTTCGTCTGAGGATAATCTGTAGTCACTAAAAATTTGTGACTTAAATTAATTGACTACGTCAAAAGAATACATCACGTACATATATATATATCCGTATATATACATATAAAAAACTGATAATTTAATAAGCGTGTATGAAGAAAGAAAGAGTGTAATAAAAAATTGTCGTTAATTGTATATTAAAGCGGTGCAGAACAAAAAAAACTTGCTTCCAAGGATACAACTCAAGATTTGTGTCTCGCATCCAATCTTTTGGAACATTACTTGATACTTAGTACTTGAGTGATTGTATTGACTATGAGAGATTAACAAGTTCCAAGTGAATTATTAATTTTCTCTTCAAGCGATTGTGTACATAATTAATATATCTGTGATGTTACTCAATAAACTTTACCATATTTAAATGAACCTTTGCATTTCAACAATTGTATCAATTTTAGAAAATATATTTATACTTATATATACATACATATTTTATATAAATACATATGTATGTATATTAAATTAAAATACATAAAGAATTTTTGTTATATTTATCTTGCTATAAATAGTTAAACATACTATGATATATTCTTTTTTTCATTTGAAACTTTTAATAGTCATAAATTATCATAGGTAATTATAATTTAATTATTTTATAATAACTAATGTTAATTAAGCTAATTTTCCATGAAAACTAGCGAAATAATAGGTGTATTACAAGTAATTCCATTATTAACACATTTTGTTTACGCTTATAAAAATATTTATGCACACTTTGTACTGCCACTTGACACTTTTATTTTGTAAAAAAAAAAAAAAAAAAAAAAAAAAATATAAGAAAGGTTAAATAAATAATTAGTAACTATTAACAATAATTTTGCATATAGAACTATTTATTTCGTTGGGTCAATAATTAACGATAATAATTCTTTACTGAAAGTGCACAGTATTTAACCTCACATTCTAATGAACTACTTGTATGGAAAATAAAGTAACTATATTGTTATTATTATTATGAAATATCTATGCTGCATAAAATTAATATTAATTAATTCAATTACATTCAATATTCGTGAGAAATTAAATATTGTTTACGGGGTTTTTAACCTGTAGATACCCTGATAGCATTGGAACTCCAAATATGTTCATTTGATAAATACTTTTAAGATTTTTTCGTAAATTATCCATTTATCTAACATAGTTAAATAATTATTTATAAAATTATTTCTAAATACATACAAAAACATTTTTTTCAATGTTTCTGATAGTAAAATTGATTTTTCGAATTATTCCGATTATTTCCGAATACAGTCGATTCCATGACAGTGTAGTATACATGTATATGAGCATCGTTATTTATGTATTTGTTTGTGTTTGTCTGTGTGTTGTGGCGTATTAACTATATATACTGTACGTATTCTGGACTTGCGCGATTTTCATAACTGTCCATCACGTCCGCTTTGCTGGATTAATTATTTAAAAATGTAAATAATCATTTTTTTTTCAGTAAAAATAAAATAAATCAGTGACCACAGTGATAGTGAAATTGAGAAGGTCATTATTGATATTTACGAAATACTGTATTCATCATATAATCATAGAAAAAAATGTCTGAACTTCGGCAAAGAACGGTAGGGGAGTCATCAGACATCACCAGAGATTTTCGTGATGATCAGGCAAGGATATTGACGTTTCTTTGTTTACTAGAGACATTGATAGTTTTTTATTACTTAATCTTACATTTTGATAATAGTTGGACTTATTAAAATCATTTATTTTTAACAAATTTAAGCATATTTCCTTAAAATAACTTCAATCACTGGATAGAATTGTTTTTTTTTTGTATTCTATGAATATGCATTAATAATAAACATTCAATGGGGTTCAATACCAATGAATGACATGTTGAAAATATTAATTTTCAGAAAGAAGATATTGAATCAGAAGATGATGCTAAGCTTGATGTTGATGAATTAGCTAAAACTCTACCACAAGGAACAGATCATACCCCGGGTATTCTTTCATCCGTAGTTTCTGGCTTACCTGATCGGTATTATTGATGAAACATTTAAAATTTATAATCGAATGTTACTTAAATGTTTTAATTAAAAATATAATTTTTTAGCTGGAAAAACTGGGTTATCCGTGGTATTTTCACATGGCTCATGATCGCCGGTTTCTGTTTGATTATTTATGGCGGTCCTCTAGCTCTGATGGTCACAGTTAGTATTTTTAAATCATTTATGTTTAGTAAAAATAAACAATTCATGGATTAAAAATAAATTGGTTTATTTTCAGACTTTAGTTGTTCAAGTAAAATGTTTTGCAGAAATTATTAATATTGGTTATGCGGTATATAGAATTCATGGTTTACCATGGTTCAGATCTCTATCATGGTACTTCTTGATTACATCCAATTACTTTTTTTATGGTGAAAATTTGATGGATTACTTTGCAGTAGTCATCAATCGAACCGTAAGTTTTTTAATACTTTAATACTTTATTAATATTACGAAACAATATATATTTAAATTAAATTAAATAAAATAACATGACATTATCAGAGAAGACAATTGCATTTACAATCAAGTATATAGTCTATTTAGTAGATTTGAGTTTCTAGACATAAAATCAATATGAAAACTTTATAATACTATTGTATATGGCTTCTGTAACACTTGACAACTTAACCAATCATTGAAAATATCTTTTTCAATATAAATTTATTATATCAAATGATATTCCTTCTATTTTCAGGATTATTTAAGGATTTTAGTTACTTATCATCGGTTTATATCATTCTGCCTATACATTGTAGGCTTTGTTTGGTTTGTCCTGTCTTTAGTGAAAAAATATTATATGAAACAATTTTCATTGTTTGCATGGACACACGTAGCTCTGTTAATTGTTGTCACACAGAGTTATTTGATTATACAAAATATATTTGAAGGGTTGATATGGTAATTATTATTTAATTATCAGAAATTCAATTCTACTGCCATTTTAATTGTCATCTAAATAAAATAATTGTTTTATTATGTTTGTAGGTTCATTGTTCCAGTTAGTATGATTGTTATTAATGACGTCATGGCTTATGTTTTTGGCTTTTTCTTTGGACGAACGCCTTTGATTAAGTTATCACCCAAGAAAACATGGGAAGGATTTATTGGTGGTGGAATATCGACAGTTATATTCGGATTATTGGTAATAATATTTACGTTATGTTTAAAAACATTTAAATGTACTTTTTTTTGTAAAATCATGTAAAATTATTTATAATTTTTTCAGATGTCTTATGTTATGTGCCAATATCGTTATTTCGTCTGTCCAATTGAGTATAGTGAAGCTCTAGGACGAATGACGATGAACTGTGAACCATCCAGTCTCTTTAGACCACAAGAATATACCCTTCCAATTAGCTTGCAAGCTATAACTCGTGTGGTATGTTATTTTTATTTAATTATTAACATTTATAAAAAATAAGACAATTATAATAAATTTGATTAACTTTTTTAGCTAAATATCAAGCCAAGTGTAACCATGTATCCATTCTTACTCCATTCATTGTCAATGTCAGTATTCAGTTCAGTAATCGGACCATTTGGAGGATTCTTTGCCAGTGGATTTAAACGAGCTTTCAAAATTAAAGTAATTTATTAGTTTCTATAATTTTATGTCAAGTTCTTATGAATTATTAATGAAAAATAATTATTTTTAGGATTTTGGAGATGTAATTCCTGGTCATGGAGGAATAATGGATCGATTCGATTGTCAGTACCTGATGGCTACGTTTGTTAATGTTTATATTTCATCATTTATTCATACATCTTCACCTCAAAAATTACTGCAACAAGTTTTAAATCTAAAACCTGAACAGCAAGTTCAATTCTTCGTGTCATTACGCGATGCTTTAGTACACAGAGGAGTATTCAATTCAACTTAAGGTAAAACAAAAAACGAATAATTTTTTAAATCAATTGAATTTTCAATTTATTGAAAATTTTGGAATCTTTAGGCCAATTTTATTTTGTAATTATTATTACTGTATATCGACCAACAATTTGCAATATTGTATGATCGATTACTAAAGTGCAATCATTCCATAATTTTTTGATTACAGAAAATTAAATTTATTTTATTGCTTTAGTACCTCGTTATTTTTAATAATTCAATCAAATATTTTTTAAATATTATTTAATAGTATGCTAGGCTGAAAAAATATACAATTATTGTTAACAATTAATAATACTGATTAATACCTTTCAGTATGATTTTCAACTTACATTATTAACGATTTTCTCTCTATCTTCTTATTATTAAACAAAATGAATTAAATGAACACGAATAAAAAAGGAAGCCAAAGATTTATCTTATAAACAAAATTGGTAAATTAATATTTATTTGAATCTATTAAATCAACAATTACAAGAATTATTATTATTTAATAAATCTTTAAATTATTTTGAATTTGATGAAACAAATAGTTAATCTATAATGTTAATGTTAGTGAAAAAAGATAGAAAAATATAAAAAATATATTATTTTTGTGTGTTACTCTGAATCAATTAACGTAATAAGTAAATAATTGGCATTACTAAAAATTATAATGCTAAAAGAAAAAAACTAAATTATTTCTATCGTTAACAAATCAAATCTTTATATATGTATACATACGTATGGATGGAATTGTTCTTCATCTTCCTGAGAATTACAGTAAATTTACATCTCAGTTATATATGTTAATGTATATATGTATAGTTTAAGTCTATTTTGTTAGAAAATATTTTTGTTTCAATACATTACACCTCTTAATTAACAATGATATACGTATTTATGTATAATAATAAGGTTTATTGATTTATTTTTGTTTTTCTCTTTAAAAAAAAACAAAGTTTCAATGTATGATTAATTTAACTTTGGCGAGCTAAGTTAACAAAAAATGAAAATAAAAAAATTGATGCGTTTCCTCGCATTTATAGAAAAAAAAAGTATTCAGTGTTGAGATGTTGATACATTATAATTATGAAAACAATAAAATATTAATATATTTGTGTAGTAATGATGATGGAAAATAAATGAAAATAACTTACGAAATCACGAATAGAAATTAAATCATTCTGTTATCAAATGAATTGCATTTTATTTATCTTAAAGGTCTTCTATAAGCTTTGAGTTGATTATGATCATAAAAAGTATGTATTTTGTCATACATATACTTGAATAGATATAGTAGATTATCATATTGGCCACAGTATTCTTTTGGTGAAGTTATATCATAAGAACATTCGTGTAGTTCTATTAAAAATTGATGTATTGCTTCGATAGTCGCTAGATACCATCTAGGACTTTTTTTCTGATGTCTCCAAAATTGTGATATTCTTGATTTTAAAATAACACACGGTAAGGCTTTCAATCTTTCATCGTTATAAATAGCTTTAGTTTGTTGCCATGTACTGTCTATAAAAACTGCCCTGGTTATTGGGATATTTTTATTCCCTAATGTTGTTTTATCTTGATTATTTTCTTTGAATTGATTATATGACACTAGAGATTCGATGGTGGACGCATTTTTTCTAGGAAAAATGAGAACAACCTGAAATATTAATTATTTTCAATGATCAGTTATTTAAAAACTAATTTTTGATGCATGAAATTTGACCGAAAACTAATTAATTTTACTAACTTTATCATCAGCTGCGAATGTTGGAAAATCTGGATAGGTGTAAATTGTCACATCGTTAGGAGCTAAAATTGCTGCATGAATTGCAGTGCTCTTTCCATCGATCTCTTTTCGATGTTTAATAATGTCAATTTTGATTGGTAACTGTAAATAAATAATATTATTATCTTTAATTATAAATTCATGACTAAAATATATAATTAATATTTTTTATTCATACTTTTTTAATTAAAGAAAAAAATTTTTACTTACTTTAACTTGTGGAAAATATTTTTGGTCAATAACAGGTGTATAACAAGTATAACAAAAAAATTTACGAGACTTATAACATTTCCCACATATTGTTCTATCATTAATACTATCAAGAATACTGGCATCGTCAATTTTAAGCCTACAAAATGGATCTTTATCAATAGTTTTTTGTTCAGCTTCTAAAATAGTTAAATTTTCTAATTTTAGAGTAGACAATGTTGATATTTCCCTTGATTTTATCATGGTACATTATCACACTAAATCCCAAAAGATTAATATAAAAGTAAATTAATATTCAACAAATCTGTCCACGTAGATTTATTAATAACACAATTATATGTAGCACATAAAAGTGATTAATTGAATTTCCAAACAATTCTCGAAAATGTATAGAATAATGATTGTAGGTTATGTATTTTATTATTCTACTGTTAAATTGCTTTCATTCATAACATACGATTACGTATGTGTACAAATACATTTATAAATCCATATGATAGGATGTTTGATTACAATAGAAATTATTTATTTGTGTAGAATAATATTGGAGCACACTAATACATTTGTCTCTGCACATGATGAGAAATGACAAGTAGTATAGTAGTAAGGTAGGCGCCTACACACAAGTATTTAATAATGCTGACGTCATTTAAGCGGGAAACTATAGCAAACTAAAATAATTTCATTGACTGAGCTTGAAACCCAGTGAATTTTTCTTACCCTGTCTAATAAACGCCCTTACCTTCAATATTTTATTTTTAAGTACTCATTAGTTTTCATAATTCCTCATCTAACTTCAAACTTGAATGACGATGAACACGAAATACCAAGTGCGATTATTTGGAAAAGTTTTTATATTGTGAAAATAAAGCTAAAATTACAATTAGGTTATACTAAAGTTTTTGAAGTTAAAAACTAATGTTTCTAATAAATAAACAACTTTTAGGTTTTATATGGTTTCTGAGTTTTATCTACATGTAAATATACCTCCATTATCAATGTCACATGAAAGATGAAAAGTTGATCAATAAAAATATTGATTGATTAAAGAGTAAGCAAAATAGCAGCGTAAGATATCTTCTCTGTTATCAACATAAAAAAAGAAGCTGAACTAATTATTATGAATACTTGATTACAAGTGAAAAAAAAAAATTAAAGGTTATATATTAATTAAAGTTCTCATATTTTTACTTATAGTTTTATTTAAAGAAATAAAATATATTCTTAGAAACAAGAGATTCTCCAGTAACGTTGATTAGTTCATTTACAAATTAATGAAGTTTTTTGATTTAATAATACATTTCATCTGGATTAAGATAATATTCTTGAAAGAAGAAAGAGGATTAAATAAAATGATAAAAAGTTTTGAAATCCTTTCAAAATAATCCTTCTCAAAAGTTTTCATGAATTTGATGATTATTTAAATTACTTCGTGTAGTCAAGATGTCCTTTCTACTCTTTCTTAATAAGCTTATGTTTGCTAGAATTCATCAAAAATCATTAACTGATCTTTACGTCACAACTAACTGCACTGAAACAAAAAAAATTTTTTTCAGAGCTTCAATCTATTAAAGCAACAGAGTAATTTTTTTCATGTGATCTTTAATGATAGCAATTTGATTTTAGTTTCTAAATGAAATTTATGTGAATGTCAGAATGATAAACTGGGAAGCACTTTATCATCACTCATGTATCAGTAAACTACTCAAGAGTATACCTGTATGATGTTCAATGTGAACTCTCTATTTAAATTGATTCAAGTATAACATAAATGCAATAAGTGCTAATAGTGTGGTCAAGCTACATCACTTTTGCACTTAATGAATATTATTATTTTACACTTTGATCAAAATGTTACATCAATATTAGTTACATATTTCTTCTTTTTTTTACATTTTTTAATATTAAATGTTTAAAAAATTCTCCTCCTAATTATGATCAACATATTGGAAATTTATTATTTTATTGTCTGAGTTATCACTGTTATCAACAAAGTTATCCTTGATGAAGAATTGTTGCATAGAATCATAATGTCTTGCTCATTATTTTGAATCAGTAGCTCAGTTTTTGATGGATTATTTAAACATTTCATCATCACGAACTTTTTCAATTTGCTTTACATAATTATATTTTGAATAATTAAAAAAAAAATGAATTACAACCAGTTTGAAATGGTTTGGAGATTTAATCAGAACATAAATATATACATCAGAGTACCCGCATATTTTCATTTGAGATAATCATAATTATTTTCTGATGCATGGTTTCATCAGATTACTGGCTTGTCGACTTGTTGCTAATAGTAAGTACCTAATAATATGATAATATGAAATAATTCATTATAAAATCATATACCAAAATATTATTATCCACTTTGTTTGTCAGCAGTTTTGGATGTACAGCTGAAGGCACAATCATATGGTATCATTTAATCTAATTATGAAGCAAGGAAACCATGATGTTTGGGTCATTTTATGATAGATTTAATATAGATATTAAATTATAAACAATTATGATTATAACAATATTAATATTGACCTGAATAAGTAAAGTTTATAATTTATTATTTTTAGCTACTATAAAAATTCATTTCTGCAAAAATCTGGTTGGGAAAAAGCTATTTTTTATTATACTCACATACGAAGATTAGACAAATTTGATCATTTATTATGGAATAAGAACTTCCAAATTTAAATAAATAAGAAAGCCTGATTAAGCTCGATTTGTACTACTTGCAAGTGAGATCTGTTATTGTTTTTAATTTTATGATGGTTTATTTCTATAATGACAATATAAGGGTATTTACAATTGATTCTGAGGTAATAATCCACATCGAAATGAACAGACAAATGGTTGAGTAATAATTTCTTTATCATAAGGTTGCTGAAACCTATGATTGACCAACTATTGGTTGATTATTAAATTCTTGGTCAATTTCAAGTTTTCGAAAGTTTATGATCACCTTACTACAGACTACTTAGTATTGAATAATTAGTTTACGACAAATTTTTAAATATTTAGTATTTATTAACATCTAGACTATTGTTAGAATATTTTTGGAAACTCTAAAATAGCTCTAGAAGTGAAGCTACTATTTCAATTTCAATGCTAAAAAATTTCCCAATCATTATACCAGATAAAAAATGGTGCTAAGAGATAATTAAAGCTGAGAAAAGTTCATGCGAAGTATTTTTTGTTGGAAGAAACATGGCAGTTGTTGGGTTTGGATCCAACGTTTCTAGAATCTTGGGTGCTAAATGTTCTCTTGTAGAGTAATTAAGGTAAACTTTTACTTTTAGGTCATCATCTATTTAAGTTCAAAATATAAGTTGATTTATTTAACAATATCACATTTTATTTCGTCTTCATAAGCAAGTGAATCTCATAAAATAACTTGCAAATAATGTGACAAGCTCATACAATACATTTTCTAGTTTTAAGTTAACTTTTCTACTTACATAGAAATACACAGGTTATTTTTATTCCTTAGTCATTGTCCTGTGATTCCCATAATGAAAAATTGTCACTGAGAAACACCAGTGTGATCATTTACCCGGAACTGTGAATTCGAAAAAATACCAAATAGACCAGATTATCTATTCTCTAAGGTCATCTCTTTATATTAAAGTGACAAGTTGCATTGATAAAAATCTTTCTCTGTTGTATATTACAGTTAATATTGTATAAAATTTATTCAAAATATCTACACTGAAAAACAAATTTCTTCATGTTGTAACAATGTTGTCTTTATTTGACAATTTACATGCAAATAATCCTTGTTGAAAAAGTCCTTTATAATAATATTTAGACCTGCATATGTATTTTGATGTCACATCTTTCTCTCTGAAGGAATAAACTTGTTTGTTGTTATAATTTCATTCTATCTATTCATCACAATTGTTGTATTTTTTTAATAACAAAAGTTATATTCATGAACTTTATTTAAATTATAAACCATTATTAACTTTGATAAAAATATTTTAACTTTTCCAATAGTAATTTATTTTTAAACAAAATTTTTTACTAGATAAATAAAATATTTTATTAAATAATTAAATAGTTCATTATTTAATAAAAACTATTGTGTGTTAAGTTAAATAGAAAATTTTTTTTTACAACTATTTATAATTTTATTAAATCAATAAAATGTTTTATGCAATAACAATAAAATTCATTGTAATGATTCAATAAAATATTTCATTCATCAAATGAAAATTTTTTTCTCAATGTAGTTAACTTTATTATGAATAGTTCATAACAATTATTTATTGTTTAGTTAAAAACATAGATTGTAATAAATACTAAATTATGGGAAAAATATTATTTAAACTATTTTTTTAATGAAGAATAAAAATAGAATACTGACGTTATCAGGAATCATAAATTATCCAGTGCAATTCACAAATCTACTCAAGCACACTTATCCTCCTAGCTACACTACTCGATTGATATATTGTCTGATGTTGTACATGCCTAATCAAAGGATTCATCCAAAGGTGATAAGATTATACGTTTTAGCTAGAATTATTATAAGATCAGTGTCAAATAGTAATCATAAAAATATCGATAGAGATTTATGGAGCATTAACAAATTGTAAATTTATTTAAAATTATATTCTGAATTTAAAAATGAAACTACATCCCTTAGAATTAAAATAATTTCCTAACATTACTCAGGACCTTTTCTAATAGATAGAAAAATTTTTAAACATCAAGATTAGGATAAATATTTTTCTGATAAAATTTTACCAAAAATATCATTTTATTAATCGAATTTTTATTCAAATATGAATGGAGTTTAAAAAAAGAATGTTTTATGTTATTTTTATAATGAATTTTCATAACTATTATTATAATTTCATCATTGTGACACAGTCATCATTTCGATTGAGTGAGTTTAAGTCACTGACCTTGAAAGACCTAACCAGCATCATCTTCCTACGCTTACAGCTTTGAATAAGTAGTAAACCGTAGCTGTGATCAGACTAAAAAATTTATTATTACTTTTCTCTGTGTAATTAATAATTTTTTTTTATATTAATAATAAAAATTGATATATTATTTTGTTATAAAGTAAAATGTATTGATTATTTTTTAGATTCAATTTGTTTTGGAGTATTTGAATTGAAAAAGGAAAAATAAGAAAAATGGTATTGATAAAAAAAATAAAAGTATGATATCAATATTTAGGTTTAATAAAATCCCCAAATCTATAAATATTATCAAAAGGATTTGCTTCTCGATAATCCTCGTCTTAATTTACCAATTGTGTATTCATATCATGCTTGAATATTTTTTTGGATCGATAACTAGACCATCAACTCAATGAATGCAAAAAGTTCGATATCCACTAGTTTATTCGTAAAACTTTTTTTCTTTACATCACATAGAAAATCAACAACAATATATCCTTGAATCTGAAAGTTAAGAAATAAAGTAAAGTAAATAAAGTTAACATTATTTGTAATATTTTTATATATATTTATAAATAAAATTAACCAGTAAATAATTTATACTTTGTTATAATTTAAACTAAATTATTTTTAATGAATTAAAAAATATATCGACAAATAAATAACAGTTTAATTTTTTTTAATGAAGACATAAATTTATTAAACAAACTTTTTTGAGTTTATTTTACACAACTTCATCAACTGTATAAATAGGATTTATTTTTTTTTTTTTTTAATATTTACTTCTATTCTTCTTGTCTAGGAGTACCTTTTCTCTAGTCCTAAACTTACAAACTTTTTTCTTGTAATCCAAAACTCAATAATTACGTCCTTCAATACTGAGCCTATGTAAACTTTTGAGCTGGTAAAAATAATAGTTTTAACTGAAGATAAAGTAAAAATATTGTAAAAACTAGAAAATAATTTTTTTACAGCATCAATAATTTTTATTTATTACTAATAAAGCTTACGACTACTTGACACACATTTTCCTCGTTATATTTTATTGATAAATTTAATCAGAAATTAATTTTATTGACTATTAACATGACGTCATATTTAATTAATCATTTAAAACAATCAATATTGATTGGTTAAAAATTTTTTTAAATCACAAATACTGGATCTTATTTTATTCATTAAAAATCACTGAAGTGTAAAAAGAGGTTCTTAAAAAATTAAAAAAATTTTAAAATGAAATTAAAATATTAATAAAGATGAATACTTTCTTTGAAGTGTAGTAATGGATATACTTTTCATGAGAATGAAATTTATTTTATCATGAATATTTTAAAAATTAATGACAAAGAACAGGGTCCATTTTGTTTCGTTCACTCTTCGTTAAATGGTAATTACGTCAAATATAAGAAGTACAGTGGAATAAAAAAAATTTTTATACTCCAAAAAAATAATTGTCTTGCAATCGATTTATATTAATATAATTCAACTCTTTTATTCATTTGAATCAAAAAATTATGATTTGTTTATAAATGTCTGCATTAATAAAAAATAAATGACAATATTTGTATTTGGATGTCGTATTATTTGCTGTAATATAAATAAATATATAAAAAAGGGGAAAATATAAAAATACATTTGAATGGAAAGAAAGTTGTTAATAATAATTTTTTAGTAAGGTAAACAAAAATTTGGATTTTCAACAAGGGATAATTTGGTGCAAAAGTATTCTTATTTATAATTTGTAATTAATTAATGAATAAAAGAACTAATTATCATTAATTTATTATTAAAAAATATTTTATTGGTATTAGTAATTTTTTTTCTTAGTGAAATAATAATATTCTAATAAAATGGAACTAGAAAAAGTATCCATCCATTCATTTTATTGCAAACCCCTGATTTTCACAGTGTGTTAAAATAATGTAATAAACTATATTTAATATTAAATTTTAATTAAAAAAGTAATAGAATTTAATACATCTTAAAAAGTGTTTGAAGTGATTACAAAATGTAATAATTTTTACAGGGAATTATTCTAATTTATAAATATATACATTAATTTGCAGTGATTCATTTTATTATAATAATACTCAAACTTTATTTATTGTTAATAAAACTTTACATTCATTTGTACTATTCACTTTTCTGTTCAATTCCACGTTTTAAGCACTTTTAAGGTATAACTTGTTCGAAAACAACTAGGCAACATATATTTTTCAAAACTAAGACAATCCTTTCTGAACAAATGATAATTATTTTTCCAACAATTTTTCATTTTTTAACAATGAATTTAAATAAATATTTGTTATTTTTATAATAATTTTTACTCAGTTTTTTAAAAAAATGCAATAAAAAATAATTTCCTTCAACATTAATTTCAAAAAAATCAAATTTATCAAAACATACATTTATTTTTTTATCGAAAAACTCATTTTTAAATAATTGTTATAAATGAAATAATGATAATTAGAATCAAATTAAAAGAAAAAAAGAAAATATTATAAAAGATTTTTCATACGAATTCAAGATAAAAAGATGAAGAAATAAAAGCAACAGGTGATCAGAAAGTAAGCAATAGCTCGGAATAATAACAGTAGATAATATGTAATAAATATATAATATATGTATAAAAAAGCGCAGAAAATAGAGGATTATTTGTAGATGACTAGTGTATGCGCACAAAGGTGTAAAAGCGCGCGAGCTTCGGGATGAATCGGTGGTCGTAGTAGTGATCCCGGTCCAGAAAAGCTTCATAGACTCGGTGTAGCAGGTAGGCAGGAGGACTAGCAGAGTAGAGCGCGGTATAGACGCCTATAAAAGCTCACTGGCATTCGGGTGCTAACGTCACACGCTGGTGGTACATTCTGCTGAAAACAAGGTCCACTTGGCGGTGAAATAATCACTAAATCATTACATTCATTGATATCAGTGTTTTTCATTTATTTTCTTCTTAACGTGTCTATGACAGTTATTTGAAAATAAGTACGACAGACTAAAATTAAACGTCTGGAAATCGGTATCCAAAAGAATCTTAGTACCGGTAGTTTTTTTTTTTGAAATATATATTCAAAAGTCTAGAGTAATTAATTGAAGGGTGGTATTATTTTGGCAATATTGTGTTAAGTAAATCAAAGTATCCTTGATCATCAGAAAGATAGTCTGGTGATATAAAAAAAAAAAAAAGAATCTTGGGTTGTATTTTGACTTACTTGGGTGAAAGAAGTCGGAAGGAAAATTTAAAAACGTGACAAAATCTCTCCTGTCTGATTCCTTCTCATTTTCCTTCAGTGATTATTTTTCTTCTGGGTCAACAGCTGCAATAGTTGGAGTTTTGTAATTCACAAGTCAACTTATTCCGTGAGTTTTATTATATTTATTACTTACTATCACCATCATTACCTCTTTTTTCTTCGTATTTTTATATAGATATATATTTGAATTAGAATTACTTCAGGTTCTTCTTATTATCAAACTTCCTCAATTTTCAGGAAGATTTTTTTTTTTTTTTGCATTTCATACTATTTTTATCTTTTTAATTTTTATGTACTAAATGTTTGTAAAATACAATTTATTTTAATTATAAACAAGTTTAATTGCAATAATAAATAGAAGGACTAATCCTAGACCAATGGAAAATTAAACTTTTTTTTTAATAAATAAATTAGTTTTAAATAAAATTATTCTGTATTTAATATTTTAATAACATGCCAGCGAAATTAAATAAAAAAATACTGCTCATTATTTTAAAATTATTTTATTATTATATCAATATTTAATTTTTTTTCTATATTTAATAATAATTTAAAATAAATAAATAATCATTTTAATAATAAAAATAATTATTTAATTCCTTTTAAAAAAAAATTTTAATTTTTATATTTTATTACCGATTTTTCTCTTTTTTTTTTTATTTATTTAAAATATTTATAATAAATATTGTATATTATTTGTTAATAAATTGAAATATTTTAAACTATTTCAAACTATTGTTAATAGATAAAATTAATTTTATCTCACTGAATTTAAAACAAAAAAAAAAATGATTTAGTTGAAATTATTCAACAAAAAAGAAATCAGATTAACACACATTTGTTATTCAGAATGCATAAATATTATTGATACAATAACGATAGAAAGATTAATTAAAAATATTGAAAACTCTCGGTGGAATAGCGAATTTGTTGGAGATTCGATTATCTAAATGTACGGACCGATAGTTATAGAAAATCATAACGCATTTATCTGCACGCGATAATTTGAGCTCTGGGCATCCTCATAACTAATTTGTGGATCGTGCACGCAACTGCCATATGTTTTTATGAAATTTTGATGACCCACATTTTTTTTTGTCATAAAATCATTTTTACCTAAAATATTGTTATATTATTTTCTCAAATGTGAAAATAAAGTATATATTGTCATAAAAACTATGTAGCAAGTTATAACGTGCAACTAGAAGATTGACCATTCCCTAGGGGTAATGAAAAATCAGTTTATATTCAATATATATATATATATAGATGTCGATCTAGATTCAGATAACATACTAAGAAAAATGATGATCCATATTTATCGAAATTACACTTGTTATAGTGTGCTCTATTTTTCTCATCACACATTCCACTGTCTCAATCTTTCGGTCTTTTTCATCATCTTGATTCCTCATTTCTCATGACTTGCAATGTGGAAAAATATTTATTGCAATTCCTATATTTCATATCAATTTTTTCTGCTCAAGCATTTATATTATCTCAGGTGGTAGAATATTTTTTTTTTTCTTTTATAGAATTGCCAGAGATGTATAAGAATGTAATCGAGTACTCTTTTTTCTTTTTATCAAAAGAAGGTGAAAACAAAAAGAAAACCGTACAAAGAAAGCCAAGTATCCATAGTATTAAGCAGGAAGTAAGTGAATATCATAATGTCGGATGTCGAAAGTGAGAATATAAGTGACGCATCATTATCTGATAGGAAAAAAAAAAAAAAAAATAAGAATAAGAAAGTTGACTTCCTATAATAATATTTAACTGCTTATGGAAATGACCTTTTTAGCAAAAATATACAATTCCCTCTCAGTTAATTATTTATTCATATTTTTTTTAAATTGAAATTTTTTTTAAACCAGTAGAATACTCCGACTATGATCAGACCGGCCCACATTCAGTGTTTTTACTAAAACAACTTGAGATTTATTATCATTTATTACACTAATTATTATCATGCTTTGATCTAAATTCTACTAAAATCATATCAAATCAAACATAACATTTTTTTTATTGTTTAAAATTATTTATTATTATAAATAATGCACATATTGATCATGAGAAATATTTTGAAAAAATAATAATAAGTGAATTAATGAGTAAATATTATTAATATTTTATGCATATGATGTTATTAAATAGTTACATTTCTGATGTCTAGGACCTGAAGATGGTGATAATCAGCATCAAAGCACAACCCTTAAATTTATATTTTATCAAATCACAGTAAATTGGAATAGTTTCATTTCATATCACTTTATAAATAAATTTTTCTCTCTAATTCAGTGCAAGTAAAAGATTTTACTCTTCATTTTTTGTTGACGTCATATGAATCATTGCTATGTTAAATAAATCATCATTCCCTTTGATAATAGCATGATGATAATGAAGATGATCAATGTCAAGTACAGTCGAAGTTAGACTATAATGAATTTACGATCATGAGGATGCTGCACTTGTCATTACTCGATTAAGAGTCTCATTCCTATTTTCTAGAAGTCTCTATCTATTTTTATCACTTTTTATATTTATTATTACTTAATTAATTTTACTTAAATTTTTTCTTTCTCTATTTTATTCAATGGCAAAGTTGTCCAACATAATAAATTAATTTAAAATTTTAAACTACTCTTAAAATATTTATAGTTACATGATGACACTATGTAAGGTATCAAATTTACCTACGGTATAAATTTCAAACACAATTAATAACTGATTAATTAATATATCAATAATTAAACTTCTCTTTTTTTATTCATAAGATGACTGGGCGATATTTAAAAAAAAAAGAAAATTTCTTCTATAAAAAGATATTATTTAATTTATATGTACCCTTTGATCTAATAATATAAGTGTACATTAATAAATAAATATATAACTAAGATGTATATTAAACTGAATCAGAACGCTCGTTATTACATCATGGAATCGTAACATATGTAGAAGCATTCATTGCATCCGGCACGAACAAACTCATTTAAACTTATTAGAATCAGTACTCGATGTCTTTTAACATTGTTTTAATATTATGACAAGGCCGTGATACTCAACTTTTAACCACATTGCTTGAATTTTAATTCGATATTAAAATAATTAATGCATCAGTAACCACTACACTTACCTTTCCTTAGCTATTTATGTTACAACTAATAATATTTGAGGAATAAGTGATCATTAATTTTTCATTATAGATAAAAAGAAACTTCATTTTTCCTTTTCATATTTCTATAAAAAATTAATTACTTTAATTAAAATGAGCTATTTATTTTTTATATTACATTTTAAAATTTTTTATTGTAATTAAATGTACTCAACAATGAAGTAACAAGTACTTTAATTTTATTAGTACCTTAAAAAAGGTAAATAACATTCTGAAAATAATGAATAAACAGATTGTATAAATATATCCTGTTTTTTCGTCCCATAATCTAATTAAATCTAAAAAAATCTTCCTTAATTACCTTGATTTTGCCCTGCTTTTTTGAAGCAAGTGACAACTTCATCATATTTTCTGCTAATTCCAAAGGGATTTGGCATTGATCACTGAAGTCATTTATATTTGCTCCATGTTTTATTGGTAATCTCATAAATCTTTAAAGATTATTTAGATTTTGAGATCATAAAACATCCAATGGTGCACTGAAAGCAAAATGACTGAGTACTTGGCTATTCATTAACAATGATTTCTTAAATATAATAATTTTATTTTATTGTAAATTATATTCGTTGATAGATATTAAGAGAGTAATAAAAAATAGACCTGATAACAAATGAGTATTGTATGCTATAACTTTTGACAATCATAGATGTTAACAACAACGTTGATAGTTCATTAAATTATTCAAATCTTAATCTGATCAAGCATTCGAAGCTTCTTTGAAATATCCAACTTTTAAATAGTTTAGTCTATTGTTAAACTTAAATTTAATTTCTTCTGGAGTCCACTCCAAGTTTATAGTTATAGATATATATTGATCATTAGAATAATTTTTTTATTTTTAAACTATCTAACTTTTATCAGAATTAAAAATTTTCAAAATAAAGTTTGATGTACAAAACACAAATAATATTCTTTCCAAGTGACATTTGTTGCTTGACATTTATAACAAAATATTTATTTCTACTAAAAATATTTCTATTTTATAAAGCTACAAAGTGCAACAAATTTGTTTTATTTAAATGATTTATTTTTGTAGTCATTTTATATGCACATAAATATTACCATTTAGTGCAAATATTCATTTTTTTTTTTCATTTTTGAAGTAAAGATAAATTAAAATAAAGGTTTCTACTGAATAAATTTTTTTTTAGTCAATTAAATTTGTTTTTGAAACTTTAATAAATATATTGGCTACCAGTTGACACTAAATTCTAGATACGTTCAATAAAATATCAAAACAATAATTTCTCATTTCTCAGATACTCAAAATTTACCCAGAAATATTTGCAATATATTCTTTCTCTAATATGTTCTATGATTGTCTCCAGAGTATTTCGACTGTAAATATGACCTTCTTGAGTTTGTACAGTGCGGCGTAATGTCAATACCAGGTACTTGCCATGAAGAAATTGAACGCTTCAAGTATGTTAGGTATTAATAATAGAAAAAAAGAGAGGCAAGCAGATGCATTTTACACAAACCTTTTTTATTTTCAATTTCAAAGATCCAAGCCATGAAGTAAACACTTCAATATGAGGTTCTAAGGGCGTCTGAAAATTTAAAACAAAATCATAACGTACATAAGAGCCTATATAAAACGCCCACATTTTAATATTCCCCACACTATGTTGAAATATTTTTATAAAAGAAAACTTTATTATATAAACAAGTTTTAGGAATTAATTTACCCCTCAAAGTCATAAAAAAATTGCAGGATTTGTTTAGCCCTCGATTATACCTCACTTTCCCTTGTTGTGCATCAAATATCCTAGGGATGATTGAGACTAGATACCTAAATATAAAATCACCATTAAAGATAATAAAAAAATTTTTCATGTTTTTGATTATTCATAAAAAAATATATTAAAAAATTTAATTAAAATCACACCTGATGTTTACCCACCTATTTTTAATGGCTATCTTCAGACTATAAAAAAAAACTCAGCTCCCCTATGGAAACATCTTATATAGTAAAAATGAAAATAAAATTCCGAATATTTTTGACGCCTATTTTTAATGTCGAATAAAATTTTTATTCTCGATCTAATCACGTAAATATGGATTATTTATAACTGTTTACTATGAAATAATAGTAGTAGTGATTATGATAGTTCACTGCAAAAGATTGGAAAAGATCATTTTCTTACACTTTGAAATACTAAAAGCTACCGTTTGACTATAAACGATCTTTAGTGCTGATATCTGCATTATTGACATAAAAGGACAATAAACTTGAATCTACTTTTCTAGATGGCCAAGCGATATAAACTAACCTTATTCTGTGTTTCATTAAGTATAAAAGGAAGCAAGAAAAAAGAAGTTGAATAAATTAAATGTCATATTCTAGCGAGTTAAATTATAGGAAAATGTCGTTTTTTTTTTTTATGTTATTCATTCAATTTGTCAGATATTAGTCTAAAAATAATCTTGTTATATTCGTGACAGATAACTTATTCATTCACATGTAGATTTATTACGGAATGTAAAATAAGTTGATCGTGCATTGGTACGGAAGACCGATTGATGAAGACAGAAAAAAATTCTACTTGACATTTTAATTTCACAGCAAGCAATTCCTAGTGTATACACGTCGAGTGTGAATACAAATTTATTTTTCTATTTTTTTCATTCACAAAAGAATCACACGCATCTCACTTGAGTATCTACCCGACTGTGAAAATAATTTCAATGTTTACAGGAATTATTTTTCTGTTTTTTTTTTTCTCATTAATTTCATGTTAAACTCGTTAAGAATACATTTTCATGTACAGATATATATATACATATATATATTTTATTCCTTATTTTCTCTCTCGATCAGCTGAACATTTAATTCATTCCTTTATTAGAAAATTTTCAAGCATTACTTGTGAAAAATGTTTTATCATTTCCATATTGGAATTTTTTTAAGAACTCATTGAATAGGAATATTTTTAATAAGTACCGAAATTCATCTATTTTTTAAAATTTATAATAAACAAAATTAATTAGTCGTTAAAAAAAAAAATAAAAGAAATATTGGAAAATTCAATTATTATCCAATATGAATTTATTTGAAAAATAAAAAAATTGAAATATCGTTAACTACACTTTAAAAGTAAATTCTGAACTTTATTATTAATGTATGAAGTTCTAATTTTATATTTTGTAACTATAAACATGTTGAAAAATTGACTAGATATTAGAGGCAACTTTCAATTTCTCACAATTAGTTTGATATAAAACAAAGATGATGTTTTTATGTTCATCATCCAACAATTGAAATGGGTTAATTAAAAACATGACAGATTTAGATATATCCCATTTTTTGTATCTATTCTTTCATAGCATGAGTTAAAATATAATAAATTACGCAATTTATTTTTCTTTTTTATTTATTATTATATTTCATTTATTGATTGACTGACATATACACAACTTATCATTGTCTATAACTATTTATTGTTTATTTCAATCCTAGGATTTTAGATAATTCATAACATTCTTATCAACTAAACCATCTACCTTTATAGCAAACACTATTTTTTATCATATCAAATATTTAAAAAGTCTAATAATAAATAAGAATTTCAATATTTAAATAAAACTTAACTTGATTTATTCTAGTAATGGACAAGCTATAGATCATTTTCGTAATTAAAGAAATTAAGAAGTGTTCAGTTGAAAGCTTCTTCATTGTCTTTTAGCTCTTATTACATCAAGAATGTCATTGAATCAGAATAAAATCAAAAGAAATTGAAACCTAAAAAATCTTTTCTCTTTTTGTTATTAAAACTTATCGAATCTTCTTCAAGTTGTACTTGAAAAAATATATTTTTTAATTATTTTTCTTTCATACGTAGGTGTTATATCTTTCACGTGAAGTATCCCACACTCTAATAACACTTTTTCTAACAAAATACATATCGATAATGAGCTGTAATTATTATCATTCTTCTTAATGATTATCTACTTCACCAGTTAAAGAATTATAGTAATACCATTAATGATAAAAAACTTTTGTCACGCAGGATAATTAGTTATATTACATGAAGATTACTAATAATCATTAAAAATATTGACATAAACATTAGAATTTTCATCAATGTAAGGAAAGGTTAGTTGGTATATGTATACTTAAATAATTTTAAATTTGAAACAACCTCATTTAACCTGGTTCAATCCATTACACCAGTCTTCAAAGTTGTATACTTAGGTCTAGGATTTTATAGCTGTATGCAATAGTAAAACTAACTTGACGTTGTAACAGACGTGCTGAGAAAGCAAAGTAATATCATTAAAATTTACATATTGATGCATTATATACATATATTTTTAGCTATTAAATAAATTTTAATTTGCATATAAAACCAAAATATCTATGTACCTTAAAATCAAAGATCATCATATGATATTGAGTACCAGTTTAAAAAAAAAAAGAATAAATCATAGTGATTGGTCATAGTCAGTATATCAAACAAGTGACCTTTATTGCCTTTTTGTGGCTCGTTTGGAACGTTGCGATAAGGATAATTGCATTTTCAGGATGAAGGAGAATATATGATGCATCTGATGCTTCAGGTAATGATCATCTATTAAAACTTGAAATTATTTAACTTTTTAAAATTAATGAAAAACAACACAGGCTGATGGATCTTTTTATTCTACTCACACTTGTAATATTGCCAAGAATTTTGCAAATATTCTGATAGTGTTAAGTTGTCTCAGCTTAAAAAGATAAATTGAGTGAATCAGGAAGTTGGAAATTTTTGGTACTTTATTCTGAATGTTTCGTTTATTGGAGGATTTGAATACTTAAAAAGGCTGAATGAATAAAGTGGAAGAATAAAACTTCGTATTTTTACTTGGAACAATTTTAAACAGAAAAATACTGATGAATGATTTTTTTATTTCCAATAGTCGAAGTGTTTTTCTTGATTAGTTAAACATGATTTAATTCTTTTCAACTATTGAAGAACAGTGGTAAATAATTTATTAGTTTTAAATGAATCTTTCTTTAATATTTAATGATAAAAATACCTGAAGATTACTATTTACCTGAGTTTTTCAACAAAAAATAATCAACATATTTATCAAGACACGAAATACAACCTTGATTGAAAGTTAGATAATTTAACATTTCTTCTTTGTTTTGGATCTTTTTGTTTGCTACATGGGGCGTGTAGAGATAGATTCTTTTATCAAAGGTTCAGCTCCTAATTGGCGACGAATCATTAGAGTTCAGGGTCTATTCAACAATTATACGTTATTTCACATGGTAACATTTTTTTCTTGAACTTTTTTCCATGGAGACTTATTTAATTGAATAAACCCAACGAAATAATTATACTCTAGGTCTAAAATAGCAATAACAAAATATCTACAAATATCTTTTTGCTATTTTTATGTACATATTAATATAGAGAAAAAAAAATTACAAATATGTTAATGGTAAATAGGAGAAATTAAGCAAGAAATATACAAAGGAATAAAGGGGAAAAGTAAGTGAAAATGGTCGTTATGGTATGAGGTTTGTGGTAATTGAAAAGCGTGGCTGGGTTCTATAATCCCGTCGCGAATTACCAAGACAAATTAAACCATCGTGTTAATAAACCTGATGCTGCAACACACAAATATCACTGCGGTGAAGCTCAATTGAATTGAACACAGTAATATCTGTGCATGTATAGATGTAAATTTACAATACTGCACTTGAATGAAAATATTAATTGCAGCATAATATAGTCTTGAAAGTACTTAAGTGTTTTCCTAGAGACTCTAATTAAACTTAACATGGTAGAAAATTAAATTTTTATGTTGGAAAAAAATAGCTATTATTATTTAATTAATTATTTAACATATGTCTATCAACACACCTACTTCTTATTTAGAAAATTGCCTGGGAAGAATTTTACATGTAAATTTAGATACTTTCTGTTTAACTTACTAAATATATATATATAGAATAATTATTGTTTTTCATCAATTAACTTCTATATTTGATACGAATTATTTGGAGTCTAGGAAAAAATGTCTTATGAATTTTGACAAAATAATTTTATTGAAGAAAATATTGTTAATATTTAAATGAAAAGTAAATTTCTGATAAACTGATGTGAGAAAAATGACAATATTTATTTTTAATTATAAAGAAATCAATAAAAATATTATTAAGAAAATTTATTGACTTGTTTCAGGTCATACAGCTTGAGATAATTGACTAAAACGATGTTTTTCGTTAGTTTATTGGTACTAACAATATTTATAAGTTCTTCGAAATCAACACCTCTATCTTATATGACATATCAACGAAGGAATGACATCGCTGATTTGAATGGGGAAATGTATAATACATATGTACCTTATGTTGTTGATGATAGAAGATCAGCATCAGCTAATGAAGTTTACTGGCCACAATCATCAGAGGTAAAACATTTTGCTGTTTATTTTTGAATTTTATCTCTACTTTTATCTTGTAATTTAATAATACTAAAATAAAAAATAAAAAAAAACATTATCTCGTATAAAGAATTTTAAATTTAAAACTATTCAAATATTTTGATCTGGGTCGTTTTTATGGAAGAAGTTATTTTTCCATTTACTCCTACATTTATTTGTTTTCAAACTTTTTTATTTTTTATAAGGCTTTTTGAAAGATCAGAAAAATTTTAAAACAAATCAAACACAAATAGTACTTGAAAAAGAAATATATTATTCTCTTGATGAATTTCAGGATGATACTTTGAAAATCAACAATTCTATCAATGGCGTAGATCGAGTGAAAAAACTCCACTCACTGTCAGTATCTAATTCTCTGGATGTATTGAGGGAACGTGTTCTTCTGGAATTGGCGCGCCAAAAAGCTCTTCAGGATCAACAGCAAATTAATGCTAATCGCCGTTTCCTGAATAATATTGGGAAACGTTCCAATGTGCACCCAAAATTAAATCTAATGCTTGACACAAAAAAAAATCGTATTTTAGATTACACTTTGACGGATAATCTAGAGCAGAATAATTTCCCCATTAAAAATTTATTGAAACGAAACTCATACTGGGTAAATAAAAATGAACTTGGAGATCAATATGATGAAGGTGATGATTTACAAGAGGTATTAATATTTTAATCTTTTTTTTAAATAATTGATGATGAAGTAAATGTACATTTTTTTAGTTTCTTTTAATAACATTTATTAAAATGATATAATAATGTCTAGATTTTAAATGGTTGCATTATTCGTTGATATTATGTTACTAAATGTAAAGAAAAAATGTTTAAAAAATATAATTAGAATCTTTTCTAATGTCTACAAAAAATTCGAGTCCTCAGGACTCATTAGTGCATCATATTAAAAAATTTTCTAGAATATAATTGCACTTTTATCTACCTGAATGTACATTTACATTATCAACTATAATTATAATCATTTAGATACTTATGTTCATATTCTGTTCTAGGCAGAAATGAGGCGAATTAATTTATTGTAACGGGAAGAATGCCATTGGATACCGAGTACAATTTTGTCTTTTTCTCTGTAATTATATTTATAATTCATTCAACGTATTGGATTTGTCATGCACATATTTTAATAATTAATTAAGCCATTTGGAAAAAGAAATTTTTTTTTTTTTGGTAATAATTGCTATTCAAGAAAATTTTTAGTGATCTCATATTCTTATCTATTATCTATTAATAAACGAAACCAGTATTATATATCATATGTAATTGTTTCTCAAGACTGTAAAAGTCTTTTGTGTAAATTTTTGTTTTTATATTTCATATACAAATACAAATTAATGATAGAAAAAAATATATAAGAGTTTAGTGCTTCAACAAAAAAAAATTGTATATCGATGTTAGAAAAGTTTAGTATTACCTCTATAACTATTACAACAATTAATTTTTTGTTTTTAGTAAAATAACAAAAAATAAATCTATATATTGTATTTAAATAATAACTAATATTTACACAACCTTTCAAATAATATCCAAAAATATTTTACAATTGTTTAATTAGAGATAATAATATTGTTCTGATTTAATGTGCACAAGTATCGATATATATTTAATTTTTTTTAGCGATTTTACAAACAGCACATCAACTAAAGGATAGGAAAAAAAATTTGTTTATGAGATACTACTCATTATAAAAGATTTATTTATCAGCATTCATGTGTATAATAATTAATTAAAACCTAATCATTTATAATGCTTTCAATGTTTAGTACTTAATTCATATCTGTTTTATTTTTCCAATGAAAAACAGAACATCTGTACAGATTACTGGTATTAATTTATAATATAAAATTATTTAGACAATTTTTCTTACATCCTTTTATCATAATTCAATCAATTAACATTAATTCTATGATTTAAAAAATTTGTCTTATTATATATTCCAAATAATAGAAGATAAATGAACTTGATTGTAAAACAGTATCAAAATGCCTTGAAATAACGTAATCATAAGTAACGAATCTGGTATCAGAGTTATTTAAAATGAAATATAATAATTTAGTGAAAAAATAGATGGTATATGTGTACGTAATTATACGCATATCTACAAATAATGGAAGTAAACCAGCAGTGATAACGATATTTAAATTAAATTTGTGAAAATCACAGCTTACGTAAATCCAATACAAATACACTTCCATCTGAAGCAGATGCTCCAACTTTATCACCTCTACTGTTCCAGCAAACTTCGAATATTCCACCTGTACCTTTGTAGCTATGAACTAGATTTCCACTCTAATAAAGTTAAAAAATAAAAATTACATTATTTAGTTTTGACGAATATACATAAATAAAAATAATAATACTATTTACCTGAGTAGACCAAATATGAACACATTTATCAAAGCTGCCACTAGCAAGGAATTTACCATCAGGGCTGAAAGCCACACTATACACTGGTTCAGAATGTTTAGTAAGAGTATGAATGCATCCACCTTTTTCTACATCCCATAATCTCACAGTAGAATCAAATGAAGCACTAGCTAAAGTGAGGTTCATATTTGGATTATGAGTTCCTGGTCCTGTTGGTGACCATTTTATTGTGTAGATTTCTTTACTATGAGCTTGGAAATCATGTACCCAAGAATCTTGCTTCATTGACCAAATTTTTAAACTCATATCATCTGAACAACTCGCTAACAAATTTCCTTGTGGATCCCATTTAATAGCATTGACTTCATTCTGTAAATTGGTAAAGAAAATTAGTTAGATAATTTAGACCATTGGTAATTTATTACATCAATTAGATAATAAATAATAAAAATACTTACCGTATGTCCTTGGAAACTCTTAATAGGTTTATTTACGTTTAATTTACACACATGAATGCATTGATCAGTAGAACAACTAGCAAAGGAAGTATTAGTCTGCCAATCTACATCTAAAGCAGGAGCCATATGAAAACCGAATTGTTGTGTACATTGTCCACTAGCAGCATCCCAAATGATAGTTGTCTTATCAACTCCTGCACTGAGAATATAATTGCCTCTTTTGTTCCACTTTAGCGCAAATATTGGTCCTTTATGTTGTCCAAGTGTAGATGCTAAACTACCATCAGTTGTCCAAATTCTGGCATAACCATCGTAACTACCAGTCGCCAATAACGTTCCATCACACTAAAAAATGTATTAAATATTTAGATTGTTCTAATAGATCTAAATAACCTGATACATGGTAATAACCAACATACATTCCAATCTAAAGATGTAACATCTTTGTTACTAGGTACTTCTGTACCGTCTCTTTGAATACAATGACGAAGGATAAGTTGACCACCCATACAATGATCATTCATATCCCATATACGTGCTGTACTATCACCAGAGCCAGATGCTAATAAATCAGTTGTTGGATTCCACGCACAGATGAATACTTCAGATTCGTGTCCACGCAATTTAGTTGCTTTACTAGCTGGTATTTCTATTGTACTTGCAATATTGCTTGATCCTGAGCCTTGTTGTTCATCCAGTTCCATTTCCGTTCTTTCAGCAGCTCTTTCAGTAACTACTTCTGGATCATTCGATGTAATAACTGAACCAAAAAGATAAAAATTTTTTACCATAACAATTAATTAAATTGAAAGGAAAAATTAGTTTAGATATAATAAGTTTAAAAAATAAATAAATTGTAAGCTCATGCTATGTCATCACCTCATAGTTGACAGGAATTTTGAAATTTTACTTTGCAATATTTTTCCCAGATAATTTAATGTAGATAAGATTAATAGCACAATGTTATTAATGATACCATAGTTAATCTGATGAAATAATTGCAGAGAAAATATTCAAAATAACAAAAACAAGGACAAGAAACATAACTAGCAAAAATTTTAATATTCCTGGTTTAAAAAGGAAGTTCAAAAAAAAAGAATATTTTTAAGAACCAGGGTGTACCAGGTTAAGTTATATGATGAACATTATTATGTAACAAAAATTACCTTCTTCTCCATTGGTATCTTGTACCTCTGTTTTTGATTGTTTTTGTTGGTTTTGTTGATTTTGTCGAGATGCAACAACATCCGGCATAACAGCATCGATAAGGGATAAAGATTCCACCATTCTTTGTTCAGTTCCATCTTCCCCAATAGATATTTCAGCTTCGGTGTACTGTAATCCTTTCTGTACAATAGATAGCAATGCTGCAGGTGGTACCAGAGCTCCATTTATGTTGCTCTGAGATATATGTGATTCAATACCAAATGTATAAGCTGAATGTTGGAAACCTTTAAAATTTAAGAATATGTAAATTAATTAATAACGAATATACGATTTATTAAAATATCGATAAGATTATTTTTAAAAAAAACTTAAGTAAAGTTACAAGATAAAATGAGAGGTTATGTTTGAGCGACAATTACCTGATTCTTGTAAATATCGATAAACTAAAAAGTTTACTTCATCACTGGAAAAGCTCATTGTTTCTAATTTTGTTCTAATCCTATATCGAGCTAACAAAGCATAATTGATAAATTGATGAGGTTATTCAAAAACAATCGAATTGAGTATAACTTATAAAATGGACGCCAAAACTTGCCGCCTTTAATAATAACACTCCATATACCCACACAAATTTACAAAATACAGAAGAGTTTATGAAACATATGTATTTAAGATGCAAACGTATTTTCAATAAAAAAAAAACACTACGTATAAGTGCGCACACCAATGCAAGTGACCGCGTCGTTTTTGGTATATTATCTTGGAGTATTTATACTGTATATTTGTATGTATACATTATACAATGTAATTTGTATACATTTGATTGATTAGCATCAGTTGATCTGTTCAGCTGTTTAGGTAGTTTATACTTTTTATTTTTATATAAAAAGTATTGTGAATATTACATATAAATTATATTTGTAAAAACAATATACTCCGTGTTGACTTGAATCAAATAATTTATTATGTTAATTGTACACAAGTGACAAAATAACGAGAACTTTTTATTTATTTTATTTATAATTTTAAAAAAATGGCAACAAATCAAAGCACTCGTCAAGTATTATTGTCACTTATCGATGACATTGAATTAATTGCAAAGTAAGTGTAATTAGTAATAAATAATTTTGTTTTGTTAATTATGGAGTAATTGAGGTATTTTTTGTAACCTTACTTTTTATCAATGAAAGTTTAAAAAAATATCTGTAGTCAAGATATTGTTTATATTTATTTAATAATTTATTAAATTTTTAGAGAAATGATTGAAAATACAATAGCCCAAAAACATATGAAGCTATCATCAGCAGAATATGCTCAATTAGTAGAGCTATTAGTTGCTAAAAATAATGACTTCAAGTCCATGTTAAAGCAAGCTGCTGAACAAGAGAAAATTAACTTAAAAATGGAAGCTCTCAAAGCTGAAGTTGATAAACAAGATCAAGATATCCAACAATTGCAACGACAATTAAAAGAAGCAGAACAAATTTTAGCAACAGCCATTTATCAAGCTAAGCAAAAACTTCAATCAATTGCAAGAGCTAATAAAAAACCAGTACCTTCAGAAGAACTTATTAAATTTGCTCATAGAATAAGTGCTTCAAATGCCATTTGTGCTCCTTTAACATGGCAGCAAGGAGATCCACGACGACCTTATCCAACAGGTAAATAAAAACTAAAAAATTGTCAAAGAAGTTATTAAAAATCTTTTGTAAAATTTATTTCAGATATTGAAATGAGATTAGGATATTTAGGAAGACTAAGTGATTTACCTTCAAATGGATCAATGCTCGGATCACACTCAGGAATTACATCCGATTTACATAGGCCTGGACATCCAGGTAATTAAATTTTTATTTTAAAAATCTATACATAGATCTTCATTCATATAATATATTTTTAAATATACTTAATATTGCAGAACCGCCAGCATCTTTGACAAATCAATTTGCATGGCATCCTTCTGGTGAGATCAATATGACAATGGGTGGACAAGGAAGTGTAGCAATTAATACTCATAAACAAGAAAATGAAGATGTAGAAGTTATGTCGACTGATTCATCGAGTAGTTCATCTAGTGATTCACAATGAGACAGTAAAATTATTTGGTGAATAGTTACTCATCTCTTTCTTTTTAACTTCTGTAACTATATAGATAATTATAACTTGTTCTTTTAAATAATGATAATAAACGTAAGATTTTCTACAAGTCTTTTATCACTTACTCAATGCACTTCATTAAATTAGACTATATAATAATATCTGGCAAAAGATCACTAAGTTCAATATCATTGATCAATTTTTCTGGATTTGCCTGATTTTAAAAAATGGATTAGATAAAAAGATTGTTTAAATATTCGAATAGTTTTATTTTGTGTTACTTACTACTTTTCCATGATTGCATATAATTTTATCAAAATGGATATTGCCACCATTTAATTTTATTCCAAATGTATTGCAGTCTTCAGCAACCTTTGACATATTTTTGTAGAGTAATATACTTTGGAGTTTCTCTCCAGGAAATGTAAGATTTTTACTCTTATATCCAGCAGACATAATTGCCCAAGTGTCCCTGTATTAAATTATATATCAATTTCATCATTTGTAAATTGTTTTTTGTTATTAATCATTCAGATACCTTCTAATAACTTGTAGATTGTTTAGAGCAGCCATTAAAAACAATCCTGACAACTGAGAGATTTCACGACATACTCGTACATAATTTTTTAAGTACCATGCTCGTGATATATTTAACGCCTTTTTTATATCTGAAGATTCTCTATTAATGTAGAATTAACATAAAAAATAAGAAAGTCATTCAAATGCAAACTTTAAAATTTAAAATAGTAAATAATGAGTAAAATAAAACCTGTATTTAGAAGGCAATGATAATCCTCTCGTGATAGAAGTAAAATTGCCTAAATAAAGCAAAATATATAATGCCTCAATTTCTATTCTATTTTTATCAACAGGAACTTCTACCAATTTATCAGAATCAGTGGAATATTCTTCTGTTAACTCGAAATCTCGATTATCATACATGACTAATAGTTGTTTAATGCATTCAACTAAATGTTGATCATTAAATTTTGGAACATACTCTTTCAGACTCTTATCACGCATTCTACAAAGAATACAGAAGAGGAATATAGACAATGATGATTGTTATTTCAAGATTTCAACTACCTTTCTGCTGCATAAATATGAAATTTGACTATTGGATTCAATATCCTAATGCATGTGACTACATCAAGTCTTTGGATCACCATATCTTGTCTAACAGCTCGTAATCGATCAAAAATAAATTCGTATATTACAGTCCAATTTACATCTTTCCTCATAATGACTCTGTTTAAATAAAGAATGATTAATTAAGCAGTCAAAAAATTTTTATAAAAGTTGCATGTACCGAGTTAGTAAATATCTAACGGTAAAATGGAGAACTGGTCCTGGTCTAAGCTCACTAGGATCATTCATTGTTAATCCTGCACTAGATCTTTTATAGCATTTTACAGTTTTAGAAGGATCAGCTTTCTTGTGTTTTTTGTTTTTCGTTTTTTCATCTACCTCTAGTATGTTGAGAAGATTTTCTCTTTCTCTCCTAAAAGAGTAAATAATTCATATACGTGGCTTGAATAAACAAATAACAATTCGTTTTTTTTTTTTTTTTAATTATATTTACAAAAAAACATTAATTAATTAAATCTTACGAAATTCGTTCCTTTTCTGGACACATAGCAAAGCAAGTTCCTTTCAGTTCTTCAGTCATTTTGATAATTTTTCTTCAATTTTACAATACTCTGGATTAAGTAAATATTGAGATAATTAATTGGAATAAAAAAAATCTTCTGAACTGTTTGATTTTATCAGCATCATAACATTATTTTATTTGAATTAGATTTCATCATATTCAAAACATAACTCGGCGTTGATTTAGCAAGTTGCAAATATTTTCACTTTTAGGGTCCCTAAATAACTATTCGCACGCCTCTACCAGCGTCAAGTTGAACTAACCACTCAACCTATGAAAAGAGTTCAAAGACTCGCAGTAATTATTTTTTTCAGTAATTATTAAAAAAAATTGTTTAAAAACAATTTATAAAAATAACATGTTACTATTTTAATTCATATGTATACGTATATTCAGAAATAGATTGTTGCTTCTATATAATTACTCATTTGTAATCAAGAAACAGTGAAATCCGTGACATTAACCAAAATTCTTTTTGCCACATCTGAGTTGCAGTTATTCCAAAACTTCACAATTTTATGACTTTTTTGTTTGCATCCATTGTTTTTTAATGAAGTTATTATTAAAAAACTCTATTTACATATGTCAAAAACGCGAATCATTATCAATGGAAAACAACGACATAATCAATCAATTACACTAGTGAATACTTTTGAATAAGTAATGAATTTATAAAAAGTGAAACAAATTACTATTATTTTAATAAAAATGACTGCTATGGACTTTTTTGGTTGTGCATTAATTGCTTTTGGGCCTCCACTAGCAATGTTTGCTTTAACAATATCAATAGAACCAATAAGAATAATTATATTAATAGCAAGTGCATTTTTCTGGTTAATATCTCTTTTGTTGTCATCAATATTGTGGTATATAGTGGTTCCATTACAAAACAATCTTGCCTTTGGATTAGTTTTTTCTGTATTATTCCAGGAAGCATTTAGGTAAATAATATTCATAGACCTATCAAATATTTTTGTATATAAATGATATAAATAAATAACTTCTTTTAGATTCCTTCTGTATGCAGTGCTCCGAAAAGCAGAAAAAGGATTGGAAAAAGTCACAACTGCAAATCTAGCAAACAGCAGGCATATTTTTGCATACGTGTGTGGCTTGGGTTTTGGATTAATGAGTGGAGCTTTTGCATTGGTAAACGTTCTTGCTGATGCTGTTGGACCAGGCACAATGGGTTTACGTCAAGGAACTGAATACTTCTTCATAATGTCAGCTGCTACAACACTATGTTTCATACTATTACATACTTTTTGGGGAGTGATATTTTTCTCAGCAGTTGATCATAAAAATTGGGTACAAATAGCATGGGTGGTTCTATCACATCTATTTGTTTCATGTATGACATTGCTCAACAGATATCAGGCTTACACAGCCAGTTTATTAACTGCATATTTAATACTCGTGATCACAGCTGCACTAGCATATAAAATAGTTGGTGGTAAAGTAACGAATATTTTAAAATGTTTCACCTTTTCTAAGTAATAAAAGCAGTGATAATTTTTACTCAGTAATTGATAAATAACATCTAAAATCAACTATTGATTTATTGAAAATGGTTTATTTTTAGTTTATTTAATTAACAGTCACAAATCATTGCAGAATATCATTAAATATTTAATCACACGTTTTTTTTTCAATTTTTTTTCCTCTATTTTGGTATGAGTTATTGTGTGTAAAATCGAAAAATGAAAAATAAAAATGTGACATAATATCTTCATTAAAAAAGTTTCCGAACATTATATAAATTCATATAATGTTTATTTAAGTATTTTGATATTTACATTAAATAATACTAATGATTTATAAATTTAAGAACTTGTAAGAGATGCCATTAATAATTCCATTTTGTTGAGAAAATTCTTTCCTTCCATTTTATCCCATCGAACTTCTTTAAATGAGCCACCTAAATTTTCCCACTTTCGTTCACGTACCAATTGTCCTGGGAAGAAATCTTTCCTGGGTGAATGAGCTATAGCAACTTGAACACCGGTTTGTGGTTCACATCGTACTGCTATCATTCGATCACCTATTGGAGATGCTAATATACAACTGCTTGCATTTCCAAGAGGCTCTACAGCACCTAATCCAAGGTGTGTACTATTTGCCAGAAATTGCCAGCCCATGCATTTTGCTAAATTTTGTACTGCTGTTATTTGATGTTGATGAATCTGTAGAAATGAATTAAAATTAAATTATTTATTAGTCTAAACCAATAGGATAATATTTTTTCTTAGTAACAAAAATTGATTACAAAATTTAATATACCTGGCAAAAGATAAGATTTCGTAATTCTTGTGGCTCATAACTCATGTGCATGACTCTTCCATCTCTGCAAACACACTTCAATGATTTCTCTCCAACATGAACGACCAATGATGTACGACAAACTGTATCATATCCATTTGTCCAGATATTTATTTTAACACATGACTGTGTTGGAGAATTTAGAGTATTCCAGTGTGAAACTATAAGAGGATCTTTAACTTCTTTTGCAATAGTATCTAAAACATACTCCGTACGCATTCTCATGAAAAAGTGTCGAGCTTGTTGAATAATTTGTTCGAGAAGTGTTTGACTTTTAGTCATTTCAATAAGTTCATATCGATCAGCAGCAGTTGGTCCAGCAATGCAACGTCGTTTGCTTGGTCCTAGTGGACCCGATGATGGATGAGGAAAAGGATGATGAGTATTTTTATGATGGACTTCTCGTAATAATTGATGCAAAGAATGCTCCAAAACGTGATCATGATCAGTTTTTTGAGGTGGAGGTACTGTTTTCTTATCATTTCCAGTACTATGACACAATCCAATATTCAGTTGAATACCAGGAAGTACTGTAGCCATTATTTGATTGCCAACAACCATATGAGGAATTGGAGCTCGTAGATGAACAGCTTCTCTGGCCAACTGACTGAAAAGTTCTTTACAGAAAAGAACATTTTGAGCTGCTTCAAGTTTTTGCTGCCAATGCATGTCAGCATTCGAGCTTGTACTACTGTTTAGAAGATTTATATTTGGACTACATAAATCATCTTGATCTTTTTTACATAAAACTTCAATATAAGCAACGCCTTGAAGTTCACTTGGTATCGTTACACGTAACGAAGAGCTTTTAGCTGGACTTACAACTGAACTTGTTCCAGCACTTGCTGTAACACTTAACGCTCCTGCACCAGAGTTAGAGTTTGGAGATTCTGGTGGACTACAAGAATTGACTTTTTCGTCATCTTCTGCTTTTGTTACTTCAAACATTCCTGTTTGAGTATATTTTGATCCCGCTAAAATGAAAATTAAAAACGAACATTAGAATATCTGAAATAATTTTAATTTTCAAAAAGATATTTTTAAAGGTGATGAAAATACCTGTTCGATAACTTAAATCACCAATTATAGAATTGGAAACTTTCTTTAGTCGCCAATTCTGTCTAAGTCTTAACAGTTCGATATGAAATTCAGGAACTGATCGATTTTTCGCCAATTCATTTTGAGAATTTCTCAATCGTTCTGCACCAGTTAAAAGAACCGAAGCTGCACCAGCAAGAGCTTTTTTTCTTGCATACACTTGTACCATGGGCTTTACATCTGGAGGCTCTTGTTGAATTGGATCTAATACCATATATCTTTTTTCTTTTGCCACAGCCAACACATCAGCTAAGACACAAACTTCTGTCAAAGCATTTCTGTATTCAACATTTAAGAGTAGGATTAATATATGATTCTGCCTGAATTATATATACTTTTTTCTAATAGATAACAATTACCTTAATTTTGTTCTAACACTATCCCACGGCCATAATGAAGTTTGAAAAGCTGCTGCATCTTTAACATCTTCTTCACTTTTATCACCATTCTCAGTTGCATCATTTGTTATATCATCGCCATTTGTTTTACTGAAATCTATCTTCTGAGCTATTTTTGCTAAATTTTCAGATAAAGTTAACGGCCTAAAAAAATAATTGTTTATACTTAGTAAACAAATGAATCTTGAGTATTATTTTATGTATCATTAATAAATTAAAAACATACGCCTGATAAATTTCTTGTCCATCATATGTAATTTCTTGAATTTGATTTTCAATCGGAGCTTCAACTGAAATATTTACTGAATAAGCCATTTTCCAAGATTTATAAATTAATCATAAACTTCTCTAAGAATCCTGAAAAAAAAATTACAATAATTATATGCTTATGTATTAGTTCAACCAGAATAATGATTAAATCGTCATTAACAATATCAACAAACAAAACAGGAAAGATAATCACTGATGTATCTAAATACACTTACTATTGATATCAATGATTTTTTAATAATTTTCAGGTTTATTTATTGTCCTTAAATATTTAGATTAACATCATAATATTATTTAATTACCTAATAATAAATAAAAATGTTAAAAGTAGAAATAACTAATGCACGTAAACTACGTTGAACCATAAAAATAAAGGTTATGTAAACGTAAATTGTTTGAGATTTACTCAGAAGTATCATGCATCGCCATCTACATCAATATTTATTTTTCGCGGTAACAAAATAATTAAAAATTTAAAATGGAATGATTATTTTTAATGTGAATGTTAATTATCTAAATAAATAATCTTACAATTAAACATCTTTTTTTTATGAAATTTATTTTTCATAATAAAAATTAATAAAAATATGAAATTATTTCATCACATATCATTAGCAGTACAAAGAATCTTCAATCTTAAAATTAATCAATTGCATAATTAGGGTTGTAACTTAATTAGAAAGTTATTTAATAGTTGCTAGGAATGCAGATCTCCTTTCTGTATTTTGAAAAAGAGCACGAACCAATTGTTTAACTTGAGTAGCAGTAAATTCTTTTGCCAATGGACCTCTTCCACGTGCCCATCTTTCCTCAATATCTTTTAGCGAACCTTCCAATACTTTGATTAGTTCTAACATTTTTCGCCACTTGGAAACATAATTAGTAATTGGCTCCTCATCCTATTACAAAAATGATTAAATTAATTAAAAATTCAAATAGTGATTTGATTTAATAAATGAATAATGTAAATAAAAAATACCGGAAAGATTTGGGGTGCGCTGTTAATAATCATATTGAAAAGATTAACTAGATCTGTAGCTACATCAACTGAAATATCTTCTACAATGACAACTTTACAAATAAGATCATCAATCATTGAATTCAAAATTAACCCAACTGTTTTACAATAAACATTCATTGGTAAAACGTTTAACCAAACTGTTTTTAATAATTTTAGTTGCCGAATACATTGTCTTAAACCACGTTCTACAGTTGCTGGCAAACTTCCACCAAGTTGTGAAAGACCTATAAACAGATAACATTTTTTTTAATATCATTTAAATAGTAACTAAAATATTATGTAAATAATTTTCTCACCGGCATTTTCAATTATTTCTATAATGATATTTCTTTGATGCTTGACATGATTTAAAAATAATCTCACACCAACATCTCGCAGCTTCAAAGTTAGATCAATGTATGAAAAATTGTAATTATTTATATTCGGAATTTTATTGGAATATTCATGAGTAATAGTGAGAAGATGATGAGCAAGATACAGACAGTTATTATGAAATAAAGCTGTAAAAAATTTTCAAAAATTAATTGAATTATTTTATATGATATGACTATGATCAACATGATGAATTTATCGTACCAACTTGATTAGGAATAGTTTCTAAAAAGCTTTTATGATATTCTGGAGTAGCTTTTATGTATAACTCCACCACATTTCGACTTGTATAGTACAATTTGACTGCAAATTTTTCTGGATTCAGCACAGCTTCATTCAGAATAACATGCATCAGCTCCAATATTTCTTTAGCATTTGTACTAACTTGACAAGCTGGTAAAAGAAGACTATTTTCTGATAAACTATGTTTACTTCTTAAATTCTTTATAATGTTATCTTCTTCCAGTAACTTATCAGGCTCATATTTGAAGGAATCATGTAAGTTTTTCTTGACCAATTCTCTAGCTTTTGTTAGAAAATCTTGGCATATTTTATCAATATATAACGTATCAATATTTTTCACATGCATTGATAAATAACACTCATTATCAGTAATAAATCCAATTTCAACCAAATATGTTTCTAGTTCATTAATCTCTTGTTCCACTACTTGGAAATTCTTCAGCTGTGTATTTGATGTTGGAATAACATCAGAAATACAATCCTTTATCAATAAATCAGACAATTTTTTCCACATATAATTATTCAAGCGATTTAAAAATGTTTTGTTCTCAATTTGAACATCAAAATGTTGATGAATAAATACAAATAACATTTTGATATTATACAAAACACTTTTGTAACTTGGTTTGACTTTTTTATTCGAATATTCGACATTGAAAACCTTCTGATCTTGAACATATACCGAACACTCTTCATTGACAATTGGATGAATGATGTGTTCGATCAATTTATTTGAAAAATGATGAAGAGAGGTTGGAAGATCATCTAAGAAATGTAAGGCTTGAATAACATTTTTTATTTCTTCCGAATTACTGGTAATAGTTAGACTTATTATTTCAGGCCCATTGAGATCATTAGTACTGCTCCAGTTTACATATTCTTCCCAAAGATTTGATAATGTTGTTTGTAATGAAGCTTGGGTGGTCTCATATGTCTCTCTAAGAGCTGAGTAAATGTTGATAAGATGCAAATCACTATTAGCTTCATCATTTATCAATAGTTGTATATTTTTTAATGTCTGAGCAGCACGAACATAATCTTTTTGTTGTTCAAGATGTTCAGCTGTTCTAATCAATTTTTCTATTTCAAGTAATTTATGTGAAAGTTGTAGGCTCAAATTAGATACTAAAAGAGCTTGAGAAAGATTTTTCAATTCTTTAATTGATCCTGATAATTCTATTTTTATCTGTAAAATAATTAAATAACCTTAAGAACAGGATTTTTTAATCAATCAGTTAACTTATTTACCTGATCTTCAATTTTAGCTTTCAAGCTACCCATTTCATTTAATAATTTTTTAGTCTTTTCAATTAAAGCTCGATCATGTTGAAGTGTCGGTAAGAAGTTAATATAATTATCTTCAATATACTCTTTGACATCAATTTTTAATTTTTCTATTTCTTTTTGAATGTTAACTATTTTATCTTTCAAATCAGCAGTCCCTATTTCACCTAAATATTAATGTTAATAAACAGTGATGATAGAATATTTTAATTTTCTCACGCAGAGGTTATAATTTTTAGAAAATAAAAATATGTGAATAAAAAGAGTATACCTGTAGTTTTAAGAATATCAACAACTAATGAACTCATTTTGGTATTAAAAATATCTATTAAATCCCAAAATGCAAATGTTTTCTCAAAAATACTATCTTTTATTCATTAGGTTAAACATGTTATCACCCACTCTTGCCGTATATACGTAGACAAATGTTTCCAAACAAAAATGGCAGAATAAAGGAGGTGGGAAAACCAGAAGCATTTAAAACATAAAAAATATTTTTACAAAGATTTATTAAAAGTTATCAAGTTTTATTAATTATAACAAATATTTGTTCACAATTATTTAAGATGATAAATATTTTAACATCATATTTTCTTTTTAAGTTGTATTATCGGTATTTTGTAAATTACCGATTCGCTCTAAAAGAATAACTAATTCACAATGATTAGTATGAGGAAACATATCAACCGGTATAGCTTTCACAGGTACCAGTGGTTCTCCTGAAAGTGTTTTTGATACTGGTCTAGCGAAATCTATGAGATTTTTAATTGCAGCTTTAGGATCACATGAAATATATAAAAGTTTTGTCAATTTTTTTGCTTTTCGGAGAGATAGTAAGGCATGATGATGTAAACCAGCACGTGGAGGATCAACGACAGCTATTATTTCACTTTTGGTTGTTCTTTGAATAACAGCCTTAAGAAGATCTTCAGCTTTACCAACGAAGAAATCACAGTTTGTTATATTATTTCTTTTAGCATTCTCTTTAGCATCAGTTATAGCCTCCTTTATCATTTCTAATCCCAATACTTCGCCACAGTACTTGGCAAAACAAAGCCCAATAGTTCCAGTACCACAACAGATATCTAAAAATGATGTATTTTCACTATTGCATTCAGCTAACTCGATAGCTGCTTTATAAAGAACTTCAGCTCCATGAGTATTAATTTGGAAGAATGCTCGAGGAGAGATTCGCAGTTTTAAATCAAAAAGTAACTCTTCAATGTATAGACAGCCGCTTAAATGCTCATAATTCTTACTGTCATCTTCATCTTCTGAATTTCTGTAAATAAAAATACGTTATAAGATTACCAATCTAAGATGATAGAACCTATTTACTTACTTTTTCTTCATAATCTTGAAATATAAAGAAGTCACATTAGCTTCCTTTCCTTCACCTTCTTCAAAAAAATTCCGAATCTTCGATTTTAATTCTGTAAGCTGATCCTCGGTCATATCTTGCGGATGAACTGCAATAATCAACATTAAATGATCTAGACGTGAAGTTCGAGCAACAACTTGACTCCAAAACCCTGTATGACAAACTGGATCATAGACATCTAACTTTGATTCTTTAACAAAGTTTTGGAATATCTTTACAGCAGTTTTCATTCGGCTAGAGATGTGACACAAGTCATCAATAGGTCCTACAGCAGTTGATCCAGCAGCATAACTAGCTAATCGAAATCCTATTATAATTTCATCACCATCGCGGCTTTTACCAATTGTGAATTCACATTTATTCCTATATCCTTCAGTAACATTTGTACTCAAAATTGGTTTTAATTCACAAATCAAACCGTCATTCTTTTCCTGTTGTTTTTTTACCCAACTACCTAAAGATCTATTTTCTCTTGAAATATTTTCACCAAGTTGTGTTATGATAGACTTCATTTCTTTCTGTTTGAAACTGAGCTGTATGAATAAATAATGATGTGGTGATTAAAGGTTGATTGCTTGGGATGTTAGATAGTAGTCTTTACAATTACCTGTTCTGAATAAGGAACGTCCCATAAAGGAATTGTGCTTGATTTAACAAGCTCTGAGGTAGGAATTTCCTCTCCATTTTCATCAAACTTAATTTTCTTATTACAAGTATCGGCATCTGCTTCGATTCTTCTTTTTATTAATGGATCTGGTGCAGCCTTTGCTTTCTAAATTACATAAGAAAAAATTAATTCTAATAAATAAATAATTATTTTCGAATTAAATACCTTTGCCATAAGTTTGCAATTTTTCCACATATACCCATCAATAATTGAAATAGCACGTTCTCTGTCATCTTCATTTCGAAAGGCAACAAACATCCAATGACTTTTCTTTTTTAAAGGTTTTACTTTACATGTATTTAAATGCAATTTATCATTTAATAATTTTTTAAACTCTTTTATCCCATAATATTTCGGTAACCCACTCACTTCAATTTTAAATTTTTCTGATGTAAAATCATCCCTGCTTAAATATGCATAAGGATTATTCTGATGTTTATTATCTTCAATATTATTTGAAGCAACAGTTGATTCAGCCATGTTTAAATAGCTAGCTAGAATCGTTTAAAATTTTTAAATGAACACGCTTTAATATTTTTTTTTATAAAAAAAATAACATGAAATAAATCTAACCTCTCTCGTTGCAATAAGATCAAACAATTCACATGGCTTCTCTTTTGCACACACGTGGCGTTCATAACATAAACTATAGATTTTAAACTTGATTTTCTTCTAAATTGTATAGTTTAGACCATTTAGACAGATGCAAAGTGCTCCAAATATTTCACGTGTTGTTAAAAATATTTTGATTAATAAACTTTAAAATTAATCAGTCTACAATTTTGATCATTTACTAGAAAATATTAAGAAACATTCATAATGGTTAGTAAAAATAATCTTATTAATCTACTTAGATAAATAATTAAGAATGTGTAATTAAAATAACCTCTAAAGTAACAACGTTTACTTGTTAAAAATATAAGTAATATCATTGTTGAATAATAATGATAATTTGATCATTTATTTTTTTACAGCCGAAAAAGAAATTTATTGATAAGAAGAATGCAGTAACTTTTCATTTGGTACATCGATCACAACAAGATCCTTTAGCAGCTGATGAAACAGCACCTCAGAGAGTTTTAGTTCCCGTTGGATCGGTGCAGGCACCGAAGACAGAGAAAAAGCATGTAGATATTGAAAAAAGGAAAGAAGAGCAAAGGAAATATGGAGTATTTTACGAAGATGATTACAATTATCTTCAGCATTTAAAAGATGTTAACAAAGTAGAAGTAGAATGGGCTCCTGTAGAATATGAAGACAACAAATCTAAGAATAATGAAAAAAAGACTGCACCTAAGATTAATTTACCATCATCAGTTTTCGCTTCTTCAGTTGAAGAAGAAGTTGGACTTCTCAACAAAGCAGCTCCAATTTCTGGACCACGATTAGATCTCGATCCAGATCTAATAGCTGCTATGGACGATGACTTTGATTTTGATGATCCTGATAATCAATTGGAAGATAATTTTATGGAACTTGCTAATGGTGGAGGTGATATTGATGATATTATAGAAGAAGATGAATATGAATATGGTATTGATTTATTATTTGCTTTATTGTTGTAAGAAATAAATATTAATTATCTTTTACGCTGATTTTTAAAATTAAACATTTCAGATTCTGATGAAGAAAAGGATGAAGTTGGCAGTTTGGATGGACCACAATATTCCTTCAGAGATGAAGAAACTAAATCTCGATTTACTGAATACTCAATGAGTAGTAGTGTAATCAAAAGAAACGAACAGCTAACTCTTTTGGACGATAAATTTGAAAAAGTATTAACAATCTCACAAGTTATTGTATAATTGAATTGATTTTGATTTTATAATCTTAATAATTTAAATATTATTCTTTATTAAAGATGTATGCCGCTTATGATGAAGAAGAAATCGGAGCTTTAGAATGTGAAGAAATTCAAGGACATGTAGATATGGACTCCGATATTTTATTAGAATATGCAGCAGAATTTGAAAAGAAACAAAAAGAACCTGTAAGTATATTCTATTTAATATAGAATAATATCTAATTTCAGCATTTATTTCAACTACTTTTATAATTCCATAATCTTTTGTAGACTGAAAACGTAGCAAAGTTGATGAAAGACCGTTTAAAAATTATTGACACAAATTTTTCAAGTTCAGAAGATGAATTAGAAACTGTTGAAGTTGATGCACGTAAATTGGAAAAAGATTTCGATTGTAAAAGTGTTTTAAGTTTATACAGCGATATTTACAATCATCCTAAATTAATATCTGAACCCAAGGTATGTTGGATTCTTTCTTTCAATTTTATTCAAAGTCAAAACTTAGCAAATTTAACGATTAATATGTGTAATAATTAATTAAATCTTTCAGAAAATTGATAAATTACAAATAGATAAACGAACAGGAATACCTAAAAATATATTGACTGGAAAACCTGGAAAGTTAACAATTGCAAGTGTAGCTCAATTCAATCGTGAAAATGAAGAAGGAATGCAATGTGATAGACCAAAGTCTATAGCAGAAACAATGAAATCTACTATAAGTATGTTAAGTGTAAGACCTAAAAATGAACGTCCTGAAGAAAGAAAAGAACGTAAACAGGCATTAAAAAATTATAGAAAGGTATACAAGAATATTATTTTATTCTTCAAAAAGTATTTTTGTTTCACATTAGTCTAATATTATTTTTGTTTTTAATTTATAGGAGAGAAGGATTGAACGGAAAGCCAATACAGAAGCATTTAAGGAAGAAAAGAAACGTCAAGAGAAAATATTGCTTAATAATAGAAAAAATAATTTAGCTCTTTTTGCTAAGTAAAGTATAATATTATTTTATACGTATCGCTTTAATGTTTACAATAAATATAAATCATTTTATAATAAATAAATAAACAATAATACTAAATAAAAATCGTCTACTTAAGGTATTTTAATGAATTAAATTTGAAAAAAATAAATAAATAGTTACTAGGATACCAGTATGATCAATTTTTTCTGTTGTATCATGTATTGGTAAAGATAATTCTTACTTTACTTCCTCCACCAGCTAGATTTTTACCATTTGGCCTTACGGAATACTTGAATACTGACACCAGTATTCTAATGCTCATTAGTAGTGTGACATAAAGAGTAGAAAGAGTGATAGTATTCAAGAGTTCTGTTTGTTTGTAATTTAAATGTGACAGGGTTATTAAGGGAAAAATACTGAGTGAAAATTAAGATACAAATATTCGATGTTGTCTTTTGATGTAAATAATATACATGGAAATATATAATAGCAGCATAGATTGCAGATATAGTGGAATGAGCTACGTATAACTTGGCTATCTGGCTAAATAAAAAGCATTCTCGAATGATTCACGATTGACGATTGAAACGATTGAAGAGCAAGAAAAATGGCTGATGAATTAATACCATCTACTTCATTAGTACCTTTTACAAAAACTCTTTACGATCTTAGTGTTTCTACAATTGCAAGTAGCTTTGGACTTTATAAAAAGTATTTAACTTATTTACCAGAGAATATACTCTTCGATATTTACTATCAGGTAACTGTCATCTTTTTTTTTTTTTAACTTGTTTATTATCTGACGTTTCCACTTGTTACAAATGAGGAAGATTAATTGTTGTTGATATTCGTGAACTTTATTATCATGACGTGATGATTTTATTTGAAATTCCTCCATTTTTTAATCCGTTTATTTTACTAATATTAGTAACACTAATTCGTTCCATATTATTTATGTCAGTACACCATTTATAAAAATACCATTAATTGGATGTTTTTTTCAACATAACTGGCTTGTTATATTTTTATTTACTTTGAATTTGTTTATTAATAGCAATTAGTATTGTTTAATATTTACTTATTTCATTTCAGCTGTACAAAGATAAAAGACTATGTCTCTTAGATGCAGAATTACGTGATTTAGAGATCTTTTCTAAAATGCTAAGAATTGGAAATAGACGTATTCACTTGTTACAAGCTTTTCAGGTATTGTATGAAAACAAATAATTATTTAAATATCTACTACAAATAAAAAACATTTATTTTTATTTACTCAGCATGATTGAGAAATCTTTAATAATATTTACACTTGATTTATAAACAAAAATTTATGTTTCAATAAAAATCTCTTTTAAGACACTTGTTCAAATATTAATTTTTATGATTGTAATTGATATTGAAAAATTTTTCTATCATTTATATAGGCTCTAATGGATCATGGGACAAAAATTGGCAACGCATTAGCAATCAAGTATAACGTATACTGCCTAGGATTAATCACTAAATCACACTTTCAAGTGCAAACAATAATAAATCTTGGTATAAGACTGGGAAGTTTTCTGAGTGATGCTGGATGGTATGCAGAAAGTACAAAAGTTTTATTAGCCTGTAAACAATTGTGTCTTTTTTATAATGAGACAGTAGAAAATTGGGGTCGTACATTAGACTGTTGTCACAAGTTATTACATGCTCAAGCAGCTTCATGTGCATTTAAAGCAGCCGCAGAAACTTATGAATTAGCTTTAGAAACGATAAAGAAATTGCAAGATGCAGGTTACAGAGATTATAATCATGCGGCATTATATGCTGAGTTCAGTGTATTATTTTTTCTGAGGAGCGAATACGATCAAGCATACAAATGGAGTCTAACGGCTTTACAAGAATTAAAACCTACTCTATCGCCACGCATTACGGTTGATGTATTGCGTCAGGCAGCAAGATCGTGTGTTATAAAGAGGGAATTTCAAAAAGCTGGTCTATTAATTCGACAGGCCGTGTACCTGGCACGAGAAGTATTTGATACAAATCATCCAAAATACTGTGATGTTCTTATAGATTACGGATTTTACTTATTGAATTATGATAGCATAAGCAACAGTGTTTCTGTCTATAAGACTGCATTATCAATAAGGAAAGAAATATTTGGAAGAACTAATCTACATGTTGCTATAGCTCATGAAGAATTAGCATATGCTCTTTATGTACATGAATATAGTTCAGGTAGATTTTCTCAAGCACGTGAACAGATTGAAAGAGCCATAGAAATAATGGAAAAGTTGCTACCAACGGAACATTTGATGTTAGCTAGTGCTAAAAGAGTAAAAGCACTCATTTTAGAAGAAATTGCTTTAGACAGTGAGCATGACAATGAAACAGAAGTGATCAAAGATTTATTTCTACAATCAGAATCACTGCACTTATCTGCCCTGCGCTTAGCACAATCTGCCTTTGGAGAGAAGAATGTGCAAACGGCCAAACATTATGGAAATTTAGGCCGGCTGTATCAAAGCATGAGAAGATACCGGGTAATTAATTACTTCAATCTATTTATTTGTTTTATAATTTAATAATACTTATTTTAAAATTGGGCTCCAGCTCCAACACAGATTTCTAATATTTTTGGAGCTGGTGATCGAACCTATAATCCTTAATGTATTATTATTTACTAATGATACCCTAAGAAAGTCGAAGTGGAGTTCCACTTCCGAAACTTTAGCAACTTGACGATCAATCATTCTATTATTCATTTAGGAAGCTGAACAGATGCATCTGAAGGCGATCAGCATCAAAGAAGAACTTCTAGGATCGAATGATTATGAAGTTGGATTAAGTATTGGTCACTTGGCTTCGCTTTACAACTTCCATATGAATCGCTATCGAGACGCAGAGCAACTCTATCATCGCAGTATTGCTATTAGTGAGTAAAATTATTCTTTTTTCTTTTGTGAACCAAGAGTCGAGTTTAGATTCTCTTTTTGTGCACTATATGCACTTCGTGGTTTTTTTTTACTCTTTCTAACATTCTTCTCACTGTCTAAATGGGAGTTGCTTTTGGGATACATTTAATAGACAGTTTTTTAACGTTGAATAAAAAATGATGTTTTTACAGATGTCAAATTATTTGGGAAGAGTTACAGCGGTTTAGGGTATGATTATAGAGGTCTATTACGTGTTTATGAGATGCTGCATGAATATGATAAACTATCAGAATATCGAGAAGCTTTAATTTTTTGGAATGAATTGCGAAAAGAAAATGCTCAATCTGAAGATCCACCAATTGATCGACATAAACGTCCAGAACCTATTGAAAATGTCATTCAGGCATTTTTTGCTATGTAATTTAATATCAATTTCTAAGGCATCATAAGAAATATTTGTTTTGTTTGTAAACTTATTAACATGACACTTATTTTTACAAAGAGGCAGTTAATAGGTCGATGCAATAAATATTCTACCGCGTAAAATACGTAAATAAGAATAAATTAAAATGATTAATATTTGGAATGAAGAGAAAATTACGTATAAAATTGATAAAAAAAAATTATTCTAAAGCTATTTTTAATCTTACATTAACTTTTGATCGTGATAAAAAAAATTTTTTGCATTGACCAGAAGAAAATCTGACCTCAGGTTAATCCTCTGTCAAATTATAAAATCAAAATAATGTAATTTCACATTTTAATATGTTTAATCAAATTTTAAATTACACTACTGCATAAAAAATTGTATAGAAAAAATGAATTTTATCATTTAAATTAAAGAAAATATTTATTTAATTATGAGGATTAACCAAATTATAAAATAATTAGTTAATTAATGTGGTTTAAGTTTGTTAATCTTATAATTTAAATTTATATTAAAAAATTTTGTTTAGAAAATGTTTTTAGATAAATTTTTTCTAAAAGAATAGTTTTATATAAAGTAGAATTCAAAAATTACACTACAACACTATCTCCACGTTAATAAAAGCCAACTGCTGTCAAAAAAAAAAGACGTATGAATACACTGAAAACATATGATAATTGTAAAAAATAATTTTATGTCAATATTTTCAGCAAATGTTTTATAAACTACAATACTAGTGATATTCCAAATATAAAAAAAAAAATTATTGTTAATATATTAAATCTAGAAATACCAAAATAAAATATAAATAACATGCTGTCGAAATTTTCAATGGCAGCATACGTCGTAATGTTTCCAAAGCAAAGCACTGTCAACATCACTGAAGATATAAATAAATTAAATTAAATTAAAAGTATAAAACATCAAGTGAAAGAATTATAAAGTAAGTCAGTAACTAATTTTTTAGATCGATTAATATATTAAAACACTTAATAAAAATGAAACATTGAATGTAAATGAGAGGCTGATGCATGCATATGTATAATGTACAATTGTTTGCTTCAATATTAATTAAAAATGGATAAGATTAAATAGATTTTATTCATAAAATTTCGATTGGGTTTTTCCTTATAAAGGTGGATGTTTAGGAATGAATAATCAACATATCAATAAATAAAATGTATTCTTTGTTATATTAATATTTACGTTAAATTTATGTAATTATTATGCACAGTTGAAAATTTCGATATAATGTAAATGATTAATTATTCTTCGTTAATAGTTTGGTATATTTTTCGTGTTATTTTTTTATACGTTGACAACTAACATAATATTAGTATAAAATAAATTGTGTGGTATTTTAACAATTTGGTTATTTCGTTAAATTATTGTTTAGTTTAAATAAATAAAAAAAAAAAGGAACGTTGTAATGTAATAAAATGAACAATATTACATTCAAAAGCTTTAATATTATCATAAATTTACAATAAACATTAAGGACAATTTTTATTTACACATCATTTCTATTATCAAGAAATTTTTTAATTTTTTATTTCAACTTTTTAAATTGAAGGTAATTCGAAGAAGATTACGAAGAGAACAATTGGAATTCATAAAGAACGCTTATTTTTAAATAAAAAACATTTTAAATGTCAACTGTTTTTTTTTTCTTTTGAAAAGCGAAAAATACTTTTAAAATATACAACCATTAATTCAAGAAGTCAACTTGTCTAGAGAAGATAAATTTTTTCTAATATTTTGTTGATTTTTGTAATAAACTCATTGCATGTTTTCTTCATTGTTTAAATAACTTCTATTCGTCAAAATAAATAGAGAAATCAATCTGGAGTGTGTGGTGGTTGTTGACTAAAGTATGGCGCAGTGTCTGGAACCAACAATGTATGACAAACACCACAAACACGGGAAGGTCTTTGCTTTGGACCACTATTCACAACATGAGATAAACAAGATTGACAAAATATATGACCACAGTGCCGACAATGTACCTAAATTAATTAATAAAATTCACATTATTTTCTCAAATTCTAAAACAAATGATTTTTATTTATTAAATTTTTATTTTACAAAAATGCTTACTTTTTTCTTTCCAAGCGTAAAAGCTGTGTGGCACGTCGGACATTCATCAACATCTTCTTCATGTTGCCATCGTACTTCGCTTCCTGATTCTCTAATTTTTTCAAGTTGAACCTAAAATTGCATGATCATTGCAATAAAATATTTCAATCGTAACCATTAAAATAGAAATAAAAAATATTGATCGATTTATTACCTGAAGAGATTGAGAAAGTCGAACAAAGTCTTTTTGAACTTCTCCACTAGTTTCTAATACTTGCTGGAGGCTCGTGATTTTTTGTTTTAATTCAATTATCGTTGCATCAGCTTCTTTCTTTGCGGTCATAGTTTCTTGTAACATTTTCTCTAAACGATCTATTTTGTCATCTTTTTCAGCTATCATTTGCTCTCGAACAATACTTAATTCATACCGCATCGTAGCTTCTTTTTCTTCTGCTACTTCCTGCGCAACCCGAGCTAATATTAAATCTTCATGAGCTCTCAAGAGACTGATATGCAATTCTTCTACTGTATTTGGCATGTTGATATTTTCACTTTGAAGTTGCTGTGAATGTTTACTATGTTTTCCTACTAGCATTTCGTTTTCTCGTTGGAGTCTACAAAGCATTAAAAATTAATATTTCATTACTTTATACATAAATTTTATTTATAAAAGATGAATAAAATATTATTCATTAAATTAAAACTGTTGGAAAAGTGGTTTACTTACTCAATAAGATGCCTTTGAACTTCCTCACGACCTTTAGTTAATTTAGCTAATTCTTCCGTAACACCTTGATGCATCTGTTTAAATTGCTGCTTTAATTCTTGTAGTGTACGTTGAGCTAATTGTGAAGCTGCCGTTAATTCAGTCACTTTTATTTTATGTTCCTCTTTTTTTTCATTCCATTTTTCTTCCATTTCTTTTCTAAACTCAACTTCTTTAACAAGCTCCTCTCTTTGAGCTTGTAACATTCGCTCAGTGTCATTTAATTGTTTTTCTAAATCTTTAGCTGTCGTTTGCATTTTAACTAGCTGTGCTTCATAATTAATGCACATATCACATGTAGGCTCTGTAGAATCTGATTCTGTTCTTTTTTGGTGTTGTAATTCTTTATATTTCTGTAATTCATCATCAGTCGATCGTAATTTCTCTTTTAAAGCTTTTATTTCTTCTTCTAATGGCACAACCAATGATCTCAGTACTTCAGCATCTTCTTGAGCCTAAAATAAAAATAATCAATAAAGAAAAGCACTTTGTAAATGAATATAAAATGTTTATTAATAAAAGTTGAAAAAAATTAAATGTGCATTGTGTTAAGCTTACGTACATATTTTTTTACCTTCCTCATGTTCTCCTCTAAATGTTCTGGCCCTAATGATAAAGTATCTGCTCCTAATTGCGATACTACTTTCCTAGCAAGTGTTTTGGTAACTGTTGAAAGGGATATTTGTGGTCCATCTGAAGATCCTTCTTTCGTTAATTGGGTTTTTAAGAATGCATTCTCTTCATTAAGTTTTGAAATATGTGTTCTTAACTTGCGTAATTCCATTTCTAATTGTTCTCGTGTACATTGGGACTCTTGCATTGTATCTTGAATCACTTGCTGTAAAGAAACGATTTCTTCCTGAACTTGGTGTGTATTCATAGTAATGTAATTCTCTAATTCTAAAGATGTTATAGCTAACTGCATCTTTCCTTCATCTAATTCACTTTTTAATTTATCTCTTTCTTCCTGCAGCTCGGCATTCTCTTTTAATTTCCTTTTCAATTCTTCTACAAAGAAAATACTTTTGTAATATTTATTTTATTAAATAAAATCAATTCTTCAAGATATACCTTCTTTTTGTAAAAACAATTCTTTCATTTTCGCTCTTTGGACATTAAATTCCTCACGCAAGTGAGCATTTTCTGACTGCAACCTTTCCAACATTGTTTGGGGATCTGTAATAAATTAATTAAATGAGTCATAAAAGTACACTTAAAAATTTTAATGTCATATATTCATTGTATATTAATAAAAAAAATATTAAATTTAATTAAACAATTATTCAAATGGATATTCAATTGACAATAATAATGTATAGTAACCAAGATTTGATTAATAACAAACGAACTTTTTTAATTAAATAATTACCTTCAATGTTTTGGGTGGTTGTAGAATTTTCCTCAGTATTATTATCCATGATTCAATGCTTTAAATATTAAAAATAAATACGCATAAAGTGAATCACTTCCACAGTAATAAGTCCGGGCTTAATCTTGTCATAGAAATTAACAGCTGTATTAAGCAGTATTGTTGATACATTGTACTAGTTAATTATAAAAAAAAAGTATTATGATATTTATCGATTAATATATATACACTTCATGTATCACACTTTCCATAAAAATGGATTTTTATTTGGAATAGATAACCATCAAAAAACTAAAAATTTAATTAGATGATAATTCAGTTTTGTTCATCAAATGATATCATTTGCCCCGGACTGCACCAATTGACATGGCGACTACCAAGCAGCTGATGATCGACCGAGCTTAAATAATGCGCCAAATTTAAATTCTAGTAAAAAATGTTTTTTTTTCTTTTCAATAACGAATACTTTATCAACATAATTTATTTAATTGAGATTAGTTTTAAATTCATTAAGAACTGAAAATCATTTTTTGTACAATAGATAAGAAAATCGTTAACGAAACAGAAAGTCATTAAATATTAATGAGAAAAAAACAATAATAATAAATTAGAAAATATTGTTATCAATATTATATGTCTCGAATTCTTTTAAGTGATAAAATATTATAAAGAGCTCGAGAAAATGTTGGTGAAGGACCTAAGACTTGTAGCCGAACTTCAACTTGCTCCATTAAGAATTTCCACTTTAAATTCTGACGCTCTTCATTCATCATTGCCTAGTAGAAATAAAATAATCTTTTATAACTAAAAAATATTGTGATATTTTGGAGTAAATAAATTTTGTGAAAAAAATTACTCTAAATTCGGTAGGAGTACAGCCCAAAGCTTGTTCTGCAGGTGGTCCAGTCAACCTGCATCCAATCAAAAAATGGCCTGTATCATCTTTTAAATTAACTTTGATATAAAAATGATCAATATTTTCAGGCGCTCTTCTTCCGTTTCCACATGGACAATCCAAGTTCATACAAGATTCTTTACGATTCGTAACAATACGTTTACACAAAGCACTACATAAAAATCAATACATGATAAGTTAATAAATTTTTCATCTATCAAAATGAAAAGAATAGTTTTTTATACCATCGGGTGATTATTATTGGTATATTAGGATTATCTAACTCCATATCTGTTACTTGAGCATACAAAATAGTAGAAAACTGTATTCTATCAACATTATCTGGTTTTTTCTGATGTAATCGCTGTGATATCTCCATAATTGTCATTACATTCTTAATACTCTCAGCTATAATAAAGAAAATAATTATAAATAAAATGAATAAAGTGAAATCTAAAACAAATAAAAGTATTCCTATTTACGCATTGGTACGATAAATGGATCATGTGGTTGATAATCTTTATCCAATTTAACGGATTTCCTTATTTCAATGGTTTGAGGAATAGACGGGTTCTCAGTGATCATTGTTTTCCTCACAATAGCTAGGGTATTTTTTTTCTTATATCGATTGAAAATAACTTGTACATCTGCTAAGAATAAAACAGTTGATTTTGGTTCCCATAATCCAGATCTCTCAACCCAATCATTCTCCCAAAGTTTAAAAGCAACTGTGTCTGGATAAGAACCATCAGTAGCTTCAAAATCTCTTGTCACCATTGAACGTCCTTGTTTTGTTATGATATTTTTTGCTTCTCCAATCTAAAAGGAAGAATTAAAACTATTCATCTTACAAATACCAACATTCATGCAATATTTATCAATGTTATTACGACGAAAAAAAAAGAACAAATGAAGTGACTTACAAATGTAACAATGACTACAAGATTAACAAATTGGTTTAACATTGTTTGCAGATTTTCTACTACATTTTGAACAGAGCTAACATTTGATATATTTTTTATTGGTAAGTGTAATAGGGTTTTATATTCATCAACATCAGCACCTTCATGACGCTGGATTAGTGCTATTCCTTCATTAACAGTCAAGCTGAAAAGACTACTTACTGATGGCACAAACATTTCATTTTTATCATCAGCTTTTCTCAAATTTACTTTAGCACTTATTACATCAACAACGGTGCCTATATGATAGGACGCTACAAGGTTTTTTACATAATCTTCACTTCCCCAAACGGTTACATTAATTGTGTTTGTTTCGATATCACGAAGAGTAAAAGTCCACACACATCTTGTGAACGAACCAACTAAAAAATTTATAAAATTAAAATAAGTAAAGAACAAATATTCAACGCAATTAAAATAATAACATACATTTTGAATGTGTATCAAACGATCGCGGATTGAAACTATTTATAATTAATCCAACAATAAGAGTATTTTGAGCATCAGGATGAAGTGAAGATAAAGTTTGACGATGTACAGTAGTCATGATTAAATTTCGATAGTTGAATCGAATTATTTACTTTTATTTAGTGTTAATACTTGATAAATAAAAAAAATCATTCAAAGCTTCTTTTCCAAATTTTCGCCTTTTTCGGCCATATTGCCTATATTTAAACTCGACCAATTAGAAGATAGTTTTCATGCGCACGCATATACGCGCTAAAAATTTAAATATAAAAACATATAAATCTAAAACTAAACATTTTATAGGCTGAAGGGTTAATTTATTTAAATAATAAAAGTATAAAATTCTCCTTATTCGTATTTAATTAAGGCACTCTAACGTATTTATAACGATATATCACATATTTTAAGTAGTACAATTGATTTAATTAAACATACATTGACTATAGTACGTTTCCTAAGAGTTCTTTTTTAGCCTTTACATGTAATACAACATGTAAAGGAACGATAAATAATAAATATGAAAAAAAGAAAAAAATTAATTTGTCTATCTAATTAAAATCCATGTGCTTCTTATCACTGTGCAATTATCAAGGTCTTAAAGAACAAATAGAACCTCATTATCTTATCTATAGAAATTTCGAAACACTTCTAAATATTTTTGAGCAGTGTAATAACTTATCAAGGTGAAGCATTAAGGTGAAATAAAAAACATAAAATATTATATTCATTTACACTGGCGTCTCTGGACTATCCCAGTCTTCAGCGTTTTGTCGAGCTAGTGCTCTTGAGTCAGAAGATTCGTGAATTACGAGGCTTGCAGAATCACAATAATCTAAATCTATAGCTCTTTCTCCTGTCTGTGGAAGACTCTTAATTGACACTGGAGACATATCACTTTCTGGACTAAATGCGTGAGTAAAAACACTATCAGATTGTGTGTGTGATGGTGTTGAGAGTTCAGACACAAGAGGAGTAGATTCGTCGTCACTTTCACCAGCAGGTGATTGATTGGATGATGTTGTTCCAATCAAACGATCTTTAAGTTTATTTAATTTGTCGAAATTTGTAGGAACCGTTGGTACAACAATTTTTATATCATCAGCAATAGTTGGAGTTGAATGTCGCATATTGGATAGAGTAACAGCTGGGATTTGTTTAACAGCCACATCATTGGCAGCATAATCATCAGTTGACTTGGAACGATAAGCAGGCCTTGGAGATGCTGGAGGTGATATTAGAAGGGAGCTTGGACGGCTGTTGATGTTTGTGCTTCTTTTTCTAGTACGATTATTATGAGAATAAGTAGATTTAAAACTTCTTTGGGAGGTAATACTTCGTTGTGAATTGGAACGATGTAAATTTAATGCTGATTCATGAGAACTATCATCAGAACTTTCAGGATCATCATGAACTGGTACCCAATGATAAATAGGTGATGGCTGAAGCAATACGTAGTCAGTGTCGGGGGCAGTTGTAATACTGACAGATCGTGCTCGACCACCTAGAACATAATTGGTTTATGATTCAACATTCTTTACTTTAAGACTGATTACTAGAAGACTTGGGTATTCTAAGATAATGAAATTTATTTAACGACCTGCCCTGACATCTAGAAATACACACACATGCATGACATTTTAGTTTACTACAGACTATTTTGTAAACAAATAAAATCGTACAAAAATTATTTTTTAAATGTAACTGTTTATTGCCATTATTAAGGTTTAACAATATCCAATAATGTTGGTTTTAGTTATGAATTATTTAAATGAGTTATTATAAATAAACTGAGATCTGCATTTTTAAAAAACAATATTAACAGCAATAGCTGTACATCTTATCACAGTTTCACATCAACCTATTACCTTTGATAAATTTATCTCTAAATTCTACATGCGTAATGTACAAATAAATGTTCAATACGATTTTATCGACGTGATTGCTAATTAAACACACAAAACTTTACATAATTTCAATTAAAAAGTTCATAATTACACATCGATAGATCGTATTTTACAAAGTATCTTTAAACTTTTATCATTGTTAATCTTTTTTATTACAATCTTTTTATTCTTATTTAACTAATAAATTCTTAACTTATCAAATAATGGAAAAATACAGACTTTATTAAATCTTTAGCCAACTTATGACTGTTGTAATCTCTCCTTTCACTCATGGAATTTACGAGCAAATTATTACTCATTTTGCTGGTAACTTTGATGAAATATTAAAAATAATTTAAATAACTGGATTAATTAATGTTTTGTTCACACAGTCAGTTTTTTTATTTGATATCAAATAGTCAGCAGTAAATGTAAAATAAAACTGTTCAAAGTAAAAACAAACTAATCTAATATCTTCACAAATGTATCATTTTGATATTTATCTGACTAGAAATGAGTGCCGTATTCGTTGTTGTCAGGGCTTTGGTCGTCAGACTTTGGTGGTTCTTCAACAATAACCACAGGCAGTGTAAGCGGTAGGGAAGTAGGCTCACCTGGAAGTGAGTCTGGAGGTACTACAGTGGGTGACGGTACATCCAAAACATCTTCACAAGCCTCTTCGTTCAAGGTTTGAAGAGCTCCACAGATCATCTGTTCTTCTAGAGTCACCTAATACCCGAAACACTTATTTAACATACGTTTTTATGATTATTATCTTATTATAAATAACTTGAAATAAAATTTCACACAAACATAATAAATGTTTATTGTTTAATAATTATTACTAACAAAAGAGTCATTTGAAAAACCAGATTGTAGTATCTCTCAAAATAATTTAAATAATAATAAAGCATAAAAAATATTACAAGCTGATTTAATCGTGACTTTTGCAAACATTAAAATGATTGTGTTTCTTACCTGGAACTAATTCCCCACGTAATGAAATTTTGTGCACATGATAAAAGTGAATAACTAAGTATCTGATCATTTAATATTATTTTAAATTATTTTTTTTCATTGATTCTTACCTGCTTTTCCATTATTGAATGTTTTGTTGGATCACGTCTTGATGATCCATCTGTTCGACTTGTGGGCTTTTCTTTATCTCCATGAGTGGAATATATTTGAGAACTACTTTGAGACTCTCTTGTTTCTACAAAAAAAAATGGCAAAGGTATGAAAAAAATATTGCTTGAATACTGAATTAATTATTAATTAAAAATTGTAATACCTTTGCGGTTATTTGGTTCGGGTCGTACAGTAAATCGTACACTACGTGGACCTTCTTCACAAACTGAAAATACTGATCGTTCCTGTTCTCGAAGTGATACAATAACTATTCGAAAAATCTCCCAGTCACCAAAAGTCATATTAAGTACTTGTTTCAATTCTGATAAATCACAGTGTAACAAGACTTTTCCAGTTATATTATTTTCTCTAACTATATTCTTATAGCTCTCTAATTTATTAGGGTTTAATTCATCAATTTTTGACAGAAGGTCACAAATATTATTGACAGATAAATTTGACAATCTTATTTCAAGAATTTCCGATGGCAAAGTAGTAGCCACTGGAAGAGGTTTAATTGGAGGTTCAATTGGTGGTATTTGGACCCAAGGTTGATGCCAATCATAGACTGGAGGAATAGCCCAAGGTCCTAATGGTGGGAATGGTGGTCCAGATAAACTTGGAGTTTTGACTAATTTAGCATGACGATTTGTCAAATTAGTTCTATTTGGAATCCATGAGTCATTTGTCTTTTGCCATTGATTTTTATATATTCCTAAATGAACATCTTCTTCAATACTTTGTTGCTCTTCTTTTATTTTCTTTTTTATGTAAGGATCAAGATTAATAGTAAATGGCAAGAATATTCTCATATCACTAATTAGAAGACTGGAGCGATGAAATGTTAGAAAAACATCGAGCTTACGTTCATCTCTATCCATTTCTAAGAGAGGTTGAACGTCTTTAAGTACTGGAATTTGTGGACGAACTCTAAAATAACAAGAAAAAAATTCAATGTTAATTTATTTGTTCTAAAAATTTTTTTTCAGACAATTGAATCAATACTTACTTATCATACAATGCCTTCAAAGATATTGAATCTTCAAAAGTGTCTTCATACATTTCATAGTGAAGAATCATCCAAGAAGTTCTAAAAGGCCACTGCTCAGTAATATTGATCCAACTAGCTAAATGATACCAGTTGAAGTCAATCTGGAATGCTTTTAATAGTCTTCCTACAAATAAGAAATTTATATTAATATATTTAAATTATTTTGAAATATAAAAAATAAATATAAAACAAAAATTACCTGTAACATAAACAACATTCATCAAACGTCGCATACTACGTGGATTAACATCACTGAAGTAATCATCAGTCAACAGCATTTTATTTAAATCTTGAGCACCTCCTAAGCGATTTAAATTACTACCAATGCTGCTGGCAATAGATTCACTCAATCGCATCTTTCGGCTACCCTTCCGACTCGGTGGTTTTAATTTCTCATTGCTATTCATTACACTCGATTCTGTACTTAAACGTCTACTAGACACTGGATGATGAATAGCGCTTGTTGTTGCGTAATTAACATTCTCATCAGCTTCACACCAAGTCATTTTTTTGTAATGTTGAGCACTTTGTTGGGCAACTTTAACTTTACGCAGTCCACTGTTCTGAAGATAAAAAGGCACGTGGACCATATTACGTAAATAATCATGACCGCCAATATTTGATTCAGTAAAAAGTCGACGACTATTAACTTCAACAGCTTTAGCAATAATGTGTGGATCAATTGCTAAAATAATAACAAATGGACATCCATTATCACTGAAAAGTGCCTGCATTGCATCAAGTACTAATAGAACTTTATCTTGTTCACAACTGTCCAATCCATCGACTATTAATACTAGCCTACTTTGTTGAGAAGTAAAACTATCCAGGCACTTAACCATATCGGTCATTAAGCTCACTTCAGATTTAAGAGTTTGTAAAAATCCTTCACTCTTAAGAGAATCTAATTTTGCAATATTCCGTTGTAAATGTCTTCGCTGTGAGAATATTAATGCTTTCAATGTTCTACTCCACGTGTATAAATTAGCAATGACACTGAAGGCTAACAAAAGAGCTACAGTTATCATAATAATATGGGCTGTCGTGGGATCTATGGTTCTTTCAATACTATAATTGTCTATAAAATATAATGTAAGTGTAGATATACCAACAAGTAGACTACATAAGCAAAATTCAAAAATAACTACATAAGGCAAGCAACATAATTGTCTCCACTTCCAAGAGGTAGTTGTTTTAATGGCCTTCGGTCTAAAAGCTCTGTATAACCTCGTGGCAAAAGATCCAAAATCACTTTCAATTGAATCATATAATGATCCAACCATTTGAACAACAGCATTTTCACCAGCTGTTGTTGTTCCTACTCGTGTTTGATCAGTAAAATAAAATTTAATCGGTTGTATTGTTAGGCCATCATTCAGTTGACTACTAGGAGGAAGACAAAAAATCACTTGTAGTAATAGTCTTAATGAATTGAGCTTAACTGTAAGTGCAACCGTAAAATTATACGGCCAATTCCAGTCGTATCGGTTATTTGCATACCAAACTAGTCCAAGAAAAATATAAACTGTCGTCAATACTGAAACTCCTAATGCAACACCTAATATCCATGATTGTACAGCTAATCCTGCAATAGTTCCAATTAAAACTGATATATGCATAACGACAACTAACAGCAGTGTAGAAAATTGAAACACAGGATCAATCCATTGACGTGCAAAATTCTTCATCTCTTCACGTAATTTGTTAAGTAAAAATGACTTGCCAGATCCCCATTTGGCATACAGTCCTACAGTAATTGGAGTAGAAAGTGATGGCTCACTTAAAATATCAGCCAAAGCACTGCTATATAAATCATAACCCAACATATTTTCGTTATCTTCATTAGTATTAAGCCGTCGAGCACCGAAAATTTGTCCTAAAATTGTCTTTGGATGTTTAAGATCAATATTATATGGAGTTTCTCCATGTCTATTAGGACGATAAAGTAACTGACTGTGTTTTGGATTTCTTAATAAAATTTCCACAATTGCTTTTGATCGTGCACGCATAGCAATATGTAATACAGTGTCTCCCTTTCTATCAGTAGCACTCACTTTAGCTTTTTTATCTAATAATAATTGTACAATTTCAGCATTTCTCGATCTTACAGCACGTAGTAAAGGAGTATCTCCATCTTTGGTGGGTATTTCAAGATCAGGATTAGCACCTAATAATATTTTTAATATTGGAACATTGCCCTTTTCTACTGCAATGTATATGGCAGTTTTCCTATCTTTTCCTGGTATATCAACATCAGCATATTTTTTCAAAAGTGCCTCAACTACACTTCGATGACCTCCTTTGACTGCATGAATCAAATTAGTATCACCAGCTCGATCTTGTATATTAATATAAGCTCCACAATTGAGCAAGGCACTGACAATTTCATGATATCCTTCTCTACAAGCGATCGCTAACGCTGTATAACCATCTTTATCAAGTGCATTAACGTTTGGTTTGTGATCAAGTAGTAGCATAACCACATCCACATGATTACCGAGCGTTGCAACAATCAAAGGAGTCCAAGAATACATTCCAGCAGTATCAACATTAGCGCCAGCTTTCAAAAGAGTATCAACAATTTCTATATTTCCTTTTCTGGCTGCCCAAACTAAAGCAGTTGTTCCATATTTATCTCCTACATTAACTTTAGCTCCATGAACAATTAGTTCTTTTACAATTTCAGCATAACCTCTTCCTGAAGCCCATAGTAGTGATGATATATGATAATTTCCATGAGCATTTACATCTGCACCACGAGATAAAAGCAACATTACCGTTGCTGTTCTCTCTTTGTAGGTGGCCCACATGAGTGCTGTCCATCCACCAACATCTCGTTGCTCCAGATTTGCTCCGTGATCCAGTAATTCGAGACAGACTTCTGTATGTCCTTCTTTGGCAGCACATAATAGTGCTGTCCAGTTATCTGCATCCTCAGCATTGACATCGGCACCATGGTTAATGAGTTCACGGACAAATTGAAGTTTGCCTTTAGATGCTGCAAAGATGAGAGCTGTAGTGCCATTCTGAAAATAAATGGTGCTATGTTATTTATACTTCAAGTTTATAGATAAGACACATCTACAACATATTTTAAATTATCAAGACCTGATCCAACTCAAAGCAATTAGTTTTATTAAAACATTAATTAAAAATACAAATAATTTTAAAATATTAAAATAAATTACCTCATCACGATCATCAATAGGTATTCTTTTATTTTCAAGAAAACTTTGAAAAGCACTGAAATTATCTTCAGTGATGAAATTAGCAAGTGACCGGTAACACAACGACACCATCGAGTCAGTTCGATGAAGAGTCTGGAAAACAAAACAGAGAATAGCATATTATTATTAATCATAATAAAATTGATGTAAAATATTAAATCACACGGCATCCAAACACATGAATATTATTGAGTTGAGCAGCCAGATGAAAAAATGAATAATTGAATGATGTATGCAACATTAAGTCATTTACATTGATTTTCAATAGTCAGCTGGATGTCAATGATATTAATAACAACCTACACTAGATGATATATTAAAATCGTAGAGCGATGTTACGCTATTCATCCAAGAAATAATTGAGAGCTGCATTTTAGCGTTGAAAAATTGGAGTATTACTAATAGAACGTCTTACGATAAACGTGTTGATCACCAACTGTGTATAATATACTACTTTCCATGGCTAACTTGTCTGGGGAAAACGTGTGTAAATATAGATAGTATAAAAATTGATAAAGACTGTAATTGAAGTTTTTCCTTTAATGTCACTTACAACATAAACTCATGAACATAACTACGTCATTGATCACTTTTATTTCACCAAACATTAGTGTTAATTTAACTGTTAAATATTCAAATGTAATATCAATAGCTAGGAAAATTTATTTTGTATTTTACTTCAAGGATTGCTAGTAAGTGAAAGGATAAACCCTTTATATGGATAAGGAAATTATGAACTAACAATATAAAAATTAATATATTGGATATTGAAAAATATTATTCTGACATTAAAGTGAGATCTAAGTTGTGATAATGATTATTTTATCAACCGATTTCTCGTCAGCTGGGTACCTTTTGTGAAATAACATAAAAATAACTCATTAACTTATTTCATTAATTAATGGAATACTCTAGAGACGATCATTTAAAAACCATTGAAAACCCTACCAAACCTGAATGACTAACAAATAATTGTATCTCTGTTTAAAATCGTTGGATATTACAATCCATTCCAAAGTCTATAATTACTTGTGTTCAAAAACATTAGTAGATAAATTTTCATTGTCATCCATTATTTAGTAGGAAATAAGGGAATATTATTTATTTTTCCTCTATTTAGCAACACATTAGAATATTGATGAATTTTTAACACACTTGTGTAAACTAATAAAAACACTTTAAATGTTGATCTTCCTACTAGGTAGTTCAAGCTTTAAAATGAGTTCTGGTTGATGTGAGTCCAACAATTTTTCACAAAGATACAATTTTTTAAATATTGCTATAACGTTGCCAAGTCTGCTAATTTACTAGATAAAATTATTTAATTATAATTTTGCTGGTTATTTTTCTAAACAAATCAAAAGCTTACGCAGCCAACACTCTAGTTAATGAGAAAAAAAAAAAAACGCCATGCATGATTAAGAAACATTATTTTGTTGAGTTCGATATGACCCGGACCAACTAACCATCTGCGAATGTCGTCTTATGCCAAAGCTGAATTTGCGACCGGGTCCGTCGCTGGTGAAGCTAAACGTTGGTACCGGAATGTGTGGAAAATGATAATGATGGTGATTATCATGATGAATACGTTCATCAGGATCAGAAGATGCTGTAAAATTGGACCAAGAATGTGGTTGAGGCATATGTAGACGTAGAAGTGGTAACTTGGACTTTCTTCTTGATGACAGAGTACGTGTAGTAACATCATCAAGGCCAGTATCATCATTGATATTTGTTGAATAAATTGATCCATTGGATGGTGATCGTACACGTGATGTTGTATCTTTTTTAAACATTTTTTGCGGAACTACTGAAGAAATTCCAACAAGACTTGTAGCAAGACTAGATGTTATTGCCATACTTGTGACACTAGATCTTCTTATGTCACCTGTTTGATTATTTGTAAATACCGGAGATGGTTCATGAGTCTCTAAAGTGTTAGAAGATGAATTATTGGTATTGTCTGATGAAAAATACCATCCAGAAATTCTCTGCGAGTCTCCAGAGACATCAGAAACATGACCATTAGATTGATAGAAATTCTGAGAATCTTGAGGAATTTGTAGAGTTGATGAACATTTTCTATCACTTGTATCTATAAACAAGTTATTTTCATTTGTCATCACCGTATCTGGTTTGTCATTGTCTCCAATTGATAATGGCAAATCTCCCGTAGTCTCTTTCTCTTCTTTTTTTTCATTCTCATCATCTTCATCGATGTCAATACGGCAGATCGAACACGCAATCTTGACCTCTCTGCCGTCAGCCTTCCGCATGGCATCCTTCACTCTTACTTATCATTTATCGTCTTCTTTAAATGTGTCCTTCAATTGGGAGCACATATAGATATGTGTCAAACTGCACAGCAAATTATTACTAACAAATTTCTAGATTTTCCAGTTGTTCTAATTTATCATTTTATAAATAAATTTAATCAACTCATTCGAAATATAAAATAAATAGACATGAGATGTTGAGATAGATGTTGAAAGAATTGATAGTAAAAAAAAAAATTGATGACAAGCGCATGATTTTAAATGATCAAAGGAAGAATTCATGAGTGCAATGCGCGTGAATTATTCTCAGTGCATAATTATTCACGTCATCTGAAATATAATATATCATAATAATCAATTAGAAGTGTTGATAATAATCTTCAAGATTTATGTAAAACATTATTTTTTGATTAATAATATTTTTAACAAAAAAAAAAATTATTCTTATTTTTTAATTAACTTGGTTTGATAATAAATCTTAAAATATATTTAATTAAAGTCACATTATTCTTAATCCAACTTTAATGAATGTGATAAAAAAAAACATTTATTCATTATTACATACACAAAATTTTAATAAAAAATCTTTTTAATTTAAGAATTTTTTAAAATATTTAGTCCAATGTTTAATTATCACTTAAATTGTCTTCAATGATGATTCAGAATTTATGAAAAATTAAACCAATTAAAAATAATAAAAAATAATTGAAAAAAAAAATAAAAAATACCCTAGTCAAAGGTGTCAGCCTGAGCATTTTTTCAAAATTTTTTGATGACATCTTGATTAGAAGAAATAAAACAAAGAACTTTAGAAAAAAACAATTTTTTTTTTTTTTAAATTAAGTTACACTGAATACTTGATAGTAACAGTAAAAAGTAATCATACTACATCACTAGATAAAACAATAATGAAATCATAATGATAAAAAAAACTATTGCACGATCCACGCGACAAGACCGAATGAAACTCAAAGAGATCCAAGTCGCCTATTGCGTAGAATATATATCTCGGTTACCCCGAAAGCTATGTATACACAGCAGAAACATTGGTGGTGTTTCCCCACATTGTGGATCAACATTTATATGCCACAGAGATGTATAACGCTTCATGTGTACATATTGTTAGACGCGTCTGTAGCTCTATTAGTTGCTACTTTTGCACTCATTTCACTGCTTTTCCATTATTAGCTTCTTTTACAACTGTCTCACCAGTTATTTTCAATGCAACCTATCAGATGTATCAACATAATAGATTCTACCCACACCAAACTTTCAATGATGTTTTTCCAATTTTCTTTCTGTCAATAATAAATATTTTAATTAATATCAAGAACATCATTTTTATCTGATCAAGTATAATAAATAGAGTTAATAAAATTCTTCAGTCTACATGAAACGTTGAATCAAATAGGATTAAATATATTTTGCTAACTTATCTCTGTGTACTACGACCTCATCTCGTTGTCATTTATGAGTCAAATATAATTGGTTTCGTTTGATATTTAAGTTTGTGAGAAAATATTTGATTAATACATGGAACTCTATGTTAGAGATTTAATTGTGCTATGATGCTATCTGATACAAAGATGAAGAAAATGGAACAAAAGACTGACTAAGAAATTATTTTAATAAGAATCTATTCTTTTCTTATAGTCATGAATAAATCAGCAGATTTAATTCCAACTAATTTATCAGTTTTCTTTAAACAGTTATTATTATTATAAAGAAGAATTATAATTTTTTTATGAATTAATGACGTAATGGTGCTGAAATAACAATTAGATATGAGTTGATCTGGTATAGCATTCTTTTTTTTCAATGCCAATATGATAAATTTCGTTTCATATCACTTGTTTTATATCCTGTAGATAAAAGTATTTCCAACAATATTTTTATCTTTTTTGCATTTTATTTAAAAATTTTTTTTTTAAAGTGAAATTTAATTATTTTTCATCAGCATCACTTCATTTTTCTAAAAATAAAAAAAATTGTTCAATATATAAAATTAAACTACGTGAAATTCTAATTATTTTCTCCATAATTATTTTTAAAAATAAGTTCATTCGATAAAGACATGTCTAACTAACTCTTTAAAAATCTTGTCAGTCAATTTCATTGGAATCTATAATCTAAATCTAGAAACTGCTGCATTGAATTGTAACATCATCGACAGCTAGACTTTCTAGATACTTTTTTTCAACTAAAATAACATGAAACAATATTTTCTACCACTGTAGAAAGTGTGTTTTGTAGATAGAAGAGTTAATATACTTCTTCTAGAAATAGTTCACGATGAAAATATATTCATAAGTATATTTTAAAAATAAAACTAAAAAAAAAAACTCTACCTGTTTACTTCGCGTCCAAAAAGAACGAACAACTTGTTGACAAGTTTGAAATGATCCATAAGAAACGTATCGACTTCCAAAAAATGCAGAAAATGATCCTGAAGAACTTTTACTTTCTTCACTAAGTAGACTTGTTCTCTCACTTGATTCAAGATCATCATCAGGTGGATTTACCATACTATCCGAATATTTTATGGTCCAAGGATGAAAATTTATTGTCATCTAATATCACAACATGATTTACCAAGTCTAGTCCCAATAAAAAAGATTAAATGAATAAAAATAGTTAATAGGACATCAACAAAATAGACCCACATTAGTTCTATTCAACTTCACACTAATCACTAGAAGCCTGAATGTGAAGGTAAACTATAGTTAGTTCGATATTCGATAATTCTTATTTATTTATTGAAGATGCTGGAATAGAAAAAAACACAAGTTAAATATAAAGAAGTGTCTACAATGACTAAGCGGTGGTCAAGACAGTAGAGCTCTGAAAGAAGATAAAGACAGACTTTATTTGATAACTGACGAGTAATAATGGCCACAACAGATACATTATCATTCTCTCTTGAAATGAGACAACTGATTGGAGAAATAAAAAAATAACTACAACACGTGACAATATAATATGACATTAAATAAATTAATATCTGATGAATTGGATTTGATGATAATATACCTCCAATAATCGATGCTCAAAACGTTGAACAATGCTGTGAGATCTCTCTTTAAACAAAGCAATTTGGTTTTTTTGATAATTCGATTGACAGGATACTTGTCTATACAGTATTTCTCTAGAAGAGAATTGTTTCTTTCTCAATGACATCACTGAATATTATTTATCAAATAAACTAAAGGCAGAGTAAAATTAAAGTTTGGAAACATTAGCACTTGACGTCCTAGATATTGCACTTTTGAAGAAATAATATTTAGAAACTTGGCATATGACACAACACACACTATGATAATTCACTGTGAAATATATCCAAAAGATAAATTATTAAAATAAAAGAATTAAATAACTAAGCGAGAATTTAAATTTTAACTTTCATATAAAACCTTAACATTCACAATTTTAGAAAGTATATCACTTGTCCTACTGCAAAACTATTCAACAAAGACTTTAACAGACTTGCCATAAATATCCTGCCACCTAAACAGTCAAGAAAAAACGCATGACATGAGAGTTATAACTGCAACTTCGTTGTCAGGTGTCCTTGCAATTTCAAGGTTACAATTAGAAAAGCGATTATTGATGAATATTAACTAACCACTGTGGTAAATGTTTTGAATTACTGCAAATAAGTAATTGGGAGTAATTATGTATGAATGTTGAAATAAAGTATAATCCTAATTAGATCTAAAATATCATAATGATAATCATTTCAATTTTTTCTAATCTGGAATAATTATTATGTTAATCATTGTGCTTTTTATTATCATAAAAATAATTTTTGGTTGATTAAATAATAGTTAAAAAATATTTAATCAAGTTAGCTAATCTTTGTAGAGAGTTTAGTATTCTTACTTTACTTTCATCGATTAAATTATTGATAAAGCTAATCAGAAGTGAAGGACAATAGTGATAAGATTTATAATTGTTCTAGTGGTATGTAATAAACTGTGATTTTTCCTATGAAAATACGCAACCACTTGATTTATAAATGTTATTATAAGATAAGCTGTATAATTATGTACATAAAAAATCATTGAGACATTTTTTATAGATGTAGTAAAGAATAATTTTGTTAAACACAAGATTGAATGCAAACAATAAATGAAAATTATTGAAAAAAAAATGGAAAAAAATGCGAAATATTCTTGTTGGTAAAAGCAAGAATTGAAAGAATAGAACATTTCATTCATTACTTCTTGTGGAGCTTCAAAAATTATGAATGTGTTTGACGATCAATAGTTTTATTCACCGTTTTAACTTACCAATTGATTGTATACAGATGGCTTGATGAGTTTAGAGTTGTCATTAACTGCATGACACGGTGGTGTCTAGAAGTAATAAAATTTAAATGCATTACTTTCATGTGGTAATCATATATTGTACCATGCTATTGTCAATAAGAATGACATAAAGGAAAATAAGTCATCAGTTACTTTTATTTTTTTTTTCGTTGTCTTGAATAAAACAAATATTAATGTTTCATACTCATAATCATACGTTTTTACTGCCAGAGTTTGGAATTACCGATGCATTTTTGTACATAATAATAAACTTTTTACAAAAGATAAAAATAAAAATTTATTTTAACCTTACCCTAGTAAATGCTGATAACTCAATATATGAGTTTGTAATATTATACAGCTTTTGTTATGTATTCTTTACTTCCTATAAAACATTTCTAACCTTCATTTTTCTAGCATTTAATTTAAACATTAATAACATCTTAGTGTAAGGATATAATTTACTATTTTAGTGTTAAAATTGAATTTACTCTTGCAAAAAAACACGTCACCTTGCAAACTCGATCTCCAAGAACTTCACTATTCTGCCATGATTGAAAATGGCGATATTAGAGGCGCTTGCGTGGCGTCGATCAGCTGATATTTAATTACACCACGTGTTTGTGCACTCCAAAACGTATTCATAATATTGTTTAGATGTGCGAATAAATATTCAATTAATGTTAATAAAAATGCCTCTTGAAAAGACATTGGCTTTACCACAGAAAAAATATTATCGACAACGTGCTCATTCCAATCCTATTGCTGATCATTGTATTGAATAGTAAGTTTTTATCAAACTTTTCAGTGATATTTTTTGTTTCATTTGTTAACTGTAAATAAATAATGATTGATATTGTATTGTTAGCCCAACAAAGCCTCAGCTGGTAGATTGGAACTCTTTATATCCATATTTTTTTTCTCATTCCGAAAATGATAAATGTTTGTCAAACAAGCAAGTTGAGTTTGCTGACATTGGATGTGGCTATGGTGGCTTACTTGGTAAATATTAAGATATATAATTAATAATAATATTCTTAAGTATTTAAAAAAGATAAATTTACAAATAATTAATTTTTTCATTGGAAAAAATAGTTAGCTTATCACCAATGTTTCCTGAGAGTCTCATATTGGGTATGGAAATCAGAGTGAAGGTTTCTGATTATGTTATGGATAGAATTGCAGCTTTAAGAACACAAAATCCTAATCAATATCAGAACATAGCTTGTTTAAGAACTAACGCCATGAAATATCTACCAAATTATTTCACAAAAGGCCAGGCAAGTTAATCAATTTAAAATTATAGAACTGGATAAAAACGTACGTAATAATATTTATTTTATAATTACAGTTGAAAAAAATGTTTTTCTTATACCCTGATCCACATTTCAAGAAGGCTAAACATAAATGGAGAATAATAAATAAAACTTTGTTAGCTGAATATGCTTATGTACTAGCAGAACAAGTAAGAGGGTTTTTTCTAAATGTAATTTAGTATTATTGTTTTAAGAGTTAAAAATTAATGATGAATTATAATTTTTTTAGGGAATAGTTTATACAGTAACTGATGTAAAAGACCTCCATGAATGGATTGTAAAACACTTTGAAGAACATTGTCTGTTCCAAAGAATTTCTGATGACGAATTAGTAAGTTTTTTTTTTCTTTATAATAAAATGAAATTAATTAAATACTGATTCTAATATTACAGAAAAATGATCCTGTGATACCAAAACTTTATGAAAGCACTGAAGAAGGCCAAAAAGTTACGAGGAATAAAGGTGATAAGTATTTAGCTGTCTTTCGTCGAATACCCGATCCTTATATTCCTGACAATGATAGATAACATTAATTAAGTTCAATTTTCAAGTTTATGATGTATATTTTATATTCTTTGTAATTACAATTGAATAAATATTTACAAAGCGTGATCAAACAACAAAAATTGAGTTTCTCTTCTCTATTTGAAATTTTTTTAAATATTCAAGTTGTCCAGTTATCGGATAATAACCGAATTTTGCAGTTGAGATGATGCGGATGTAAATTAAGAAAGTAACTATGAAGATAGAAATAGAAGATGATGGTAATGACAATAAAAGAAAACACAGAAGAGAAAGAAATCTAAAATGTTAAAAATGCAACTATTTAAGACATGACAGTTTAAATCTATTTTCTACGAATTGAAAAATAAATTAACTTAAAGCGAAAATCGAACGTTTTGAGTAATTCTAAATAGGTTTCTATAAAAAATAGTTTTTATTATAAAGAATTTTTAATTATTCAAGATAGTCATGAAATGACTGAATGTTGAACTAATTATTATGTAAATAAATGTTTTGATGCATATAAACCAGTTGTATTCTGGTATCACCAAAATAATGTTTAGCAATGACATTAGAAAAAAAAAATTATATCTGCAGCCTGGATTCGAACCAGGATCTTTAGGATTCCACTTGAATTTTGCTTGAAATTACTTTATACTACCTGTAGTACACACTATTTACTGATACTAGTTTTCATTTATTATTCTAGAAAATTATAACACAATATTCACACAGTGTTATCAAAATCTATACAAGTGTACTATCACACTCCGCCGTCCCCCATACGGCCTAAAATTAATTATAATTTATACAATATCGTCCTAACACGTTACCATTTACGCCACTGCAGGCTTATGTAGAGATAAATTTGATTTTATATTTATTCTACTTCATTCATCAATATTACGTCATCACACAGAACTGTAAATTGACCAAAACAAATACAAATTTGATAGAAAAGAAAATAGCAGAGCAAGGAAGATGACACGAAAACAATATATAAATCCAGTATTAAATAAAATATCTACAATAACATTTTATGCACTACAATTTAGCATGTAATAAAATAATCTAAAAGTCCGATTGATCAAGAAAACATCACTGATATTTTCTATTTTGAAATATCTATACCATGAACTGGCAATTGGATCAAATGTACAGTTTTAATGATTGATTTAAATAAAGTTAAATGTACGATAGTACAATTAAAATGTTTATGAATAATCCTGATTTCTTAAAATGAAAGCATTAAATAACAGGTCGAGTTCACTAGTTGTACTGAGTGCACTTTGTACAAGTAACTTTGACAGAAAGCTAGTTCTACTAATGACTATATCAAGAAATAAAGTTGATGAAAATCTTGAAGAATACATATTTAACTTGTTTCCCAACGTATGGGAAATTATAAATCATAAATTTATAGGACATGAGTCTCAAATGGTAGTTGCTATGGAAAAGCACCAATATAAACAGCCATATCGCATGCTTTGCTTCAGATAAATTCTACGTACAAAGTATTGATATGCATTAGAAGTGGATTTGGGTGTAGTATAATGAAGTCAAAAAGTAGATATGAAGAAACTTATGTTTCATTATTTGATGCAGTACAGAGATGCTGAAAGACATCTTAAAACCAACATAGCTTCAATTGATTTTAAAAGTGTATCTTATAAATATAATAAAACATGTCACTTTATAATAATTATAGTATGTTTATTAAGTAATCTATATAATGAATGGACCGTGACAAATAAACAATGACTACATAGTAGAACACGAATTTGCATGAAAAAAAAATATTTCATTATTGATTTCTAGCTTAAACAACGTTTCTATTATTATACAATTCACATTCGTCAGGAACTGCAAAAAATTATTACCTATTGATTAGTTAATCATTTCATGATTTTTTGTGATTTTTTCGAAAATATCTTAGGGTTAGTCTGTAATCGAGACATTTTTGCACAATATTTAATGTCCTTGATAACAGTGTTGCTTTTCAAGCTTAAAATATTTCTGTCTGAGTTGTTTTAAGAAACGTTGAACTTATTATTAAAAATACAAGAATTCAATAGCAAAATGAATTCGTCATTCGAAGCTTATATATCGCATATATTCCATTCCGCATTCAATAGAATTGTTTTTCAGTGAATAGCAATCAGGCCAGATTCTAAAAGTTTCTGTAATTTTTCAGCAATAGCAGGATTCTTTAAATGGCTGTAAATTAAAAAAGAATATAAGAAATATGTTTTACAATAGTAGAAGGATAAATAATTTCTAATAAAAATACTTACTCTTGTAAAGCTTTAGGATCATTCTGCATTTGCTCCAAAATTAATCTCATTGCTGGATCTCTTAAGATGCTTTGAACTTCAGGATCAGCCATGGCTCTTTTTCTAACTTCTTCAGGATTGGAATCAAAGTAAACAGAGCAACTTCTATATCCTTCTGAAGCTTCAGCATTGTAAGGATCAAGTTGAAGTGCAGTTTGATAGTCTTTTAATGCTTTTCTATGTTGTTGCATGGCTTGAAGAATTTTTCCTTTCCTTACCCATCCTTTGACAAATTTAGGGTCAAGTTCTACACATTTTTCGCAGTCTTTCAATCCTAAATCAAATGCTCCGAGTTTTGTGTAGCAAGCAGCACGATTACTGTAGTACTTAGCTTCATCAGGATTACGTTTAATAGCTTCACTATAATGTTTCACAGCTCCTGCATAGTCTCCATCCTTAAATTTCTGATTACCTAATTCTTTTTCTTCTTCTGCTTTGACTGGATCTATATAAGCTTTTCTCTCTTCTTCTCTAATCTTCTGCTCCAACTTAGAAAGAATTGTTTTTATTTCTGGAGTTCTATGTTCAGCCATAGATTTTTCATAATAAATCTTTGCTTGCTTCCAATCTTCCATTTTTTCGTATGAATGACCAATTCGTGTAAAGGCCTTGGCGATAAGTTTAAAGTCAGCTCGATTTTCTCGACCTAGATCAATTGCTTTCTCACATTCTTCAATACATTTTTTATACTCTTTTTGTTCAAAATATACAGCAGCAATATTCAATAAATACGTTATTTCTGTTGGGTCTAACTCAATAGCTTTGTTATAATGTTTAAGAGCAGTCTCGAAATCTTTTTTCTTATAAGCATCATTACCCTTTTGTTTTTCTTTTAAAGCTTCTTTCTTTTCTGGTGGAATATTTGGTTCTTCTGCTGGTTGAGGTTTAGGCTGAGGCTTTGGTTCCTCTTGTTTTGGTGGATCAACATCCATTGCTTCACCACCAGTGTTTAGTCCAAGAATGACACTTATAGTTGTCATAATACGAGGATCCCGAAAGTTAGCAGCTGAATTGAGTGCATTTGTTCTCAAATTATTCAAAAGTTTTATGTATTCTGGATCATCTAGGTATTCTCTAGTTCGTGGGTCATTTCTTAAGCGAGTAAAAAGATCTGGAGTATTAAATGGATTAAATGTATTTTCTTCTTTTCGTGTTTTAACTTCAGCCAGACCTTCTTTCATTTGAGCGTTATTGGGATCTAATTGAAGGCCTTTCTCATAGGCTTCTATTGCTTCATCGTATCTTCCCAAGTAAGCTAATGCACTGCCTTTTCTAGAATATCCCTTAGCCCAATCACTTTTCAATGACACTGTTTTTTCAGCATCTTCCAATGCCTGCTCGAACTTTTGAGCTTTAGCATAAGCAGCAGATCTGTTGCTGTATAAAACATGATTATTTCCATCTATTGCAATTGCTTCGGTATAAAACTTAATTGCATCGTCATATTTTTCTGCCTGTAACGCTGCATTCCCTTTATCCTTTAACACTGACACCTAAAATACAAAATTATATTTATAATTGCTAACCTCACATTTACTTATTATTAATCTTATTTAAAATCAATAAAACTCTTTCGCACAATATATATATTTAAATTTATAAAATTAATTATTTAGTAAAAATAATAAAATTATTTATTGGTTCTTTTGAAAAACATTATCATAATAAATGATATTTACGTGCTGGAAGCATCGTGAGTATTGAAATTAATTGTAACAATAAATATATTAAAATGATAATATAAACAGAATAAATGGAACTTTAATAATTATTATTTTGAAAGAAATTAATTATAATTACCTGATCCATTGTGTCAAAATTGAATTAAGATAGTGACTGTTACTTTTTTTGCTTTTCCTTCGTTTGTGCACGATAATGAATGAAGCTATGCCGCAGTATTTCGCATGGTGGTCATACCGGCGATGTAGAAAGTTCTAGAAGCAACTAACAGCTAGCGCCGCTTACATCTTTTTTTAAAACTACAAATCAACATTTCTCGTACATTCTCGATTCAAATAATCGTTGTAATGTTATTTATAATTAATATGTTGTACATAGAAATTTAATAAAAAATATGGTAAAGTTGTGATATTCTCCAGTAGAAGAAAAATATTCAGAAATCATCTTCTAAATATTCATTAAGAAAAACGAATGATTGTTTAAATTTATGAATTAAATAAAAGAAATAAACGTCATTAATATTTGATATAATAAGTTATATTTGTTGTAACTAAGTCATCAACAGTAAAGAAATTCATTTTTATGTGTAAATATTTTTATAATTTATTGAAATATGAAAAAATAAGATATATTTCTACGTATATATTTACATGTATTTATTTAACTATCAATTTTATTAATCATTTTTCAATAAGTATTGAGATTATAATAAATTAAGTAGTATATTACTCATTTTATCAGTCAGATAGTAAATTTTTCTATTTACTACAAATATATAAACTCAAGTTTAAAATAAAGATTGTTTTTAAACAAATGTTTTATTGAAAAATGAGATTGTTCGCTCTACATTTTTTATATGGTATAAAATCCATTTTTTCGGATGAAACGACTATTTACATGGGAAAATACACGAGTATATTATTAATCCTATCATTATAATTATTATTAAAATTATTATATTATGCCCTAACGCCAACTTGTGACTGTCTTAACCTTGATAACATAAACGAATCATTTTCATCATCGCTACTATCACTACTATCATCTTCAGGAAGAGGTTCTGGTGTTGCACCAAGAGAAACTAATTGATGAGCGAGTGAAGTGTCTAGGTAAATAGCTATTTGATATGCTGTAACACCAGCATAAGTAGTTGCATCTAAACATGGTCGACATTCTTCCAATAAAAATTGAACTACTGATCGACAGCCAAGTTCGATAGCTAAATGAAGTGCAGTTTTGCCAGATAAACCTTCTCTTGCTTCCAGATCAGCTCCAAGTCGTAGAAGTAACCTCACAATATCAACTTGATCCCGAGCAGCTGCTACATGAAGGCACATTTCACCTGGAAAAAAATATAGTAAGTGAGAAAAATTCAGCGTCAGCATTTGAAGATAAATAAAACATTCAAAAATAAACTGTCTGGTGGCGTCAGATCTCAAGTTATTTCTATTCCCATTCATACTTTTGCACCGAAGAGACAGAAATGTTTCTACACTCAGTGGCTTACATCCAAATTTTTTCAGTGAAAAAATGATGTATTTTCTTTTTCCAATCAAATTATAATTGGTTGATTTTTGGTATTGAATGATATCTAATGAATATCTTCCAACTGATTTGATATAATTTAATCATTATGTTTGATTAGATTTAGAAATATTATTTATAAAGAGTGGCGCGTATTTTTAAACAAATACGCGTCAGTCACATGCCTTCAGTAAATATAGATAGAACTAGGAAGACGTGGTGATTCATTGTCGGAGCATTGGCCAGTATCTCGCGATCCAAACTAGGCCTGTGAGGATCAAAGATTACTAAAATTAAACTACGGGATTTATCTCAAGCATCCTTTCATCAACTAGCATAGATTTTTTTATCAAAAACTAATTTAATCTTATTGAAATACTGATGACAAATTAGAATAGAAGAGTGATATATCATTATATCAACAGATTTAAAAACTTGATGACGAGATATTAAATTTGGATAACATTCTAGAGTAAATAAAAAAGCTAATGTAGATATTTAAAATCCACCAACGTCTACGCTAGTGTTGGGGCTTTCCCAAGTGGAGAATGCCTGAGAGCGCGGGCGCAAATAGCCCTACAGGTATTTTAAAATGTCAAAAACATCTGGCCGCGGTTTCATCGTCGCGTGATGTAACCATGCAGATGTCGTCGGTCTTGACTCCTAGACACAATAGAATGCATTTTTACTTAATTATAGCATTCAAGATTTGATAGAATCATGGGATTTTTGAACGATTAATTTTTTTTGTTGTTTACAAGAAAAAACAACCTATAAATTATAATCCGATGAATAGTGTCTTAAAAATTAAATCGCAAGATGTTCAAGGTGGTATTTTTCATCACAACGTATTTATGTTAACAGTCTCACTCTTTTAAACTGGGGAAATCCCAGTCGGCGAGTCTGTCGAGCGAAATTCCTCGTCAGAAATTGTATGCCACGTATTTTCCCAGGCTTCTTCTTTCTCCATTTCACTTATTCAATAAATAAATTTTAATTTTCATTATTCAGGTCATTCATTGTTTAAATAATCATCATATTATTAAAATAGTGATGTCTCATAAAACAAAAAAACCCAGATTAAAAAAAAATTATAATTAATAATGAATGTAACATGAATGAATTTCTAAGAATATTCCATCATATTCTGATGAATGGAGAAAAACTCAATGACGTATGTTATTTTTTTTTTTATCGATAATGTAAATAATTAAATAATATCAATTATTAACATTGACATTTGATTCTTACAAATTTTCTATGAAATTAAAATTTCAACAGTCATACATTTTGCAATAATTCATGAATGTGTAAACAAAACTTCCTATTTTATTGATGATCATTATAAGAATGACTTCATTAATGAAAATGACTTGAAAGGAATATTTTTGTCTTGAAATTTTCTGAATGAAATACGCATTTTCTATGTCTATACATATTGATTAGAATTGACAAAAATAGCTATAAAAGTTACTAATTTTTCAATCAAACGATATATTTCGTAATACAAAAATATAAATCCTTGGCATTCAGAATGAATCTGCATAAGTCGAAATAATAGGTAAAGGAAAAGAAAGTATGAACGGCAGTCACGAGAAATCGAGGTCGGCTATTGACATTGGTTGTGCCTTATCTCCGAGCAAATAGTAACTATTAAAATATCAAATTTTTTTTTTTAGCAAAATAAGCTCATATTTAATTAAGAATGATATAAAACTTATACGACAATTATTTGCTAAATTATTTCTTTATAGTAGTTGAGTCAATTGCAATTGAAGGTGACGGCATGTGGGAATTCCGTAGTCCGAAGGTTGTAATATAACGATAAGCTAATGTTTCAAAAAGATATCTATTGTTAAAGTTATGTAGGACATTCAACTGACAAATATATTTGCCTATCTTTTACGACACTAGATTGCGAAAAATCCTGAAAGGTATTTTGTTTAAAATTTTCCTCATAAAAAGTACTATTATTAGATATTTTTTCACGTCAATATGGTAGATAGATGCGTCAGAAAGTATCACGATAAAAATGATTATGCTGACTTAGGAAGTGTGAGACGTAAAACGAAGTTAAATACATGAATACGGTCTAAAATTTATAAACATGAAAAAGCGATTCGATTGTACATCAGAAACTCCGGAATTCCCCAGCATTACACATGCAATCAAATGTAAATATTAAGTAGGTTTCCTCGCTCAAGACTATGTTTCGATAGGTCTATTTAAAATCAGAGAAAAAAAAATATTTTTAGATTTTCATTTATATTCATAAATAACATAAAATATTTTCAAATGAAATATTTCAAAAGGTTTTCAATACTTTAGCAGTAATTTTGAATTTCTATTTGCAGAAAAGTAATGAATGGAAATAGGTTTCAAGATCTGATCTATTGTTTGGAGTAGATATTCTTATTTACGATACTTAAATTTCTGAAAAGTGCAGAAAACGGAACGGTAGAAGTATAGCTAATTTCATAGAAACTACATACCTCGATAATTACGTTGTTCCAAATCCTGAGGTAAAGCTGGAATTCTTTTGTGTGGTCCCAGGTAGTTTCTTTCAATAGGTGCTAAAGGTTCAGTAAGGGCCCGAGCCGCTAAGAGGTCTCCGATTGAACAGGCAATATGAAGGGCAGTATTACCTCGGCAATCTCGTAATGCAGGGTTAGCACCTCCCAAAATTAAACGTCTAACTATTCTGGGTTGTTTAGTTAGAACGGCAAGATGCAAAGGTGCTTCGCCATCATCATTAACAATGTCTAACAGACAAGGATGCGGTGCCATTTTTATTAGGCTAAATGCTGCTACTTCAAAACATCCTTGAATAATTGCTACATGTAATTGTCTAAAAAAAATAATAAAATCATCAATTAGCTTGAAATACTTAAAATAGCGAAATTAGTATGTAAAAAAAGTTCAACTCACGTATCACCCTCTTCGTCTTGGGCATAGTAGATTTCCCATGGTTCTGGCTCTCTTTGACCGAAACTTTCAGTTGGAGCAGCTGCAGTATTTTCTTCCTCACTTTTTGAAGTGATAGGTTCAAGAATTGGTTCATTTTGAACTTTTTGTGATCGTCCGAGAGAATTTAGAGTGATTTGTCGTAAAGTCAAGTGACTGAGACTCTCACTGAGCCCGAGGTCAAGTCCACTATCGGTCCTCATGTTTTCAACTGTGAGTGGAATATTATCAAGACACTCAGACGATGCTCCGTCCACGGTCTCTTCTTCAACGTTTATGGAGTTTGATGAGTTCATAAGTTCTCCACTAAGTTCAGTAGAACTCAGAAGTAAGTTTCCAGATGAAATGAAACCAGAATCAATGATTCCTGAATCTTGTTGACCAATTTGTGTCTTGGAATCTGTAACATGGTTATCCATTGGCTCATTTTTTTCTGATTGATTCCACATTTTTATTGGAGAAATTATTAATTGCTTGTTTCGAAATTTTCACACTCTCGTTTCCACACTTCTATTCTATTTCGTTATTTTCCTATTCAATCGTTACTGTTTCGTTTACATCAACTGTTCGTTCGTTCGTTCTGATATTAATTAGTTCAATAATTATATTTAAACTTGAACTACACTGAGTTAACAATTGTTTTTTTTTTTTATATCACGGATTTTCTTTATCTGATATAGTAAAATAAAAAAAGACAGCTAGCGTTTATTAATTCCGCTTTCGTAATATAATTCGTTCGATAGAGATTGAGATAAATGATAAATATGAGTGTACTACATTCGAATATACTTTAAAAACTTGTCCGAAATAATTTATTTTAACTTCTTTACACCATTTCACACGACAATACTTGTGTCTTACAAATCACAGAACTCTCAAACCAACTCTTTTGATGTTCCACAACAGACTGCAACTACGTCAGCTACCTACAGCACGTTTGCTACGATTTTTCCATGATGGAGGACAATGTTTACTGTCAGCGCCGCCAACAGTTGTATCCACAAACTAATTCTAAATGAAGTGGGAAAACCCAGTGTCCTCCAAGCTTGATTGTTAGATTAAACACGACCTGAACTTATTACCTACCACGTGTACTTGTTATAGATGGAATTAACTTTCAACATGATTACTTATCAATTCTATTTGATGCAGTTAAAGAAGTAAATAGGTATTTTTAGATGATTATTTTTAACAGTGAAGAATAAATATATTTCTGAATGTACTACTTTCTTTACATGACAGTAGATATCATATTGGTTTTACTGAAGGGGTGGATTTTCCAAAGGATTTATATATCCAATATTCGAAGGATTGTTTTTAGACTATAATTATTCTTCAAGAGTATTTAATCTTCTTTAATGAACTAATTATTTAGTGAATAAAGAATAATTCTTTAATTAATAAAATACTCGAAAATAAACTTCAAATGTCTTCGAGAAGTGTGAAAATTTTTCAACATTGTGCAAATTATCAAATCTCCATGAAAAATCAATTTATTCAGTAGAAATTTATTTGTTTACTCGAAAAAGAATTTGGTAAATAAAGGCTAATGTTGACATTACATTAATACAAGGCTACAAGAAATATTGTAAACATTCATTACTATTGTTGTCATTTTTAATTACTTCTAACAGTATCAGAAGAATATTAAGGCTAAAATCTGTTCTATGTTAAACTGTTTGTTGATGGAATCAAAGTGGTATGATATATTAGTTACAATTTCTGTTTTATCAAATGACAGTTATAAAATGAAAGTATAATATTAATTAATTGTCTTCAGGTGTGTAATGATGATAACAATATTAGAATACAGATAAAATATGGTTACATGGTTGGCAAATCCCAATAATCACCTTTTTCTCTATATTGATAAATTTCTTTCTGATGACACTCAACTGACTGAACAGTTATCTGGGAAAGTCCTGCATCAAGATAACGTTCTTGAGACTAATAATGTCAACAAAGTGAAAAGGCCGAAAAAAGATATGAGATTTATTTTGATGATTGAATGGTTTAAAATTTTGATTATTTAAATTCTAAATGTTGGATAAGAAGAAAAAATAAAAAAACCCGAAATAATTATTGTGATCGTCAGATTCATTCATTGACAACTTAACTGATAACTGTCACAAATATTTACATATATAAATGATTGCAGTATACCGGATCAAATAAAGATGGATTAAGAGTCAGTTAATTCAAAGAATTTGATAAATAAATAGAACTAATACTCACTAGTACAATTAAATGTGTTAAATTTTTTTTTTTTAGTCCAACACTAATTGGGAAGAAAAACTTGATAACTATTCACTGAATATTTAAAAAACAATCGATGCATCACTCAGTTACACTGTATGTGAGTTGTCGTCTGACTGAAGTGTTGGATTCAACTATTGGTCCTGCAGGACATAACCGATAACGAAGACTATGTGATCTATCCCTACAACCCCTAAGAAAGTACCTTCTTGTCCCACTCTTCTGCCAATAAACATCAACTCATCCATACTGCCACCAGCATTTGGGGAATACCGACTAATAAAGCTGGTATGTACACATGCGGGAACTGGCCTAAACAGCCACACATCATCATCATCATTCCTTATTGTGCTCTAAATACTTTAGAGAATATTCCCACAGATTTAACTTTCCAGAATTTTATTGATTCATTGAGATAATCATAGCTCATTAGGAAGTTACTTTATTAATGGCTTCTTTCGTTTCTTTTTTGCATAATATTGATTTCATCTTTCTAAACCAATTGACTGCCTTTTATTCCAAATATCCCTTAAAATAGGTCACATTGTTTAGCCATAAAGGAACAAATTATGTGCAAAACTGAACAATTTCATTTGAAATAAATCTCTCATGCATCTCGAATTAATTAATTATCTTCATAATAACCAGCAATGTTTATTTTTCTTTTTAATCCCTCCAACAATTGTAAAGCATATGACAACCAGCTTGGTAAAAAAGTTTCTGGTAAACTCAGACCATAAAAAACCTAATCCTGGAAAAAATTCCCTTCAAGGATAAAAATTTTTTAACCTTTGAATTCCAACACCATAGTCAATAAAAGTGTTGTATTGAACTAGGAAAAACTGGCTGCTATGTAAGATAATTAAACGTAGATTTAGTATCTCATTCTTCTCTATATGTTTAATGAAAAGGTAACATATGAAGAAAATATGAAATAATATCACCTTGGTATGTAAATAAAATTTTCCCACAATACGACTGGAATATTTGCACATTTACCATACAGTTCAAAGGGCCAACTACTATATAGGTTTTACATATGGAGCCGAGGTCAGTAAGTAACCACAGCAATTGCAAGCAACCAGTAGAATAAGAATAGGACACTAAAATATAGTAAAATCCAAGCTTCTTAATTCTCCTCACGTTTTCCTTCACATCACTTAGTTTTATTAGTTTTCTTAGCGTGTCAAAATTACATGATAATTGATTCAAGAGCTACTTTCTGGTGGGAAAACTTTGATTCTCACGACTTTTCATCCTGATAAAAAATTGTCACGTTCCTTCTGTAAATACGCTCAGTGTTGTCAAACCTGGATACAGTCAATGGATTTTTGCATAACATTGGGAAAAGTAAGTCTTGTAAGAATTTGTACAAACAAGGATTTGGTCTGAAAAAAATAAATACTAGAAATCGTTCAATTTATGTAATATTGATAAAAAATAAATAGTTTCATACACAAATATATTTTTTTCTCTACAATATAAATATATAAATATCTTTATAGTTCTAGTTAAATTATTGCTAGCAAAAATTCTAGTTTTCTTCTTATCACAAACATTTAATTTTATCTTCGTGGGAAAGAAAAATAGAATCATGTGTAGCACATGTATTATTAATGCAAATTTCCAGTCATAAATTTAAGTGTAAGTACTTTATGACTTTTCTGGTCTTTAAAACTTCATTAAACCTTACATATTGTATGCTACATACTTTTTGCACGTGTAAATTTATAGTTTAAACTTCTTCATATAATCACAGTAAAATAATGTTATTTTATAAAACATAAAAATACACATCATATAAAAAAATATTTTTCTGTCATTTAAAAAAATATTATTATAATTTCATAAAAATAAATACTATTTCTTAAAATTTTTTCTTTATAAAAATATTAATTGTTTATATTATATCATGGATTCATTGCATGAAGGATAACGAGGTATGTTGTTATTGCTCCAGCAATCTAAAAGTTGAAAAGTTTTTTTCAGAATAATTATTTCACAATAAATATATTTTCAGTAATAATAGTAATTGATTTTCGCCACATACTGTCAACAAAAGTGGAAGATCAACTTGGATAAGACCTGCGGCTGCAGAGAAATGTAATTTCTTTAGACAAAAGTATGCCATTACTTCTACGTTATCCTGAAAACAAATAATTATTGAAAGAAAAAAAAACCTCATCAATAGCCATCATAAAAAGGACAACAAGTAATTACCAATGTCTTTTTTCGACGCATTGAGAATTGAGGTAAAAATGTTGATATTCCTATATTATTAGCTCTAACAGCAGTAAAATGACTGCAAGCTGAGATGATAAATAAATTAACACTGCAGGCTATGATAGAAAAAGAATCACGAATTTTGATAAATATTTCTTGATCATATCCGGTGGTAGTCAGAGTGTATATCCTTGATAAACCATTGAGAGAATTAATTGAAATCCAAACAAAAAGCTGAGTAGTGTAAATAGTATTGATTTCTTCTGCTGATGTGACTAGAGTATGATGCAGCCATCGAATATCTTGTAGACTCATGCTTTCTCGTTCAGGATAAATTGTTGTACTTTGACCTATTTAACATAAAATTAAATCAATTCAATTTCATTTTAAAGTAACGAAAGCTTAAGTAGTAATTATTTTCAACATACCTATTGCATTGTTTCTCTGGACAACTAGTTTATCAAGATGTTGGAATCTTTGATAAAGCAACACCAACATCCCTATGAACTTGAGAATTTGCATCGACATGGTAGCATTCACTATTCCATACACCACACCATTAAATATAACATATCGTGTTTCACATAAATAGGTCAAGTATCCAACAATACCCCAATAAAAGATAACTATAACCACAATAAACTGACAACTTTTATTCAACCGAGAGCTCATATTTTCTGCAAACTTCGTGGCAACGTCAAAGCTATGAAGACGAGAAATAGTTAGGCATAAACTTTTATTGCAAGCCATAGTGATAATGGCATCAGCAAAAACACAAAAATAATAAAGACAAACACGTAAACCCACGAGTAGTCGTAATTTAAATTCAATTATTTCGTGGACATTCAGATAAAAATCAAGCATACAAACAGATGTGAATAAAATAGCTATAAAAAATGAATAAAACTGGCCAACTTTGGTTATTACCAATTCTCGGTCAGTGATTTCATGTGGAGTACAACCAAATATTCGCGCACCAAACAATAAAGGTTTTATATCGTTCAAAACTGCCATTTGACTGATTCTAAGAGTTCTTATTGCTAGGTCAAGTAGTAGAAGAATTTTGTTTATTCACCTTTTTGATGAACATGATGTCATGAAGAAACATCTACGTGAAAAAGTAATTGTGTTTTTATTTAGTCGCTGAAAAAAATACAAATGTTTATAATAAGTTAAATAACTTATCATTATCCATGATCACTGATCAAACATGTACGTTAACATAAGTTTTAACGATTTTATTCATCACTTACGGGATAGCAAATATTACCAAACACCTGTTCTAGTTCTCACAGAAAAATGATTGCAAAAATAAATTGTTATGATTTTCTATGTTGATAGAGTCTAAGTCAAAGGGTGTAACCTTTGTTAATTTTTAATAGGATATCCAATAACTAGGACGACCTGAATATTAAAAATAACTTAAAGAAGAAAAACTTATGATAATGACTCTTTAATGTAATGTGTTTGATTAATATACTTGACAGAAAAAATTAGATAAATTATTTAGTCTATTTCTGTCATTAATCATTTTATTGAAAGTTTACAGAATAAAACTGATCATTTTCTTCTTGAAATATTTATTTTAAAGTTTACACATGGAAAATTCAAGTTGACAAATCCTTACTCCTATCAATCAGTACTCATTTAAATCAGATAATAATGACAACTTTAAAAAACATTCAACATTTTATACTCTGGAAAAATAAAAAATAATTAAATTAATTTAAAAGCTATATTATATGATTTTTTTTTTAAATATTTTCTAAAATAATTAAAATAAGGATTATTATTCGATAGATCAAATCATTGTTTTTAATAGTTAATCGAATTGAATAGCAATAAACATAATTATAATGATGAATAAAAACAAAATGTGAGTTTGTTTATTTAAACATTCTTCTTAACCATATGCATGTAAATACGTGCTAAATAATGCTGAGACTTGTTAGGAGTTGTCATCATCTATTTCTATATGGATCCCCATTTTCAATGCTGCTTTTTTTATTTTTCCTGTGCTATCAAACCGACCAAATATAGTGTTCCACAGTGGGTGCTTAGGATCATTTCCGATAGAAATGCTGAACATGGTCATTGCGTATTCAGGATTATCTTTTACACGTAGTTTAGGGAATGCCTCATTAGAAAACATTCTGGCCCAACGCCAAGTATATTCCTCTGAGTTTACGAAAAAACATTCAATAAAATTGTATAAAGCCGCGGTAGTTTCATGATGTCTTTCGGTGATCATAGCTTTTATCAGTTCTAATAGCTTGTTCTTGTATAAATTTTCTACTTTGCAAATCCATTTTACTATATCCAATTCTATTAATTCTAATGTGTACAAACATCCTGCTTTTAGAGCTCTTTGAATTCGGTATAACTCCGGCTTTTTATGTATACTTCCAAAAGCAGCTACTATTGCAGCTAAACATCTCATACTGTTAAAATTATATTTTTTATAGTCTTTAATAAAATCTGAAACCATTGCAGACGTAGGTGGAATGATCTTATCTATCATACCAGAAAATTCTGTTATTGAACTCCATATATTGAAAAATGCCTTCAATACTCTTGATGTAATATGTTCACAAACCTTAATTTTGTTTTTTATAGCGAGTCTCTGTAAATTTATGTACAGAAACCCTATTAAATTGATAGCAAATTTTTGTTTTTTTTTATTTTCTTCGTCCATATTTTCTGAATCGTGATCCAAAGCCTCCCATAATGTGTTATACCAACGTTTGACGTCTTGTTCTATAAAATTTACTGTTTTAGGAATAGTTGATTTATTCTCTTTTAAAGATTTAGATTGTGATGATTCATCTCTTTTAAAGGGCCAACGAATCGGACTCGTATATTTAATTTCTTCAATCTTTTCAGTTTTATCTGGCTTTTTTAAAGAAGTTTCTCCTTCCATTAAGATTGAGGGGAATATATTTTTTTCTTCGTTAATGCCATAATAGCGATCATCTATACGCATGGTCATTGCATAAAAAACGAAGAGTATGGCATCCGATGAATACTTTGGTTTTATCCCATGAACATACCAGTTTAGTAGAGCTTTCGCAGCGGGTATCGCATCGGCTATAGTGACCTTGTTACTTATTTTTGCCATTGGTAAAAACTTTTCGTTAAAAATTGCATCATTCCATGTGATAGAATCAATCATAGTTTCCAAACGGAGTTTTTCCATCTGTTGTGCTGCCTCTTCATCTTCAGAAATCACTGGATCATTGTGGTGGCTCGGTTGATGATCCTCACTCGATTTATCTGAATCCATCATTTCAGTCAGCTTACTTCTTCACGAATGTGAACCAGTTTCCAACTCCTGGATGTGATTTGATTCAAAAATAAGAACAACTATCAAACAAAGAAAAATAAGATTAATTATTTTTGATTAAATTCAATTGACAGCAAAAGACCATTTTTTACTAAGCTCGAATGAACAAATTATTTCAACTTCAAATGTTATAAACAATAATTGCACTCAAATTTTCAAGTTAAAATAATTGTTTTAAACAAATTTAATTTTATTTAGTCATGGGAAACGTTCATTTTAAATCAATTTAAAACTTTCATTCGATTTAATTTATCTGAATATTTTTTATATCATGATGTTAATTAATTCTTTTTTTGTTAACGTACAATTCTACAACTACACTACAATTCTTTCAGAAATCTTAGCTACCATTTGTATTAATACGCAGTAATACTTTTAACATTACTACAAGCTAAGTCAAAGATAATAATTAACTTTATGATTATTTTTAAGATAATGATACTAATAAAAGAATTATTTTTAATGAGTTAATAAAAATTACCCTTTTTAATGATTTAAACAAATAAAATTGCTTGTAAACGTGATAAAGAACTTGAAGACTCAACTGATTATCGATATATTATATACTAACTACGCCATTTGTAGAATCTGTTGGCCCTAAATCACGTGATTATTATAAGGGCGTAATATTTTTTGCGCACTAATTTATTTCCGATTTTTATGGGGCAGATAAAAGACTTCCTCGAAACCGTTGTTTTGAATTTATTGTTTTTAATTTGATACAAAATACTTACCACTGGTCGGTAAGTAAGAATTTATCAGTCAATAATGTCATTTTCGCATTGGATGACCTCATTTACATCAGTCCTTATTTGACAGCTGTACACGCTGGTCATTTTAATGAAACGTCAACTTGTTCTCTTTGTTTAATGTTTTATTAGCCAATGATTATCTATGAATTTAGGCGTATTCAATAGAGTTAATCTCAAGGTAAAGTTTCAAAATTTATCTTCTATTTGTACGTAATAACTCTCGTTTACCGTTGTAATCCATAACCTCTTTTATTAACAATAAAATAAATATTGTTAATTACTTTAATTTCATTGTTATTCATGTATGAGTGAAAAAACACAATCGAGTTATTGTTAATTTATAATCAAGTCAACTTTGAATATGGATCTACAGGATTCTGGGGGAGGAATGTATTCAGAATGGGCTTCACTAAGTGCATTGATACAGAGAGGTTCAGAAGAAAGTCGCAGCGTATTGGAAAAGTTTTCTCCAGGAGCTGGACGTGAAGTTGCACTTCCTGTGGTTCGACAATTAGCTGCAAATCTTGGAATTACTCAAGCTGCTGAACCAAGTCCTTTGAATACTGATAAAGAAGTTCAATGGTGTATGGAAGTCATATGCTTTGGACTATCACTACCACTTGCTGAACATGATACAGTCAGAGATTGTGTTAATGTTTATTGTGAATGGTTATCAGCTTTATATGTTTCACCAAAGATTTCAGTACCAAAACCAATTGTTGAAGATCCAAATTTTTATGCTAGGAAAATGATCAGTCATTTTCATAATTTATTTGTACCAAGAAAGGGCGAAGGTAAGACGGAAATTATTGTTTCTTGTAGCTATTTAATGTTTAATTATTTATAGACAATCGATATACTAATTAATTTAATTCAATAATCCTCTAACACAGTTGTTTATTTTCTTTTTCTTGACAATAGTCTGGCCCTTTTTATATCAGGATTTAGGTAATTCGATTTTCCGATTTCATTAATAATTTTTCATGCTTTTTTGTATTTGTCATGAAGGCACTATTAATATTTTTAAGCTTCAATGCTTTATGTGCGGTGTTGTTCTTTCGGATTGCTCATATTTGCTACTCGAAAGTGATGAGTTATCGATTTGATAATAATATTAATTGTTAATAATTACAGGAGCTGATACAATAAATAGACAAGCAGTTCTTTGTCATCGAGTCTTAAGAACGCTTCAGCAGGTAGCAAGAGGCCCAGCTACGTTAGATAATGAAACATGGGAAAGTTTACTCTTATTTTTAATTGGTATTAATGATGCTTTACTTGCACCACCTGCTGTTCGAGAAGATGCTGGAGAACAACTTTGTGAACGAGTTCTTGGAGTACTACTTGAGGTAAGTTATTTTGTGTAATTTATTGAATTTTCGACAGATAATAGTTTTAAATGTTTATAATAGGTATGGTTAGTAGCTTGTGAAAGAAATTTTCCATCTCCTCCTCTTTGGAGAACTCTACGAGAGTCTTGCCTGCGTTGGCGACATCGTTTAGCTCTCATTGAACAATGGAACCGAGTTTGCCTAGCACTTACTGCACGATTATTAAATATAATGTATGGACCATTGTTTCCGGAATTAAAAATAAGTGAAGAAGATGCCCAGGTAGTTCCACCAACTATGTCAGATGAAGCAGTTGCTCAAGCCTGGTATCGATTATTAAGGACAGTTGGAGATCCAGTGGATTTATGTAGACCAGCTGTTGTATCACAAACACAAGCTTTTTTGCAATATGCAATAGCAAGTCCTTATGTGATTGATCCTTGTCATCATCCATGTCTTCAGTCTTTACCGCAGATTTTTTTAAAAGCCATCAAAGGTATCGCTGGTCAAGTTGATGCATTTCTGGGTAAGTTATTTTATTTTTGACAAGAAATTAAAGCACCATTTTTCAGTTTGAATAGTCACCAAAAAAATCATCTCATTGTCTGTCAGAGCACCGAAAATATTCCATCACAATATGTTTGGTGTAGGGTAGTAGTTGCATGTTTAATTCTTTTTTAGGAGTATCACAAGCCTGCTGCTGGGAAGAATGTTGTGCAACTAGTGGATTTACTTCAGGAATAAATACGCATGCAGCAGGAGGAGGCGTTGGCGCGATTAGCAGTAAAGATCAGCCGCAATCGTCGCCTACGCCTCCAACTCAACGAAGACTTGCCAAGAGTTTCAGCGTAACTCCTTCTGCTGTCACAAAGGGTACTCTACCTTTCCCTTACCACTGCACATTCTTTTTGTTTTACACAAACTTCCAATTTTAATTTAATCGTATTTTTTTTCAATTACAATAATCATTATTTTCCAAATAGGAATACCTAAAGCATCTTTAATTGGTTTGACTAGTAGTCGACTTTCTAGTACACCTCCAACGATAGCCAATTCCGGGCCATCTTCAACATCCAGTACTACTTGTAAGAAATAATCATTTTATTTATCATTTCAATAAATTTATTGATTAATATATTTAAAATCTTATATAGCCATCACCTCTCTTGGACAAGACATAAGACCTCCCTTAGCTCCAGGAAGACCCAAGTGCAATAGTATTTTACATTTATTTGGTGAATGGTTATTTGAAGCAGCATTCATTGGAACTGACGGATGGTCTCAAAATTTGCCTCGTAAGTATTTTCAAATAATAAAGCTAAAAAAATCAAAATTCAATTGGCTCCGCTATTGATAAATAATTCATTACTTTTAGGAGCATCGAAACGTCCATCTTCTGTGCTCGTAGAAGGTCCAAGTTCTTTACAAGAAACTATTACTGAGATACCATCTACTCTTAGCATTGATCGTTATGAATCAGGTCGAGCGGAAGCCATGGGGGCACTTTGTCGGATTTTCTGTGCAAAAAAAACTGGCGAAGAAATACTTCCAGTATATTTGGCACGATTTTATCAAGCAATGTATCACGGACTGAAAGTTGATGAATCTCGAGAGTGTGGAGAAACTCTTGCTAGTATTTTATCTAATTCTGCAGATCTTTTTCGATTAGATCTTGATGGAGTAGAGATACTAATTCCTGCAGTTATTAATGCCTTAGAACTTGTTTTACCTGATAAAGATTTGAAATTGAAGTCAACTTCTGTATCAAAAATTGAACTACGAAGAGCTTCAATTCAATTATTAATATCAATGTTGGTATTACCACTACACTTCCAGGTAACAATTTTCTACTAATCATTATTGCTTGATAAAAACATTATTTAATTTATCTTTGTATTATTTTAGAATCTCTTCATTCGTGAGTTGCCTATTGCTTCAACGAATCTAAATAATACAGACAAACCTCAACTAACATTTGGCCAGTTGAAACCTAGATTAATGAATTTATTGATTAATGCACTCCAAGTAGAAACTGATCCTTTAAATACACATATGCTACTTGGTGGTCTCTTACTTAGTGTTCAAGATTCTGCGACTGTTGAAGAAGTAGAACATTCAACAGTTGTAGACACGTTAACAAATGATACCTCAACCAATTTATTATCATCCGGTAATTATCATTGAATTAATTATTTAATGGATAAAAAAGCTCTTGCCTGAACTGTTATATTTCAATTAATTTCACAAATATAATGGCATGCTTAAATATTTTTAATAATAAGTAAAAAATGATTTTATTAAAGATATTTACTCATGTCTGTAATATTATTAATTAATTTTTTGCACTTGATTCTGACGGTAGCATCGCTTAAAATCACAACGATGTTCCGCTGTATCAGCTTTTTATATGCTTTATCTATGAGATGATTTCATTTTATAATTTCATTGAAAATGTATGGTTTTATTTCGCTGTATATTCACCATTGCGATCCATCATCACGCCGCTTGATAGTCAGCAGTGATTCGACCAGTCAGATAAGCATTTCCAGTGACCTTCGATCGCTTGGGGAAACATCTGATGTAGAAACTGTACAGGAAGAAAGTCCATCTTTCGGTAAATATAGAGCTAAATTTTTTTTATTTTATTTTGATGATTGTTGTAATATTAAGAATGCGGAAACTATTTTCTATTTTCTATTGTCTTAGAATAATTAAAAAAGCATTCAATATTCATCTTATTTTTATCATTCCGATATTACTAAAAAATAATCATAATTACAGATTCTGCTCATGCTCTCTTTCTAAGAGCCACATATCTCGTTTGTCATCGACTAATCTCATCGTGGAAGACAGATCTAAATATTTCATTAGCTGCACTAGAGTTATTATCAGGATTAGCACGAACTAAAATCCGAGAAACAGGTAATCAATAACTACTTTAAGTTTAAATATTTTTTTTTATTAAAAATACTTATTTACGACATTAATTTCAATTTATTCATGCAGCTCGAAGACTAACAGGTGTTGTTTTCAAATAATTATGTTTATAAAAATTACTAGATTGGTGTTTATTAATTTAAATAATTATTCATAATTTTAGATGCATTAGAATGTAAACGTGCAGTCAAATGGCTCTGTGATTATATTACTTATCAGTGTTGGCGTCCACCACCGGCTCATTCTAAAGATCTTCATTCATCAATCGTAGCTGCTTTTAGCTGTTTAACAACTTGGCTAACAGCACATCCACAATTATTACAAGACAAAGATTGTTTAACAACAGTATTCGAAGTAGTCGAACTTGGCATATCAGGATCAAAAAGTATTGGTAAACCAGGTGAACCAATTAAAATGAAACATGAAAAAGAATTAAAACCAGCATCAATGCGAGTTCGAGATGCTGCTGATGCTCTTCTCACAATAATTCTTGAACAGGTATATTTTCAACATACTTTAATATTTATTAAATAATAATGATAATAATAATTTATTATTAAATGCATTTTTCAGGTTGGCTATTTCCCCAGTGCATGTGGTGCTCAATCACTTTCATCTCTTTTAGATGAAGTGAGTCTTCTTCAACATTGTAATAGTAATAATAGTGAAAAAATAAGTCGTCAAACAGCAGTAGAACATTTTCGATTTTTTGTCGCTGAGAATGCAACAATGTTAGCACTTTTAGAAGATCCTTTAGTGAGTGATAAAACACCTCAACCAACTGTAACTGCATTAATTCGTGGTCCTTTTGGTCGACATGCTTGGACTATGCACTTGAGACATTTGCCCAGACATAAATCTGGAATTAAGAGTATTAACTTTAATCCTGGACGACCATTATCATTAATTGAGCCTGCACCTCGAAGTGAATATAAACCTAGATTCTTTCCTGATAATGTTGATAAAATTCCTCACTGTAAAGTTGATGATTCAATACCAACTCTTGAGGCAGTAATGAATGATGATGATGATATCAAGGACGAGCATCAGGTATTATCACAATTGCTTGACCGACAAATTAATCTAGAATTAAGGATGGATAAAGAATTTAATTCACGAAGATTAGAAAATGATGAAGAATGCATTTCACCAGAGAATTGTCATGAATTCCAAACCGCAAGGCTCTTCCTAAGTCATTTTGGTTTTCTTAATTTAGAAGGAAGTTATAATGAGGATGGCAATAATTTCGGTATAATAGCTTTAGATCCAACTCTTGCAGGATTTTGCACTGATCTTGAGAGTTTAGACCAAATAAGTTCAAGAACGTGTGATACAGTGCATATATTTTATGTTAAATCTGGCCAAAAAAATCCTTTAGAAATTTTATCAAATGTTCAACATCAAAATGATGTTTCTCAACATTTTTTGGAGCTTTTAAGTTCATTAGGTTGGCCAGTAAATGTTTCAACTCATGCTGGTTGGACAGGTCATGTTTCTACATCTTGGAGAGTCACACCACCAACCACTAATCCATCCACCACAAATTCTGATCATGGTGGTGCTCTTTTTAACGGGGAAACACATATCTTATACTGGGCGGATGTAAGCTCAGAAATAGCATTTATAGTTCCGACTGGATCATCAGTACCCGCACAATTACCAGACTCTCTCGATGAAATCAGCTACAATAGCGATACGAGTAGTGGACAAACTTGGTATGAGAGAAGTATTAGTGAAATAGGAACCAATCGCATAGGTTACGCATCTTCACATTCTTATAATCAAGGGAATAGAACAATGTCATTGGATTTGGAAAAACAACCGCCAAGTCTTACAGGTTCTGGACCATCTAGTGTTTCTAGTAATCAAGAGCCAACTAGACCGAGAAGAACTACTAAACATTCATTGCCTTGGCAAACTGATACTCGAATTATGGTTGTATGGCTTGAAAGTCTTGAAGACTATGTTAATTTTCCAGTTGGTAACTATCTTTAGTAACATTATCTTTATCATTTCTATTTTTAATATCAACAAGATGGATAACAATACATTAATTCCAATATTATTTCAGCTGAACTTTTGCCTTGTACTCATACAGGATTAGAATCATTTAGAGTTCCTCAACCGTCCGATGTTTATATAATATTTCTTCAAGCTTTAGCAAATGGTTTATTGAGAGTAAGACTGCAGGGACCAGTATCTAGGATGAATCTCGCTACACCTTTAATTGATGGGATGGTTGTATCACGAAGAGTTTTAGGAACATTAGTTAGACAAACTGCATTAAATATGGGAAAACGAAGAAGACTTGATAATGATAGGTATGAGTAATACTTCAATACTTTATCATATTTTAGATAATTATAAGAACAAGGAAATAGGGCATAATTTAATATTTATTGTTATAGTTATCATCCACCACACGTGCGTCGACGTTTAAAAATTCAAGATATAGTACAAAAGTATAAAAAAGATCTTTCACAACCAGAGTTACTCACATTCTTGTTCAACAATACCACAGTATCAAGTTGAAATAAACACTTAAAATAATTAATTGATAAATTGTAACGTGTAAATAATCTAAGTAAAAATTAAAGAAGATTTTACTTATTTTTACTTTAAAATTAAAAATTTATTTAACAGTATTGATAAATAAAATTTAAATAACAATCAATAAAGAATTGAATATTTCAGTATATTTTTCAATCATCATGTGAATTGAGAGGTGTGCCAAATGATGAAGCAGTACAATTGATTTTTATGATTATTATCTTCAAGGTATTTTCATTTATCTAAACTAAAAGTTTACATAATTCTAAAGATTTTTATCACACTTATCACGTACATAAATCATTAACTTTAAAAGTAAAATTACCGTTATCTTATTAGATATAAAAATAGTAATAAACTTTGTTTTTTAGTCATTATGAAATAAATGCTTTAAGCGATATAACTTTATATTATTATAATAAAATCACTGAATAATTATTTAAACATCTTGAAATTTTATTTCATTACATAAATATTTAAGTCAGGAATTTAATCGCTTGTTAAACAGTAATAATTATTTTTAAAAATCATTTAACATTGATTACTTTACTTCAAAAAACATGAGTACATATTAATAAAGTATCACAATTGCCAGTTGAATTGATATATTTAATCCCAATCAATTTGAAAGAGTATATCAATCTTATATACACACAATTCAGAAGTGTGTTATCATCGTATCATCATCATGACAGCTGTTTTATCTCAAGTAAGAGAAGGTATATCTACATACAATAGTGCATAGTCATTTTAAAGTTCTCTAATAACTATACTCTAACTATTACGTGAAGTAATAACTTACACTATTATTGTGTAACATTGTGAAATAATAATATAAGACATAATTGAAATAAACTTGGTGTTTATATATGATATAAAAAACATTTAAACAGCTATGATAGTAAAGAAAAAGGATACTTGAATATTTTTTTTTTTTCAATGTTATAAACCATTTCAATCATCAATGACAATTCATTTCCTGCAATAATTATATCATCATTTAATCAATTATCCTAAAAATACCGCAAACTACTTGATAAAAAATAAATTCTATTTTTTACACAACTTTATATCTTTTAGATTGAATTTAAGATTAATGGCAAGTCCATTAGAATAAAATCTAATAATGTATACATATGTCGATATTAAAAGGTTTATTTTCTTGGAAAGTAATTGTTATATTCATTCATAAGGAATAAATAAATCATAAATCACAATAAATAAAATTATTATTTTAAATTAAGTAGCATCTATAAGTGTGGTTAGAATGAAAAAAAAATGAATAATAGATCAAGTTCACATCAGTTAGTTCAATTTAATAACTGGAATGATGATAATATCTAGTAGTGTTGATAGGGTGTAAAAGTTGCAATCCCACCATTTAACGTTTGAATTGGTAAGGTATTTACAAGTGCACCAATCACAATTCGTTGTCCTTGGCGCGTTCTACACTCGGCCACTGTAACGATGACCAGCCTTTGCAATGCTACAATCATAGTTGACGCACTTGTGAGTATGTATTGAGAGACATTTGGAGATATTTGAGACTTTTTATGTATTGTTAAGTATAAAGGATTGTCCATGTGAATGTACATTCAATTATTGTGCTGTACGTGAACAACATGTTGTGTGTATTTACTGCTGGACACTGAAATGTCTTATCCTCATCATCATAAAAGAGACACTGTCATTTGTAAGTGTGTGTAACAAATTAATTTGTTGGATAGGTTACTTGAGGCCATACAGTAGTCGTCAGAGTGCTCGTGGTGTTGGCACACGTTCATCATTTGCCACTGTATCTTAATTTCTTGGTACAAATTGCGATATAAAAATTGTAAGTATTATGGATTTAATTTATAACATCAATTAACTCAAAAATCATATACAACAATCACTTTTAATCTTTGATGTCAATGTAATCCTTTTTGTTTCGTTTTTTTTTTTTAGTGAAACTCAAAAGAGAAATTGACTGAGCAGCTAAACTATTATATATTACTGGAAGTTAACAATTATAACAATTGAAAAAAACAATAAAACACAAAAATGGAAAATTCGACAATGGATCTATTTTGTGGTTCTCAATTTTGGGTAGTTATTTGTTCACCAAATTTTATCTATACATTTAATTACATTGATTAGATATAAGTTTATTAATATATGATTATTGAATATATGTAAACAGTGAAGTGACATATTTAAATTATTTTATTTTATTTTTTATTATATAGGATACTAATTTAACATGGTATACAGAAGATCCAGATCTTACATTGTGTTTTCAAAAAACAGTATTGGTTTGGACACCGTGTGTATTTCTTTGGGCCTTTTCATTTTTAGAGGCTTATTATTTGATAAGTAGTAAAAAAAGAGATGTACCATATACATGGAAGTTTTTTGCAAAAGGTTTCATAACTGTAATACTTATTTTACTCAGTGTTGTTGACTTAGGAATGGCGATTTATCAAAGCTATTCGAATATAGTCTATAATGTTGATTATTATACACCGATTATCAAGATCGTCACATTTGTAAGTTGACTTTTTTTTTTACATAAACATTAATATAATATTTAATAATAAATTTTCAATTTATTTAATTATTTATTGTTTTTTATTGTTTTCAGAGTTTAGCGGCATTTTTACTGTACTATAATAAAAAATTTGGAATGAGAACTTCCGGATTGTTGTTTTTATTTTGGTTTTTGTTAGCATTCTGCGGCATTGTACAATTTAGAAGTATGCTCAGGGACTACCAAAATCAGGTATAAAACCAACCATAAATATATTTTTATGGTCATCTTCAATTTAATTATATTCATAAATGAATCTTACTGATGATTCATTTTTTTTCTTTAAAAAAATCTTTCATTTCATAATTATTTAAATAATCTAGACTTTTAGAGAATCATCATTCGGAGGAAGTTTCTTTTATTGATATTCATATAATCATAATCGTACTTTTAGACTCTTTCCAAGAATTGACAAAACATTTTTACTGCAAATGATCAAGGGCTAATTATTGTTATTAAATTTTTTGTTGCAGCCTGAGCGGCCTTACTCTTTTGTATCATACATGATATACTATCCACTGGTTGTAATAATGTTTATACTTAATTTCTTGGTGGATGCGGAGCCTAAGTTTTCAGAATATGGACACGTTGAATTTCCATGTCCAGAGCAAAGTGCATCTTATCCTTCAAGAATATTATTTGCTTGGTTCGATTCAATGGCATGGAAAGGATTCAAAAAACCTCTGGAAACTTCTGATTTATGGTCAATGAATCCTGAAGATACTGCTGCTGAAATAGTTCCTAAATTCAATAAATACTGGACAAGGAATATAAAAAAATTTGACAAGTAAATGTTTTTATATATCTATTTAAATTATTATCATTTTATAATATATAATTACTTATTTTAATTCTTAAAAAATATTTTGGTAATTGCTAACAAGGCTGTTTTGCAATTACTGTAGGTAAGAAAATGATGATGAATTATAATTAATAAGTTATTATATAAATTAATACAATGATTAATTCATTCATTTTACAGCACACAAAGTACAAAGGCATCATTTAGAAAGGCATCTGGTCAGGTTGATTTTAATAATCCAAAAAAAAAGAAAGTAGCTTCTGTGTTCATTCCTCTATACAGAGCCTTTGGAGGTACATTTATTTTTGGTGGTATATTGAAGTTAACTCAAGATATAATGGTCTTTATTAGTCCACAAGTTTTAGGGTAAGTAATTCATGAATACCTTATAGAATTATCAATAAAAGTATTTAAAATAACTCTATAATAATTTTTTTCTTGCAGACTACTTATAAATTTTGTAAAAGGTTCAGAACCTCTATGGAAAGGTTATCTGTATGCAATTCTTCTCTTAATTACAGCAACGTTTCAAACTTTAGTGTTATCACAATACTTCAATCGAATGTTTATCGTTGGCATGCGAATGCGAACGGCTCTTGTTGCTTCTATTTATCGTAAAGCATTGAGGATGTCCAATGCGGCAAGAAAGGAATCAACGGTGGGTGAAATAGTTAATTTAATGTCAGTGGACGCCCAACGATTCATGGATTTAATGCCATACATTAATATGATTTGGTCAGCTCCTCTGCAAATTTTACTGGCTCTTTACTTCCTGTGGAAGCAATTGGGACCTTCAGTATTTGCCGGTCTAGCTGTAATGATAATACTTATTCCAGTGAATGCAGTTATTGCCAATAAAGTAAAAACTTTACAAATAAGACAGATGAAATGTAAAGACGAGAGAGTTAAATTGATGAACGAAGTTCTGAATGGAATTAAAGTACTTAAACTTTATGCCTGGGAACCTTCTTTTGAGCAACAAATATTAAAAATCAGAAACAAAGAAATCAAAGTACTTAAAGAAGCAGCTTATTTGAATGCTGGTACGAGTTTTATCTGGTCATGTGCACCATTTCTGGTATCATTCGTTTCTTTTGCAACATATGTACTTATTGATGAAGAAAATATTCTAGACAGTAGCAAAGCTTTTGTTTCACTAAGTTTATTCAATATTTTAAGATTCCCATTGTCAATGTTGCCAATGGTAATAAGCAATATGGTACAAGCATTAGTGTCTGTTAAAAGAATCAATGTCTTTATGAATAACGAAGAATTGGATCCAAATAATGTACAACACGATCAATCAGAACTACATCCATTGATAATTGAAAATGGAACATTTCTTTGGGATTCTGAAGGCTCTGATAAACCGACTTTAAAAAATATCAATGTTCAAGTGCAGCATGGACAACTAGTGGCTATTGTGGGAACAGTTGGATCAGGAAAGAGTTCATTGATATCAGCTTTTCTTGGAGAAATGGAGCGAATAAGTGGAAGAGTAAATACAAAAGGATCAATTGCTTATGTTGCTCAGCAAGCATGGATCCAGAATGCTACATTACAGGATAATATTTTATTTGGAAAACCGATGGATAAAAGTTTATATAATCGTGTTATTGAGGCTTGTGCTTTAGGTTTAGATATCAAAATGTTACCAGCTGGGGATCAAACGGAAATTGGTGAAAAAGGAATCAATTTATCAGGAGGACAGAAACAAAGGGTGGCTTTAGCTCGTGCAGTTTATAGTGATTGTGATGTATATTTACTTGATGATCCATTAAGTGCAGTTGATTCTCATGTGGGGAAACATATTTTTGAAAATGTCGTTGGTCCAAGTGGGTTACTTAAAAAAAAGACACGAGTTTTAGTTACACACGGTATCACATATTTACCTGAAGCTGATAATATTATTGTTTTAAAAGATGGTGAAATTTCAGAAAATGGAACATATAAACAATTATTAGAAAAACGAGGTGCTTTTGCAGATTTTCTTATTCAACATCTTCAAGAAGTTAGATCTGAAGATGATGAAGAAACAGACTTAACAGAAATTAAACAACAATTAGAGTCCACAATTGGTTCTGAAGAATTACAACAAAAATTAACGAGAGCAAGATCGAGACAATCAATAACTCACAGTGAATCTGGTTCTGTGGCTGATCAAAAATCTATCAATGGTTCTTTACATAGGCAACAATCAGTAGATAGCCAAAAATCTGGTAATTTAGTTAGAAGTGGCAGTGTTAAGGATAATGCAATACCTCTTAAAACTGGTGAAAAAATCATTGAAGTTGAAAAAGCAGAAACAGGAAGTGTAAGTTTAAAATGTTTCCTCAATTTTACTAAAATAAATTTAAACTATTTTTTAGCTTTTTAAATTGCTTGTATAATCACCAAAATTATCTATTATTTTTTTTCTGTTTAATAGGTAAAATTGAAAGTCTATGCTCACTATTTGAAGTCAATTGGTTGGTTTTTATCAATATCTACAATAATTATGAATGCAATTTTTCAATCATTTAGCATTGGATCAAATATTTGGATTAGTAAATGGTCAGATGATGCTGATTGGAGTGTAAATAGTACAGCTGATAGTCCTAAAAAATCTATGTATATTGGTGTATATGGTGCTTTAGGTATAGGACAAGGTATGTATCATTTTAATTACTATTTGAACTGAATACCATGATGGTATTGTGAAACATTGCACAACGATGCAAATAGTGATTAACTTTAATGCTCCGGGTTTTGGGATAATTTTTGAGTGATATAAAATGATAATTCAACCATGATTGCGGATCCCATTTGACTGCAGTTGTGAAAAGTACGATATAGAAAGAAAAAATAATTTCTAACGGTTCTTAAGCAGTTAATATAAAACTATGAACAGATAGTTTATTTTTTAAGTGAATTCCTAGATAATTAAACAAACTAGAACAGCGAGTGTGGTTTGCTGTGTACTTGAAGGCGCGACCAGTATTTCAATAATGGTTTCTTAAAAGTATTACACATTATCTTATATTTAGTTACTCTTTGTTTCTTATGACAGTAGAAAATATCTAGTGGCAAGTCTCTTTTCGAAGCATCTTTAAATCTATTGATAAGATGTTTCAACATTACTTGCATGCTTATAAATAGATGTATATATTTGCTACTTAGAATTCGAATTTTTTGTACTGAAAAAAAATTATTTTTAAAACAAAAACTTTATAGTTTAGAATTTTATTTTTATTTTTAACAATTTTTTAAAATATTTCAATAAAATAATGATTCAATTTTTTGAAGTTATATTTAATGAACTTAAAGAAATATTGATGATTATTTTTTTGTAATTTATCAAATTTATTATAGTAATCAATCAATTCAAATTCATCAACGGTTGGTTGGTGAATTTTTTTCTTTAAAGAAAATAATTGAAAATCCAATGTCAATATACTTAAGAAATATAAAATAATTGGTGATGAGTAATAGAATGTATTTGTTATAAAAATAATTGAAGATAATTTTTTCTCAGTACACCTATTTTCCGATTAGAAATTACCAACAAATGACGCATGTGAATAAACGCAAAATTTTATCTTAATTACTATTTCTCTTCAAAGAAAATATTCTATCGCACTGATTAGATTTATTTAATAATGACTTAATATTTGCACTTAGTTTATTTATTTTATTAATCTAGTAATAATTGATTGAATGGTAAAAATAGCAATGATAACATTGGATTAATCTATTCATTGGTTTAATTGGTTATTGTATCGTTATAAATGACATAAATTTCAGCAATATTTGTGCTTATTGCACAGCTGACATCAGCTATTGGCTGTCTGCAGTGCAGCATAGTGCTGCATTCAGCTTTATTATTTGGTATACTTCGTTCACCTGTTGGATTCTTTGATACTACACCTTCAGGCAGAGTATTAAATCGTTTTGGCAAGGATGTTGACGCAATCGACAATGTAATACCAGCCACTATTAGAGGATGGCTATATTGCCTAACAGAAGTACGTGAGAATTAGAAAAAATTAATCTCACAAAAGTACACAACACCGTTTTATTAATTTTTTTTCTTCAAAAATCAATTTAACAGAAAAAAAAACGTTACAAGACTCGTTTATCATTGAGCTTTTTTTCTGTTTAATCCACTGATATTGTGGTCCACCAATAAATTTAGATGTTTGTTCATTGCAATAATAATATCACAATTTTTAGATTCATTATTTATTTTGCGTAAACACTCATTGCCTAACATATTTATGTTCATCATAACATAAATTCAATTATCAGAGATAGACTAAAAAATTTCTCTAGTATCATTTATAGTCTACTACTGTCTTCTTAATTCTAATCATTATCTTTAAATGCTTTCTAGTCAAATGAAAATGTGTTTTATCAGGTAGTTTTAGAAATGATTCTGAAATTATTGACAGTAAGAAATAAAAAAGATTAGCATGTTATTATTATTTCAGTTTAAATTGAAAAATCAATCGAAATTCTTTCTTTAATTTTCATTTCTAATTTATCTTTATTAATTGGTGATTGATATTGAAATCTTCCAAGATAATAATCAATTTTATTTTTTTTTTTAAATATCAAAAGTTAGACAATATAAAATTATTGTTTATCATCAAGAATTTTTAAAAAATAATTTATTATTTCTTATTGATAAGTATTTCGTAAATCAAATTATTTCCACAATAATCATATCATGCTATCAAAATTTTTTATCTTAGATTATTTGTCAATGCAGAATCATCGTTAGGAAATGAGTTTCTTCAATGATAAATTACTATATTAGAATAATATCACAATACTCATTTTTGATATAAATATTATTTACCTTTTTAATGCACGGCGTTAATTAAGTTTTCTGAGTTTACTTTAGTTAGATAGAATAATACTAGTTACACCTTCAGCACGGTTCAATCCATACTCTTCAATTATTTTCATCAACGATTTATTAAACTTGATGCAATCAATAAAGCTTATTTCCAATCAAGTTCATAAACTGGCGATCCACAATCATTCTTTAAACCAATTAATTTATTTATTCAATTATTTATATTAAAGTTAAATCTATAAGACTATCAAATAGTCTAATTCAACAACGATCTCAGCACATTATCATAAATATTATTTCAATATTTTGCCATAATTTCTAGGTGTATTTCAAGTGGGAATATCAATAGCATTGGCATCAGGATCTGTTAAAGCTTCTATTGAAATATTTAAGAAATTCTTACACCATGTACTAGGAAATCCTATGTCATTTTTTGATAGTACACCATCTGGTCGTCTGTTAAATCGTTTTGGTAAAGATACAGACGTGATAGACAATATTATACCGATGATTCTACGATCTTGGATTACTTGTTTTCTTGCGGTATGAATAATTCGATATAATAAGTTGCCATAAGTTTGAACCAATGATGAATATTCAATAGAATTTGGAAAGAGTTCTTTCAATAATAATATATTCAATTAAATTCTTCCTAAGTAATGAAAATGTGCTGGGGTGTATTGAATGCTTTGTTTGCTTTCTAATGTGCATTAAAAATTACCTTAATCATTATTACGTTTTCCTCATATCATACCGTTTTTTATAATAAATCATTCGGAATTCCCAAATTAAACAAATTAAACGGACCAATGATAAGTTAAAAAGTATTTTATAATTTTTTATTATCAAAAACGTAAATGTTTCATTGATATAAAATAACTGTAACGTTAAAGAATGTAGTTTTAATTTTTTTTATATATTTTTTTATTTGTTAAAAAAACTATTGTCAATTAAACTGTGTAAAATCAATGATGATCACAGTTTTGAAGAATTAGTTATTGTGTTACAGTCTTAAGTGTATTTTTCGCCGCACTGTCAATATACATTGGTACCTTGAGATCATCTGCAGCATTACTACGTGATGCTTTACACACCGTATTACGTGGTCCCAGTTCGTTCTTCGATACAGTACCAATTGGCCGGATACTAAGCCGTTTCAGTGCCGATGTAGACATCATGGATACAAAACTACCCTTATCACTTGTACAGTGGCTACCCTGTTGTTTTAGGGTAAGCTTATCATACGCGTCCATTTTAATATCTCATTTTACATGTTACATCACTAAGATGTCATTATTATTATCCTAAGCTATTATTTATTTTATTTTATTACGTCATTATTATTATTATTATCCTAAGCTACTGTTTTTTTTATTCAACCAAACGTAAGCTAAAATGCATGTTGATTTATCATTTTGCAAGTTATATGTTGCATCCAAGCACGCTGTGTCAAATAAATTTTCTTATTTTATATCATTAATTATTGTTGGCGGATACAATTATACCATAGTTTTTTATTATTATATTTTTATTTAAATATTCACGTCCACTTTAAAAAGACTAATCAGTGATTTGACAAAAGATGGAAACTTTTCAAGCTTTGATCATTTTTTTTTAACAGAACAAGTAGTTAACTGACTATTTAATGGTCATTTTTAGCGTGTTTTGCACGTCTATTTATTATATTAAACTCAAGAGAGTTAAAAAAAAATGAATTTCAACCATGAGATGGATTCAAAGCTATTATTATGATTGAAAAGAAGTAAATTTAGTTATTGTTTTTGATTATCCAGATAACTAAAATTCTTTTTAGATTTATTTTAAACCAATCACATCATGAATACCATGTCGTCAGACAGATCATTTCAGGGGATAAATATTTACTAAATCATTATAGAACTGTAATAGATCAGATAAACATATTAGTAGCAGAGTTATGATGTTTTTTTATATTTCTAATAATATAGTATTGGGGTTCTTAATTCCAGTAAGTGTAATGTAATGCATATTTTACAGATTTACTTTGGAATTTTGGAATATTTGGAATTTTAATTCATTATTCATATTTATTAAATCATTCTAGAAGTAGACGATATCCTGCTACTGCTATATTGTTCCTATCTTTCATCTATTCATTTAGTATTTGTTTATTATGTATTAATTAACAAAAAAAGTGTTTAAATAATACGACTCTGTGTCGTTTTTTTAATTATCTAAACTTTGCATGGCACAGCAAACTTCACTCTCTCGCCTAAATGATTATTTAGTCAGAAAGTAACTCATTAACCAAAGTTATAGTAACAAAGTTTAATTTTAAATGGACTTTATGGTAAAGATCAAATTATAAGTCATTTACTGCTTCAGAAGATAGATTTAGAACTTCCCGTCTGATTTTATTTTTATAAATATTCAATAACAATTTGAAGATAATATCTTTGCACACACAAGCACAAATATTCATACATTTTACACAGTTATCATCAAACTCTTCTACAGGTGTTTTTAATTTTTAAATCTCTAACATTTTTTTTGTTATTAATATCTTTTCTTCTCACCAAAACAAGACGGGAAGTTTGAATGTTAGATAGTTATTTTGTAAAAGAAGTATTAAAAAAGAGAAAGAAAAAAACAAAGTGGAGAATCAAAAGAATCCCTGAAAAATTGGATAAATTACTCGAACCCCGTTGCAGTGATTACCGCTCATCTGTAATGTTATAGCGGTGACGAGTTTTTTCTGCGATTTGGCTCCACAGCTGGGTTGTTGGCTGGCTGCACGCCAGATGCATCTGATAATGCTTCGCGGAGTGATGCGTGCCTCACTTACCTTCTTTGATACTACCCCCACTGGTCGCATCATCTCCAGGTTCGCTAAAGATGTTGACGTGCTGGATACTTCGCTTCCTCAGCAAATTTCTGATAGCTTCTATTGTCTTTTTGAGGTAATTCATCACAACACAGACGGACTAAGTTCAACAGTTTACCAATTATTACAATACAATTTACTCTATTTTACATTTTTATATCAATTAAATACTCAAATTATCCTTTTTTTACACAATAAACAAAGTATATTTAATTAAACATCATGCATGATGATGATGATGATGACGAATAGTATTTATTATTATTCCAAATTAAACCCAAACAGTAAGTCGATTTATTTTGTTTATTTCTCAATCTTGTATAATTGTGTCCGTCATAAGGTTGATTTGGTTTCAAAATTTTCTTACTATATTTGTTTATTCTACACTAGTAATTTAAAAAAAATAACTAAACTTTTTATTTTTACACTTCAAAATCTTGACTTTACTTTCAACTGAGTACTATACGGATTGATGTTGGTGGGCCTTCAATAAATTCATTCAATATTTCATCTACTTCGCCTACAAAATGCTAAATTTGTGTCCTTTTAGACGCTGCTTTGCATGAATATCTGTTTTTTCTAGAACTTGTATCCAAATCTCAATGTGTTGTTTTACTTTGTGTACCAGTTATTATAATTTTACAGTTAAAGCAAATTTTTTATGCGATAATATTTATTAATTATTGAAAATAAAATGAACTTGAATATTTCAGGTAATTGCAACTCTTGTAGTAATAAGTTACAGTACGCCAATATTTATAGCAGTGATATTACCAATTGGAATTATATATTATTTCATACAACGTTTTTACGTTGCTACTTCTCGTCAATTAAAACGATTAGAATCAGTATCTCGATCACCAATATATTCTCATTTCGGTGAATCAATCACTGGTAATATTTTTTTTTTAAACATCAAATTTCTATTTTAATGTTTATTTATAACCAAAAATTAAATCATCATATTTTATTTTACAGGAGCCCAAACTATCAGGGCATTTGGTGTTCAAGAAAGGTTCATTCATGAATCAGAACGTAAAGTGGATTTCAATCAAATGTGTTACTTCCCAGGAATCATAAGCAATAGGTATGTACCAACATGATTTATGCTTCTTTTAATCAGCAATAATCATTTTTATTATTTAATAAAATGTAAATAAATTGTGTTTTATTTTTTTAGATGGTTAGCAGTGAGGCTAGAGATGGTAGGAAACATGATAATATTTTTCGCTGCACTATTCTCAGTTCTTGGACGTGATACTCTAAGTGCTGGTCTAGTTGGTTTATCAGTCAGCTATGCACTTCAAATAACGCAGACATTAAATTGGTTGGTGAGAATGACTTCTGATGTGGAAACGAATATTGTAGCAGTTGAGAGGATAAAGGAGTATGGAGAAACTCCTCAAGAAGCACCATGGGAAATACCAAGCACTGCACCGCCTAAAGAATGGCCTTCTGAGGGTCGTGTTGAATTTAATGAATTTAAAGTTCGATACCGAGAAGGTCTGGATTTAGTATTGAATGGACTCACGTTTTCCGTGAATGGAGGAGAAAAAATAGGCATTGTTGGTCGAACTGGAGCTGGAAAATCTTCCTTAACATTGGCACTTTTTAGAATAATAGAAGCTGCTGATGGAAAAATATTTATTGATGGTGTAGACATATCTCAACTTGGGCTTCATGCCTTACGTAACAGGCTCACAATTATTCCTCAGGATCCAGTACTTTTCTCTGGTACTTTAAGATTAAATTTAGATCCTTTTGATTCACATACAGATGAAGAGATTTGGCAAGCATTAGAGCATGCCCATCTTAAAGCTTTTGTTCAAAGTTTACCTAATGGATTGTCTTATGGAGTATCTGAGGGTGGAGATAATTTAAGTGTTGGTCAAAGACAATTAATTTGTTTAGCTCGGGCGTTACTTAGAAAAACTAAGATACTTATTTTAGACGAAGCTACAGCGGCAGTAGATCTTGAAACTGATGATCTTATTCAACGTACGATACGTGAAGAATTTAAAGATTGCACAGTACTTACAATTGCTCATAGACTCAATACAATTCTTGATTCGGACAGGTATGTTATTCATTTATTTAAATAATTAATAATAGATGAGAATTATTGTTAAGATATTTCTTAATTGTTTCAGGGTCTTAGTATTAGATAAAGGAGTAGTAACAGAATTTGATTCGCCTGAAGTTTTGTTACAAAAACCAACCAGCGCTTTTTATAGTATGGCAAAGGACGCTGGAATTGTTGCATGAATTTCTATGAAATTAATTAACTGAAAAATTTGTTTTTTCTTAAAACCGTATTGTTGCTTCATTATCATTAACGCACATTGCATTTCTTTGTGACAATCCGTTTAAAGCACATTATGTGCAGAAAGTATTAAAACAAATGAAAATACTCGGCCCGACACTTATATTTTAACAGTAATAAGAAAAATGAACAAAATTGTGATTAAAATCTTGGAAAAAGCTTTATCACATTTATCTTTTTATAACAAACATTAAATTATCTTTTGGTAAATATCAATTTTTCTTTTGAAAGCTTTTTCATTAGACAAGTCTTGAGTCACAATTTGAAAATAATAATTTACTATTTTATCTGATTACATAAACTACTGCCATTGTAGAAACCTATTTATCTTTTCCTGTTTATTCAAATTGTTATTTTTTTATGTTGATAATTCCGAAAACAATGTTTAATATGTAATTATTTACTTAATGTGTGCACTTAAATTTTTTTCCTTTTTAAGAATTTTCTTTTATTGCCGATTATTTGTGTGTTAAAATTTTATATTTATTTTCATTTTATATTTATTAGAACTAACTTGTTCAAAAATTTCTATTATAAATTGTCTCATGAAATAGGATTAATGCTAATTTTGTTACATTTTAAAATATCGTACGAGATTAAAAATGCACGTTATGCCTTTTATCAAGTGATAAAATTTTAAGTACAATTTAGTCGTAATTGAAATTTTAACTACTTAATAAAAAAAATTAATAACTAATGAATTATAATAGAATTCGTAACAACAAATTTTAATCTTAATTCATCTTAATGTTCTTTTTTTTTTTTTAATACTTTAATGAGCTTACAAATGTATCAAACACATTATTTTACACTAACATTGTAATGCGATAATTCAATCTCCAACGCATTAGTTAAATAATACGTGACTAGAGTTAAAGTATCAAACTTTTTATGTAACTTATATTATTGTACTTACCTAATAGTGGCAAAGTACTCATTAATTAATTAATTAATTAATTAATTAAGATATACAATTCTATATAAGCTAATATTTTTCGGTAATAAAAGAATAAAATAATGAAAATTTAGTGGTGGTAAATTGAAAAAAACCCATATACCAGTGTGGAAGCTCATAAAGATCCGAATATTTTATTATCATTATTATTAATTTTAAATATTTGACAGAGCTGCTTAGAACAATTACATTGATAATATTTCTTTTATTAAACAATTAAATTTAATTGATCAACGTTGACAATTCATTTAATACTATTTGATTGATGTTCATAATGAAATATTTAAACAAATATTTTTTCATGTAAAAACAAACAAATTTACATTATTTCTATACACATAAAGATGTTTATTTTTTTATTAAAACATACAGCATTCTTAATTGAATACTTTGGCAGACTTACAAAGATGGTAATAGCTAAATTATTTTAATAAAAAAAATTAAATTTGAATCAATTAAATGGTAATGATGTAAATATTGATATACATTTTGTACTTTGGTACGACCAAGAAAAAAATTACAATTATAATTTAAAATAATTTCAACTAATATATTGTGAATTAAAATCAAATGAAAAGGAAATGGTTAATCAGTTTTCTTACTAACTTCGTCTTTAGGACTATCAGCAATAGCAATTTGATCTTTTTTCTTAGCTTCTGCTTCCATTTCACCAGAGAATCCAAATTCATTGACTCTTGTGTGATCTGTCTTATAAATCCATCGTTGGTACAAAAATATACAGAATACAATATCGTCACGGAAACAACCTAACCGGTAAAGTGTCGGCATTTTTATAATAAACGCAAATATATCATCTATAAAAGTATTCAAAAATTTATAAGACAACATTCGCCACGGTAAGTGAGCGACACTTTTCAATTTATAGTTAATAAATAATTGTGGCGTCATCATAATGAAGCCAAATGTCAATAGAAAACCATAAAGCATATTAAGAACCCACGAATACCAGCCCTTGTGTTCTAAATACATCAAGGAATATATCGCGTATCCACCAAGTAAAGGATAAAGTGCCCATGATAGATATTTAAATGCAAGTCTATCATATTCTTTCGTTGAAGACTCCACATATGATCCTTTATCTTTGAATGATATGTGTGGGAATATTCCTAATAATTTTTTGGAACGATCCACAGAAATATCCACCACTTTATTGATCTTCCAAACTTCAATGCATAATCCAATACCACAACTAATTCGGACCAAAGTATTTGTTTCATTGTCTAATACGTAAAGTAATACAACTAACGCTTGGAATACATTGAAAAAAACTGAACGCACAGATAATCCTTCCAGAGATTTCCGATTGTTCCAAAATTGGATATCTGTAAAAAAAAATTCAGATTAGATTGTTTTCTATTTAACTGCCTATTTTTATGCTATTTTAGATACTGACCGTTTTTAAATGCCAAAAATTCAAAAACGCTGTGTAGTATTGAAATAACAACTGTCATTCCAAGTAAGTATGGGTTGGTCTCTAGGATAGCTTCTTTTAAAGTATCTTGATCATTATCATCTTCATCAGCAGTTTCACCCATCAACGATGAGGTCCATTTATTACGCATATTTTGAGCAGAATATAATTGCCATTTGAATAAAGATAATGGCTGATAAGTAAGATGAAGTGATAATTCTTTAATACTCTTATTCAAAGGTACATAATCACGTTGCATATTCCAAAAGTCATTCAAATAAATAGGTGGTTTATAATACACTCCACCTTGAACAAATTCGATGTATTCATTTAACGGAGGGGGAACTTGGCCAGCAACCCAATTCGTTTGATCTGTTACCAGATTAATTGTTAAATTAGGATGCCAATGTGATACTATTTCTTGATTCATAATTGCAGCTTTCTTTATTTCTTCTTCACTAGCTGTAGTCTCGCCAGTTAATAAATTAACTCGCTTTTCATATCTAACTTTTTTGAATTTATTTAACATCTTGCTTGCATAAGACACATAATCGGATGAATAATCTTTATCCTTAGGATTAATTGATTTACCATTTTTTGTAACATATATGTGTAAATAAATAGATCCATTATTTTTTAATTGATTCGATGGTTCAAATTTATGTGCGAAATAACGTGTGCCATCATTATTGGGTCCAGTAATCCAATCACCATATATCAATCCATTTTCTTGCCATATTAAAGCTTTAGGATCGTCAAAGTGATTAAATCTCTCGGCTTCAGATAAAAATACATAGAGATCAAATACAGTTCCATTTCCAAATATATTAAAAGCCGGTAACTTTGAAACACCAGTTTCTCCACTTCCTCCAACTGTCGCAGGATCAGTTTGCGGTTTTCTGAAGAACGATGTTATGAAATAAATAATCAATGACCGGATAATTAAGGACTTTAGGATGGCAAAAAATGATTCCCATTTTGTTGGTTGATATTTTTGTCTCTGTGCATCTACTTCAGCATTAATCTATAAAATAAAAGCAGTCAATTATTGCAATGTTTCTTTAATTTTAGGAATATTATTCCAATGAAATACTGCTAACTAAGCACGGAAATTGAGGTCAATGGTAAAGACTAGAATAGGTTTAAAATGAATAGCAACAATAATAGTTATATAATGTGTATAACAATTATTTCAAGAAATTAAAAAATATTTAAGGTGTTGGTATGTGAACGTGATCTAATCAAATGTGTTGTACTTATCAGTATAAATGTTTTCTTAACAGAAAAGATTAGTTTTGTTTGAATAGTTGAAGTATAAACGTAATTAATCGATATTCTATTTTAAAATAATGAATACATTAAAAAATTTTCAATGTTAAATACTCACATCTCTTTCTTGATTTTCAGTGACGGTAGCTATTTCACCATTATCTTGTTGATTTTCCATCGTCCTCGTGACACTTGTATCTACAACTCGCTCATCTCCATCATTCACGGTCTCCGCCATCTTCCCAAATTTATAAAATTATTTTTAATCACGTTTTAAATAAAAATGTACAATTCCTGAGTCACTTTTATCCAAGAATAATTCTTATTTATAAAAAAAGTCTTATTATAATAAGTTTATTGTTAATAAATTTCAATTAATCTTTCGTAACATGATGATGTCAGATAATGCAAAACTTATTCAGTATTTTTATTTGCTATAACATTTCAACAGTAATTAGCTACAACTGACATCTATAAATAATTTATGTACAAAAACATCATGATTAATATTACCAACTGTCAATTTTTTAAAAAAGATTAATTTCAATTATCACCACTCGATGGCTCTGTATTTATTTTCTATAGTTTTTTAAATGTCCACCAGATGGTTAAATTCATGGATTACAAATAGTCGACAAAATAAATAATTTTCTCATTGAAAATAAACTATTTTTATAACAAACGTAAGTATCCTAAGGATAATTATTTGATTTTATAATTATTTAAATAATAGTTTGATAAATAAAATAGATAAATCAACAAATCATAATAAATGATTGGATGTGCGTGATAGCGATTGCAAGGTGGGAGGCGGGGTATTCATAATGACTGGATTGTTAGCCAACAGCAAGTGTGGATAAGTAAGAGGGAAAGGGTGCTTCAAATTACATATACAGTGATAATACATCGTGTATCGACAATAAAAAGGCAGTAAATGTGTAAAGTGTAAGCGCGAAAGTTTTGCTCTTACGTGTTCTACGCAGAATCACGCACTCCACTTGAAGCTGATGCCAATCCGCCATAATGTCGTGTACGTAACGCCATAATGATGCGCCCGAGTGATAGCAGACAGCAACGCGGGATAAACATTTGTTTAGTGGTTAATTAATGTAATGCCATAATAAAATTGTGAATCTATATTTAACTGTTGTTAAAAACGTCAAAGAGTTGTAAAACTTCACGATAATTATAGCATTCACGGTGAGTATTACTGTGAAAAAATGTACGTAAGAATATCACAAGTACTCGTTACCTTCTCGGCGCGAATTTTACAATTATTTTTGTATCAGATTATAAAATAATTTGTTTTAAATTAAAATAAATCTTTTATTCAGTTAGTATTAATGTATTTACATTTGTCATTCGAAGAATTTGATAACAGTTGTCTGTTGGAAAAGGAAGCAAAAAATAATGATGTAGAATAGAGAGAGGAAGCCATTGGTAACCAGTACAGTGTTTATCAGCACGTACTTATGATTTGCGACGCCTCCGTCTCTTGCAACCAAACCATTCACTCTTATTCCTTTATGTCCTGCCATTTAATTACCTTCGTGTTGCTTATCAGTAGACAGAACGCAAAATAATCACGCTAAAAAATAGATTTTCTATTTCATTTCAAGCATTCAGAGATTAATATTTTTTTAACTTTACAGTTGAACCAAGTGCCACTTCAATAACCCAAAGTGGAGAAATATTTTTGATGACTTACAATGGATGATGATGAAGGCACTTCAAGTTCTGGACCAATGTCATCATTAAATAGCCTTTTTTCGTTCACTAGTCCGGCAGTTAAAAAACTATTGGGTTGGAAGCAAGGTGACGAGGAAGAGAAATGGGCTGAAAAAGCTGTAGACTCGTTGGTAAAAAAATTAAAAAAAAGAAAAGGTGCTATTGAAGAATTAGAAAGAGCATTAAGCTGTCCTGGAACTCCAAGCAAGTGTGTTACAATACCAAGAAGTCTTGACGGAAGACTTCAAGTGTCTCATCGAAAGGGTTTACCACATGTTATTTATTGCCGTGTATGGAGGTGGCCAGATCTTCAATCTCATCATGAGCTAAAGCCACTGGATTTGTGCCAATATCCATTCTCAGCTAAACAGAAAGAAGTCTGCATCAATCCTTATCACTATAAGCGCGTCGAAAGCCCGGTATTACCACCAGTACTAGTGCCACGACATTCAGAATATGCACCGGGTCATTCATTGCTGCCTTTTCAACAACTTCCAGAGCCAACGATGCCTCATAATGTTTCTTATTCAACAAGTGGATTTAATGCAGGCTCTACCAGCGGAAGTAGTATCAATCCTACGTCTCCAATGTCATCGATAGGTTCAGCTCCAAGTCCAAGTAGTACAGCATCAAATAATCCTCAAAGTCCTTATGGTTCTAATGGTTTACCAGAAACTCCACCACCAGCTTATTCACCTCCTGAAGATGGTTCTCAAACTGGTCAGTCACCACCACCAGATCCCGCTGCTATGGACACAGGAGGACCTGCTGAAGTAGCTCCAGTTTGCTATCAAGAACCTCCCTATTGGGCATCCATTGCTTATTACGAGCTCAATTGTCGTGTTGGAGAAGTTTTTCACTGTCAATCTCATTCTGTTATCGTTGATGGCTTTACAAATCCAAGTAATAATTCTGATAGATTTTGTCTTGGCCAATTATCAAATGTAAATCGCAATTCTACAATAGAAAATACAAGAAGACATATTGGAAAAGGAGTACATTTATATTATGTTGGTGGAGAAGTCTATGCAGAATGTTTATCTGATTCAGCAATCTTTGTGCAGTCGAGAAATTGCAATCATCATCATGGATTCCATCCTAGTACTGTTTGTAAAATACCTCCTGGCTGTTCATTAAAGATTTTTAATAATCAAGAATTTGCTCAGCTACTTTCGCAAAGTGTTAATCATGGATTTGAGGCTGTCTACGAATTAACAAAAATGTGTACTATAAGGTAAGTTAAAATTAATATTTTTAAATGTTATTTCATTTTATTTAAAAGAGTGAATAATTGCTTAAATAATTATTTTATTTACAGAATGTCATTTGTAAAAGGTTGGGGTGCAGAATATCATCGACAAGACGTAACGTCAACTCCCTGTTGGATTGAAGCTCATCTGCATGGTCCGTTACAGTGGCTCGACAAGGTTCTTACTCAAATGGGATCACCTCATAATGCCATAAGTTCTGTGTCGTAAATACTTAAAAAATAGACAAGAATCAGTTAATTTTTACATTTGAAAACTGAAATAATTGCCCTTATAAACCTGACTTAGATAGAAAACGAGACTGATGCGTTTGACGAAACAATTATTACTTCATAAGTGTGTTGATTTTAATTTCTTAAAAAAGTTCTCATGAAAAGAGATTATTTATCCATGATGCGATTATTCAATTCCACAAGAAGACAACATTCATTATGATACTATAAACTTTGATGCAAGTGCAAATAAGTAGAATTAAAAGTTGATTAAATAAAAGGTAAGCCGATAATGTCAGATTTAATATGAAGATGCAAAATACATTAAGTGTTTTGTAATATTAATTATATAATGTATAAAATTGAAACTAAAAGAGTTTTAAAACTCGTTGGATCCTATTTTGAATGTTTAAAAAATTGATAATTACAATACGTTACTCATTAGAAAAGAAATACTATATAAATTTATCTCGCTTGGCATAACGTTTTTGTTTTTAAACACGTTATGAGAGATTTATGTGCAATTTACAACAAATTAAACAATCAAAGACACAAATACTACTTGAATTTTATATTACAACAAATGTACAATTGATGCTATATGAAAGTGTTTTAAATGAAAGTATTAAGCTCATTTTTGCCAACGACAGAAGGTAAAATTAATGTTTTCAACTAATTTTTTTATTAAATGATATATTTTAAAATTTACAAATTATTAAGAAAAAAAATCTAAAAATTTACGTGTACAAAAAATGATATTTTTAATATTTTTATCTACAGAAATTTAATTATATTTTTTTACTATCTTTATGAAAATTTTTTTTACTTTCTGTTTATTATGATTAATTCAAGAAAAAAAAAGAAACAAAACAAAAAAATGATGAGCCTTATTCAATGCCTAAAGATCATCTGACAATATAATATGAGCCTTATAAGTGCCCCACGTCATTTGAAAATTACTCTTTATTATTAAGAAATAATTTTGTAAAATCAATTTATTTAAGAAAAATTTTTGTATAAAACCAAACAATGCAAGACAACGATGGGAGCTGATCTCATATTGACCCTAAGAGTTAAATAATGAACTGCGTCTGGTAATAATTACAAATAATAATAATTAAGTAAAATAATAAAATATCGAGCATTTTTAGTATTTTCACTTATAACATTAATCTATGAAATGTTTTCTCATGTATTGTAAACATTGTCTCACTTGATTATTTTATGATAAGACGTATCAGATATTACGTCAGACCGAAAGAAAATCTTACGATTAAATCAAGTGCGAAAAAAGATAAAAAAGACAAAATAATAAAGTGGCGGTAAATTTCTGTGGGTGTTTACAAGTGGGTGCATAATGAAAAATAAATTATAAATGTCCAAGTAAGCATACAATATTAATGTAATGACTGTATTGTTTATATCTTTTTACAAATAAATCAAGTGCCACTCTGGTGACGTGTTGCAAGTCACCCCATTAAGTATTTCCATTTTTTTTAACATGGAATTTATTCTGATACATCTATCTACAATATAAATACTGTGGCTTTAACTGTAAAAAATTTATGTTACATATGCAAAAAAAAAACACCAACTCAATGATGTAATACATAAGTAGCTAGGGGAAGAACTTGAAAAAAAAAAAACAATTATACGTATATGTGTATATTTATACAAAAGATAAAGAATTTATTATATATAGTGTGCGTGAAGAATATTGAAGTTTTGCTTATGTGATTGCTCACGCAAATTGTTAGTCTGCTTATATACTGCATTTTTTATTGAATGACGAGAGAAGCGATTCAATGCAAGATAAATGTGTGTTAATAATTATTTTCCACTGTAGACACCCACTTACGTGATTCATTCCACATTACGAGCTGCCTTGAACAAGAAAGTCCAATTTTACGTTTTAACTTTAAGTATAGCAATTAAATATATTAAACGAATAATTAAATAAATGAAGAAATAAAATGCTCGTTAAAGAAAAATAAATATTTAAACTATCTTTCAATAATTTCAGAAATATTAAGTCATTCTGAAATATTTCAACTCTTACTACAATTGTGCTTTCATTGATGCTAATACGTCCAGTCATCGTGTATCACGTTCTTGTGAAGATAAATAATTCAATGACAAAAGGAAAATATTAAAGTTAAATACAAAAGAAATTATTTAGATAGTAAAATATTATTAGAAAATAGATATTGAAAACACAATTTTAAACAATTATATGTTGATATGAACGAAATCTTTGCTAAAAAAAAACACTCTTTTTTGAAAATGATGTTAAGTAGCTAAACATTAATAAATAATAGATACATACCTATATATACTGCTGAATGGTTTATGTCATGTCATTTGATGTTGAAGTAACTAATAATATTTACAAGAAGAAAAAGGATTTTTATCAGAGAAAATGTCACTATATTAAATTAAAAATATATGATATCTGCATTAAACATGGCTGAAATATTGATATAATTACTTGATTATATTATAATTATTTAAAAATACTCAAGATATTGAATTATATTTAAAAATAAATACAAATTTAATACAGCCATATTTGAAACAAATATTTCATGTGTCTAATAAAAATACTGTAAATTGTTTATTAAATTGAAATGATGAAATGAAAAGAGATTCTTGCATAATCAATTTGTTTTTAAAATAAATAAATATATGATATTTATATTGGTAACTATTAAGAATTGTCAGAGTAACATTTTCTCAGTAATTAGAAAATTATCGCGAATTATATGCTATCATTATTATGATTTTCTTTATTTTTTTTTTTTTTGTGATACCCGCACGACGTTACAATAATTTGTAGAATTTTTTCATTCATTAATTTTTTTCAAATTTTTTTTTCAATCATATTAACTAATGTAGCATGTAAATATACAATATAATTACTATTAAAAGACCGACTGAATGGTACATTCGCCGTTGCGTTAATGATTTTTTTTTTTAGCGCCGCACAATATTCCATTTTTGTAATATTATCATCCGAAAATTAAAGTTTAAAATAATATAGATTTAATAATAATAAAAAAAATAATAGTAATTATACGTTATAATAATAATAATAATAAATTCAATACAATTAAGTGTAATTGTCATTGACGTTACACACAGTTTTATTAATTCAATACGTGCGTGATTAAAAGTGAAGGGACACATTCCCTAAGAATATGTTGGAAGCATTCCTGAATTATTAAATATTTTTTTAATTACATGTTTTTTCACTCATATTTTATTAACTACTTTTTTTTTTGTTTTTATTCTTGCATAAATTCTGTTGAAACAATTGGAAAAGAAAATTAAAAGATTAAATAAATTGTTATTATTCACGCTATATGTATCGACGGATTGCACTCTATTATAAGATTTTTTAAGGACGCTTCAAAGATTATTAATTATTCTTCAAAAATAGAAGAAATTATTGCCATTCCGTCTTACATTTTCTCTCTTTTTATTAATTTTTTTTTTTTTCTTTTTGATGCCGCAGTTGTACTCATGAAAGCGTTTTAATCTTACAATATTTTTAAAAAATGATTTTAAAAAGAGAAAATTTTTTAATGATTAAATCGATGTTGTATTATTCACTAATAATCTCTGTATTTCAAATTAATTGAGGAACTGAATAGCTTCCAGATATGTGTATCAATCTGTCATGAATTTACTTTTGAATTTATCTATACGAGTATTCTTTATTTACCCTTTGTTAAGCTTAGTTTTTATTTAACTACTGGTTTATTAATTTGTTAATCATTATTTTTTTTTTTTTTCTAATTTTTTCTTTTGTTTACTCCGTCTAAGAGATGATTGCAGTCACAGTTTACCTCACATTTTTATCACTGGATTATTTCCCTGATCTTTACTTTTTATTCTTTATTATTAAAACGCATATTAAACCAACGCAATTGTGCTAATAATGATTCCAATTATTATTCAGTGTTTTGGATACTTTTATCTTAATTTTATTTTTATTTAACAAAAAAAAACTAGAATTCCAAATGCACTGATACACTTTTTTTTTAATTCTCTTATAGCTTTGTTTTTTTTTTTTTTACTAATAATACAGCCGATTAATCGGCGCATTCATTAATTAAAATGTCATTTCATTCGTTTAGTCACATTTGACAAGGCTGCTAGTCCGATGAGCATGAGAGGACTAAACATACAATGCACAAAAGTATAATAGAATGCTTTGTCTTGTAAATATAAATGATACACATAACATACTTTTTTTCATTCTTACAATACAAATGTCAAATAAATACTATATAAAGTGAACAATAAATAAATAGTAATAAGATAATATTCACTAAATAGTTAGAGCCCCCACGTTTAAAAAGTAAGTCCAAGTAATATAATAACAATTTTACTTTTTCATAATTTTTTATTTTTAATTATTCATATATTTGTCACGGTTTTTTTATGAACACCAATAAGTATCTTTCGAATAAATGACTATTATTTATAATAAACTTTTTTTTTTTTGTTCATTTGACTAATTTTCACTTGATTTGTCGATTTTTATCAATTATTTGTCGTGTTGAAGCCTAATTTTTTAGTTTTAAAAAATTGACGATTTTTTTATAATAAATATATATCGAACAGATACGTGAGGCGTTTGACATTTAAAATTACTATAATATTTGCAACTAAGATTCTTTTAAACAAAGTGAAAAAGAAAATTGATTTTTCATTACGAAAAATCATAGAAAAAATATTTACATCATACAAGAAATGTATTTTAAATACTTTGAATGTTAATATTTTAATTATTTATTATTTTTACTAATTTAAATAATTATTTTTTTTAGGATTCCTCCATGAGAAAAATGATCATTCACACCTTGGTCCACGGCCACATGATATACCAATGTCTTACGTACACGATTGCACTTAGAGTTATTATTTTAGTACATAATGTAACAGTTAAAAGTCATTAAGACATATGTATTTTATTTTTTTAATTTTTTTCTTTTTTTAATTGCTGTTACCTAAAAAGCTGTCAAGTGATCAGGCAAAGTCAAATTTGTACTTTTCACGGCTAGATTGAATCAAATCCAGCATACTTACTACCTGAATACCGATAAACCTACTAAGAACTTTGATCATTGTTTCATTAATCATACTGAAATTTGCTAGTATTTGTCAATTTTTTTTTTTAATTCTCTTTTACTATTCTTAAATCTTTCGTTTATTTATCTTTATTTTGCAAGTGTGACCCCGAAAACGCCTCACGAGATTGGCTGACGAGCTAGAAAACGTTCAGTCCTCTTAAAAAATCGGACAACAGCCACATTAATTAATTTAATTATTAATTTTCTTTGTGTATTATCATTATTATCATCATTAACGACTCAATATTTTTCAGTTCTATTAGCTCCAGAATTAAATACCGAGCTATTTTGTCGTCGACATTCAATCAATAAATAATTAACTTTATATTTTATTATAACATGTTAATGATTTCCTTGCATTTTTATCATTTATCATCAATTCGTGTGGTAATTGAATGTCACAAGATCGTTCAATATCACAGTCGTTTTTCAATTATTTTAGTTTAATGTTATGCATTTATGAATATCACTTAATACATTTTATTTATAATAATTATAAGGGCATTACTGTAGTGATAAATACAATTATAAAATATTTACTTGAACGCGTTTCTGCCCACGCTTGTCCGGAAGCTTCTTCCTTGTTTTTTTTTTTTGTTTATTTTTAAAATTTTTATACTAGTATTATTAAGCAACTTGAAGTTACATTTTCGGCAGCTCATTTGTTTACTTTCCAACTCTACATTGAGAGAAAACATTTATGTTTTATTGTAGAAAGGATTCGTTTATAAATGATAAAATAAATATTCATTCTAGTGAGTTTCTTAGAAATAAAAAAAAATGATTTTCTTATAGAATAAAGTATTATTTTAAAATAATGATAAGTTTTATATAAGTATAATAATTTACGTTATTGTTTTATTCATGATTTTCTTTTTATAAAATTAATTTATTATTTAAATTCAAAATGTTTTCATCTCTGGGCATATTTCTATTTATTTTTTTCTTTTATTTCTGATATTTATCTTATTACATCTTCCTTAATCCTGTAACTGCAACCGTATTTTATAGTGCAATTTCATTGTCCCTTCTTAGTGTAGTAACGAGCCATCGTTTCCTTGCAGAGTTTTGCTTATCTATTTGTGTGTATAAACGTCTTTGTTTATTTACTGATTTAATTTAATTAAATTCAAATGTTTTGTTTTTAAAAATCTTCACTACTATTTATTGATAATGAACGTTCAGAATTAATAAAGAAGAAATACTGTCCATTAAGAGGTAGAAGCATTATTCTCTTCAGACAGTTGAAATAGATTTTTCGATAATTTTTTTTTTTTTCTTTACTATAGATTACTACTCTTTAATTGTTATTCATTACTTTGTTGGTCTTTTTTCTTTAATACGAATGTATAAGCAGGAATTTTAATTCTTAATTCAACCCTTCTCTAGTCATTTATCCTGCAGTTTAAAACTTTAAACTATTTTTATTCCCTCAATTTTTTCTCTATTATTTAATGAACATTTTGCGCTTTCAGTGTTGCTTAACCGTAACAAATCTGTATCATTTTTAGTTTTCTACACATTCCGTATACTGTTTGTAGTTTTTTTCTTCCGTGGGAACGGTAAAACAACACAGTACCATTCATCGACTACCTTCAAATTTGAAATTAAGTTATATTAGATACTTAAAGAAATTTATCTTATGATCCAACATGTGTGCTCTATTTGTTTTTTTTTTTTTTCCTTTGAGTACAATTCTTAGCAAATTTTTAACTATTACATTTTAATTTTTTTTTATAACATTAATTATTTATGACAGATCTGTTCTCAATAATAGTATTCCTTCTTTACTCAACAATAATAATTATCAGCAAGAATAAAACAAATACTTTGACAAAAAATATATAAAGCACACACGTAAATCATGCAACAAATCAATTTTAAATTTAATAATATTAATAATAATGAAGATAATAATAATAGTAATAATAAAGCCAACGTGTCCCGTAAAAGTAAATGGGAAATAGCTAAAAAAAAATTCAACTAAATTGATATTATTTACTGTATCAATTTGTATGATTCAGAATGGCAATAACGATTAATGAAATTTGGTTAGTAAGCAATTGATCTATAATAGATATATGTGAAATATTTTATCAACTTCAAAAAGTTGAATGAACTAAATGAGTCTATGAAATTGATCTAAATTTTTCATTTATAATCCAAAATAGAATCCCAAAAATTCTTCATGATCAACTAATATTAATCATCTAAATGAAACACTGGGATCATCTCGGCCGCTTATAGCGTAAAAACAAATATTTTTACCGAGTAATTGAGACTATGTGTTAATTTAGTTGATAACTTCTTTTTTTTTTATTTTCAACTATTCAAACTTAACGTAACGTGACCAGTGAAAATTTGAATGTTATCTGTCAATACACTGCCCGTCTCTGTTATTTTCTATGAATATATTTTTTTTCTTGAAATTGCAATATATCGTTCTTGCATGTGCCGCTGGCTTACTTATAATTTAACTTTTCACGAAGAATTAATAATAATAATATAATAATAATAATAATAATAATAATAATAATAATAATAATAATAATAATAATAATAATAATAATAATAATAGTAATAATCATAGCAATAATAATGAATAATATTAATGATGATATTAATAGTATAAAGGGCGACGAAATTTTTGTTAAAAATCATTTACTTTCCCCACCAATCAGGTCCACTCATACTGTTACTGTTGTTGCTTGAATTATACGAAGAATTATAGTTGCCCCCATATCCTCCACTGCCTCCATATCCACCACCTAATAACATATTTTTATGAATTATTATTTTTCTGTATTGAACCTATTAATAGTCTAACTAAATAAGATTAAGATCTATTGATAATTATTTAGAAAAATATTCATAACTTCCGTTACAATTGAAAAATGATTAGTTCTTTAGGACTGTGTGCTTTACCTCATTTCAATCATTGAAAATCTACAAATTTTTATAAATAATTTACTCTTTATGCTAATAAAATTTCATAAAAAAATAGAAATAATATTTAATTATAAATTAATAAAGCTTTTTTTTTTTGAACTGGTAAAAAAAGTACTAACCTCCATAACCATTAGGGCCATTTCTACTAGAAGGTCCATTTCTACTACCCATACCAGAGTTAGTCTGTTGACGATAATCCCTGGCTCCAAAGCCTCCGCTTCCAAAGCGGCCATTTTTCGTTCCTCCACCACCAGGTCTGCGAGCTCCACCAGTATGTTTAAATTCAGTAAACATGGTTTCTAACCATTGTGGAAGCTCTTGATTAGCTTCTATTAATAATGACACTAAATCACGCACTAAGTTGTGATTTTTATTATTGAAGAACGAAGTAGCAAGACCGAGATTTCCCATACGACCTGTACGACCAATACGATGGACGTATTCTTCAACATCGTTGGGCAGATCAAAGTTAATAACATGCTTCACGTGTGGAATGTCCAAACCACGTGCTGCTACCGCAGTAGCAACGAGAATCGGTGCTTTACCAGCACGGAATCGTCTAAGAGCATCTTCACGTTCACGTTGTGATCTATCACCATGAATACTTGTCACTGGGTATCCTAAATTCTGAAGATAATCTTCGAGCATATCCGCACCTTTTTTAGTTTCTACAAACACAAGAGTTAAAGATTCCGTTGGATCATCGTAAACATTAGCTTGTAATAGATCTAGCAAATACGATCTTTTATCTTGTTCTTCCACCCACACTATTTTTTGAGTGATATTCTCAGAAGTAGAACCAACACGACCAACAGCGAGGAAAATATAATTGCTGAGAAAGTCGCGTGCTAGCATTTGTATTTCCTTAGGAAACGTAGCAGAAAACATGAGTGTCTGTCTTTCACCAGTTGGTGGCATCGTATCTTCTTCAACAATACGTCTAATTTGAGGTTCAAAACCCATATCCAACATACGGTCAGCCTCATCTAGAACTAGAAATCGACAATTGTGCAGTCCGATTTTACCACGGCCAAGCATGTCCACAAGTCGACCGGGAGTAGCAACCAATAAATGGCATCCACGATCAAGTTCACGCATTTGATCAACGATATTAGACCCTCCATAGACAACTGCAGGTCGCATACGAGATCGATAAGCAAATTTACGTGCTTCATCGTAGATTTGCGTTGCTAATTCTCGTGTTGGAGCTAAAACTAAACCCAGAGGGTATTGTTTACGTCTTCCACTACCAGCTTGTGGTGGAGGTGGACGTGGACCACTTTCGTAAATCTGATTTAATATTGGCACCAAAAATGCCGCTGTTTTACCTGAGCCAGTTTGAGCACAGGCCATCACATCACGACGATTAATGATTATAGGAATTGCATATTTTTGAACAGGCGTTGGTGTATCATATCCAGCTAAATTAATGCTATTCTTTATAATTTCTGTCAGCTTAACTTCATCGAAGGATGTGATATGAGATGGTATATTGTCTCCAGTGGCCTCAACTGGGATATCCTCATATTTGCTAAAGTTAATACCAGTATTTCCAGATCCAAACAACTCCAACTCGAGTCGTTCGTCTTTGGCAGTGGGAATTGTCCAATCGACCTCACCTCTATTTCCTCTTCCGGAACGATCTGATTCATCCTTCCATCTGTTTCCCATGGAACGCGAGTCAATTCTGTTGTCTTGCCAACGATCATTTCTCTGTTCAGGCCATCTGTCATTTCCCACTGGTGGTCGATCCCGTTCACGGTCTGCATATCCACTAGAACGGTAGTCTCCTCGTCCTCCATTTTCTTGATTACGTCGATTACGTCCCCCAAAGTTACCGAAATCAACATCTCGGCTAAGCCGAGCGTCTCTATAACCACCTCTATCTCTTTCTCTGTCTTGATCACGTGCACGCTCACGATCTCTATCTCCAAAACGTGAGTTCAATGAGGGTTGTTCCTCCCCACCAGACGATCCGTTAGCTGTACATTCAAACACCCATCATTACATTATGTTATGAAATAGGAGTTCATAATTTATGGGAATATAGTGATTTACTTACAATATTTATTGCGTAAATGCGGTGGTACGTAGCGACCCCCACTTGGTTGGCGGGAGTCCTGCAAGTCCAGACCAGCTAACTGTATAAAAAAAATTACTCATTACATTTTTTTGTGGTTAACTCATTAAAAAACCAAAGTATTTTTAAACAAAAGAAAATTATAAATTTGAAAAAATATTATATTTATACCAAAAGTTTAATACGGCAGAATAAATAAATTATATCATTCTAATTAATTAAAAAAATAAAAAAAATATATATAAATTCAAAGCACGTGGTGAAGCAAACGAATAAATCATAAACTACAGCGAGCATATTCTTTTCAGAATTGATCGCCGCCATTACGCGAATCAGACGTCATGGAAGTTTTGAGCTGATTTACTTTAAATTTTAAATACTTAATGAACTTATGTACATCATTATGCATCACACGCTTACATATTTTACAATATTTTAGTCACTTGGATGTAATCGGATCATTCAAAGGAATAACTTAAATACCAAAAACTAGGTTTTAGGACATATCCACAGCAGAAGGAATGGCGGTTGTCAGACAAGTATATAATAATTATTTGCTTCATTACCTGCTGCTCTAGACCTGATCCATTTTGGTTGGCTGCATTACTCATATTACTCCGCCTCGGTGCGTAGTTTTTTCGTATCTCTGTTACGTTAATTCGCTCCTGTTCGTTGTAACAAACGGACGTTAACTAATTTTTTCCCGGACGCACAAGAAGAAATGTTAGCACACACGCTGCTACTATTCACCCGTCCTCAGCAGGCTTGCCGCTATTCCAACACACAAAGAAAGCTTGAGAGTAACTCAAAGGACTGACTGCAACACCGCAATGGGCGCTTGAAAGTGACAGAGACAGACAATATTTATCTATCGCTCTCTGTTTCTTCGACGTAAAACTAAAATGGCTGATAGGAAATTGTAACCAATATGGCGGATACACTATTTCCGGCGCAATAGTTTCATATAATGAACCTAATTGGTCAACGCTTTATTAATGATTCAATACCCTATTAAATAATTAACTTCAAATTATTTTTGCCAATATTCATTTTTTTTTTTGTTAAATTATTTGGAAAATTTTCATAGCACACTAGAGAACTAAAGATAAATGAAAGAATAATAAAAATACATTCAAACTCATTTTTTAGCTTTTTGATCATTTTTTTATTAGATAATCTGTACCAAGAAATAATTAACGTGTAGCCTAATCTTCTTTCTTGGTCTCTGTCTTTCCTCCTCGAATTCTTCCAGTACGACGAGCAGCAATAAGACCAACTTTACGACCTGCGCTAGTTCCTCGTTTAACTGTTGAAGCTTTACCAATATGTTGATGGTTACCACCACCGTGAGGATGCTCGACAGGATTCATAGCAACACCACGAACCTAAAAAATGAATTATAATTTAATATACATAAAAAACAAATCATTTTTTTAAAGAACAATATATCTGTTGATATACATATAATTCTCAGTTGTAAATTTCCACATTTTGATTCAGGTTTCAAATGTCAAAACATCATTGAATAGATATTAATTTAATACTATTTATGAATGAATGATAAGAAATAAGAATTACCTTAGGCCAGCAATTTCTCTTGGCCTTATATTTGTGATAAGCACGACCAGCTTTCAAGATTGGTTTATCAATACGTCCACCACCAGCAACAATACCAACCATAGCTCTGTTATTGGATGGAATGACTTTTTTGGCCCCAGATGGTAATTTAACCCTGGTTTTTTTGGTGTCAGGATTGTGGGCAATTACGGTAGCATAATTTCCAGAAGCTCGAGCAAGTCGGCCTCGATCTCCAGTTTTCTCTTCTAGATTACAGACAATTGTACCTTCTGGCATAGTTCCAACAGGCATCACGTTGCCAATCTGAAGAGTTGCTAGAATTTAATTGTTTTTTTTGTTAGTTTTTTTTTAAAATACTTTACAATAGAATTATTTGTTAAACTTCAATAGTTACCTTTCTTTCCACAGTAGACAAATTGTCCAGTGTACATGCCCTCTGGAGCAATAAAGAGTTCTTTCCTTGTTTTAAATTTATAAGGATCTCTAAAGTGGACTACAGCCAATGGAGCACCTCTACCAGGGTCATGAATGATGTCCTGATTATTGAAAATAATATTTATTAGTAATACATCTTCGGTAATGAGAAATGATTAATAGAATTGATGAATAACTTCAGAAAGAGCCTCTAATATAATCCTCACTTTCACTCAGAGGTAGGTTATTAGAAATCATCATGACATAACTTATTTAAAAAATTATAAATTGGAGCAATAATTATTGAATATTTTACCTTAACAACACCCTTAATATATCCATGTCTTTCAGAATAATCGAGAGATCGTAGTTTAGGAGCTCCCTTTCTCCTTTTTGTGTGAGATCTGAAGACAGATCCAGCTCCTTTACGCTGTGCACGGATAACTCGACCCATGATTCAAATCTGTTGACATTTAGATACATAAATTGAATTAAATAAAATCATTTTTAAACCAGCTCACTTTTATATGTATTCAAAACATCGTTTACGGTTAACCTCAAAATTTACTTCAAACTTCAAAATATTACAAGTGCTCAACGTTGAATAAAAATATTATTCAAAATGAACACTTTAATGATTAAATATTCGAATAGATTTATTTGTGAAAGCGGATGCATTATTAATTTAGATAAATTCATAGATTTCATTGCGAATGAAAAGGAAACCACGTACCAATTGAGTCGCTAACAAATCAAAGAGGTTGTGTTATCCAATATGGCGGCTAAGATTACGATGATTTTCGGTCACGCCACTTTTGGAGAGGATAAAAACTAACAATCAAAATAGTTTAACAGTCGATAATTACTATTTTGATGTCAGCTCCAAAAATTTTTACAACTAAAATAAATAATATTCTGAATTTTATATTTGAAATAAAAATGCAAATAATTATTTCAATTATGTTTAGATTATTTTACGTAGTAAGTTATTACAAACATAAGAATTATAACTACAATAATAAATTACTTCATTGTTTGAAGAATAAGTTTTAAACATCAGTCTTCTGTTAAACATAAAAATACAAATTTTACATAATATACAGCTTGAGTTTCTCTATAAAAAATATACAATGTCTTAATAGATAACATTGAGTCACGTTGAAGACTCATTAGATAATAATTTTCCTTTTCGATCTCTCAAACATCTTAGTGAAGGATATGGAAATCCTCGTTTCAGTAATTCTGTATATCCTCTTGTACCACATGAGTTCTTTAGTTGAAAAGCATCTTTTATCGTCTTGTCTGACCAACGTCTAACTGTGTTCTTATTATATAGCTGATTATATAGCTTCATTCTCAAATACAGAATTTGACAATCATTAAATAAACTTTCAAGAATTTTTTTATAAACATCAGAAGTAGATGATTGATTTTTAAGTTGCCGATTTGTTTTACGGTAATGATTAAGAAGCTTCTGCTGTTTTAATATTATCCGATCAGCATGTTTTAACCTTTCTTCATCATTTAAAGTTACTAAATTTCGTTCGGTCTCTGGAACTATTGGCTCAGTAGTTAAATTAATGTTGTTTTGATCTGAACATGAAGAACTCTCAGTGTTTAAGATTATTGGCTCAGCAGTTGAATTTAAATCATTTTCATCTGAATATAAAATACTCTCGATCTCTACTGGCTCCTCACTATGCCTATAACATTGGCTTTGCGCTGGATCTTCACTCTGGTTTGGTGCTAACTCTTCACTCTGATTTGATGCTAACTCTTCACTTGGTTTTTGCACCAGTTCATCGTGAACTATTTCCTCAGTGTATTCTCTAGAAATTGACTCAGGAAAAATGGTAGGTATTGCATTTTTTTTTAATACCCTTTTACCATTCTTTTTGGATATTTCCCACATATCCTTTCCAAAATGTACCTACAAAAAAACCATTTCAGAATAAATATGACATTTTTCATCATTGTTACATATTTCAATGAAAGATAATATTACAGGTGTCAACAACAGCAAAATTAAAATTGAAATTATTTTAAATTTTTTCAATTAATTGATCAAATTGATAGTTTTTTACTGTTTTATATTTGTTTATAAATAATTGGATAATCACAACAGCTGTTAACCTAATTAAAAGTAGAAATGATTATGAGTTTACATCATCATTACTATCAAAGGATCAGAATAAAAGTAAATAATTGAACAAAATTCAAAGTTTGGTGTTGAAGTTTTTTAACTGATTAATTGACATTAAACATTAATTACCTCACAGATAGAAGCATGTTTACTTGGAATCCAATTCTTTCGTCCAATGTTTTTAATCCATTTTTGACGACGTTGCGGATCCCGAGGTAACAAGGTCATACGAAATTTTTTATCACTAGAGTTTGTACAACCCTCTACACAACAACATCCCATTTTTTTATGTTTTTATAATTTATTCGGCATAAAATAGAACTGTCCATCTCTCAAAAAGAACTCTAACCGAGGAAAGTACTCAAAAATTTCTAACCTCGCAAAATGAACTATTTCCCCGGTAAATTTTCCAATTCATTAACATTAACCATTACTGCCATCTCTGAAGTAAAAAAATTTAACCTGTGATATTATGACTTTTAGTCGATAATACAAACTTAGAAAACATTTATAATGAGCGCGCCTCCTGTATTTTTAAATTAATTTTCAGCCGGTTTATATACCGGAGTCAATTAGGACCTGTATCAGACGGTTTGTTCGCATAGACCTGTGCAATACAATTTAGAGACATTCATTGATTTATCTGTGTTATTAATTAGAAAAAATGGCTTTAGAAGATTACAAAGAGATTGTAGCTAGTGCTGCAACTATTCTAACGATGGGTCACATGTTATCAGGAACGTAAGTATCAATTATTGATCATTGTTTAAAATTTTTATGAAAAATTTATCCTATCATTTATATATATATATACTTATATATATATAAATACTTGTTTATTTACTGTGCACAATCTAACATGCAATTGACCTTGAAATATCTCACATTATTTTCAAGTATTAGACATACACATATATCCTATTTGCATGTGTTTCATCGGAAATTTATAATTTACAGCTCATGAAGATCATTGACACTAATTAGTTGTTTTTATTCATGAATAAAAATGATATTTATTACTATAATTAATATAAGTTTCATTAATATTAATTAATATTCTTAATTTTCAATTTGTTTTTAGGATTGTATGTAAAGAGATCATCAGAAAAGGAACATCAAAAGGCTCAGACCCTAATCCATTCGTTGGAGGGTTGGGAATGTATGTCATTCAATTTTTAATGCTACAATCATTCAAGTTATTTAATTACAAATATTAATGTTTCATTTAATTGGATACTGTCTAATTGTTAATTTTCCAACAGGGGTCTACTCATGTTACAATATGCATTTATCCTGCGAGATTCTAATATGATTGCAGTAAATCTTTTCGGTTTGGCGACCAGTATTGCTTATGTATCTGTATTTTATGTATATTCTCCAAATAAGGTAATATCAAAATTTATCTCCAAGTAAAAAACATAGTTGTTCAATCTACTCAAACTATTTTTTGATACATTCTAGATTGATATGTCGAAGCTATTAGCCAAGATGTTAGCATTCACAGCGATTGTTTTAACTTATTCGAAATTAGAACATCCAAAACTTTTGGAATTTAGGTATGGAGTTGTGATAACAATTTTATTCTTCTTGCTCATAGCATCTCCGCTAATGAATGTAGTAAGTTATTTTTAATCTAAACGTTAAATCAATGCTCTAATTATTTTTTCATCTAATTATTTATCTTATCAATTGATAATTTAGGGTGAAGTAATTAGAACTCAAAGTACTGAACTTCTTCCATTCCCACTGATAGCCATGGGCACTATTGTATCATTTTTATGGCTTCTATATGGTATAATTCTCAATAATGGCTTTATCATTGTGAGTAATAATTTTGTAAACATTTAATTGATTAAGAAAAACAAATATTATTTCTAATTCATTTATTCGTTGTTTACAGTTCCAAAATGCTGTTGGTTTAGGGCTTTATGTGATACAGTTATCTCTATTTGTAATATACCCATCCAAGCCTGTTGATAAAGCAGCTCAAAAGAGAGAATCTAAATCAAATTAATTTTTTAATTTCAAATTTCAAAAAAGACAATTCATAAGAAATTTTGAAGATTGATAATATATTATCATCGTATCCCTAGATTAACATAATTATAAATTGAGAATAATTTTATAATATATTTTTATACACATCAATTTTTAATGAGACAATGAGATGCTTCTTTACTGTTAATTATTGACAAAAAAATATTTTTACTGTATTCTTATCGTATATCCATAATACAATTATCTGTAATCAAATTTTAAAATCAATATTTGTTAATTGAACATGTTAATACAGTATGTAAATAATCTTAAAACTAGAGAAAATATATTTTTACTTGTACTTGATTTGATTTTTTTTTGAAATTTATACTGTAACATAATTATCAACTTACTTTATCCATGTGATAATTCTGATTTCTTAAAAATTCAGAGGTATTATCACCATTATCTAGAAATTGTCACATTAATTCAATAATGATAAAATAAATGAAGGTTAATCATTAAATATTATAAATCTACTCAATTTATTAATTTTATGCGAATTATTACAAAAAAATTATCATATTCAAACCAAAAAAATAGATGTTTAAAGAAATATTATCATTTAATAATTTATTCTACTGTCTATTGAATTTTTACAATCATTCACGACAAAAGTTTACATCTTGGTTGATAATAATGAGTTTGAATCAAGTGCGCCATTAAAGAACACAGTTTTATTGCCATCTACAGGCCACTTTTGGCAAAAAAAAATTGTTCATCTTTTTGGCGGGATGTTGTACACATGTATATTGATGTCAACAATAAATAAATTGTGCTTGGACAAATCTTTTATTGTCAATTTCTATTTATAAACGTACTGATTAATTCCAGAATATCTGATTTATAAAATAATCAAATAAAAATATGGCAACAGCGAGGTTACACATAACAGGCAAATATTTGCCCCAAAGCATTGACAAAAATGTGGTGATTGAGGGTATGCTAACCAAAGTAAGTATTATTGCGTATTGCTTTTCATCATTATTTTTATGGAATAAAAAAACTAGATTTTTCTATATGTTAACTTTTCTAGATCAGCTCTGATGGACGAAGTGTTGAATTAACTACGTTTGATAAGATTAAAGTTAATGTTGCCTTATCACAACCTTTTGAAGGTGAACCTAGTGGGATTATGCAAATTTTTGGAACTGTAAAATCGAGAACAACATTAGCTGCAACAAGTTATGTTGTATTTCCAGACGATGATGAAGGATTTGGTATATTATTTATTAAATTAAAATAAGTCCACAGATTTCAACATTCTTCAAATAAATATTCTTTTTTTTATGATTATTTACATAGATCCTGAAGATCACAATGACTTTACAACTGTACTTCATGTAACTGGTCGTCAGAATCTTCTTGAAAGTTCGAACATAGTAGCAGAAGAAACAGGAGATGGAACAGCTGATACAAGCTATCAAGAAGATTACGGAACTGACATGTAATTTTAATTTTATTTTATATTAATGTAATTAAATAAGTTTGGATGACTTTAAAAAAGTTAATAAATTAAAAAAAAAATGCAGTCTATATTTATCAAAACAATAATTACATAAAAATAATAAAAATTCAGCTATTTACAGTTTATAATACACTTTTCATAAACTCTTTACATTGCATTAATACCAATTGAATAAGATGCATCAAGAGAAAAGCATCGACAGTTACATGATGTAACTGGACATTCAGTATGTTGTCGGAACCAATGAGTTATATGATCAGTATGGCCACCATGCCTGCATGTTTGACACCAAGTAAACCAATTGCCAAATTCTGTAAGTTTATTGTCATCATCAGTACGATTAGATGTACCATTTAAAGCTTTCAAACCACTTGCAGTTCCCATATGCATTAGACATATAGCACAACGAGGTAATGGTTTACGGCAATAAGGACAAGATGATATTTTTAATTGATTTGAAGTATTTCCTAATCTTCCAAATGGACCACGAGTTCTGCTAAGACTTTGCATATATGCTGAAATACTTTTTCCGCAAAAATTACAAGAGATGTAAACTTGTTGTGCCGGTTTTTCACTTGTTGATGATCTCATTGCAATATCAAAATGAGCTCTTTGATTCCACATTTTCCAGGCATCTAATAATCCTCTATAACTATCAATCCATACTTGTACTTGATTATCCTGTTGAAGTTTTGGAGGTAGAGCTTTAATAGCAATAAGGCTACAACTTTGAACATCTCCAGTTATTTCTAAATATCGATTTAATAATTGGATTCCATCAGTAGTAGCTCCAGTGAGTAAAAATCCAGCAAGATTACCTTCTTCACTCAACTTTTGAGTTAATTTTTTCAAGTACTCACATAACTTACTATCAGACAGAAACATTAGAGCAAAAGCTACTCTATCTTCTACAGCTACACCACTTTCATTAAGTACATTTTCGTACGAATCGTTATCAGCAGTCAAAAAGGCAAATGTTGCTCTGAGATAAGGATCAGATAATTGAGATCTAGATTTAAGACATAATTCACGCCACATACTATTTCTATCTTCAGAAAATCCTGACAAAGCCATTGCTACAATATTTAAATTAGTTGCCATAGCCATCCTGCTTGCTCCTCTATTTAATATTTCAATTGCCTGTCGTAAACAAAGATTAAATACAGAAATTGCAGTTGCTCGAGCATACTGACCTTCTCTTTCTAGTCTTTCAAGGAATAAATTATTGTACAAAGCATTAGATTCTTTGTCGAATCTCCAACCGCACAATTGAAGAGCTTTATCTCGATCAGTTGATCGGTAAATTTTGGCTGTATGATTTGAGCCAATATCACTCCAAGGTTTGTGAATCAACTCTGATTTCATGAAGAGTCCATTTCCACCATTCTGTCCATCTAATCTCAGAACAGTTCTTACTCCTGGATGATAATTGTGTATTGAAGGTATTATTCCATCTTCAACTAGTGATCTACTTAAGCATAACCATTGCCATAAATTTTTTAAAGTCTCATCTTCTGCTACTTCTCCATTTTGAGATAAATCAGAAAGAAGTCCGTACTGCAGTGCAGCTCTCTTTTTTGTAAGAACAGCAATATCATCAAAAGTTTTATAAATATTATCACTATCCGAGACATATTTAAATGCTTTCGATGCATGATTCCAAACTAAATGAGATTTTGTAGACCAATTGATAGTGATTCTTTCATAAACCGTATAATCAGTTAAACAACCTTGGGGAGATATTGTAAGTAATCGATTAACATGTGTTGGATGCCATGAAAAACTTGTTAAACTTGATCGACTGGTTTCAGGACTTGACCAAGGTGTTACCATTCTTTCTAAAGCTCCAGGTTCTGTATCTTCACCACTTCCTGATCCACAGTGTTGAATATCATGAAGATATAAAACTGCTAAGTCTTTTTGTAATGAACCTAAGAGATTATGTCTTGTTGGACACCACAATACTTTGGTAACTGGACGACTTTGAGGTAAAGTAAGCATTGGCTTTTCAAAGTATCTTGTATCCCATATAGTTATTTGGTTGTCAACATGTGATACTAAGTGACAAACATTATGCGGATTTACAGCCACACTGTAAACAGCTTTTGTCGCTGTAGTATTTACAACTTTTGCTGAATCTCTAAAGTCTATGATTTTTAATTGTTTATTGTTAACACCTGCTACTAAACATCGTGTTTCATTATTAAACCAAGCTATTGAATAAGTTGTTTCAGATACTCCAGCTTCAGATAAAGGTCTCAAAGAATCAGTCTGATTTACAACATGGTGATGAGTCCTATCTGTTATTGATGAAGTCTTTAAAACATCCCAAAGAAGAATAGAATGATCTGTTCGATATTTCTCGAGACCAACAACAATTAAATTTGGATCTACAGGATTCCAAGCAAGTGCATTGCATTGTCGTGGATGTTTGGGTGCTGGTAAGAAAAAATTATCAACAATAAATATCGAAAATATTCCAAAAAATAGCTAGACGTCTAATTTATAATGAAATTACCAAGTTCTTTTCCTGTTAAATTCAGAGAATCATATGCAGTCGGACCAAATGTTGTAAGAACAACTTTTCCATTTGCTAGACCTACAGCTAATAAAATATCCGGTTCTGATTGTGGATAAATATCAACACATTTGACATAATGATGATTTGAATTTGTTGCCAGTAAATGAGCTCCTGTTGTATCTGATATTTTAATACCTGAAAAATATATTCAATTAAATAATAATATATTACAATCAATTGTTAAAATAAAATTTACTAATAATTTATGCTTACCTGAATGTTTATTACTGTCTTTAAATTCATTAACTTCGTAAAGGTGTATTTCAGTTCCCCAAGCAATAAATTTATTATAATGAACCGGTGACCATAAAACTTCTTCTAACTTTGAACTATTCATTCTTGTTAAAAATATAATTCTATCGAACGAATATTATTTTTTTAGATAAAATTACATTCAAAGAATACTGTCATACCTAGAAGTCCAAAAGTATGTACACCCAAACGCATGAATGCTTGATCCATACCTCAAAAATTGGCAAAAGTGGAGGTGGCGCAAGGGTGCCGGCGTTAGCAGTTGGCAGTAGTGAAAATCCAAGCAGACAATATAATAATAATTTTTACCTTTCGTTTTTTCACGCTACAGCTGTGGTCTATAAGATATTTCTAATTTATAATTAAAATCTAAGTTTTTCCAATTAAGTTTTGTATTATTAAAAGTTAAATAAATTTTCTATTTTGTTTAAAGAATTGTTCCCCTCTCTTAGTACTTCACCCAGAAAAACTACAAAAGGCCACAGGCATCAAAATATCAATGAAGATAAATCAAACATTATAAATGCAAAATGATCTTCTTAATTTATAAGAAAACACTTTAACTATGTAGTTTTAGAAAGAATTTCGTGTTTTGTAACAATTTTTTAATTATAAGATATATTTACGACAGTTCTTGCCACTTTTCTAATTAAAAAAAACAATTATTTCTTTATTGTCAGTTTTTTAAAACAGAAAATTAATGTTTTTACTTTTTGAACTTCTCCAAAAAAGTTTTTTATGAACATGAATTTACTTTTATTAAAGAGTTATGGCAGCTTTAATTTTTATTATAATATTATTCTATCAATGCTTTATCTTGACAAATAGGAACACTTGACTTTTTCAAGACATTTTATTTTTTATTTAGGTTTTAATATTTTTCAATTATTTTTAAGTAATTTTGAAGAGCAAAATTTCCTTCGTTTATAATACAATTATACGCCATACATAGTATTTTTAAGAAAATAGAGCCTTCTCTCAAGACTTTAGATTTTAGCGGTACTAAAATAATAATAATAATCATCCAATCAAAGGATTTTTAATATGGCATCTCACATGTATGCAACCATTTTTCAATATGGCTGCTATTCCTTCATAAAGTAATCGGATTCTTCGCATACGCCCTAAATCTTTATATTACCTTTCATTTCTTGAATACTTGTGATTTTTGATACAACCGACTTTTAATCAGTGAAAGTTTCTATCAATAAAACTAATTAAATAGTTATAATTTCATTGGAATCATCAACGTTCACATAAAGTTTCCGGCAGAAAAGTAATTTACATTTAAATGGTTTTTCTTATACATTTTTTTCCTATATGAGTAAAGAATAGTTCAAATTTCATACAATATTTTAAAGTGTATTAAAGTTTTGAATAATTTTTCTTTCGATTCAAGTGAACATAATAAGTTGTAGCATAAGTGAATAAAATCAAGAATAAAAATTTAAAGAACTTTAAAAAATAAAATTATCTTAAATCTCTTCAATAAACGTATTATATAAATGAGTATAAATTTTATCCAAAATAATACAAAGTGATAATAAAAATATCATTAAAATACTCCAAATCTTTTAAGTGTCATAAAAGATATGAATAAGTTTTTTTAAATAATTTTATAGGTTATTGTTTTTCTTGATAATATCAGTAAATAAGTAAGAAATGAATATTAAAAGTTCTAATTTAATTTAAATTAAAAGCATCATATTTTTGGAGTAGAAAATAAAAATAATCTTAGATGTAGCACTAATTAATCTAACAGTTAACATTCTATGGCCTCTTGTGCTTGTTTTTCGTGGAAGATTATTCACATTGATTACAAAGAACCGTTGGAATTTACTATGTCTTAATGATAATGAACTTTTTGTTCAAGAATAGAAAACAGTCATAGAAATACTGTCTATTAAAATAAAATTTTAGTGTTTAATACTTTTTTGTTTATTTTTTTTTAAGAACAATGGCGAAAAAGCCAGCTGCTACTCAGGTTTTACATAAAGTTATTATGGTCGGAAGTGGAGGTGTAGGAAAATCAGCACTAACACTTCAATTCATGTATGATGAGGTAAGCATTTATTTTTATCCTTTATATGAACATAAAATAAAAGATTTGAAAGTTTAAAAAACTTCGATTACACCCTGTTTCGTGTTTGAAAGTTTGTAGAGGATTATGAACCAACAAAGGCTGACTCATATAGGAAGAAAGTTGTGTTAGATGCTCAGGAAGTACAAATAGATATTTTGGATACTGCTGGACAAGAAGACTATGCTGCTATCAGGGATAATTATTTTAGAAGTGGAGAAGGTTTTTTATGTGTATTTTCTATTACAGAAGATGATAGTTTTCAAGCTACTCAAGAATTCAGGTAATTAAAAAAAATGGACATTCCGATTGATGGACTTTTTGATACAATTAATATTATATTTTACAGAGAACAAATTCTGAGAGTGAAAAATGATGAAAACATTCCTTTTTTATTAGTGGGAAATAAAAGTGATCTTCAAGAAAAGAGAAAAGTTAGTTTAGATGAAGCTCAGGCGCGAGCACAACAATGGGGTGTACCGTACGTTGAAACAAGTGCTAAAACAAAAGCAAATGTTGACAAGGCAAGACATAATAATAAAAATTAAAGAAATTATTATACGTTTTATCATAATATGTTGCTTGGCATGAATGTATACATCTTTATGTTGCTCATTATCACGGTAGTGTCGTTGAATTGGCATCACTTGCACATTTTCCAGGTTTTTTATGACTTGATGCGTGAAATCAGATCTCGTAAAATTGAAGATAAATCAGCGAGTAATGGTCGTGGGAAGGATCGTGCTAAAAGGAAGAAAAAGAAGTGCATTATTCTATAGGTTCGCTCATTTTTTTGTCTATGCTTTACTGCGTTTGCTTTGTATGTTTGTTGCTTATTTGTTAAAAGTTTTTTTTTAAAAAACAGTGCAACATTATTTTTTAAATCATTGACATGATTGATTAGCTATTTAAATAACCTTTATATTGAAGAATTATTTGTTTTTAGGTATTTTATGATTTGATGCGCGCAATCGCAGCGCGAAAAGCGCAAGAGAACCAGATTGAAGGAGCAGAACGTAAAAATAATAAAGGATGTTGCGTTCTTCTTTAACAAGCATTAAACAACTTTACCTTTTATTTTGAACAAAAAAGTAGGTTAATGATAATATTTGGTATATAATATATAATGTACGTCCAGATAATGCGCTTTGTAACATGCTGGTGTTCAAACCCTTTACAGTGAGTTGACACTTATTCCATTTTTATGACTGTATCAACAGTTTGTACTCGAGGGACCTACTACACGACTTGATTCAGGATGAAATTTTTTCATATATTTTATATTATAATAATCTCTTAATTCGTTAAAAGATCTATTTTTCTTTTTTAATAATTTTTCATTTGTCAATAAAACTGGAGCACCGGTGCTATAAAAATGCGCATAACTTTTAATTTTAATTGTTATTCATAATGACTACGGTATTACACAGCGACTTGATAAATTGTTTATAAAATGCACAAAATGAAAGGGAATATTTTCATTTTCACAACAACTAGAGTGCTGAAATGTGAAAAAATGAACTAATTTTAAAAAAATAAAATTAATTTCGTTAATAATTATTTTACTAAGTTTGTAAATTAATAATTTTAATGAGAATAAAAATCATTTGGGTTAATTTACGATTTAAAGTACATTTATTTGTGAACCTTTGTGTAAATTTCAGCACTTTATTTGATCTTATAAAAAAAAATGTCAGAACATTGTATAATTGCTTGTTTATGTTGGGTTCACTGCCTGTTGAGTTAATTGTTGCTTCATAATTCTTTATCACAAATATTTACTAATAAGAAAAATACAGTTATTACAATTTCATAAATTATATTACTGCAGTTATGACTGATAATAACTAAGCTGCAGTTATTAATAATGCATCGAAATACCTGTATTATTACAACAAAAAGGAACAAAAAATTTTTTATTAGAACTTGCTCAAGGAATTTTGACTATGTCAGACTATTTGAGTTAATCAAATATTTGGTTTTTATATTTTTGTACATTCATATAGTTGGTCGTGCCTTTTCAGTACCTATGCAAATAAATGAACATATTCTTTAAATGGAAATTTCCATTAATCTTTAGTTATATGAAACTTAAACACTTTTATAGTTAGCTAGAATTTCACAGCCCATTAACTGGTTAGATCAATGTATTATTATTATTATTATTAATATTTTATTTAAACTTTGTGTAAAGTTTTACACTTGAAATGAAATCTTAAAAGTGTCTTTTTTTATAATAAATATAAGTTTAAAAGTATCTACAAGAATACAGTCTATTTTTTTACTTCATTGAAGATGTATGTACATGTCTATTTACAGTTTTATAATATTAATGAATAGTTATTATATGTACATTATATATTGTAATAATAATTAAATGATTGATTTATGTGTACTCGCATAAATGTCCACATCCTGTGGGACATTGTCGATTATTTAAAAACCATTCTCTCATGTGTTTAGTGTGCCCACCATGAGTACAACCTTGGCACCAAGTATAAACTCCACGAACAACCTGCAATTCATTTTATGTGATTAATATATATTACTCAATAAATGTAGAATCGATAAATCAATAAAATCTATACCTGGTGACAAATTGAACAAAGAGATAGTTTAGATTTATTGCACTGATCACAAAACCATGATGATGAAGGAAAAGCTTTCGCACATGTGGCACAACTGGCATGAATTGTCGTTGATTGTTGATTTAATTGAGATACCGAAGGAATCCAAGCGTGCTCAATTATCTAAAAAAAATACAAAAGGTTTTATCATTAGTGTAAAGAACAATCAAAACATGTTCAAGGTCTTAAATTGAAAAATACCTGAGTGGCCACATCATAAAGCTTGAATCTCCCAAGGATGTCAATATACTCTAATAACCATTGTTCTTGAACAGCAATTCCAATATTCAAACTGTTTCTCTTCTGTCCTAAAGCCATTAAAATAGATGCAGATGTCTGAACATCACGAATTGACGCATGATGCTTTAAAGCTTCTTCAACAAGTCGCGTAGGATCCCAGAATTGTGGTCTAGGTACAGAAGTGACGATAAGTTGACAAGGTTGATCTTCAACAGTAACGGAACCTGAGTCATCATTAATATCAAGTGGATGATTGGGAAATTGTTCAGGTGGAGGTGATCTATCTTGTATTTCATGCCTCAATGGAAACGCTTCTTTCGGTAAAGTCCAATCACTATCATTACTGATGATGTTTTCAATATAATCACCAGAATATTCAATTGACAGAGGCTCAAATTCAATTTCTCCAAAAATAAAATCACTCTTTGGTGTTCTTTTATATCCATTCAATGGTTTTCTATATCCAGGTGGAATATTTCCAAGATGATTATGATTTTCAGGAGTTTCATCAGTTTCCGTTTCATCATCACCACCACTAATACCACCTAGACCATCTCCTTGAAGTGACTTTACTTCATTGTCATGATTTGTATTATTTTGTTCTATAGGATTTCCAAGAGTCATTTGTGTTAAGTTCAAAATATCTTCTTTAATGGCTGGAGTTGTTTTTGGAATATTTGTCAAAGGATTATCATATAAAGCTTTGATAATACTCCAAATAGTACTGATATCGTTACGACCGCCTTCAGACGCTACTTTAGCATTATGATCACATATATCACTCAGTCTTCCATTTAACAAATACCGTTCTGCACAATACACAAACCATTTAGACTCATTAGAAACATTTCTTGTAAACCTATGAACCATACTAGAAGCTGCACAAAATGAGTCATTGTTTGATGAATTTTTTTTAACAAAATTAGACAAATGTTTTAAGGTTGATGGAGTATTGGTGTTACTTCTACAGGCGAATCCAACATCTCCATTGGGATTTAAATCAATTCCTTGAGGATTTGCTTGACTAGCGGGTCGAGTGGCATCTTGAAACATATGATGATAAAGGGTACAATCTCGACTAGTTGATATAAATGAATGAGGATCGCCTCTCCATGCTATACCAGTTGTCACATCTTTATGTTCATTGAAACTGGCAAATGGTATATAAGGACGTCGAATATCCCAAACATTGATACTGCTATCAACAACAAGCGCACAACTTGCTATATGAAACTTCCTCTGAGGTCTCCATTTAATTCTACCGACTGAAGCTATTGTGTGAATGGTATATTCACAGGTAGGTTTTTGAGACAAATCCCAGACTTTGATTGTTTTATCTCGTGATGCTGTTGCAAGCCATGATGTTTCTGGATGCCAATCACATGCAAAAATAGGTCCACTGTGAGCAGTAAAATGTTGAAAATATCTATCTGGACGACGTAGATCCCATTGCTGGACATGACCATTTTCAGAAACAGCAGCAAATGTATGTTGTTGATGTGGAGAAAATTCAACGTCTCTCACAGATTCTGTATTGCTGTAGAAAGTTTTGGTTGCTTCTTTAGTTCGTAAATCAAAACATTTCATTGTTCCATCTTGAGACCCAGAAATCAACCACATAGGTTCTGTTGTATGAAAACTGACTTTATTTACTGTTCTTTTATGATCAGTAAAAACATGTTCTTGTTTTGAACGAGATGATTTGTTTAAATTCCATACTACAACTGCTCCGTTTGTTGCTGCTGTTGCTAATATATGATCTAAAGCCGTTAAATAAGTAAATTAGATATTTAGAATAAATTTTAAAAGGTAAGGATGTCAAAAAGTTTACCATCTATAAGATTCCATGTAACATCATTACAAGAAAAATTTAAATTAAGATTTTTTCCAACCCTTAAGTTATAAACTTCTTCAAACTTATCCTCCAGCACAGAAAATACTTTGAATACTGCAATAAAAATAACCGGATAAATAATGGATTGCTTATTATCATAAAATACGAATATGAATGAAATCATTACCATTTCGACCTGCAATAACAACCTGAGTATTATCTTTATTAAGTGCAAGAGCATTCGCTGGACTTTCTTGAGTAATATACATAGTTTTTAAAAGCATGATGTTAAGAAACAAATATTATCTTGTCATCAGTTAATTATCACATCATATTAAATATTACAACGTAGATAGAATAATTTTCATCCTCTTTATAATAATAATGCACATATTCCGAGATATGCTTTGATATTTGTTGACAATTTTTAATCTAAGAATGCACATAAACAAGTTAGAATGTGTATTGTTTGGAGAAACAGTTGTTAATCTTTTCACTGACCGTTAGAAGCGCTGAAGCACTCTGCTTTTGAAGCGGGAATTTTAAAAGAATTTCAAAGATGACAGTTCATGTAACCTTTGTATGTTTACCCCTCCCATAGTTGTTTAGTGAATGGTTTATTTGGATTGGTTGATTTGTATTTCCCTGTTGCTTTCACTTAGCTATACACCCGCACAATTGTGGATCACCGGAGTTAATAAATACTTTATGTCAATATTTTTGTTGAAAATTCATGTTTGTTTGTCGCTTTAAATAATTTAACATCAAATATCAATTTAAAAATGAACAATCTACATGAACTAACCTTAAAAAGTCCTGTCAGGAGTCCAAAATTGAATAGAACTGCGCTTAAAAAGATACAAAGTTCACCTCAGCTAAAAAATATTCTTCGACAGGTCATTTTTTTTCTTTAATTTCTCGTTATTTTCGATTTGAATACCTTTATTATATCCACCTAAGTATTAACAATTAAAACTGAAAGATTTGTTCTTATAGAAATGGCAGCAACGATTGAAAGAAAAACGGAACACATCATTCAATTGGCGAAGATTTGGTCCTCACAAAGAAAAAGATTTGATTGACGAATCGTTAACAACTGAAATGTATGAATTAATGGATGAAACACTTTCTACAGACTTTGGTATTGAAGTGGATTCAGATGCAGATTGGGAAGATTGGTTTCAAAAACAATGTGCTGAAGAAGAAGGTTATTTTTTTGTCTTATTCACACACTTGTTGCTCTTGAATGTCATAATTCGCATGTACAATTTCTATTAAATGATAAATTGAATTTTTATACTTCTATAGAACAATTGATGATGTTGGAATATGAGGATATTCAAACATTTGAAGGATTTATTGATTCATTTATAGCTGCAAGCTATGGAGATTCAGATTTCGTTGAAGTCATATGTCCTATGTGCCAAAAAAATACAATGACTGAAGAAGATGGAAAAATTGGTTGTTCAAATTGTAATTTTGTTTTACCAGCGAAAATGTCACTGGAAGATTTTTCAAATAGTATCAACTCCAAATCAGCAATGCATAGTGCATGCTGTACTAGTTGTCCTACATTTATTACAACACCTGAAAATGATACAATATCTCTATATTTAACATGTGATATTTGTTCATGTTGTTTATTAATTATGTGAGAGTTAATCAAAGAAAGAATTAACTATTCATTATCTAATTGAACAAGTATATGGACTGTTAACAATTATAATTGTAATTATCAATATGAATATAAATACATAAAATAAATACAGTTTTTCAAAAAGTTTTCCATATATTATCAATTTAACGGTTTACAGTGTCCTGCACAAACAAATATTTGAACAAAAAGTACATTGAAAATATGATTAGCAATTACAATCATTATAACAGTGAAATTACTTTTTTTTTTGGCTTTCAATACATATACACGTTAGTAATATTATTTGAAACATTAATGTTACACAATCATTTTTTATTGACTTGATAATTTACAATACTTTAATTATCTATTAGAACAAATTCGAATAGTTAACTGATTTATCTTCTCTTTGTTATCTTGAATCGCTTATTTTCAATAATAATCCCATACAATTATTATATTGACTTTTTCATTCATTAAAAATTTTTAAAAATTTTCTTTCACTGTATTCAACATTATTTCAAATGACGTTGACAAGTTTTGTTTTTTTTTTACTTCATTTGTTTAGGACGGCGATATAAAATGTATTCCAATGTATAGCAATTTAATTACATCTTTAAATTGTTATGATTCATTATTGAACCAATAATTCATTCTCAAAAAATTAGAAATAAAATATAATATTTCAGTACAAGCATTTTTTATAAATTAATTATACAATTAATCATTCTATTAACGTAATATAAATGATTGAGCGTTATTTACTGTATACAATATGAATTCAGAATTAGATTACATGTTTGCTTTTTTTTTTCATATCTTTATATATTTATATATACATTTGTTTTAATGATATTCAAAAAATATATATCAATATTGTGCAACAGCGAATTTTCGTTAGCTATACTATACAGTAATCGAAGTCGCTTTAAAATTATCAATCATTCGAGTCAAAGTTGTCTTCGGCAGCTGACAAAATAGTCATTATTTATCACAGCTGTGTGGCTCGAAATAAAAATTCTTGTTCACAAATATTTTACTATTTTATTATCTTCACTCGTTTATCTCGTTAAGTTTCACCAAAAATACAGTATTTACCAATTAAAATGTGGAATCACATTATCAGAAACTTTTCATTTTGTTTCATTCATAAATCTTAAATCTATTTTATTTTTTATATTTATGTTGTAGTTTTTCAAGGCATATAATCATGAATCTAGTTTGCTGGTAGCATAGTTTACAGCAGATTACACAGGCTAAATAATTTGACAAGCGAATTCAAGAAGCATAATTAGTACAAGAATGAGCCCTGAGTCTTGATGTGCTTACGAATAGGTACTCGGATTTTTTTTTAATTTATATCATTCATAATAACTTCAAATTAAAATGAATTTTTTTCTTTTTCGATACCAATTCTTTTGGCTCGGTTAAATACACCATTATTGTCACATACGTAAATAGTAGTTGTAGTAGTAGTAGTAGTAGTAGTAGTAGTAGTATCGTTTAAATAAATTTTATATTCAAAGAGACAATTTTCTTTTTATCGTAAATCATTATTTCATTGATAATACTCGACACAATGACTGACAAATAGATAATATTTCTATCATTAATTAAATAATATTTCTTAAAAAATTTACTCGATATTTATTCAGAAAATAATATAGACAGTCTGAGGAACATTATTATAAATAAATGGAAGTAGATTATAAAATTTATCATTAAAATGGATCAGTTTATAATCAATACTAAAAATTAATGGAAGTTCATAAAATGAATTGATAATTTTTTCATCAACATTCAGAGAATAAATATTATATAAAAATAATTAAAGTCTATGTATTGACTCGTATAATTAAATGTTTATCTATTGATTGAAAATATTAAATACACGATTTAAAATTACAAATAGAACACATATAACATAGTAAATTTTATGTCTGTTAAACATTTATATTTTGCAACATTAAAAAATTTCCATAACCTTATTTATAAAAATTATTTTAGTCATTTTATGACAAAATTATCAATTCCAGATTCTTTTAATGATACAAATAGTTTTTGCTTTGTTGAGATCCAAGATAAAATACTGTATTATATAATTTCAAATGTATTCCATTTTTTTTTTTAATCTACTAAAAAGTTGTTCATTTCTTCCGTAAAAAATTAATCAATCTCTCCTATATTTCGTACTATCATTTACTTTATAATTTCATTATTATTACTATCATTAATAATCTATAATTTATGCGATAGAGCATTAAAGATAAAAATCATTATAACTGTACTGTTTGTGTTTATATGCTTATTTTATAAATATTTATATTTATCATTTTATTAAATAATGTGAAAATAGATGATTATATGAAGCTTTCGATGTTATCAATTGTAAGTTTTAATATAATATTTAGATAATTCAGCAAAATACAACCTTTATTGTAGATTAAATTAAAACTCTCATTAATGCATTGTATTGGATTGCTCGTTACAGAGCATATAAGACGGAAACATGAAATATATCCAATTAAAAAGTTTCCTTGTGATTTTTTAAAAATAATATACATATTAATTAAAAAATCAATAAACTATTTTTAGAATGATAATATAAATTTTAAATATATCTTTACCTTTCTTCAAAGAAATATGATTTGACTAGGCAGTATATTATTAATCTTCAAATGTTTCAGTTATTATGTTCCACAAAAATTCCATCAACCACAAATATAAAATAAACACAGGAAACAACCAATTATTCAATCTGTCCATTCCATTTAATCTTTAAAGAAGACTACACTTGCCAGATCGTCTTCTTTTTCTACGATTTTTTTCAAACTCCGTAGGTGGTTGATTTCGAATGATGCGTACGACCTGTAATAATTTTCGAGATACATTATATAATTAAATTAATTTGAATTATGTGAGGAAAGATATATCCCTGTTTCTATGAAATATATATTGTTGATGAAAGTAAAAAAATAGTACGATTTGATTTCGAGACTATTTAATGAATGAATTATATTACCTCATGAAAAGCTGCATCAACATTTAATGGAGGATCTTTAGCTGAAGTCTCAATGTAAGGAATTCCAAGTCTATGTGCTAGTTCTCGTCCTTGCTCTTCTGTGATTTTTCTTAAATGGACAAGATCCACTTTATTAGCAACCAGTAACATAGGATATACATCTCTATCTTTAACTCGAAGAATTTGAGTATGGAAGTTAATAATATTTTCATAAGATTGTTTATCAGTTACGGAGTAAACTAAAAGAAATCCATCTCCTTTTCTCATGTATTGTTCTCTCATAGCACTAAATTCCTCTTGACCCGCAGTATCAAGAACTAAAACGAATTAAATTGATAAACCATATTATATTTAACTCCAAAAACATATTGGAGTAAGTAAGTTGTTCAAGGATAATATTTACCATCTAGGATACACCATTGCTTATCCACTTCTGTGTGTTGAATGTAGCTGTCTTCGATCGTAGGATCATAATCGGTAACAAAAAGTCTTTGGAAGAATTGTATAGTCAGGGCACTTTTCCCTACGCCTCCATCTCCAACCACAACTAGTTTAAATGTCACAAGATTATCATTGTTGGGCGGTCTCGTCATTTCGCCCTTTGTTTTATTACTTTTTCGTTTAATATTTTTTTGTATATATATTTTTTTAATATGATGCACTTATTTTTTACTTCAATATTTTTTTTCAAAAAAATAAATAACTTGTATTTATTTTCATAAGATACCTATAAAATGAAGAAATAATTATTGATTGGCTATCATCAGCTATTTATGAAACACAATTAATTCAAAAATTTTTTCAATCAATCATGATGGAAATTATGGAGTAAAAATAAACTTTTCAATAGTACAAAAAAAAAACTCCAATGAATTTTTTTTAATTTCATTTTATTATTAATCACACATTTATAATTAGCTAATGTTTAATTAAACAATTTTCGCATACCAAAAATTGATAGTAGTCATGTATTCCTTTTCTTCAAAAAATTCCTTCAAACATAATTGTGATTTCTATTAACGTCTAAGATTCGTTGAAAAGTTATGATGCTATTTTCTTATTACATGTCAAATCATTTTCAGTAAATTTGTACACTATTATTTTGTACTTAAGTGCATTCGTTCTAGCTATGAGTTGAGGTACTTATAAATTATTAAAACCACAAATCGACATTAATTAATATTGTTCTACTTCATGGATATGAATAACACTAACAAAATCTTAGAACTACACATATGGCATACATATATCGATGCTCTTGACTGTACTATTTATATCATTCTGACTATACTATACATTATGAAAATGGTCGTGTTCGTAAAGCGTTAATGTCGGATACAAATTCGAATATTACAAAATAGCAAAAAAAATTGATCTTAATTTACAGAATAATTTTATAAAAATAGCGAAGATAAATTACATGATTTATAAAAATTGTTATAAAAATGATTCTTAGTAGTTTTTAAGGTTATGAAAGTTAACTATTTCATTTTGATTATTAAATTGAATATAAAATTGATTCTTGATTAATCAACAGTCAAAGATTAATTTACAATTTAAAAAATGGATGATTATCACTAAATGATAAAAGCTCGTAAAGTTTGCTATCAAAACGGTATTACTAGTTGGAACACTTGCGAAAATCATTCTTATAGTAAAACTTATTACTATTTTTACTCCGTTTAATTGACGACAGTGATACATACAATTTGTCCAGTCGAGGCAAAAAATTACAGAAAAATCATCAAAAAAATAGAAGCAGGTTTTCGCTTATTGATAAATTTTTTCTAGGTGTCATTACACATCATTTACTGTTAAAAAAATTACAATTAATTTCCTAGAAAAAGGTAGCAAATGGAGTAATTAAAGTTTTTCCGACTGGACAGTATAATTCCAACGGTATGTAAAAAATTGGCACTTTTTTTCTATTTTTTCTTTTTTTTTGTTTAGTCTCACGATAGAAAATGTCTAAAGTGATTTCAAGTATCAGCAAATAGTCATCTTCTGGTTCTAGTCATCCATACTTCATAAACCCATTTGGAAAGAATCTTAAATTTTGTTACATGAGTTTTATAGCATGATCTGTCGTCTCGTGAATTATATGTCCACTGCAAGAATTTATATGCTAAATCTAATCGGTTCATTCTTAGAAAAACTGAACACAAGTTGGTACAGGAGGTGCACTCTTGAAGGAATCGTTCTTCTGTAGGTCCGAAAATTGTACTGCTATTCATGTTTAATTCTCTAACAAACTGATAAGATGAATTTCTTCTTATTGAATCCCAAAAGTATATTTTCTGCTTAAACCATCTCTTCTCTTCTTCAGATCTCAAAAACCTTAACATGAATTCATCTAATAACTCAAATTCATCTCTTATCATCAAAAGCAAGTATCCCTCTTTTGCGGCTTCAATGTATTCATTTCTACAAATTTGTACTTTTGGATCATTTAATATCATTCTGAGACTATCCAAGTCCCATACGTATACCAGATTACGCATGAAATCCATTGTTTGACGGCAATTTTTTGTCAGTGTTACTTTAAAACGATCTGGAATAATACTCCAAATTTCATGTAATATAAGTTGGTGTGTACTATTCCGCATCTCATAACCCAGATCGTAAAATTCAACCATCCTTGCTGTAACTTTATCTAAAATCAAGCGGACTGTTACAGAATCGAGTCCTATGTCTTTAATCATTTCCTTCAGTGCTGGTATCAAAAGCTGTTGCCATGGCCATTTAAATAATAGCATCTTCAAGACTGTATATTTAACATTTATTTGCGTTTTGGTATACACATCGAATTTTATAAATAGTGGTGTGTCATTAAGGACTTTTCTTCGAAGGTCTACACTTATCTGGTTTATAAAGAAAAGAAATATCTGAATATACCTTTCCTTATCATGCGGATATTGACATTCACTCATAGAATCTAGATAATTGTAATGCATTACAGAGGAACAAATACCGTGTACTATATTTCTTTTTTTTTCCGTTAAGGAAAGTTTTTCCCAAAAATATCTCATGGCAGTGTAATTACCATTATCTATTGATAATCTCATCATGTTCTCGGTTGTAGTATGATTTAGATTATAAACTGGAGAAAGAAACATATGAAACATATCAGGGTTTGTGGTTGTAACGAAATATTTTATAAAATTGACGTAATCTTTGTCATCAAGATATTTAAAATATGCTACCATGATATCATCATCATTCTTGTGTATTCTAATTTGATTAGTACCATTTTGTACATCTGTTGGTCTATGATCCCACAACTTATTAACACATTCTTCTACGACAAATTTGCATGCAAAACAATACATCAAAGTAGCACTGATATCTGGATTATTTGATAAAAATGCCTTATACGTTTCAGTTTCATCCACCGTTCCGAAAGGCGTCCAGCGTATTTGAGCAACATAGTTTATTATCTCTTTTAATTGTGTGTAAACTTGGTATTTGTTTTCATTCTTAATATACCAGTATCGATCGTAGATTTTTTCTCCAATCTCTCGTATAATATGAGTGAGTTCAATTTTCAGGTAAATTGGTAATATGACATCATCCCATGTGTCTATCAGTACTTTTGTTAATTTACGCCATTCAGCGATATCGTCATAATTATCGTAGTGACTTCCCGAATTAAAAAATTCCACAATTTTATTTTTGACTTCTTTTCTGTTCCAGAAAGTTTGCGCAATCCTTAATGCTGAGATTTCTAACAGATTTAACTTAATTTTGTACGTTGAGTTGGTCATCTCTTCCTAGATACTAGTAATAATGCGAAAATGTATTTATTACACTGCACACAACGTGTTCGCTAGAAAACTATGAAAAATGGACATGCATTGATCCTACAAAACCATGGATCCTCTCCCCACTCTTTCAATCTTGTACGTGTACCTTTCCACCATTTTGAAAATCTTCCGGGAAAACAGTTCCACAAGAAAATCACCGGTGAAATTGAACATTTGAAAATTGGGCCGAAATATAAAGGCGCATTCACATTTCATATCACCACACAGCTGATCCGCATGTGTTGACGTGCAGTTTAGTTTATACGTAAAAATGGCAGTATCTTCAGCGTCTTTGTCAACAAGGAATAAAAAACATTTTCTTGGTGTTCCTGCACCTCTTGGATATGTAGCTGGTGTTGGAAGAGGGTAAATATATTTTCTATTTTCTTTTAAAAATGAAATTTTTGTTATTTATTTAAAAATTTATTATTTAATCGTTAACGTAAGCAAACGCTGTCTTACTCGAATATTTGTTTTTGTATTACAGTGCCACAGGATTTACAACACGTTCGGATATTGGACCTGCTCGTGATGCCAACGACGTTTCGTAAGTTGATATTTTATAATTATATAAACGTATATTATTTTACAATAAGTGTTTATATTGTATTGTAATTAATTACTTATTTTCAGTGATGACCGACATGCACCACCAACCAAACGAGCTAAGAAGAAAGAAGAAGAAGAAGAGGACGAAGAGGATCTTAATGATTCAAATTATGATGAATTCTCAGGATATGGTGGATCTTTATTTAGCAAAGTAAATTACAATTATTTTATGAATTTCTATTTAATGTTAGGACTTGTTAATAATGGTTTATTTTTCTAGGATCCATACGATAAAGACGATGAAGAAGCAGATGCTATTTATGAAGCTATTGATAAACGAATGGACGAAAAGCGAAAGGAATATCGAGAGAAACGGCTGAGAGAAGAACTTGAACGTTATCGACAAGAACGACCTAAAATTCAACAGCAGTTTTCTGATCTAAAAAGAGAACTAGTTAATGTATCTGAAGATGAATGGAGAAATGTTCCAGAAGTTGGTGATGCTCGTAACAGGAGGCAAAGAAACCCTAGAGCAGAGAGATTTACTCCACTTCCTGATTCAGTGTTAGCAAGAAATTTAGGTGGTGAAACATCTACTAGTATTGATCCTTCAAGTGGTTTAGCTTCTATGATGCCAGGAGTAGCAACACCAGGAATGTTGACTCCAACAGGAGATTTAGATCTGCGTAAAATTGGTCAAGCCAGAAACACTTTGATGAATGTAAAATTAAATCAAGTTTCAGATTCTGTAGAAGGTCAAACTGTTGTAGATCCGAAAGGATATCTAACTGATCTCCAAAGCATGATACCAACATATGGTGGGGATATTAATGATATTAAAAAAGCTCGTTTACTCCTCAAATCTGTGCGAGAAACAAATCCAAATCATCCACCAGCTTGGATTGCATCTGCACGTTTAGAAGAAGTTACTGGAAAAGTTCAGGCTGCCAGAAATCTGATTATGAAAGGATGTGAAGTTAATTCAATGTCTGAAGATTTATGGTTGGAAGCAGCTCGACTTCAACCACCAGATACAGCTAAAGCCGTAATTGCTCAATCTGTCAGACATATTCCTACATCTGTGAGAATCTGGATTAAAGCAGCTGATCTTGAGACAGAAACTAAAGCTAAACGAAAGGTATTTCGGAAAGCTTTAGAACATATACCCAATTCTGTAAGACTATGGAAAGCAGCTGTAGAACTTGAAGAACCTGAAGATGCTCGAATTCTTCTTAGTCGAGCAGTTGAATGTTGTCCTACAAGTGTAGATCTTTGGTTAGCTCTTGCAAGATTAGAAACTTATGATAATGCTAGGAAGGTTTTGAACAAAGCTAGAGAAAATATTCCAACTGATCGACAAATCTGGACAACTGCTGCAAAATTAGAAGAAGCTCATGGAAATAAACATATGGTAGAAAAAATTATTGATCGTGCCATTTCATCTTTAAGTGCTAATGGAGTGGAAATTAATAGAGAACATTGGTTCAAAGAAGCTATGGAAGCTGAAAAAGCAGGAGCTGTTCACTGCTGTCAAGTTATAATCAAAGCAATCATTGGTTATGGTGTTGAAGAAGAAGATAGAAAACATACTTGGATGGAAGATGCCGAAACTTGTGCTCAACAAGGCGCATTGGAGTGTGCTCGGGCTGTTTATGCTTATGCTCTTGCTACATTTCCAAGTAGAAAATCTATTTGGTTACGAGCAGCATATTTTGAAAAAACGTATGGTACTAGAGAGTCATTGGAAGCTCTTCTACAACGTGCTGTAGCTCACTGTCCGAAGAGTGAAGTTCTTTGGCTTATGGGTGCTAAATCTAAGTGGCTAGCAGGTGATGTTCCAGCAGCTAGAGGCATTTTATCTCTTGCATTCCAAGCTAATCCTAATTCCGAAGAAATTTGGTTGGCTGCAGTCAAGTTGGAATCTGAAAACTTAGAATACGAAAGAGCTAGACGTCTGCTAGCTAAAGCACGAGCATCAGCACCTACAAGAAGGGTTATGATGAAAAGTGCAAAATTAGAGTGGGCCTTAGATAATTTAGATGTAGCTCTCAATCTCTTGAAAGAGGCTTTAGAAACGTTTGATGATTTTCCCAAACTATGGCTTATGAAAGGTCAAATCGAAGAACAAATGGGTGATTTGGATAAAGCACTTGAGACGTACAATCATGCAATTAAAAAATGCCCAAATTCTATACCTCTTTGGAGATTATTAGCAGATTTGGAACATCGTAAGAACCAAATCACTAAGGCAAGATCAGTTTTAGAGAAAGCACGATTGAAAAATCCCAAAAATGCTGAATTATGGCTTGAAGCAATCAAAAATGAAATGAAACCTGGCGGTACTCGAGATATGGCGAATACGTTGATGGCTAAAGCTTTGCAGGAGTGTCCTAATTCTGGTTTATTGTGGGCTGAAGCTATTTTTATGGAACCTAGACCTCAAAGGAAGACAAAAAGTGTTGATGCTCTAAAAAAATGTGAACATGATCCACATGTTCTTTTAGCTGTATCAAAGTAAGTGTCTATTTTAAGAATTAATTTATGCATGTACTATCCAATATTATTCTAATCGAATTATATTATTTCAGGCTTTTCTGGTGTGAACATAAAATTCCTAAATGCAGAGACTGGTTTAATAAGACTGTAAAAATTGATCCGGATCTTGGTGATGCATGGGCGTATTTTTATAAATTTGAATTACTGAATGGCACTGAAGAACAACAAGAAGAAGTGAAGAAAAGATGTATAGCAGCTGAACCTCATCATGGTGAAAATTGGTGTCGTGTATCAAAAAATATCAAAAATTGGTGTCTCAGTATTGATCAAATATTAGTTCTGGTTGCCAAAGAATTACCGATTCCAATATAGATTATTGATATATTATATATACAAATTTTTATGTATTACACTATCTACATATATATAATTGATATTTATAATTTAGCTAAACAATACATAACGTGTGCTATTTTATTAATAACGTACGTCTGTTTGATTGTTATTTAACTCCATGGATCGTTGTATTAAGGTAAATTCTGTTGAAGAATTTTATACAGGTTGATTAATAAAATTTGATTGTGAAAATTCATTTTAATGCTTTTTTACTCAATTTTTTTATGCGCATGTCTTTCTTAGAATTGATAGAGGGAGTTGATTCGAATCATTCGAATAAACGTCAGTGTTGATTTCTCCTTGAACTTTTATTGTTTGCTTCAGAATTATCATCATTTCTTTTCCATCACATAAAATAAACTAATTAAATAATACTTCTCCCACAAGTTAGTGCATATAAATATTTTTCCAAATTTCCAGAGGATTTTTTAAACAAAGCAGGTATGTTTATGTCAGTAGAGTATATCACATAGGTTAGGTATCTTCATTATAAAAAAAAAATTTATTTAAATTGTTAGATTAATTAATTGTGATTGACAATTAATAAATTAATTAATTCAATCAGAGACTTGATTCAAATTGAGTTTTATCAATCATTAATATTTATATTTAGTAATCGTAATTTGGTGTTGTCAAAATTGGATATTTATGATTCAGGACATTCAATGAATAATAGATCTAATAAAAAGTTTAAATAATAAACTAAGAGTCAAATGTTCATTGTAAAGATGACTTTCACTTTAAAACAATAAAAATTAGTATCACGACAAATATAATGAAAGTGCAAGTAACGACTTAAACTTATATTTACAATGTTTCCGCGATAACTTAAAGACAACACGTATTCCTAAGACAATTTATAGATTGTTTTTCACTTACTTTATTGCAAGTTAACATTAAAAACTAGATATGCAGATGTTGCAATAGGACTCCATACTGTGACGTTACATTTGGAATTATAAAGTATGATAATTGATAGCTTATAAATTTGTTTGTTCTAATCTATGAATAACACATTTATCTACTTTATTATTACTTTTCAAAGTGACTAATAATTATTTTATTTATCGTTTTGACTATTGTACCATATAGGAATGTTCTATAAATTATCAATAATCTTATGTACTTATAGAAACATAAAAATTGTAATAAGAATAATAGTTTATATAATTTTTTCACAGAGAATGTCTTGGTTATTTGGAAAGAAGAAGAAAGACTCACCAACTGAAGTACCTGAGGAAGTATCTGCTGCAACTCAAGATGACTTCATTATGATTGAAAAAAATCATAATCGACAAGATGAAAATCTAGCACAGGGATCTAATTTATATCCATTTCTTGATGATAAACCAACTGGTCCACCAATACCTGTACCAATACCGAAGCATGCCATAATACCAGATAATATTTTAGGTGATTCACAATCATATTTAAATTTGATTCCTTTTAAACTTAAAAAAGAATTTGAATGTGATACCGAAATCAACAGAATTCAAGTTGATGAAATTTTATCTTACATAATACGAGTAACTTCTGAAAATTATGATTATGATTTTACTCTAGAAAATAGTGTCATATCTGAAATGCAATCTACATCAGAATAGTTAATATTTAATTGAAATTATTGGTAATTAATCATCAATTAATATCCTATTAAATATATATATTTTTGTATGTGCCTATGAATTACTCATTATTTTTTTTATTGATATAATTTATCATGTTAGTGAAATATTGTAAAATATATCTAAAATCAAAAATATTAAATACATATTAAACTTACTCATAAATAGAAGCTTTGTATTATGTAAAATTTTTAAGTTAAGGTCGAATAGTACGATTTGGGAGTATTGACCACTTTTTTCATTGAATAGACTGATTTACTTACAACTAGTAAATTTCGTATTAATTAAAAAAAAGATTGTTCTGTAAATATATAAAAATGTTCTTTATCATGCACATTTGTTGCTCATTCACATAAACTTTATAATACTGTTAACAATCTTGGAAAAATAAGTAAAATGCTAGAACTAGAAATGTCAGCTGAAAAATAGCTGGAAAATTACTTGTCATTAGTAAAAAGAAAGTCTAACATAAAAAGACATATTAATTTTAAAAATATTTACTAATTAAACGATGTTAGCACAAGATCATTGCATAACATGTATGGTTTTTAATTAAATAATAATGTCAATAAAGTTCTTATAAATTAAGTTGGTAATTCCTTGAAGAAAAGACTGTTATCCAACGTGAATGCTTGAATGTTTAAATGTAATAAATGCCATCAATAGAAAATTTTACGACGTTTGAAAATAAATATTACGTTTATATACACAAAACACAGAGTATCACAAGGTTAAATTTACACTCAGAAAAGAACTTAATAAATAATGCAAAGAGTTGTGATTATCGTCACTATGATAAAGAATGGTAACCAAGTCTTGATGAATCCTAAACATCTAAAAAAAATCATTTAAAATTATGACTGCTATTGATATACTTGAAATACAAAAAAATATAAGAACCTTACCCAACATATTTCCCATGAACAAGCATAAGAAATGCAAGCTTTACCATATTCCAGCTGGTTGAATTATTATAATGCATAAAATTTAAAGCTGTAGCTACATGTGAATGGCAATTGTCACAGCATAAGTTATGCTAAAAGTTCAGGAAATCAATTCAAGTTGGAATCAATATAGTTCAATAAAATATTTCAAGTTATACCATTCTAGTTTTATATATTTCACTAGCTTCTGCAACAGCACTGTCCCATCCAATTATTCCATCTCTAGCTTTAGAATAATCTAACTGCCAATATTTTGTTGGCTGTCCAAAAGCCATCTGATCCTCGGAGACATGATAAGGTCCAGCAAAATCTCTGATGATACCTAATGAAGTAGCTATGCCCATATGACCAATGAATGGGAAGAACCATCTAGAAGATAAATTTTTCAATGTAGCTATAAAATTTAATAAATCAAGAATTATTGAATTTCTTACGTGAGAAAAGGTATTGGAGTCCAAACAATACAACATGGAAATCTTTTTCTAGCTGGATCAATCATCATATCATTAAAAAATGAACTACTCGAACCAAATGATTTTTGTTCTACAGAGTTATTGCTTTTCATTTTCCTCATTTAACCTAAAACTTGTTTACTCACAACCATGTTTTAAATTTATAATTAAACAGAATTATAAATGATTTTAATTAGAATTTATTTGAAAACAATGTTGTTATTGTACTGCTGTCATTGCTCTTCATGACATATTGTGTCGACAATGTAGGTATTAATTTATATTTACAAATATTTTACTCCATGTCGGTATAAAAGAGTCTAGGATGCGCGAAAATGGAGTATTATTCGAATTACAAAAAAAAATATTAATTCAAATGATAAAAGATTTTCTATCTACGCATCTAGTTAATGACGATAATCAAAACAAATCGAATGGTTTTTCGACTCTCGCATCATTAATTTTAGTTTTTTTAAAAAGATATTTTTATGAAAAATTATGTAAGCAGTTAACAATAAATTGTTTACCACTTTTAACAATTGAACATTTGCAAAAAAAGTCACTATGTATTACATTTAATTATAATTAGTATTTAGAAAATAAAACTGACAATTCTCTTTTAACATTTGGATATTTTTAAAATCTTCGAAACATCAGCTTGTCTGCTGGTACAATTAGCATACTATCATGTAAATCAGTGTCAAACATTTAAATAAAAATTATTTTTTAAAGGAAAAATATTAAATAAAATTCAATAATTAATATTCCAAAAATTTGATGATAAAATACAATAAAAATGTATTTCCTTGTCATTTTGTTTGACCTTCTAAGTACTCAATAATTGTTGAATATATGCAAAAGCAAAACCTACATAAGCTCAAGATACCATAGTAATGCCTCCAAAGTCTGTAATAAGAAAGATACATTACGTGGTCATCACCTAACGAAATTAAACTGGCACATCGGGTTTCCCGATTGCACAGACGGTTCACCTTTTCAAATGAACCTGTTTATTTTACATTATGGTAAGTTTTTGACCTCTGTTTTTAGCTAATCATTTACTTAAATATGCTAATTAAACATACATTAAAAATTTCCAATAGGTATCACATTTAAATAGCCAAATTTTAGTTTATTTATTATATGGTTTACTCTGGTCTGTGCATTGTAATATCATCATAAGAAACGAAGACATCTGTGGTGTGCACAATGGTCGTCGATTATATCTGGAACTGGGAGAAAAGGGTACTTTGTATGCAAAGAACGTGTCATTCATCAAGAATTCACCAAGACAACAGAATTCACGACTGTACATGACTAATAGTTCTCACGATCAGTGTAGCTTGGAGCTCGTGACCTGTCCGTCCTGTGCTATCACCGTGACGTTCAAGAACCTGGCCTTGCCTCATTCATGCGGTGACAGTGGTATGATGATGGACAGTCCATGCAGGTGATATTCTCTAGCTTTGTGACATTTGTCAGCCAAAAAATGTGTAAAAATAACTAATATTAGCACTTGAGGAGTGCTCACTGAATAGCATAACTTCATGTTGATGTTTTAGATGTGATTATGTCTGGATCTCAGAACCACCTTATGAAGATATCTCTGGAACTCCTTACTGTGGCCTTTACAGTCCTATCACGTATCGATCAAGCACTCGAACTGTCTCTATTACATTGTTCTATAGCAAATCACATAAACATGCATTCACCCTTGAATACACTTCAGAAAGTAGGTCTTTAATATCAAAATTATTTGGAGAATTTGTTCTGATTGAATAGAACATTTATGTCTTTTTTATTTGATTTATAGGAAATAAGGTACATTTAAAAGGATGGGATTTGATGAATTCAAAAGGATTTAATAACACAGTTGGTGGAGTTCTTACTTCTCCTTTTTTCCCAGCAAGGTATCCAAGAGATCTAGGTGTTGAATATATCATCACGTGTCCTACAGAGGCACACTCTTGTCGCATTCGAGTACTATTTAGCGATTTTCAACTGGCAACAGTTTCTATCATTGAGGTACTTTACGAAAAAATCGTATTTTATTTGAATAAAAAATTTTAAATACAATTATTAAATTTTTAATTGATTTTTATTTTAGTTTTATGACTGGAATGGACAGCGATTGGATGTTAGCAGTGGTGCACGATTTCGTCCACCAATAATTGTTAGTTCTGGTCCTTCATTGTTGATCAGATTTTATGCTAATGGTGGTACTGGACTTGGATATAAAGCATTTTATTCCTACATCTTAGGAAATAAATATGATAAAACAATCCAACCAATCACAGATTGTGGTGGATACGTAGAAAATTTAGGTGGTACTATTACAATGATGGATATGGTAGTCCAAGGTTTAAAAACATATGACTGTGTTTGGCTTATTAGACCTCCAAAAAATTTTTTACATACAAATACCCACATGTACATTAAAGTTGTTACATTTTCTGATATGGGTAAGTATAATTTAAAGTATATACTTCATACATTTAATTATTGACTCATTCTAACGTCAACAGAACAAATAAAATAGGGATTAAGTAGACTGCTCATTGATCTTTGTTGTCATTAATTTATTCTCATGAGATTTTTTAATTAGGAGATATTTAGCAGGTAATACGGAACTGACTATAAGACAAGGACCAACATCTGCATTGTTGCCATTAGAAGTCATAAGACATCCAACAAATCAACTCCAACCGTTAAGATTGAGAGAACATGTAGCTCCAATCACTAGTGGGTTTCATGTTAGTCTTAGAGGTGTTTTTGGTGTCAATTCCAGGGTTGCAATTGCTTATGCTGCTTTTGGATATATGGGTATTTATATCACAATATATTTTTAATCAATATTCTTTATTGCTCAATTCATAATAATCATGTTTATTCAATGATTAACTTAAATTTTCAATAGATTGTTTCTCTGGATCGGATTTTCTTTGTCAAAACCATCGATGCATTCAAAGCCAATTGAATTGTGATGGATTTGATCACTGTGGTGATAATAGTGATGAACCAGCATCTTGTTTTAGAGGTATTGTATTCTTTCTTTTTTATGCTGATGCATTATTTAAATTCCTTGACATTTAATTGCTAAATAAAAACAACAATTAAAATTAACATATTTTTTTGTTATTATATAGATTGGGATATAGAACCTAGAAATGGCAAATGGCACGCAAACAAAGCCAATTATTATTTTCCAAAAATTGATCGATATCCAGACTTAAAAACTGCAACATTAGTATTTGTTGCAAGTAGTCTAGGTCTTATAATTCTCATTTCCGCCTTGATAGTTTTATTATATAGAATGGGAGCAAGATCACGGCAACAAAGAGAACTTCAATCTCGATTGCAGACGATCAGTGAATTGTTAGGTACGTTATACAAGTAGCATTGCAGGACAGGGTCCTAGTAGTTGAAATTCATTTCACCCTCAGATCGGACAGTCTTCGATATTGCAGATGGTGGAAGAATTGATGAAATAACTGTTCATGATGAACCACCTGTTTATGAAGCTCCTCCAGGCTATGATGAAGTAATAAAAATTGGATTTGAGAATGAAGGGTTTCGAAAAAAAAAGAAACGTGCTCCTAGACAAGAACTAGGACATCATAGTTCTTCCAATCAAAGATCGTAAATTTTGATGATTAATGATATGAATATATTAAAACCTAAATAATAAGCATGACTTAATAAAAATTTTAATTTTTGTTGATAGTCTAGACTTAGGTACAACTTCACAACCAAGGGTCGATTCTATCGATATAAACAGAAATCATGAGAACAATTCTGTTGTAATACCAACTAGTGACTCTAATTCAGTTATTCCTCAAAGCCCACCTCCACCTTACATAACACCTTCTGAAAGTGTTCTTGAAAATTTTGGAGTTCTTCCATTATGTCGACATAATGTTACCCGTATGTATTGTATTTATTAGACCCATTGTATTTATATATTTTTTTTTATCTTTATCTCGTTATGTCATGAAAAATTGTTTTAGGTACATCGGTACCAGTAAGTGCTAGAGGTGAAAGAGTTAGACGAGCTTGGCGGCAAAATAGTGAACATCGACGTTCTTTCCCTTGTTCGGATGAATCCAATATCATCTATTTGAATGCATCTGTTGATTTTGAAACTATTAGTTCATATCTTCGGCATTACACTTCAAGGCCAAGTACATCTAGTGATACTTTTGAAGCAAATATTAAAATTTTGCAAGACCCAGACAGTAGTATGAGGCAAAGATTTATTGAAAACTTGAGAAGTGAAGAATCTACAGAGTCTTCAAGAAGTAGTGACCAACAAGATCAACAAGAAGCCCATCATATTAATTGCACTTGTGAAGGAGCTTGTGGGTGTGCTAATGAAATACAAGAGCCAGAAGTTAAATCTGAAGAATACTGTCCTAAACAAACGATTCTTAAATTATTTAAATCAAGTAAACCTAACTTGCAAAATTTTAACTATACAACTTTATCAACAACTCCTTCAATAAAAATTTTGCCATCAGATGAGTTGGCAGAACCTAGAACAATTTCAGCTTGCTCTGGTGAAGCGCATTATTCTCGTAAGACCTCTCTAAGTACTTGCTGTACTCCTGATGTATTTGAAATTATGTCGATAGCATCAGCAACTCATGCAACCTCTGATAATGTCAGTGATTCGTCGAATTCGCCAATATTTTCTCCTATACACGATGCGAGAAGTGCAATTGATATTTTCCGAGATGGAAATGTTAGAAGTCGTCAGCGATTAAGGAAATATATCAGTTATGATGCAGAAAACTTTTATGAGAGTCTCAAGAATATAGATAATTTCATAGCTAGACGAAATATTCAGCATAATCGATCAAAAAGTATGTCAGCTACTGCGTCACTTTTTGGAACACCTACATTCTCAAGACGTAGATATCATGGGAAAAATCAAGCTGGATTATTCGATTGTGTGCGTGGTTGGAAATCTAATGATGATACTCTTTCAAGTTGAGTTTCATTAATTATCATAAACTGTTCTAGTCAGTTTTCTCCTTTTTTTTCAAATTTATTGAAGTTCTTTCAAAGATACTTCCAACTTTGTACGATGAGAAATTAGCAAAAATTTCTTTTTTGATTTGAGTTTTGAAACTTCTCAGCAATAAAATGTTTGAATCCAGCAGTTATATTGTATCCGTTAGATAACATGTCAAAACCTGTTTTGTTAAGAAAAGATAGCTCGCGTTCTTGCAGTGAATTTGGTAAATTAAGATATACGAAACACAATAAATTTAACGTCGCAACACATAATCTTCAATGTTATCTTCAAGCGAATAGAGACGTGTTTCGTACAAGATTATTTACAAATTCTAAGAGCTGAAAGAAGAATAATTACAATAAACCTTTACATCAGATTAATTTATGAACGAAAGCTCTTACAATTTTTGCGAAGAATTTATTTATCACTTGAGATGGATGAATTTTATTTTCTTTTAATCAATGAAACCAATTTAATTTACAATTTCATTCATCTGAAATCAAAAATGCAACTTGTAAGTGATTTATTGATCGTTCTTGTTAAACTGTACTAAAATAAATAAATTGGAAATACAAAATTAAATTATGCCTATTAATAATTTCAATTCGACATTTTAGACTTGGTAATGTTCTCAACATAAATTCCATTTCATTAACATCGTATGCTAATTTAACAAGGTGTGCTCCAAGGGTTCAAAAAATCCTTCAACTTCATTTTCTTGGAATTGATATCATTATAATTAAATCAATTTATAACTAAGTTTTCAGAAAATTTATGCATGCAGCATCATTATAATCACGGAAGTAAAAATCTCGTTTGAAATTTGCAACTATTGTTGAATTATATAATTACCTTTTCAACATACTTCGTTAATCATCACAAGAGTTTATGTATTCATAAACCATCTATTAACCAATTGCAATTCTACACTTCAATAATTTAAATGGAAGAAATGCAATTTATTTACATGCATTTCTTGATGATGATTCAAAAAATTATGTCTACTTAACATAATTAATTATAGCTGATTACTAATTTAAAAAATTGCGATGAAAAACGAAAGAATAATTTTTATCTTTACAAAGCTAATAGAAATAAAAACTTTTACAGGATCAGACTTAACCTCCAATTGTTATGACAACAATGTTTTTTGTTGCATGCACAATTTGTATAAAGCAATTCAGAACAAGGTATTCACCTTCATTTATTATTTATGATAAATAGTAAACATGGAACAAAGAAAATATGACTCCGTATTGTGTTACACAATAATTTTTAATAGTTAAAAACTATTCTCATAAAAATAATTTAAAACATTATTGATATTTGTGAACACAATATGGGCTACTGTGCAAAGCTTTTGCATTGAGAGGTTTGTCTAGTAATCAGTACTGTAGTCACACGAATTATTAATTTTTATAAATTTATTTATATCAATTTGATTTCCGGTAGCCATGTGAACAGATGTGATTGCAAGAAAGCAGAGTGTTTAACCAATTCAAAATAGTTTTGAAATTGAATAGTTATTGTGCAGCATAGATGGAAATTCATTTTTCATGATAACTATTTCATGGATTAAATTTTAAGTGAAGAATTTGTATCTTTGCTTTTAAAATAATCCATTAGTGTGAGAAAATATTTAGATTGGAAAATAAACAATTATGATTAGAATAATATTTACGATGCCACAAGTTCTCTATTCGTGTTTAATATATATTATGTTATATGATAATTAACATATTTGATGATAATAATTCTACGTCCTACACATTTATTCGTCATGAATTATTGCTTTACTTGTAGATTTTTTTTTACTCTTCAAATCTTTTCATTTGGTTAGAAAGTATCTTTCGTGATTTATTAAGGTATGAAATCGAATCATTTCTTTTTTTTCAATTATGTATTGAATTAAATAATTAATCTCAAAGAAATCATGGTATTAACTTAGATGTACCAGCATTTAGTAGATAAGAAATTATAGTTCTTCATTATTTTAGTAATTTATAATACAAAATTTAAAAAAGATTATGAATTGTTTTGTTATTTAACCAAGTAAACATGAAATTATTAAAATTGTTTTTAACTTAAGTAAATGAAAAATTACCATAATGAACAAATACCCAATCTATTATAAATAGTTTGAAGAATAATTGTCTTTCTATTTAAATTTTATAATATAATAAAAAATTTTTTATAAGCTGAAGGATAAACTTAATGATAATTCTGTCAATAATAAGTTGAAATGAATTTTTTGTAAATAATTTATTCTATGCTATGCATAATAAGTGTCAGATTTTAAAGGAAAAGGTTTCGATGCCAACACGCGTAATGCACAAGAGTGATGCTATACTAAATGATTGACAAGTAAATTATGGTTTTTCATTAAATAATATGCAATTACACGAACGCGAATGTTTGGATTGATAGCCAATAATTATGACCATCAGAGTAGCTATCAGTTTTGTAAACATCTAGACTTTTTTCATTTTTAAATTAAGTTAATTTTCCAAATGCTGAAATTTTATTAATAAGCAATATTATTACTATTCCATAATAATTGTGTTAATTATCTTTGTCACTTTAAAAAGACCTAGAGTTGCAACAGAAAAAATATATATGACCATGATGATATTCATAACTGATCCAAGATCATGACATCTAATAATAAAAATCATGATGACAATGTAGGCATTGAAAACTAATTATTCTTTCATTGAAATTGGCATTGCTTAAGATAATTGTGCTGATACGAAAAATAAAGTACATCATGAAAAATGATTATAAAATAAATCTTGATTAATTTAACATCCCTGGATTTAATAAATTTATGAATCTTCGATCATAATATCCAAGATCTTGATAGTATTTCATCATAGTTCTGAGGATATAGTCCTTCAAAGTTACAGAAGATGAAGTGACTTAATATTAATTGCAGAATAAGACGTCTTTATACATTACATGATAATTTAATAATAGATGAGTAATGCAAGTTCAAAAATAAAGATAGCATAACAGAAAAACTGAACTTTACGTAAAATACAAGTGACATTAAAAACAGCTTATTCTGACTTGATTTGAATTAAGTATGATGTAATCCTATAAATAAACCAGGCGATTTGGACGCCAAAGGTTGCTACATGTATAAAAGTAATGTGAAATTCTCAGCCCATCCGAAGATTGTGTAATATGGCATCTCGATCACGCAAATTTTATTTAAAAATTCTCCAGTGATGATAATAAAAGTTGAAAAATGTTTCCACCTCGAAGCCTATATTTATATTTAAACATTTAAACAAACAAGCTATTATTTAATTATGTGTAAACTGAGAAATTTTCTTGCACTTCACCGTTTATTTGAATAATTATTTTTTTTTGTAAAATAAAACATGAAATTCTGTTGAAAACAACACGAGTAGAGATTCTGCTAACCTTCTCAACTTATGAGATCCTGAGGCAGAGAACTAATAATTAGATGAGATGGAGATGAAGACTGTTCAGTGCTACGCATGAAGTACATTATTTTATAGCTTTGATAAGAATCGAAAAGATCGTGCCGATCAATTGATGGTTGTTAAAAGGATTTTGCAAACATCTGCCCTGACTATTTTCGTAATTGGCTAGATGAGTATGGGAATAAAAGTTTACTGGAGATGGTTTGATTATAATCAATTGCGAAAATATATAGTCGTGTTTTTTTTTCTTTATAAAATGCTAATATCCTATTATTTAGTGCTTTAAAAATACATAAATCATAATTTATAAGTCAAATTATCTTAAAAGAAATTTTTTAAATTAAAAACTAAACTTATTAGAATTTATAACCATTTTTATGACTTTTAGGAAAATTGTGTGAAAAGCTAACAATAATGCTGAATACAAAACACCTGAGAAATTTAAATGTATAAATTATTTACAATTAACATGGAAAAAGTATTCTATTACTGTAACAGAATGAAATTTTATGAATGAAAATATTTTTCTTTTTTTTCAACAAGTAAAGAAACTTACTAACAATAATTAATATATTTATTTTATTCAATATTTATATTTATATTTAATTCTTTATTATAAAGATCGTCTTAAGTTTCATTTTATGATCGAGAGATACATTATTTATTAGTAGCACAACATATATTTATTTTACTGTATAATAAAAATTATTTATTGATTATAAATGAATGAATTAATTATAAATTTATTATTAATTTTCATGACTTTTGTTGTTTATTGATAACGGTTGATTCCAATAATTGTCATGTTATTGAATTAAATAAAATAATTTAATACTCCAAAATGATATTCACTTACAATTGCAACAATTAATGACCGTATAACGTCAATATCCATTAATTCATTTTCAAAGAGCATGTTGGTGACTGTAATACAGCATCGAAAATATAATCCATAAATTAAACCCAGCATGAAGTAAGAGTTAATACGTATTACTTGCATTAAATATATAAGTAACACCCATGGATAAATTCACATGTTTTTTTTATCAAATATTCCGCAGGGATGGTCACATAAAGCAACCGAATCAGAAAGAAAGTCAATCAATAGTGGTATAATCTTATATAAACAGAAGAAGCCGCTGAAGAAGATTAAAATTGGAAAGTGTAAGAAAAAAGTGATAGGATAAGCCCTTCACTTGTAACATTATCTCTTGAGCATTTATCAGTGTCTTGTCATTACTGCTTAAAACGAATGAAAGTTTGTTGAAATAATTTACTAAAGTTACATTTGGGCTTTAATACGATATTTATCTTGGTCTTTGAATTTACTCCAACCTACTTCCTGCTCATCAAATGATAATATTTTTTTTTACATCAAGGAATGATGATTATTTTTATAACGACAACTTTAGAAGATAAAATGGCAAATGAATAAAAAAATTAATTAATCAATTAGGCAAATTTAAGTCTATTTTGGTGATTATGTAACAAAGAAGGTCTTGGTGACAGGAGAATATTTTAATGTCGACAGCTCCTGAAAACTGCTCTTGAAATATTACACGTGTATCAGTGTGAAATCATGTAGGAAATGACCTTTCTATGAATTAAAAAATTTTTTTTACAACCTTGAAACTCCATTAAATAACAGGATCATAATTTAAAGCATAATCCAAATTTAGCATTAATTGTCTTAAAGAGAAAAAAAATTTCTTTCGAATAATTTCTCTTGGTTTTTAGATATTTACTTAAGACATTCTGAAATAGAATTCATTCATATTCAAAAAAAAATAAATGATGAGAATAATGTATGATTAACAAAATAATTAATGAAAATTTTAAAAAATGAAGCTCATCATTAGAAGTTACAAATTCTTCAACAAGTTTCTAATTTCACGCCTTTAAACCTAGCCTAGTCGCGAAAGATATTATGTGCAAATCGAGTTCAACATGCAGATCGAGGCTGGCATTGTCACATCCTGTCGATTTAGTAAGAAGAATTCTATAACGATGTTGTAACATCTAATGTATTGGCTGAAAAAATCTTTTTCTCTGTAATGTCTAAACTTTCTCACTCTTTCATTGTAATTTCTATTATCTAACTTGAATAAATTCGTCGAGATAGTAATAAATTTTTTCTTTCTACATGTACATATACTTTTTAATAACTTTTTTCGGTAAAGTTCTAAAGAATGTCATAGGTCTTTCATAAAATTTTTGAAAGTAGAGAAAAGAAGAGTTGTATTAAAGGATAGGAGATGCATACAAACTGTCGTAATATTAAGAAAATTATGCATAAGAAGGCGTCGACTCTCTATGGAACTTTCGTTTTTTTGAGTGTTAATGGTTGCTACAATAATGATGCTGCTTATGTCATTATCATTCTTAGCTTAATCAATTATTGTTACCAATTTATATGTAATGAAAGCTGAGCTAAAACAGAAAAGAAAAATGATGAAAATATATTTGCTAATTAAATAAATGAATTTGTTTAATTTATTTATTAATTTGGCATAAAGAGTTAGCTAGTAACTTCTTGATAATTATAAATGCACAAGAATTGCAGTTAATGGATACTTGCAATAATTTATTACATGTTGGTAAGAACTAATAAGAAGCAAACTTATCAGATTAATGAATTATACAATTTTACTCTATTATTTGCAATTAGCTATTCATAATTAGAAAGATTTTTTTAGATAAAAAAAATAATGAGTTTCATAGGAGGCGATGATGATGAGAGAATAACACAAATTTTAAATTAGAAATTGTTTGATAAAGATGGTAAGCTTAGTGCAAATAGAATTGTTTTGAATATTTCATTAAAATAAGGTAGAAAGAAAGTTAAAAATAAAAAATAGTCTTTTATGTATGGAGAAGTTCTTTGAATTTTAGGATTGATTTAATAGAAAATAAGAAATGATATCCCTTCAATTAAATTTCTCTTTTTCACCTAGAAGAGAGTGCAGTAACATTTAAAAATAATTATTATAAATAGTTCTATTAATCAAGAATATTATCCATTCATGAAACATTATGGTGTCAATAAGTATAGTATTCAAGAAATCAGGCAAAAGATGATGTTGAATAAAAATTAATATTTAAAATGCTTACTATTACGTAACATCATCATCATCTAGAGGATTCTAAAGGTTATGGTAATATAAATTTCGGTAAAGCTCCCACTCTTGTATTTTTTCGATCTTTTTTTTGTGGCTATAGAGATGAAATCTAAGAGGTGGGGCCGATGGTCCAGTATAAATATTCCGAAGATTCAACTATGAATCAAACAATTTTTCAGACGTACTTCAACTTGTTTAGTTGACTAGTCGCTTCATCCGTAAAAATGAAAACCATTGTGAGTTATATATTTTTGTTGGATTTTATCTTATTGATTTTATATTGAAAAAAGTGCTTTATTATCAAAACGAAAAAAAATACTTATCTTTATAGATCATTTGTTTGGGTGTTATCGCCGCCGTTTCTGCTCAATTCCATCCGGAACAGCAACCTGTTGCCATTCTACGTCAGTCATCAGATGTATCGCCAGATGGTTCTTATCAATACAGTTACGAAACTGAGAATGGAATCCAAGTTGCAGAAAATGGACAACCTGGACCATTGAATGAAGAAGGTGCACCTGCTGTTGTTGCTCAAGGACAATACTCTTACACTGGTGATGATGGACAAGTATACTCTGTCTCTTATGTCGCTGATGAAAATGGATTCCGTCCCCAAGGTGCTCATCTTCCTGTAGCTCCTCCAGTACCTGAAGCTATTGCTCGTGCTCTTGAGTACATCCGTTCACATCCCTCTGTTGAACAATAATTTATCAGATTAAATGTCTAAATTATCTTCTATCTTTTGTAAAAACGTTTAGGAAAAAAAAATAAAATTTATTTTTAAAAAGTAGTCAATTTATTTTTATTTATTTATTGGGAATGAGGGGAAATTCCAACAAGTGTTTAAGAAAGTGTTGAAAAAAAAGAAATCGTAGTGGTGGTAAAATATGAATGATGGTCTTGGATTTCTAGTAAGCAAATTTATCTACATGGTGAACTTCGAAATATACTAAAATTATAAACGACTGATAATTTTCAAGGACATCAAGTTTTATCGAAAACTGGTAAACACCTTGATGATCCTTGGCACATATATCATTCTATTTAGGTGTTGATCATTTTAACTAAATATCTATATCATCTTTTCATTCTTTATAATTTCAAAAAAGTTAACTATTTATTCCTTAAAACCAGTTTAAAAATAATTGATTAAATATTTAAATTATTTTTTAATTGGAAAAAAATAATACTTACTGATTTTGCATATTTATTTAATAAATGAAATACATCAAAACGAGTATTGCTCAACATTTTTATACCTTTGTTTGAAAAAGGTAAATATCATTTATTTTATAACTTTTTAATTCAATTATATAAATTTATTTTCACACAAATGAATGAAAATGATGATACTCAATAGTGTTTATTGATTTTCCGTGGGTATCAAATAAAACATAATTGCAAACAATTCAGCCTACAGACGTTTTTTCTAAAAGAAACAATGAGGATCTTATGAATTCTTAATGTCTTACACATGTCATTCCACACATATTTAGAGTCAATTGGTATGGGAAATTTCTACTTTCAACTCGTACAGAAATATTGTACTAGATTCCAGTTTGTTCCGCCTACAGGACTTGGATGATTAGAACATGAAGATGTATCTCCTGTGTATTTACACATCAGGATACACTCATCATTAATCAATTTATGCGTAAAGCTGAATTAAGTAAATAACTTTTTATTATTTCCTGAAAAAAAAATTCTTTCTCCATAAATTTCAATAATGACACATGATTTGAGATAAATACGAAGTTGATACTTATTTTTTCTTTTACTTCATTATCTAATATTATTCAAATACTTGGAGCCAAAAACATCAATGATTATGTAAAAATGAAATCAGGATTATTCTAAAGCTTTCCAAATTTCTAATTTTCTATTTATTTACTTAACTTAGTTTTTTTTTAATTAAATTAAATTATTTTGTTTTTTACTTGCATTTCAATCAATTTATTTAATAGTAAAGTATTTATCGAATCATTCAATAAATATGCATTGTTAATAAGACAATATGATTGATAAATTAACAAGAACAAATAAAACGAAAAATTGATCAACAATGAACTTTAAACAAGCTATTACATCTTCTGTCGAATGCCACATTAAAGTATCTTTCTCAGCAAAGTCATTTCATTTGTTATCCAGTTTGAACTAAAGAAGTCGATTTATTATAAAGAATAGATTCAGTAAAGGATCATTGATAATTCTATTTTTCTTATAATTATAGTTTTCATTTTAATGGCATACAAGGGAGGGTAACGTTCGTCTATTGAGTAATATGAACATTGCTAGGAGGTTACTCTTAGCCGTTATTATGCCTTTTACACTTACCCCGCCTCATCATCGTTCTCATCATAATCTTCCACATGCAAGGAGTACATGCCCAGAAAGAAAAGAAAACAAATTTTAATGTCAAGACATCTTTTGTTGATTCAACATAGTATTGTAATATCTTTGTGTTCAAAGTTTGCATGGTCCGGCCCCTATTTGCAATAGGGCTAACAAGACATAGAATTTGATTGAGGCAATCTTGGATAAAAATTAGGTCGAATTCCATGAACCGTGAGTCTTGGTCGCTATTTGCTTAAGACCGGATGTATGGATTAGGAGCCGAAACAGAGATCCAAGTCGCATCTTTGGAGTAGAAGTTTCACTATCCTGAAATTCACAAAACAAAAAATTAGTCTGCTTTATATATCCCGGAAGCTTGAGCTAATGTTTTGTTTCAACAGTTGAATCGGACTTGATACCAAGCACAATTGTACAATTCGAGGCTTATAGTAAACTTTCCCTACCTCAACGTCTCTTAGGAAAGACAATGGTTGTGTGATTATATCTTAAGTGTGTATACGTAGCGTCATTAACATCATCTATAAATAGCAGTATCCTTCATAAAAAAAAACAATTTGTAAATAATAATAATTATCAGTACCATGCATAAATAATACTCAAAAAATTATAACACCTCGTTAACAAAAGGTCACGTCAATAAGTTCATTAAGGAAAGTTTATTTACGATCAGAAAAGCGTACATCCTTTTCCATGTATTTAATAACGATATTAAAGTTATCAGATTTATAATTATTAAAATACTTTTTGACATTATTATTACTCAAGCATTATTGTTCGACTGTGATGTAGTAATAAGGAACAAAGATATTGGATTCCTCTTAGTGTATGTAATTAATGAAAAGAACACGCCCTTTGATTAACCATAATCGATTCAAATCTATTCTAGATGAATTGTAACCTACAATTGTGATGATGATGAAGGGGTCAAATGGAGGAAAACCCTTGGAACGTTAATAAAGTTGAATTGGATATTTTATGCAGGCTTCATAAAGTCTCGGTACCACCTACCGACCTGCTTACGTCCACATGTCCTTACTGTGTGTACACCCCACTTTGAATTACGTGCTAAAGTCCGACCTTCCACACATCCCCACCTAATAACGTAATCGAACCACCAAGAAAGAAGATGCTGTCTGTACCCTGATCGGTATAAATTCCCTGCAAGAACCCAGCACGAGGGTACTTGATTCACGGTAGCTACAGTTTTGTATTGTCTAACGTTAGTTTTTGGTACGAAAGTCCAAATTTTATTTTTCTGGAAACTACAGTTATCAACAGATTTTTTCAGCATGCGGATTCTTGTGAGTGAATTTTTTCTGGGATTTTATTTAACTTTGGCTTTAATTATTTCTTGAACTTGAATTGTTAGTCATTTACCTGAAATCAAAATTAAAATCATCATTAAATTTTGTCATTGAATGAAAATAAAAGTTGGTAAATTAAAAATGATGATGTTGACTTAATTTTTTTTAATATTATTGAAATAGTTTAGTCATAATTGCAAGAGTTATTTTTGCTATTAAAAAAAGTCCATCATGTGAAGGTTTTTAGTTTTATTTAGTTATAAAATATTATATAGTTTATTTAGATTAGAATGCGAATAAATTAAAATTTTATTTACTATGCAGATAGCAATGTTGAGCTTGGCGACCCTAGCTCACACACAGTTCAAGTATCCCCAATACAGCCCAGATTATTACGGTCGACGTTGGGCAATTTTACGGCAGAGTCATAATCAAGACATTGATGGTACTTATGCGTACAGGTAATTAGATAAATCATTCTAATAAAAAGAAGTTTCTTACCCTTATTCAATTGATTAACAACACCAATCATGCACCAATCAGTTCATCCACTAAATTTTCACCAAAAAAACCCCACTAACTTATTTTGGAACACTATTAATTATTAATTTTGGAGTGAATAATTATTAAACAAAAACTTTTAAATATATTGAAAAAAAAGGTGTTTGATGAATCAAATAGGTTGATTGTCCACTGATTTATCAACAATTGATTGTATTAGATCTATTGTCTACAACATCACGACATTTGACAACAACTAAAATCTCTTAATTACTGAGAAAAACAAATAATTTAACTATTTAAATAAATTATCCATCAATTAAATGACTATTTGCTACCGCCAAGAGTACACAACATGAGTCAAGTCAATTTGTCTTGTAGGTTGTAAGGTGTGAAACTCGTGTCGGAGTACAATCTGAGTCTCGCGACTCTTGTTGGAAAGTGATGAATGAAGTGTCATTCTTACATAGACAAAGTATAGTCTTCCTAGGATGATTAATGGGCTATTGAATATATCTTAACATTGCAACATTATAGTTTTTTCTTTATAAAATATTTTTTCATAATTCAGCTTATTATTTTATTATTATTATGGGAAAATATTTTCTTTCATCACCAACCCATTATATTTTTATGAATCAAATAACAATCAGGATGTTTATATTACAATCATTCAGTTATTATAAAATATTTGATATTGAGGATATTGATGGTCGTAACAAAGTAAAATAATAAAAAAAAAATAGTGAATTGTGGAAACTAGGATTAACATCAAGCGTAAAATAATTAACACTGATGTTAATCATCACCTGAAGCGTTAGCATATTATATTACATAATGTAATCAGTAGAGTTATATACGTAAACACGAAATTATACACTGAGAAAAATAATTAATTTCTACAAAAATTTTTTTTTACCTATGAATATTCATTCTGAACAAGTTTGTATTATCTATGACATGATAAAATTTAATTTGCAGAATATTTATTTACTCCAAAAATATTTCGCATCAATCTATCGTTATTGCTTATTAAAATTCCTTTTTTTTTTTAATATTTCTACTCTTATTGCTCTCCAGGATATTTCCATTGTATTATTTTCTAAAAAAGCTAGTAAATTAGACAATTAGAATTGATTTAATTGGATTTTTAAATTATACATCTAGATAAGGAATTGATTGCTATTAAAGATACGTCTTTCTGTGAGTTTTATTAATTGGTGGGAACTTGAAACGATTCTTGGTATTTTAAATAAAAAATAACTTGGTTCCGTTTCTAAAAAATTTTTCATAAAATGTTTGTAGCAACCAATTTCTTATAACCAATCATATTAAGATGAATCTTATCACAGTAAATTATTATTATTTATTTAATTGTTAATTTACTTACTATTTAATGTGAAATCATTGTTAAATAGTAATCCATTCATTTATTTAGTTACGATACGGAGAACGGGATTTCGGTAGCAGAGCAAGGTGCTCCAAAAAATCTTGGTCTAGGAGGTCAAGCAGAAGTAGTAAGAGGTCAATACAGCTACACCGCACCTGATGGTACACCGATCTTGGTATCTTACACAGCGGATGAGAATGGATTTCAGGCGACTGGTGCTCACCTTCCTACACCACCACCAATACCAGTAGAAATCCAACGGGCCTTGGCTCATAATGCAGCACATCCTGAAGAAGAGGAACCATATAATAAAAGATACTATGGCGTAGCCAAGTAAACAATAAAAAATCGCATTCTCTGACGTCAACATATTGCCTTTGTAAACCTAGACTAAAAGAAATTTACAATCAAACTTTGGTCCTGTTAATAATTTATTACCAGGAAAACAGTCAATTCTAAGAATAATTAAGATTCAAACCCGGAATAGGAAGAGTACGAATTAAATACAACTCAAGAAATTACCTTTTCTCATGTGGATAAATGGACAATTATCAATTGGGCACTCAAATATAAACTAGAATTTTCATACTCTATTCTTAAAACAATTTTTCTCGTTTATATCTGAGTGCTTGTTGTCTATTAATGGCTATATCCAGCCGTGAATGAAAATTGGATTGATTCGTAATCTTGATGTTTGATTTCTCCGTATCGCTTTCATATCGAAACTATAACCTAAAAAGACCACTTGCTATATCGATGTATCGATAATCTGATGTAATCGCCGTCATATAAGATTGGTTTTTGTTTTGATTACTACTGCATAATATTCCATGTACCACCTTATTTCGAAAAAATGCCAGTTTAATTCTACTTACATTGTTTAATAAGTACTTGCATAGAATGAACAAAAAAAATGCTAATATTGTGGTACATATTATCATGAAACATACTAGCAAGCAACAATAAAAAATGGTTTATTCTAACAAATGTTGTAAATTTGATTTCATTACATCATTTAAATTATTCATACTTTTATACATCCTAAAAGCTATTAATGGTAAATCAATCTGTTCATTATAAATATTACATATCTATGTTAAATAATTAGAATGGTATAATACATGAGAGGAATAAAGATTTAGCAGTGCGTATGTCATTTGTAATGAAGGTGAATATTTATTGATACTAAAGATGCGGCATTACTTATATTCGAACGGTCATCGGTGAAGTTTATGATGTACTTTCACTATATTACCTTTAATGTAATATTGCGATCATCATTAGCTGTTATAATCTTTAATGATATTTAAAATACTCAAAAACTAATTTTAATCATAATAAATTTGTTTATTCTTTCAATTAAAGTCAACGGCCATCATCAATCCATTTTTAATTATTTTTTATTGACAATATTTCGATTTTGGTTAATATTAAAAAAAAAAAACTGTTGAAGATTAAATAAAAGATTTATGATGTCTGCTATTTTTGTTCCATCTCTTACATCTAGCTTTTATAAAAATGTCAATATTATTGTCACAAATATTTTTATTTTTTAGATCAAACAACTAATTTGGTGAAATTGTTTAAAAAAACACTTTAATATGTATCGTTTTTTCAAAAAAGTAAGTGAGATGAGGATTTTTATGTAATAGTAATAAATTACGTTATTATAATTAAATTTTTCTTAAAAAAAAATTGAAGTATATATAACACTTCAAAGCTAATTGTTTAATTTTTTTTTAGGAGCTATTGGCTTTTACATTGTCGGTGTGTCTGTTAAACATTCTAAAGAAATGACACGAATGATCAATTATTCGAAAGATTATCAGATTTGTTGAACAACTGCCAATAACAAATAAATTATACCTCTTACTCTTATAGTAGCTTGACAATAGAATAAAGAGAATTAAATTATAGTTATTGATAAAGATTATAGTTCACAAGATAATCATATAAACAAACGATGAACATATGAAACATCTATTAAAAAATATAGACATGTATGAGATGAAGTATTAAAAATGGATACAATTTATATCAAGAATTTCAAATGTTCTGAGATTTTAAATTTATGTGCAATTGTACATAGCACCTATTTTATTTTTACAAGTTGATTTAATAATTTAACAATAAATTAAGGAGTAATAATTAACTTTTTGATTAGTTAATTAATTTCAGTACTATATTACAAACTCCGCTGATAATAAATATACTTCTTATCATCAATAAAAATTAAATGTACTCCTGACATTTGCCAGGATATTTTTATTTAGATAAAGAACTTAAGCAGATGGAACAAAAGGTACGTTGCATTCCAACCTGATTCCGTAATCTGTGCTAGCAAAGAAATATCTTGACAGGACGAAGTATCTTATTGTAAATTAGACTGCATCATCTATCAACCACGCCTATTGTCTAACAATAAAAATACATTGTAACATAATGACCTAGATCCTCTGCTGAGTAATTTTATGACTATGACCTCTTCGAAGTATTTTAAATTGGAAAAAAATTATGGCGATGATTGCTTTTCATGGAGATTTGTTCGAGTGATAAAAAAGCAATTGGATCGGGTTGAAGATTTTAATTATGGATGAATTGATGAAATATCTAGATGAATATTTATGAACATCTTTCAGTGATATCTTTATTGGAGTATAATAAGAAGAATTGCAAAAGTGATATTGAAATTCGATTATTTGTTATTCATATTTAAACTTTAAAAAATAGAAAATTGTCTTAAAAGTCAGGAAATAATTCTGAGCAAGAAAAGTTTGTCAAGTTTCACTCACGAAATGTTTTGCTTGCTGAATTTTTGCAAGTGTCATTTTTTCGTGACGATAGACAGCGACTAGACAAATGTCAATCTTCATCTCTGGTAAGGTAAGATTACATTCTATCATCCTAACACTCATTATCTCACTCCATTCTCTTTTGACAAACGATCCTATTTAAGTTAAATTCCAATTCAAGTATCAACATATTTCAAACCTTATTATCATTCACTAGATTATTTTTATAATTTATAAAAACTTGTCTTTTAAAAAATTTGAACTTTAAAAAGCCATTGTTGGAATAGAATTTTTAATATAAAGTTCAATTTTATTTTTACTTTTCACTCCAAATGATATAGTATTTATTAATGAATTTCTTTCAAATGTGTGGTCATCATATTAGGATGAGCTGACTTACTTTTGATAATATAAATCATCATCCCACCATTTATTACTTTCATTTAGATTTAATCATTAAATAACTACGAGAAAGGCTGATCTTTAATTGCATTAAATTTTAATTCATCTTTCCCTCAGGTGTTCCTAGATATTTATGTTATAACAGAAGAAATGATACGAAAAGTGATTACTAAATTTTTGTTAGGTGGTATACATTTAAAAAATTTAATTAAAGAAGAGGATTTTATGATTTATAGATCTATCAGTTTTCATCACAGTGGCAATTAGTCCTGTTTGACTTGAGGAAAGGTAATATCGATGCAATAAGTTTATTATCAATCACATTTACACTCTTCTACAAGGCTGAAAGTACTCGTCGGTTGGTAATAAATGGACACCATCTGTATAGTACCTTTTTTTAAATTCAAAAGGATGCGCTCTTTCCCATTTATTGAAATCTTTTTATCCGTTGATTGTTATCGAGGAACTCCCAATGAATGCAAAAATATTCTTCATAATTTTTTTCATCAAGTCTCAATGGGTGTGGAGGGTTGGGCTGAATAGCAAAAAATGAATAATAGAATTAAAAATAAATTATCATAATAATGCAATACCAAGCTAATTTCTCAAGCATCAATAGAATAAATTCTTCTTCATCTATTTTATTTGCTGATAAAACATTATTTTCCTGTTATATTTTAATAAATATCTACTTCAAAACAAAATATCTATAATCACAAATTCGATTTTTAATAAATACAAAATATGTTGCAACTACATTAAAAAAAAAATTCTAAAAAATCCAAATCATTAATAATAAGTGAGACTTATTAATAATTAATAAATCCCATAAGTAATAAATAAAACTTGACAATCGTGAAAAAACATTCATTTATATCATTAAACTCTAATAAGATTTACATATCTAAAGATTATTTATTTAAGAATAAGAATAATGACTCATATTAGAGCTTTCAGAAAAAGCAGTAATCTTGATAATTCCAGTGTAGTTTGAAATAGATGGAAAAATGTTAGCAGGTTTAGTGGAGATGGAAAGGGTGTAGTAACTACTACACGACTGATCTTTACACAAGAAGAAGGTGGCCGCTGTATTACACTGACACCAGTGAAATTCATAACACCATAACCACCACTATTCTTATTACAACGTAACAAATGGGCGGGAATGGAAGGGAAAGATCAGTAATCTTCGTATAAATGCCGGCAGTGTTCGTCTTGAAGATGCATATTCTATCTGAACAACTTCAATTTAACATTGCAGATATGAAATTTTTAGTAAGTGACTCTAGTTCTGTGTTAAATAATCAAGAAATATTTTTTATTATTAAATAAAAAAAAAAGTAAGTCTGAATTGACAATTGTTTATTAAGTGAATATCATATTGTTATAGGTGATTAGCTTAGCGTTACTTAGTTACGCATCTGCCCAATTTGGTGGTGCATATCGGCCAAGACCTTTTCCTACAACCCCTCAGCCACAATTTCAACCTCAATATAGGTTTGTATTAAACTTCTAGAAAAGTGATCTCTTAAGAATGTTGATAAATAGTTGGATAAAAATGTAGATTGTTTATCAATAATATTTTAAAAACTACTGGTTTATCAGTAGTTTGAAAGATATCAAACAAAAATGACCTTTTATCATAATAATTTCATCATTTGTTTTCAAAGCACTGGTCCATTCATTGCTATTCGAAGTCAAAGTCGAGATTCTTATCCTGATGGATCTTATCAATACAGTTATGAAACAGATAATGGAATTTCCATGCAGGAAAATGGAAGTCCTAAAGGACCAGCTGGACCAGAGGGTCCATCAGAAGTAAATTTATTTATTAATTAAAAACTGTTTTAGTTTGTTGGTCATAGTCAACTGTCATTCAATTGGAATATTTTATTAATTGTAACAGGTTGTTCAGGGACGATTTTCATACACTGCTCCAGATGGTACTCCAATAGTACTGGAATACTATGCTGATGACACTGGATTCCATGCCACAGGTGCTCATATTCCAACTCCACCTCCAATTCCTGAAGCTATACAACGTGCAATTGCATCACTTCCACCTAGCAACGAAGGCCAGTATCGAGAAGAACAATACAACAACCGTCAATTCAACCAGAATCAACCTTATCGTCGATTTTAATTTTTTCATGTTGCAGAAACTAATTAATCTTGTACTTGTACATGTAATTGTCTATTATTTTCACCTTCAGTTATTTTTAATAATATATTAGCTGTGTTGACTGATGGAAATCTTTACAGAAATTAACTTTTAATATCAAAGTGATAGTTAATGTAAAGATTATATTTTTCAAATGGTCTCGTAAGAATATATTTTGCTGAATTTTGTCATCTTCTCTATTATCAGTAAGTGATTGACTATTTGAAAAGTATCTTTTATAAATTTGATATTAGAAATAATAAATGTAATATGGAAAATGCAATAAATTAACAGTGAAAAATACTTGGATAGATTTTTCTTTAAATTTATTCTACTAATCATGAATGTGATGCCATAATGTTGATAAAAAAAAATATTCTTAAGCAATGAAATAATTTTATTCATCTATTTTCAAAACTATCTTTTTTTATAAACATCTTTTACCAAAAAAAAATTATCCTGCAGCTTTTAAAACATTACGTAATTTTTTAATTGCTTTTTACTTTTCACAAAGTTATAAAAAAGCTAATTATAATTTTAAAAAATGCATAATTGTTACTCTAGTATCTTGGCAAAAAAAAATTTGGTAGTTGATCAAACTACACTAGAACACTTTATGTATACCCTAAGGCTCTGTCTGAAAAACAAGTGAGTTTGTCAGAAATTAACGTTTACTTACCATTAAATCTTGATTGTACATGAAAGAAGATATACCGGTTGAAATTTCTAAGAGGTCAAAGAAGATCGGTACCAACTAATAACGATCAGAGCATATTGACACTTATGATTAACGTTGGCTTTCGTCATGACGCAATAATCAGATTATTACTGCAAGTTATACATAACTGTAAGTCTCAAAGCATGAGAAGTCAGGTTTATCCATCTAACTGTTTAGCTTGACAAATTATAGATTAATTCCAGAATTATAATGAAGCAGTTATTTTTTTCTAATTGATGTAACAGTATGAATTATTGACTTCTGGTTTTAGAAAAAAAAAATCTTGATATATTAGTTGATAATAATATACTTAGAGTAATCATTTATCTAATAACTTTAAAGTTTAAAAAATTTATTATCATCCTAAATAAAAATTGTCTTTATTTTATTGTATTCATTATAAAAACTTGAGAAATTGCATAACATCTAATTTTCTTAGAAATAAGTTTAAAAAAATAATCATCGAACTATGTTGACTCTTAAGAACAATTACTTGATGATCACAAGATGCCCTTACCTATTGAGTTTTTGCAATAATTTTTCTTTGAAAATTGCTCGCAAGAACCATTCTAACTCGTTTATTATTTAATCTGCTATCACTCCATGAAAAACAACTAGAGTCTAACAGCTGAGCCATTAAGATGATTGGTCGTTTTTCAATGTCCTCAGCTGTCAAAAAGGTCGACAGAATTATAGATTTAACTTCTAGCCTAGGGCGAGCAAAAATAGCGATAATTTTACTATCGATGTATATATATATTTACACACGCCTACACCCTAAGTATACTTTTTATACATATTCAAGAAATCCTTGACCAGTACGAAGAATAAAAAAATTTTTTAAGAATCGAGAATATCAAGGATGCGTATAATACTTTCACCATTCTACATTACTTCCAATTTTCTATCTGTATATCTTTATAGGCATATAATTGTGACTGTAGGAAGTCATCCTTTCGATATCACATAACATAAATAATAACTCTGATTCAGCTATAAATTAAACGGATAGTTTCTACATGGTGGGGAGAGTTCTTTTACCAAATTTCAAATAAGATTGTAATGTATAATCAATTAATATTAAATAAATAATTAAATGATATTTTTTTAATTATTAAAATTAGATTTTTGAATGAATCTTGAAATATAAAAAAAAATGATAAACAAATTTTTATACAAAGATTAATAATTTATTAAGAAAAAGATTAAATACTAACAAAACACACAAAACTTACAACTAAAGTAATATTATTAAGAAAATTAATTATATAATACGTGATTATAACTTAAAAAAAATCTAAGTTTGGTTTAAAAAATGCCAATAAAAATTATTAAATTAATCAAATGAAGTCACTAAGTTGAAATAATTAAAATGTCGAATTTCAAGCTTCTTTATAAAAGAAAATATTCATGATTACAATATTCTTTTCTTTCAAATTTCTAGTAAAAATAGAAAATTAATTACAATTTACATTTAATCTCCTTGAGAAATAGGAGAAACTCTGTCTCGTTTACCGCCTTTGCCTCTTCCTTTAAGTTTAGCTTCTCTTTTCCTAGTAAACGATGAATTGGAAGCAGTAGATGCTGAATCCGCTGGACTGGATTGGTTGGAACCATCTCGTTCCCAACGAGGTAGTGTGTCTCTCAAATGTTGTCCATCATTCTCGTCAGAAACATCAATGTCAATATGAAAATTATCTTGAGTATTATTCCGAGAAGTTTCTTCTATTTCAATATTAGCTCGCATTTCTTTCCTCTGATCATCGGTATGTTGAGGACATCTTACTGAGCGAGTGCAAAGTTTCTTGGTGTGTTCAGATATAACACCACAGATTTGTCCTAATAATATTCGTTTGTCTTCAATAGACATATTGTCATAATTGGAAGGAGAATTTTCATTACTAATGTGGACTTGTTCATTAGAAATATCACCATTTCTATGAGAACTCTTTGGCTGTTTAGCTTTTTTCATTCCCATACGATCTTTTCGTCTTTTGCGTTTGTCATTCGTTACACTCCAATCAGCATCATCATCATCGTCGCTTATAATACCGCTATAATTACTAAGATCCTTAGAACTATTTGCTATCCTTCGTGAAGCAATTCTTGAACTATTTCGTCCCATGCCCATACATTTTTCTAGATGTGTAGCAAATCTACAAGCTGCTACTCCTCTATCGCAATTAGGACAGTTGCATTCTTGAGATTTTTTCACTGGATGTTGACCAAATACATCCAAACCAGGAGTATCTGAAAATTTTTAAAAAATACATTTAAAAATCATATGATTGAGACATAGAATACTCTATTTCTTGAAGTTTATATTGATGAGTTGAAAAAAGTAATAAAATATTTGCAACTTACCAACAATTGTGTAGGATTCATCATCTGGAATTCCTTCCTCAACATCTGAACTACCAGTTTTTATAGTTCTATGTACATCAAATACAAAACCCATTAAAACTTCATCGAGTAAATCTTCATATATTTCTTTAGTTGCTGCTTCAAGATTTTCAGCTTTACTCATGAAATCCAAAAAAGTCCTGTCAAGTTCTTGAATTCGCTCCTCTGTGACTGACATCTTAGCAATGAAATATTTGCAAAAATATAAATTCTTTATATTTACTTATGAATTAAGTATATTTTAATTATTTCAATGATTTTTCAACACTTTGTACTATTCAAAAAATAGTGTAACAATAAGAAAAGTATAAATTCTTGTCAATTTCACTCTGTAAACTTCTATAAGGCTGAGCGGTATTTAACTGATTATAACCAAAGCACGAGTAAACAGTATATGTCGGGCTACTGTCTCCGAAACATGAAGCGTCCTGTTGAGGAGATTCCCAATCATAACTCTGCGTAATGACGCATGCGTATACACGTCAACGTTAACCATACGCATGCGTTGCTATTGGCTATAGTTTGATTCTATACCAACCCCACTATGACCTCATACCCCCACCTAACAAGTATTTTTCAGAACGCATGTCAGAGGATACGCGCGGATTTATGCTTATGCTCATGGAAAAATCTAAAATTTAATTCCAAAAGATATATGTATTGATAGTTAATCAGAATTATAATCATTATTATTACTATTATTTACAATAAATTATTAAACTTAGCATTAACACCAATAGAATGATGTGCTCCTCTAGATTGTTTTATTAATTTTTGTATCAAACATCTCCTATCTCCGTTGATTCATCATCTTGTTGTTAAAAAACTACACATTTATCGTCATCATAATCACCAGAAAAGCTAATAAATAAATATTAGTTAATAAATAAATATTTTATTATTTATAATAATAAATAAAGATTTATTATTATAAATAAATATTCTATTGCACTAAAAGACGATTTTTAGCTTGTAGTGAGCAAATAAAAAACATTTTTTTTTATAAATTGTAATATTTATAAAAATGAATTAATTCTGGATATGAACCTGTTGATTGCCCTGAAATTTTTTATGAATAAATAAGTTACTATGATAAATATAGAAATATATATTTAAAATATTATTTTATTTTATTCATATACTTACAAGCTTCATGTAGATGACTGTAATTTTATATTTAAGGAGTACTATAGCATTGCTGTCCATACATATTTGAAACGACACAATAAAGTCTGGAAAAGGTCAGGTAGTTTGGAGTGCCGAGTACTTGCGGGTATCATAAAACTCCGCTATTCTTTCAACAGTTAAGTTCAAATAATTTCGGAAAATGTTTATAATCCGATTAGACTCTAGACCCTTTCTTAACTATTGTGCTCTAAATTACCGTACGTCTTGTTGCCAATCCCTCATTACACTTGGAACTGGTCAAATTCTTTTGTTATCAATCGAAAATATTCCTCCAAAATTTTAAAGTCTAACTTTTAACAAGTCTTTAAATTTTCCCGAAGGTCGGGTTTTCAAGACTTGGATTAGCAAGTCTTTCTGTTTTATTTCAACTCCATTTTCACAAGAGTAATAAAATCTTTAAAACCCTCAGGTGTTTGATGCTCCAAACGTATTGACCTTTGCGAGACTGTTTTCTAAAATAAGTAGGCTATTCATTGTATATGTAGGCTATAGAAAAATTCCTGTAACTTTAGTACGAAATGAAGACGAATTCATGGAAACTAAATTTCAAATTTATCGTAAATATAAAAATTATACAAGCGTATTTTCCTCTGAAATGCGCACTAAAATATTTCCTTGGTGGTGGGGATGGCCAAGTCGTGTATATGTATATACACACATTATGTTCGATGAGTGAACCATCTCGTGGTTGTTATTTCGACTAAAATTCTTTATTTATTCCCTACATTATCGTCTGAAAAATCTTTCATCTTGATGTTTCATGTTCTATGCCCAAATCGGTCTTTTTCATGTGTACAGGGCAAATAGAGGAACAGAGGATATTGAAAATTACTTTTCAAATAAAAATCCACCTCTATTAGTTTAATCCATCGCATATTAAGCATCTAAACTATCATTATGCCTCCTAAATTTGATCCTACGGAAGTTAAAAAAGGTATTTTTGCAATATTTATATTTGTTTATAAAAACAATGTATGAGGTTAAAATAGGTTAGATAAACTGTATAATTATTTTTTCAGTATATTTGAAATGTGTTGGAGGAGAAGTTGGTGCCACATCTTCCTTGGCTCCTAAAATTGGTCCTCTTGGTTTGGTAAATTTTACTTTTATTTAAATTTACTAATTATGTTTAGGTAGTCTTGTCATACAGATACATACACAATCTTGAGTCAGGATTTCTTGAAGAATAAAAACTCTACATACTGCAGGAGTTATAAATGATAGTATGATCTATTTAAATAATTATCTACCAAAAATTAAGAAAAAAATCAATGTTGTGTGAGTGTAAAGTGATTTGTTATTGTTTTAGTGAATATTGTTTAAGTGGAGAATTATTTGAATTAGTGCAATAGTTTTTAATCTGTCTTTGAAAAATCATTTACAATCTTTATGACAGACTACCTCAACAAAATGTTAATACCAAATACCATGTACTGTTATTTATCAAATTATTTGATTATAATTTTATATTTTAGTCTCCCAAAAAAGTTGGTGATGATATCGCTAAAGCCACTAGTGACTGGAAAGGATTAAAAATCACTGTACAGCTTACAATTCAAAATAGGCAAGCAACTATTTCCGTCGTTCCATCAGCTGCTTCCCTTGTCATTAAGGCCTTGAAGGAACCTCCAAGAGATAGGAAGAAACAAAAGAATATTAAACATAATGGAAACTTAGCATTTGATGATGTTATTGCCATCGCCCGCACAATGAGACCAAGATCTATGTCTCGTGAACTTAAAGGAACTGTTAAAGAAATCCTTGGTACTTGTCAATCAGTTGGATGTACTATCGAAGGTAGACCACCTCATGATATCATTGATGATATTAATGCAGGAGAAATGGAAGTTCAAGATGAATAGACTTATAGGAGGTAACCATCCTTAAAGTCGATTTTTTATTAAAAAAATTAATAAAATCTATTTAATAAAACGAATCAAGACTTGAATACATTTAGTAATAACCTATATCATTTTTTCAAATATTTTTATTTACTCTAAAGCAAAAAAAATATAGAAAATTAATAACGGAAAATAAGAAATTTAGTTTAAAGTCATTTTTATCGGGATTCTATTTAAATTTCATTGACTTAATCAGAATAAAGTCATCAAGTTTTTTGTGGTCATAGTTTTAGATTGAAAAATAGTTCGACAATTTATTAAAAATATATCAAAAATTTTATTTATTTTAATTTTTCATCCAATAACAATTTATTTACATTATACTTTCATAAATAGAAAAATTTCGTCTTCTAAATTTCTTCATTGTTGGCTCTACTGGTTTATCAGATGTACCGGTTGATGGAGTTGTTGGTGATGTAGATATAGACGTCGAGGTATCAGTCATAGAATCATCACATGTAGAATCGCAAAAAGATGAAGAGATATGTTGAAATGATGAAATTGTACTAGATGGTTCGGAAAGCATTTCTTCATCCTCATCCTCTTCTATTTCCTCATCTTCTGGTTCCTTTCTTTTACTAGGACTGATGTCTTCAATTTTTTCATTCCTGAGTATTTTCAGGAGAAAAGAAGGATCATCTATGCCTAGTTTTTGGCAAAAATCAGTGGTTTGATAATTTATCTGGAACGTTACATTTCTTGAATTTAATGGATCTTTTGAATCAAATGATTGAGCCGTTTGCTTGAAATTCAGTGGAATTTTTAAATTGTTATTAAATTTTTCCAAGACACTCTTCTTCTCTGATTCAGTTGGAGTATATTTCCAACGTCCAATAGCATCTGATGTTGGCATATGCTGCCTACTCTTTTGAACATTTAATAAATGATTTGTGAGAAATAAAATTGTTAGCCATTCTAAATCATATGATAATGACAGTGACTGATTATGATTGTGTGGAATGTCCAAAATTTGAAGGAATTTCCGTTCAGGTAAACATTTGTCCAAAGCTAAGAACTTTGTAACGGTGTCCGATTCTTCTTTCGGAACTAATGCTGCATATTTGCAATGAAGATGAGCTGAGAACCAATATGAAGGGTAATGATGCCTCAAAAGCTCCATACATGGAGGACTTCCTAATGAATTGGTTTGAATATCCTTTCTGTAAAAATTAATAACATACAAATATTAGTAATTATATAATATTTTAAACAACAAATTTTTAACGAAAGTTTAACAAATTTGTCAATACTTACTCGAAATATGGCTTTCTTCTAATTAAGTCCTCTTCATTGCCATACTTTGTCACTCCACATGGCCAATCATGAGATAAAAAGATGTCTATTTTTCCACTGAGCTGAAATTATAAAAGATATGATTTAGAAAGAGGATAAATAATAAGATGAGAAATTTTCGGTATTTCAATGTCATTGGTACTTACTTGTTTTAATCGGAAGACTTCGATATTTCGGGTATGATAAACACTTCGAATAGTTGAACGATCATAGGGTGGTGTTTCGAAATGTCCATATTGCAAATCTTGTTCCTTATAAATTCCAGAAATACCCGCAATCCTTATATCACCAATAGTAACTACACTAGCATACCCCATATAATAAATATTTGGTGCTACCCAACCTCCGTAGGGTAATTCTTGAAGATAATTAGAAGCTTCATGATTACCTCCAATAAAAATAGTTAATACTGGAGCCGACTTTTCACCAGAGTAGTACCTTTAAGAACATAAACAAAAATGACTTTACTTTTTAACACTTGATGATATAAATGATTTTTTATAAGTTTTTATTGGTCTCATACTTACTTGTGAAATGTACGAATTTGTTTATATTTATCGGGCACAGCCATACAATTGAGATCACCAACATTTCTAGTTGATTGAAAATCTCCGCAACATAATAATAAATCAACTTTCTGCCCGGTATTCTTTTCAACTTCTCTTATTGAATCATAAATAATATCTAACTCGCCATGAGCGCATCCTTCAATTGCGATTCTCATGTTTAATAAATAATATAAATATATAATTTATATAAAATTTTATTAACAAGTTTCAATTGTTAAAATTATTATATTAGTCAAGAAATTTATTTTTCTTTAGAGGTTAACTTATGCTTTGTTTATGAGTAAACACGTCTACACTGTTCAAAAGACAAACAAGGACTGCACAACGCGAAAACATTCCCTTAGATTTCAAAAGGGTCCAAACGCAGATGGCGACACTTTCTATAAGGGAGGGGCTTCTCTCAATTGGTCCAATGAATACGGACCATTCTGGTCTGCAGATTTTGATTAGTCAGTTTTCTCTTTGACCAACCTTACCTAACCTTAAAAATTTTCAAACATGTACAAAAAACAACTAAACTTGACATTCATTCAGATTAAATTATTTGACTTAATAATTGACCAACCTCAATTTATATACACTTAATATTTTTTATTTATAAAGTTATAATATTAATCAAATGAGAAAAATGAAATTTTTTTTGTTTATAATGTTGAAAAATTATAAATGCTCAATCAAAAATGTTTTATTTTAAATCATTTTATTTAATCAACTGTATTTTCAATGCTAATAACAATAATTAGCTAACTTACATAAATTCCTTGGAGAATAAATAAAATTTGATGGCAAGAAAACGTTTGTTGAGTTTTTTTACTAAATATTTTAGTATTGATACATTTTACTTGCACAATAGTTACATTCGTTAATATTTAATAGAATAATACCTAAATGTTATCAATCTTCATAATAATTTCGTGATATTCAATGAATTTTTAAATTTTCATTCGTTTCATGTCCATCATGCATCGTTAGTTATCACTTGAATGTTACTTTATCGACTAATATTTTTTCATACCAACTGTCGATAATTTATCAATCGCTAAAATTTGAATCTATTGCTGAAATGCTCTATTGCGATTGTTTATTTCTAAGGTTGTAATTCAGTTTGAAGCACGCAATTCACTAAAATGATCAATTATTAGATAAATTAATCAATTGATTTGTTTAAATGAATTTAAAACAACAGTAATGACTATCATTATAAATAAAATCAGTATGTCACTATCCGAAAGTTGTGTGATATTATCCATCTATTTAATTAATTGATCTTTCTCATTAAATTCACAATCTTTTTCACGACAAACTATCTATACACAGTGTCCTTAATCAAGTGAACGTGTGCCTAATGACATTTCATCAACGAACACATTATTATTCAATTAAAACATTATATAATCGCCCTTTAAACAATACCATCTTTATGGCGTAATCTCAAGGAAATCTAGTTTGGACGATCGTGCTAGAAAATAAAAGGTTCAACAGCCTGCAGACATAAGTGAATACATTCAGATGATGTTGCAATCTTTATAGTAATTTTAAAATAAAAATAATGAGACTCATAAATATGGTGCTAAGAAAATAGTGACAATGCTAAATTACATGTTTTCTTTACTAATCAACAAGGCACATATTTTTTCACTTACATGTTGGTGACTTTACACTCTTCTCTTCACACATGGACATATCAGACATCATAAGTATATAATATATTGCAATACATGACATGAAGAGTAACAAACGGTCGACATTTTCAAGAGAATATATTTCTGTTGACTCAGGGTAATAATGCAATTCAATAGACTATAAGGAATAGATACAGAGCAACAGAAGCAAGAAGACATATCCCTGACATTCAATGTCATTGCACTTGGCTGCTTGTTTTTATGGGCAGTTTTTTTTGCATCTGTAAGTGAATTTGCACAATGAAAAAACATTCTTTCCTTCTATTTCATGAAAAAAAATACATATATTCACTAATAGAAAATTACTAGTTTGCATCCTCAATGTTTCATCAATATTCAATCTTCGTTTTTAATTTCCATGGAACCTCCATGTATTTTTCATTTACCTAACTAGTAATTTATTATTTGTATCTTCAAATATGATTTCTCTTCACTTTAATAAAAATTACTATATTCCAGCACAAATGATTTTTGTTTAGGAAAATTCCTTCACATCTCTTAAAAGATGCATACACAAATAACATTTTTTTTCATAAATAATAATAATAATTGTATGTAAATGTACACCTTAAATAAAATATGGGTAAGGAAGCTAGATGTTTTTTCTTAACAGCTATAAAGATGATGCATAAATGCAAGTTATTTGTACTCAAATATAATAAGTGTGCAAAAATAACGGACATTCATATGTGGATCGTACTCTGAAGTCTATACACAACCGCAAGATCCGACTGTCAATTAGGCTTCAGCACGTTTACGATACTTGCAATCGATGCTTTATAGCTTCTCCACTAGTGTGTGTTGCTCGTCATTCAGTCGTCTAAGTTTATTACTTTTGGAGCAAAGAACTTTTCACAAAGTACGTTGTAATTATATTAACTTACTCATCTATTATTATTAAAATTTTATTACAGAATAAAATAAAATATAAAAGGATTATTTATCCTTGCATATCTATATCTTTATTTACTCATCAGATTGTAAATTGCTGATTCATCAGAATCTGAATGACAGACTTGTCTGTATGTTGATGCTTGATTACTCTCTATGACTTTCTATTACCTATACTATTTATGTTGGTCTGCTTGATGTATTTATGACATTGTGATCGAGATCAATGAATTATTAGTTTGTGTTCTACCATCATTTATGAAGAACAAAATTTCTCTTGTAATGTTTGCAATTACTTCAGAAACTGCTGTTTATAAAGGGTTCGTTCTATTATTTGAAAAAAAAATAGTCTTATAAAAATTTCATGACGTCTCATCAAGTTGAATCTCATTAGAACATTCAGTTTTTATAAAATATGAACAATAGCTTGACTTAGTTAGAGCAAATTCTACCGTTCATTAAGGTAAATGATACTACGGTGCATCTGATTCAATCCTTCATTTTATACAATGAAAAAAGTCCATAAATTAAACTTGATGTGGTGAATATAAGATGTATTTAATGTTATGTTTGTTACTATTATACTAATGATTTAAATATCTTTCAATTGAAAACATTTTTTTTTATTATAGTTATTGTTAAGTATTTATATTTAATATGAAGTCATGGAAACTAAGAATTAGAAGTCCATTATTAAATTGGAAGATTAAGAATAACGATGATGTCAGTGATTCATGAAAAATACAGTTAGAAAAATAGAATTTGTTGAATAAGATGTTACATTATTTAATTTTGAATATTAAAGCTTTATAATATAATCAAAAAGGTAGAAGGTATAAATATCAAAGTGCCATTGAAAAAATGATAACGTAAGCAAGCTAGCTAAATAGGTCAATTGATAAAATTTGATGAAAAATTTTAAATAAGAATCTTTAGAACTACTTGATGACTTTTTGAGTCATAAAGAATAATGAGTTTTGGAATTTTATAGCATTTTGTTGGCAAGAGAATGAATTTTATTGAAAAGTGACTGAAATTATTTTCCATTTAGTATCAATGATTATGAATAAACAATAAAATAAATTAAACATAATAGTTTAGAAATTTATTGATGACCAGATAGAAGAATTTTAGTAAATATAAAAATGGAAAGATAAATATAAATTCATTGTCTTTTTTATCTATTGTTCTAATATTATTTTGTGGTCAATCAAGTCTTATAGAAATGTTATAACAATAGAAATACTTGAAATAGTTTTATGACAAATGAATAATAAAATTTTTCTTGAGGTATTGTCATCTATTTTAATACTTAAAAAATGATGAAATAAATTTCAATAAATCTACTTTGAACTAAATATGAAAAATAATTAACCAGTAATTCCAGAACTGCAACATTTTTTAGACATCAGTTGAACTAGAACTCTGATATGAATTTATAATTGTTGGATGGATTAACATTTTTAAAGATAATATTATTATAAATTTATCAGATCACGACTTATGATCCTTGTTTTAAATATCAACATGGCATCACGTTCATAACTCCATCAAGTGGATATTTAGGCCAAGAATCCAGTTCTATTCTTCATTCTCCAACAACCTCGACTTTCTGAACTAATAAAAGAAGGTAGTACGTGAATTAGTACTTGAAGAAATAATAACGATCATTGCATTTACGACTTACCCCATTTCGTTTTCTCTTCTCAGCGATTTCCAACGATTTTCAGCGCGAGTTCATGGAACGGGGGATGTGTTCTCAGAGGATGTGCATACATTCACGCAGGAATAAGAAGTGGGAGAATAGAAACCCATACTTTACTTCATGCTCTCTTCGTTTCTTCTAGGCCTTCAGTAACCTTCAGTCATCATCACGCAGGCGTATTGGATACATGTTGTTATTTACCAAGACCGGTACTGTTTGATTTTGGTTTAATTCATTTTTTCTTCTTTTATCAATTAAAGGTTTCGTGATCAATCAAGTACTAGTGAAATTTATTGTTACCCTTGAGGAGACTTTCTTTTTTAATCATGAAGAAGCTTTTTCTTCTGATTGTTTTTATATTCTCTTCTGTTCTGGTGAGTAGTTTTTTCTTCATTGATACATTTCTTTACCATCATTTCAATAATTGATTAATTTTTTTTTTATTAATATTATTGTAAAAATATTTAACCAAAATTGTTGAATTTTTTTTAATATTAGAGGAGAATATTTTTTTTATAATCATACAAAGACAAACGAATTTATTATAGACTAAAAAATGAATTCTAAACAAAAATTAATGAATGAAGTTGATAATTAATTTTTAAATATTAAAGAAAAATTAATTTATTAAATTACTTAAGTTTGATTGATCTTATTGAATATTCAATAAAATAAATAACAAGAAAAATAGACTTTAAAGAGAATAAAAAAGATTGTTTTACTCGACTGAACCAGTCATGAGTTAACTCTTGCTCTTCATTTAAAATAAGTAAAATAAAAAAAAATGTATTTATTAAAAATAATAACTGTTAATTCAATATCGATCAAATGATTCAATTGAATAAACAAAAAAGATTCCGACAGTAAGTACAAGTTTTTCTTCAAGAAATGTCGTTGACACGAACACGTTTCGACTTCCTTGGAGGCATGAGGTACCTTAAAAAACGATAAGGAAATACGCGTTGGTGTCTTGAATTTAAAACATTTAATTCTTTGACTTCGACACGAAGAATAGCTGTTGAATATTCTGAATAACTTTCTGTGTTATTATGCAGGTCCAAGATGTTCCCATATCCTGTATGTATTAATAACCGTCATTATTGTTTATTTCGTACCATACCACAACAACAAATTATTTACGCACTATTGAAAAGGCCTTGGAGACTGTCCTCAGACAAAAAAAAAATTTATTATACAATATATCCTTTTATTTACACATCAGTACTCGTATCCTTGGTAATCATAGATCATTTGGCTCAAAACTCTTACATTTTTTCTTTCTTCCAGAACTCTTTTTTCTTCTTGAATGAAAATAACCAAGTAATTTTATGGAAAGAACATCGCTAAAATTTTATTATCAATAACATCCACCGTTAATAGAATATTTAGTCGACATTAAGTTGTATGATATTTGATAAAAAAAAATGTAACATCGAAGAAACGGTATTCCGAATGCAAGTCTAAACTTTGATGACGATAAAGTAGTCAACGACTGGGTAATATTCATAAATTGATAGCTGTACATGTGTTGTCAATTTAAAAAAGAACGATATAAATTTACTATAATCTTCTGCATTCCGCTATATTTATTCGCTTAACATGCTAAGCTCTGTCGTGATCGAGTAAATAAAACGTAACTGGTTTAATTATCGTATGTAATAAATATTAGTATTACGTGAATCAATACTTTTACTTTGTGCTTCATAAAATTATGAGAGCATTAATTCATAACACTATGACATTTAAATTTTTCTACATGAAAATAACAGCATATTTAGTATTTTAATAGCCATTTAAATTCTCTTTTACGTTAATTTTTTATCAATTATTTTTTTTTTAAATTCTAAATTATATTTGCAAAATTAAAACTATCATTTATAATTGTTTATTTATAAATCAAGATTTTTTTTTTTGGTTAAAAAATGTTGTTAAAAATTAATTAAAAAAAAATTTTTATTTATTTTAGAGCAAATTTTAATTTTTATAATACAAAAAATTAATGTATAAAATAATTTTTTTTTTTCAATAGTTTATTATCTATGTAGATGATTATTTTATGTTCATCTTCCTTTCTATACAATCGTTTGGGTTCTTGCACGTAGATAAGGGCTCTAACACTACGAGAATGTACATAGAAAATAATGGGGCATATTTTAATGAGAATATTCACATCCGCAAGATGTGTACGATTATTAAATTTGAACAGGAAGATAAAGTCTGTGTGCATTTACAGTACTCATTTCAAAGTAGGAGATAAAATTAAAGCATATATTATTGCTTTCAGAACTAAATATTCATCTTTATATCTTCAATAAAACTATTTCTTTAGAAAATATTCAATAAAATAGAAATATAATTTTTTTAATTACAAAATCAGTTCAACCTAAAAATTTGTAACTCTCTAATTATTATTCCATTGTCTTCGATAATATTAATGTCTTAGCATAAGTAAATATGAGGTTAATTAGATAATGATATAAGAAAGAATGATTTAAAAATTATAAAATAAATTGTAATGCTCTTAATAGGTAATTCGAAACTTAAAACAAAGGGAATTCTTGTAATGATAATCATATTTACCCACGATAAGAATACAAAGATCTCATTAAAAATCTAATAATTTTATTCGATTTCAATATGTATTTTTTTTTCATAAAATAATTACAATAAAAATAATGATAGCACTTAGCAGCTTCTCCACTCAAGCATTTATATCTGTTGAGTCTTTTCGTGGTCATGTACTCTCACACGTCATTATATCTTTAACTGCACCAGTAATCTCTACCTGTTATTTATGAAATCCAAATAATTCTAATCTTTGTTAATATTTATTTTAATACGTTATTGGTATAATAACGTATATGTACAAGAAAGTTTGCTTCTTTTTACATTTATTTTATAACTACCGATATGTTCTACCTTGGAAGACTGTGATTTGCTCACTTTACAGTAAACTGTTCCGCATTGATGTTTTTTCTCGAGGTATGAAGTAAAAAGGAGTGAAGAGACGAGATGTTCAAAAATCCTTTGGTATTCTAGTCGTGTCAGTGATCATAACAGAAATGATGTTGGAGTGAAAAAAGCACTGGTTTATTATGTACAATCATTATTCACACCCAGGAAGAATGTTTCTCAAGATGAAATTAAACAATTAGATGTTCTTAGTAAAAACTTAGTAAAGGGTTTTTTTATTTATTCCATGTAATATTGTATTAATTGATGAATTAATTATAATTACTGAATGAGTTTAAATGGCTTCGAATACAAAGACGTCGTTATTTTAAAGGGGTTGTGAAAATGATGGTATTGATAAGTTGGAGGAAAATTAAGTGATTACAATCAAAGATTATTGTAATTAGACTGCAATAATGCATTGGATAAATATTTTTCTCCTTTTGTGAATTTAAATCAATCCATTTTTCTCTTTTTTTGTTATAAAATTCTCATTTTTATTATTTTTAATTTCTTAATTTTTTTTTAAAATTAATTATTTAATACAAGAAATGCTAGAAGTCTTCAATGAGCTCTATTACGATGAAATAAATTAGAATTTATTTCAACGTGTCAAGTTTTACAAAATTAATTCCAACAAAATTAAGAATAAATTTTTTTTAATTATACCAATATTGATAATATTTCTAATAATTGATTTTGATAAGAAATAAACAGCAAAATAGATGATTAAATATTAGGAATTATAATTAAAATTTGTATTTGACAAAAATTGGTATTTTTTTAACAATGCAAACAATTTTTATTCAATGCTTTTAGACTGCTTGAAAACAAAGTTTATTGACTTTGCAACGTTGCAAATTATAAAAGTTAAATTACTTTAAATTGAATTGGATATTTTGATTGAAGAAAAGTTGTTTTACATTAATTATCATGTTTCCAAAAATATTATACCATTAAATTGATTTCTGATTTTTGATTCTTGGCGCAGAAATGTTTAATAGGGCTTGCATAATAAAATAACTTCAAACCTTATAAAGTAAACTATTTCAAAATATTTTAATGTAATGTAATTTATTCTTAATGTAAATCCTTTCTCCCTTCTATGAATTATTTTCATTACAATTAATTAATGTTTGTTGTTTAATTATCTAAATTTCAGTTGCTATTTTATTGTTATTAAATTATTGTTTATAAATTAGTTAACAAAGACATCAAAATTTCATAATAATAATTAAATTCAAATTGTTTATTGGCTTGATAAAATTATTACATGGATAAATTTACTAGCAAAAAAAATTAAAAATCACGGGTTTTTTTTTAGTAAAAATAGTTAAAAAAATTAATTAAAAGTACAGTTTTGGTTGGTGAAAATTACTAAAAGAGTAGTAAAAATTCCTACTTTGGTAATTTTACTGAAATAGACTTTTCATTAGGTGCTTTAACTATTTTTATTTAAAAAAAAAACTACTAATTTTTAATTTTTTTTTATTAGTAAATTTTACCGTAAATTGACCGGTAAAAATTATTATAAAATTTTTTTTCAGTATTTTTGCTGACATAAATTATAAAATGTTCATTGAATTAACGAGTTGAATCAGCAGTACATTGATTTATTGAATCGTATCATTTTTTTTCTGCATATCACAGCTTTAATTATATATTATTAAATCAATCTTTCACGCTAGATAATCAATAATGTTTTCTCCATTGAAATAGTAGAGAGATATGCATATATATTATGCACGTTATAATTGAAACATCACATTGAAATGGATTCCAATATCCTAGAGCATTCGTTGATGGTCTTGTGTTAATATATAAAGATGTGCCGATGTATATGTGTAATAATATAAATATCACATGTCTGACATGAGATTGTAGGGAGCCCTACTGATTTGTATCATTTAAATTGTACTCGTAGGCATAACTAATCAATAAAACTATTCTTTACCTCAAGCGATACGGTACTAAAAGCTTTTTTTTTATTCATAGTTCATCCATCTTTTCCTTTTCTCTCTCTCTTGTCGCTCAATTATCTGACACCTTTTTAAACCCTCTTTAATCCATATCCGCCCAAGAGAAAGAGTTCCTTTTGTACTTGGGATAAAAATATTGCCGTTAAATTTCGATTTCATTGGTTAATTATTTTTTTTCTTCTGATTATTAATTATGTGATAAAAAGTATCTATGAGGCTACTGATTATCTCATATAGGAATTTTTTTACAGTCTTTACAACTTTTTATTTATGGATAAATTTTTCAAATTTTTTTTTTTCTTCTTTTTAAAAATATTATAATGTTCTTCAATGCATAATAGTTTTACAATTAAAATAATTAATCATTTGTTGATCAACTTAATATTCACTGGAGAGAAAAATAATAAATAAAATAATTATTTAATTATTAATTTATAATTAAAGAAAAATGTTGCGACAGATTAGCATTAATAAAACTCTGTGATTAACAAAATTTTATGGAAAATACAAATGTGGGATGATAAAAAACAACAATAATATAAGTAAACAAAAATTTTTTTGTTAAGTAGAAAAAACTGAAACAAAAAATGTATGAGAGAAAAAGTTGAATAAAAAAAAAATAGAAAAGTGATATAAGAACCTACAGGTATCATGATAATAAGGGATATGAGATAATAAAAATTTATTTTTTTTTACTAAAAATAATAATAAATAATGGTCTAGAATCGGCTAGCTTTATAATGCATTCTCTTAAGTTTATTATGCACTAAAATTTTTCTAATGATGTGAGATAATGTTAAAGATACTAAAGAGCATTTTATCTTGAATATAATTATTTTTTCGACGAGGTCGGCATACTCTAATTAAATTACAGAGGAGAAAGATGAGTCGGCAGTATAAAGGGCCTTAATAATAAGGAATTACTCTGGAAATCGAGAGAAAATTTTTACAGATATAAAATACAGCAGGCATCTACTCTAGAAAAGGAGCTAAAGGCGAATGTTTCTGCGGTGATTGCAAGTTGTTTTATTGTTCTCTCTAGGGGAATGTCTACGTACAGTATAGATACATCAGAAGATTATCCGAGGAAACGAACAAGTCGTTAGGTAATCGTGAATTTTGCAATTCTATCTATGCGTCAAGGGCATGGGTAACAAGTCGATACTTAAACTTAATTCTTCAAGTTCTTACCTACTGTCTTCATTTTATATATTTCTGTTTATTTTCTTTATTTGTTGTCCATTTTACTTTCATAGAGAATCATCTAAACAAGGAAATTCCTACCTTTTTTACAATTTCAATGCTCACCACATGCGAATGCGATTATCGTCTTTCTCTAAAAGTCAACATAAATGTTTCTTTCGTTGATTTATCTGTACTGTTTTATACAGCGATTAATGCATGATAACAGAAAACATTGGCTTTTCATCAGATATTCATACAAAAACGATAGTTTTTTTTTTTGTTTAAATAAAAAAAATATTTTTGTTGAAAAAATTATTGACCTCAAGGATCATAGAAAAATATCGAAGCCTGATATAAAGTAATATTTAGAAATAATAGGTTTTTTAATTTAATATATTTGTATTAAACTAAAAATAAGTAGTCACTTTCTCAATTGTTGCTCATAAACCTAATTTCACTCGGAAACATTTTCACAAAAGAACATTTTTTAAACATATCTTAGTTTGAAAGATAAAAATTAATGTAATGCATACAAATTTTTGGTTTTGTATCATTTTAACAATTTTTCCACATTTTAGATTGTGTCTTTTTATTAGTCTAGTAGCTCGATAAATGATTTTGTTACCATTGATTAATATATTAACATTTTCATCAACAATTCTTATTAAAACAATTTTTATAGTGACTCACTAATTATTTAATGGTATTTTATTTATTATCAGCCATCGGCTATATTAATCCATTTTTAGTTTTATTATTATTATCATCGATATTGATATAAATAAAAACATATTTAATAGTTCTAAGGATTAAAGATCTCATTAACCTGTAAAGGAATAATTACCATAATAATACAGCAATTTAACATGAATCTGCATGAATTGGCATGAATATTTATGAAAAAAGTACCTTTTTTTTTTAAGAAGACGAGTTAATTTCCATCCAACTCCGAAACTCCTTGTGTGACAATTGCTCATAAAGTAACCATTTTTAAGTATATTCAAAAATTAGTGCAACTTAGATATTGCAGAAAATGACATTTATGGGTGGTAATGTATTAAAAAAAATCTGAAACTAATGTAAAAATGAAAAAAAGTGGCAAAAAGTTATTGGTCGGATCATTTTGATCAGGCTGCGAGTGCAGTCCCACTCCCAGACGCGATCCCACTACTGCCCGCCACGGAGACTTTTGGCTGCTGAGTTTCCCCTCTGACCCGGTTCGCCTCTCCTTAGCTAACCTGGTCACCCTGGACTCCTCCAAGGTGCCCATATTGATGGTGAGCTTAGTGCGGACGTCCAGTCAACGTGGATCCCGCACCCACAGTGACTCCTAACCTCAGATCCTCCACAACAACTAGCCTCCGAGTAGCCGGATTACAGGAGTCGCCACACTCCCAGCTGAGAATATCTATTTCTATTTGTAAACATTAATATTGCATCATACCTAACGTGTTCACGGTGTAATATATTGTAGAGGAAGATTTTCCTCACATCTGATTTCAGGCAAATGGTAGTCATGCAGTGTCTTGTAAAATCATGAAAATCATATGGAATCCCAAAAGCACCGTTTGCTTCTGTTTTTTCCTCTTCCTCTTCCTCCATCTCTATTTCGACTTATCCACGCTATCCTTATAATAATAGATCGCTAACCGACGCATACTAACGGTTCACGCACGATATACGTTGCGCAACTACAGTCGTACCATCACACATAACAAAAATACTGTATCTACAAGGTGGGTGAATTCTTTCATTGAGTTTCATCAACGTAAATTTATGCCCTTAACATTACTCCTGCACTAATATGGCGTTACACAATATATTCTTCTTCTTGGTTCGTCACTCCTGTGGAACTTGGATTCGTTGTCACATTGTTTGTAGATCCTGGGAAACCGGGAAGCGATTAACTTTAACGGAGCGAATAGAAGGGGAAGTTAATGTGCAAACCAAGTGCAAGTGCAATCGCCTTGGCATGAGAATGCACTTTCAGATGCGTAATCAAGTGGCGGAAATGTCGAACACGTGTTATGAGACACATAAGAAATAACATTCTCACTTGTATATTGTTATTCTTTTATTATCGGTTCAAATATTTTCTTCTATTTATAACACTTCACAGCTTTACAGTTGATTCAAATAAGTACACGATAATCAGCAATAATAATACTTATTAAAATCTCATTAATTCATCTGATACATAAATTTGCATTGATAAATTCATTAGTTGGAACAAATGATTTATTCCGCATTTCTGATTATTGCATCGATGCAGAACACACTATTCTTTGTTTAAATTAATCAAATCGTTGAGTTATCATATTAAAATAATTGCTGCTAATGAGCGGTCATAGAACACTATTAAATCGACCTTGATAGCGATGGTATTGATTTTTAATATTCATTTTATTATTTTAATAGAGTTATTTATGATTATTAATCACCACTACATTTTTCATTTTTAGAAACCGGTTGATAATTCCAGCTTGCTCTAGATATTTATTTTTAATTTTGTAATAAATTATTGTTACTAGATTAATTGATATTATTTATGTGATTAATAAGCCATTAATAATTTTGTGTTAAATTTTAATTCCCTGTAAACAAATATGTTATTTTTTTTTCGTTGATGAAGTTTATTCATCTTTAGTAGAAACGGTTAAATCAAAATGATTCCACGATAATTTTGCTTTATTAAATCTTGTTTGTTAAAAGCCATTATAGTTAACAATATCAACTCACATTTAAAGGATTGTTACTTAAGAAAAAGTTGTCTATAAAAACTTGAACAGCTTCGTTAGCATCAAAGTTGGATCACAAACGATCACAAATGATGGCATTCAACACAAAGTAACACGTAATTTTGTTTACCAACATGAAGTAGAAAAAAAGATACTAACAAAAATCAAAATGGCTACCATTTTTATTTGGATAATAATTCTATCAAAGAAGTATCAAGTCAACTATGTGAATGCTTGGTTAGTTTTTCATATTTAAAATACATAATAAAACACTAAGTTTATAATAAACAAAGTTTCTTATGTATTTATCTTTTTTCAAGATAGTTAATTAAATTTTTTCAGTGCTGAAAAGTAGGTCTGATAAGTCATTACAATGATAAAAAATAATTTTTTTATATTGATTAATTCAAAATAGAGTAAATTATTATCTTAGAATCATCAATATTCTGGTGTAATAAATCATTGGAACAAAATCACTTACTTATTACCCCGTCAATTTCTTCAATCAATAAATAACCTGTAAATGAAAATTTTTTCTGATTGTGCGTGCAGGAAATCGCAATCTCAACACCGACTGTGGCATTGAAATTGAATGATGAGTGCTACCGTGACAGAGACTGCGAAGCAAGCATTGAAAATAGCCGGTGTCACTTGGGATACTGCCGATGTTTACCCTTCTTCGCAGCATATAATGAAACCCGTTGTGTCGAGTGTGAGTATAATGATGATGGGCTCTAAGATTTTCCACGGTAAATTGGATGTTTTTGAATCTCCGACTAATGAAATGAAGATAAAATAAGAGAATTTTTTCTCTAAAAATCTCACAAAATCCCGTAAAGTTAAGTTCATTTTATATAACTGTTCCTAATCAGAACATAAATATACACATAATAAACGTAATAATTTTTATTCCGTCTAAGTTATGTTTACTTTGTATTCAAACTCGTTACATTCTAACCAGTTCCTCATTCTTAATTGCATCTTCCCTCCTTCATTACACTAATTCTACCTCCGATGTAATCAGTTCCTTACCGAACATAACCTTAAGGTCAGGTAAATTTTAATTATAATTAAAAATAAAACGCATCTACAATTTACTTAGCATTACTACTGTGATCTTTAACTTTACTAACTAGATTATTTTACTCACAGCAACTCTCCTTGGAAATGACTGTCTGGTGCCGGAGCAATGTTTCATGAAAGTAGCTAATAGCAGCTGCTTAGCTGGAGTTTGCCGATGCGAAGAAGGATATCTTCAATTCCGTAGGCATACCTGCTTGACACGTAAGTTATGAAGTAAAATCTTGTAACTTATCATTCTATTATTGATTTTTAACTTGGGTAATCGATATTGACCCGTTATCAATCGTTAGAAGCACTCAGGATTATCGTAAATTATTCAAAGAATTTACATTTTTACACCATTGAAGAAAGATTTAATCGTCTAATAAATATAGTTTAATAAAGATTTATTACATACATTGGATTCTTCAATACTTTTTAAAATTATTTATTGAATGAAATTGATTTGATTATCATTACTAAACTGTTGATTCAAGTTTGGAGTGGTATTATTGATTGATGGATTTATTCGTCGACTGATATTTAAATATGACAAGTAGTGCAATGAAAGTTAATTAATATTCTTTTTCAGCTGCAAGACCAGGTCAAGTTTGTTACAGTCATGCGCATTGTCGTCTTTGGGACAGCGATACTCACTGTGACTTCTTGATTCCTGATTTATTTGGTCGCTGCCAGTGCACTGCACCCATGAAAAGAGATGGAGAAATTTGTCGACCTAATTCCCTAGTGATTCCCACACTTTCTCCAAATCTACCGATTATTTCAAATGTTTATCACGACAAGGTAAACGATGGAATGCAAGCTGGGAACCTTTCTGATAATAGATCACCCCAGGATGATAATATCACTGATACCGGCAAGATCACTTTTTAAGATTACATTCATTTCATTCATAAAAAGCTACTCTAGAATTAAAGGGTTTAATAGGTCATCTTACTTTCTTATAGGGGTACAAATTTCTTGGCTTAAAAATGCTTCGAGATTATTGACTACTCCAGTAACAACTCCAAGATTCCCAGTTAATCTGGTCACGCGACCAATGTATCGAACTCCAAAACCACATCACGAAGAAACCAATGAACTTCCAGATGACAATGATGCCGTGATAATCGATGCTGATCTCAGTACTGAAATTATTCAGGCAACAACTACGTCTGGTAAGAATTTGAAATTGCTTTACAATTTAGATCACGAAGTAATTTTCTAGTTTCTTGTTATTAAAAGGAAATGAGTATTTGTTTCTTTGATCTAATTAGCTCTTACTTCAAAACATTGGGAATAGTTCTAATTAAAAACTTTCCACAACACTAAGTTCATTTGCAAATCTAAATCCTTTTTTGTACTAGTTTAATAATGATTCTTTAATGGGAAGTGTTTTAGTAATAATAGAAACTAACTCACATAAAATATTACTAGGACATGTTGAAAGCTTTACATATGAGATTGAAACAAATATTTAACATCAATTTTATATAAAAGGAATTTTCAAAATTATCATAATGCATAAAAAACGGTAGATCATATAAAAGACTGTATAGCAGACAGATACAGTTAGTATGTTTTATTTTCAAGTGAATAGAAAAGTCATTTTGTTCATTAGTTGATTTTTTTTCTCTAACTGTCAAAGATTTTTATTGTTGTCACTACATACCGAGTTTGTTACATTTACCAAGTTTTTATAAACACTGCAAAAACTAGAATTGTTGCTGACAGTGTACTTTTTTTCTTAGATACTTCATATGAAATATTAAGATATTTATATTTTGTTGAGAAAAAAAATTAATAATATGCTATTACTTTTTTGAAATACTTTGAATACTACTTTGATGTACTAAGAAATACTCATTATTTCAGTTAATTTGGTTTTCAATTCATATGAGCATGAAAAACAGTAAAAATCTAAAAAATAGCAGAGAATGTATAGCATAATATTATAACTTAATTATAAATAATTAAATTAATTATATATTATTATTTCATTTCATTTATTTTTATTCGTTCCAGCACCAACTAAAACCGATCGGCACGAAACAATAACTTTTTCTGCAGTTAGCTTAGGATTAACGTGCACCAATGATCTTGAATGTCGAATGGCCGATGCTAATTCAAGATGCATTGGCGGTGTTTGTGACTGTGCGATTCGTGGAAATGGAAGTTATCCATGCGGAGCACGGAGAACAGGATGTCCAGGGGGTACATTTCAATGTCGAGCTTCTGGAACATGCATCAGTTGGTTCTTTGTTTGCGACGGAAGACCTGACTGTGGAGATGGTTCTGACGAGGAGTGTGCCAGTGATAGATGCCCTAAACAATCTTTCCGATGCAAAAAGAGTGGAATATGCATTTCGAGAGCTGGACAATGTGATGGAAGAAATGATTGCCCCAATGGGGAAGATGAAGAAGGCTGCAAAAGTCGACGAAGTAATTGAATCTCGTTTCTTTCATTATGTTTAATCGAGCTTGATTCCTATGTTTTTTTTTTGTTTGCCTAAGATTTATAGTTGATGTCTTTTATGGTAAATTTATGTTGATCACCAGGATGTCCTGAAGGAACTTTTCGATGTAACAACGGCCAGTGTTTACCAGCTTACGAATTTTGTAATGCAGTAGTCTCATGCCGAGACGGGAGTGATGAACCACGAGGAGCTTGCCGGAGTCACAATCGAGGTCGTATATCTGCGAGAAATTGCCCTTTCCGGTGTGCAAATGGACAATGCCGCTCAGACGCTATCACCTGTAGTGGTCGTGACGGATGTGGAGATGGGTCTGATGAAACTAATTGCTCAGTTTGCAGTAAGTTTATTCTTTATCTACTTTGAATATCATACAAGTTTTTATATTAAAATTTACTTTCTTTTTCATTTTGCATTTTAATGCTTTGATGAAATAATTCTTTTACATTTTTTATGTACTTGTAATATGAAAATAAGTATGATAAAACATTTTAAATAGTTTGTGATTAATTTTCTGCTGCTAACATTCTAACTTCTGGAAAAATAAAATAAAATAATTTTATCATTCGATTGGAATACTGATAAAAAATAAAATATCTACATTTCATGTAGTGTTTTTTTACTTGTTTCCACTTGCTAATTTCTTTTTAAATATTCAAATGAGTTTTATGTATTTGCTTGATAAAGATCTATTACATGCCGCACTTTTTTTCTCTGACATAAGTGTCAAGATATGATGATAGAGTTATTAATTCATACATATTTTATTTTATTTAATACTTTAATAAAAAAAACTGTTTTAAAGTTTGTTTTAAAATTGATTGTAAAATTAGAACTTATACATTTTTTAATCTAATTTAATATTCATTTCAATAAAAACAACCGTTGTAATTTACGTTTATTTAATTAATTAACGAATTAATTTTCTCTATTATTTATAATGAAAGCCTTATAACTGAATAAAATTTATAAATATTTAATTATTTAATTTCAGGATGTCCTGCAATTGCATAGTAATCAAGACTACAATATAAACTACAACATAAACGAAGAAAAAAATAACGCATTTTTTCGACGATTTATTTGGTACGTGAGTATAGCAGTTGCACGTATGACCAAAGATTAAAATGATTCATGCAATAAACACATTCAATTCTGAATGTTGAATCATTATCAAAAAATATTAGATTTATATACTTTTTATACAGCTCGTATATTGGATTCAGAAAATATTTACTAATCTTGTAAATTAATTATCCATAAAATTGTAAATGGATATCAATGCATTATTATTACCATACAAGAATATTTTTAACCAATAAAACTAGAAAAGTTCAATAGGACATTATTCTTCTATTTTTATACGTAATATCTAATTTTTTAGACAGCATTAATTTAAGCATTTTATAATGTATTTATTATATTTTCATTTTTTATACAGTTGTACGTCATTTCATCATTTTACGACTGAAAATTATTTATAATATTTTTCTGAAATATTTTCTATCCACTGGAGATTTATTTTTGCCATCAACAATGAAATGATTGTTGAAAGGACTTAATTAATTCTTTGAAAGTTTGTATCATATTCCTAAACCTAAAGGTGGACTATAGATTTTTTTCTATTTATTTATGCATATTATTAATTAATTGATAAGTTGATTATATGTAATCATTTTAAGTTGAATAAAAATATCAATTTGGTAAAAAAGTTTAATTATTTTAAAAATTATGACATGATACCTGTTATTTTTGATGATACTTAAGAAATTATGTAATGAATTTATAGCTTTATCAATGCACTAGAAAAATAATAAAAAATAATTACTTTCATACATAAATCGTGTATTTGACGTAAATTTTCATTAATTTTTCCAGTTATGAGTATCATTAACTACATAGTTTCATTCCTGAGTAAAAATAAAGTATTCACTTTGTTGCCAACCATCATAGTCAATTACCTCTGCATGTAAAAACAGGTTGTTTGATATTTCAACCTCAGGCGGGTCAGGTTTAGAACATTCCACCTTGGTTGCATGAATTTAAAAAACTACTTAACGATTAAATTTTATAATTTAACTAATTTTAAGTGGATTGTTTTAAATAAATTTAAGTTTATTTCAAATCATACTGCAAACAATCTTGACATTAGTTAAATCAAAAACATTGTTTTTCTTTCATTATCTTTTTTGTATAATTAATTCATACAGCAAATGTAATTTTGATCATCTTAATTGAAACATTTCTTTTTCTGAAATAAAAGTTTTGATCATTTTAAAAATCAACTCATGAATCAGGTTCACTTAATCCAATCTAGCCTACAGTTTTAACATTTTTCTACTCCACAAAATTTACTTTTTTTTAAATCAATAAAGTATTCACACTCTTAAAAACCAATACTATTCTAGCTTTATTAAATCGTGCTTTGTTTTAAAATTAGAGCAGTTTGCGGAAAAAAACCAATATCGAAATTACTTTCTAAACAATTTTATTTGAACTAAAAGTCAATAATGATCTAAAACCCTTGAAGCTTCTACAGAAAATTCATGAATAAACATTCTAGACAATGCAATGGATTATTAAAGAGTACTGACATCAATGCCCTTGAGAAAAGCGAACAGTAAAAAGTCGATGAAGATGCATAAAAGTGCACTAATTAAGTATATAATCAATGAGGCATGACTTAAATTTAGCTAAAAATCTAAATTTTGATCATGTCTTGACATATATATGCATCATCAAATATGTAGGATATAATGAGAGTGGTGTAATGAGATGTTCTGTGTCAAGGAAATCAAGGAACACGCATGACTATTATCCTATCATCAAGAAAGATGATAATATAAGTAATGTTAACAATATATGCTTCGCGACTGCGTGCCGTCGTGGTCTCTCCGTCAATACTACGCGACGTGTAGTAACGTCAACGTCGCCAATAATAGCACAAGCTTTTCGCTGATTGTTATTTTTATTTAAATAATATGTGATTAATTTTTTTAGTTTGTTGATACTTATGTTGAAGATGTACTCTTTGTTGCTATACAAAATTTTAGAAAATGGAATTTTAATTTAAATAAACAACAAATGGTTTCATTAAAACTATTATGTGATGAAAACAGTATCATCACTGTGCTGTTACACAGCCAATACTAATGTCTGATTGTCATAGAGTTCATCAAGAATATTATCGAATGGCATTTCCTCAAAGTTTTTTACACATCCGTTGATTTGTTCATCCGCAAATTCCATCATGAGTTCATTAGAGATTTTAATTTAATTATTTATTTAAATCTTACTGAGTTGGAATTATTGTGATTCTTAATAGAATGAAGAAATCAACTAAAGTAGTTGTAAGTTTATTAAATTCAATATTACAAATTATTTTAACTTACCTCAATTAAAAATTATATATGAATCAGAGACCGGTTTCGTTATAATTGTTGATGATTCTTGGTGAAGTAAACGTTTATTATTGAGTGGAAGTGATTGCTACATTATATTTTGTTTTAATTTGTTGATTACCTGTAAATAAAAAAAGTTTTTTATTTATTTATTTTGTTTTTGCTTTTTAGATTATTTCGTGACTGTTAATAATTGTGTTTCTTTGTTGTGATGAATAATTTTTCGAACGTAGATGCTTTGAATTCTGCATGTGAGATAAGAAATAAACTGACAATAAGAAATAGTGATGATAATAGTTGGGAATAATTGATTTCCTCATGGTTGTCACGGTACATAAAAGATTTCATTGTTTAAAGATTTTTAGTAAAGTAAAAGTTGCCTGATTGCATTGTTAAACGTCAATTAATTGCATAGAAATATCACAAAATACTAACTAAAAATAATTGAGTTTAATAAGACATTGTTTAAAAGTCTTAATTAACAATTAATGAAATTATTTGTTTTTTTTAAAAGTGCTTTTAATTTTTCTATTATCATATTTTATCATATTACAATATACACGTGACTAAAATTTTTTTCTAAAGCATTTTTGATTTAGTTTGCAAATGTCTGGTGGTTATTTGAAAAATAATACTTTATCTGTTTATTATGATGTAATTAATTGTACATATTATATTTTTATTATAGGAATAAAATTAAAAGACAGATAAAACGATCTCTTTTCTAAATACTACGACTGTGATGCAAAAATCTTCGAAGAAAATAATTTTTAAAAATTTATCATGACAAAAAAAAAGTTGTTATCGCGACTAAAAAGAATATGAAGAAATTAAAGTATTCCAAACTCACCGAGTGCCTTAAAAAAAGACCAGTAATTACAATGCTGTTATTTCCGTGTGTCCTGATTTTAACCCTTTATTATGTATCTAACAAGTATCTTGTTCTCGATGATTTACCGGAGTATAAGATAGCCAACAATCCTGAAGAAGGTGAGAGCCTGAAATTAATTTATTTTAATTATAATTAATTATTAAACCTTGACATATATTTTAAAAATAACGATTTAATAAATAACTTCATATGAGAAGTACTCTGCAGAGTACTAATTTAATAAATGACAGTGAAATTTTTTTTAAATAGCTCAAATATTATACACAAACTTGCTACATGTTGCAGCTTATTAAAATATAATTTCTTAAAATCCACTCTGTCATTATTATCAATTAAATCTGAAAATATATTACTAATAATATTTCTACAAGTGCTATAAAATAAGTATTTAATCTTCTAATAAATTTAACTTACAGAAATTGTTGATGGTTACCTTGTATGGAACTCCAAGTGCCATATGTTATCTTATAATCCAATGGACTCTAGTATACGTAAATTTGTATGGAAAAGAAAATTTGAAGCTTGTTCAACATATCCTCTATTAACTTTTATAGCTAAAGATGCCAATGATACTTTTTCCATTGTAATTAATTCCGAAGCAGCCAAAAATTATCATAATTTCCAATGCTGTTGGTCTTCAATTGAAAGAGTTCAGCCTAGTCATCCTCCCACTGGTGAATGGGATACAAATATTAAGTAAGTTGATTATTCTTTGTAATTTTATCAACTATAAATAGTCTTATAATAATGATGTTCAATAATAGAATGTATATTTTCAGAGTAGGACCATGTGAGAATTTTGAGAAGCAAGCAGTATTGCCTTCAGAAATAGAGATTATTTTGGTTACTTGCAAATCAAAAAGCCATCCTAAGAAAAAAAAACCTAGTACTGTGTACGAGAATATCCATGCCATAGTTAACCCTGCCAAAGTTCAGGAGCAAATAAATGTAACAGAAGAATCAAGAAATGATGATTCACCTGATAATAAAAAAATAAGTGTCTTAGTTCTTGGTTTAGATAGTGTGTCACGGTTAAATTTTCTACGAAGTATGCCAAGAACTGAAAAATATTTACGAAATACTGGTTGGTTTCATTTAAAAGGATACAATAAAATGGGTGACAATACATTTCCAAACCTAATGGCAATTCTTACTGGCCAAAATAGTACTTCTGCCTATTCTAATTGTAAACCAAAGGAAGCATATGGCCTTGATAACTGTCCATTTCTTTGGAATAATTTTAAAAAAGCAGGATATATTACTGCATATGGAGAAGATGATGCTCATCTGAGTACATTCAATTATCTAAAAGTAGGATTTGTAGATCCTCCAACAAATTATTATCTCCGACCTTACGTTTGGGCAACAGAAAAATTGCTAAAAGCCAAATATAAATATAATGCCAAGTATTGTACAGGACCAGAGCTTGCCATTGATAGAATATACAATTATGCTGTAGAGTTTGCTCAAACTTTTCTAGATCTACCTTATTTCGCATTTTTTTGGACTAATACTGTTACACACAATGATGTCAATGGAATTTCCTCTTTAGATGACTATTTTTTGAAAAAATTAAAAAAGCTAGAGAAGATTGGAGTGTTTAATAATACTCTAGTAATTTTTTTAAGTGATCATGGAATGAGATGGGGTGAGATAAGAAATACATTTGTGGGTTGGTATGAAGAGAGGTTGCCTTTTCTTTATTTAAGGATTCCAGACTGGTTGAGAGAAGATTCCAAAGTAGTTCAAGCATTGAAGAGTAATGAACATAGATTAACTTCACCTTATGATATATACGAAACATTTCGAGATATTTTAACACATGTTGGTGGTGAAGCATTTCCTAGTTCTGGTTGTCCAAAATGTCAAAGTCTTTTTCAACCTGTGCCAGTTGAAAGAAGCTGTGAAGATGCTGGTATTTCACCTCATTGGTGTACGTGCACTGGATTCCTACCAGAAGATCCTGAAAGTAAAGTAGCATTAGCAGGTGCACAAACATTTATAGATTATATAGAGAATGTAATTAAAGACTTCAAAGACAAGAAAGGCCGGCGTATTTGTGCCAAATTAAAACTGAAGAGAATTTATAGGGTTGATAAAATTCTTAATTTGGATAACATTACAATAGCAGATGATGTAGAGAAATATTCTTATCTTATTGAACTTTCACCAGGAGGTGGATTATTCGAAACTACTGTTGAAATTGACAAGGATGGGCGTTCACGAATGTCTGAAGAAGAAGTCAGCAGAATAAATTCTTATGCTAAAGACGCCAAGTGTCTAGATAATGGCTTTAAAAAGTATTGTTATTGTTTAGGTTGATGATGATTTTAATGATAGATTGAATTGTTTTAAAAATGAAAAATCTGAGATATTATTAAATAAGAGATTAAATTGTGTGACATATCAAAAAAAAAATGTTGGTGATATGTATTATAGTATGCATTGTAAAAAAAGTTCATAGTTAAAACCTAATTTTGTAGGTTGAATATACTTTTATTAAACAAAAGAAAAAATTTTATAGTGAGAGTGCCAATAATTTAATTACTCAGATATAATTATTGGAAAATTGAATTTTTATGACAATTAAAGTGATTGATAACGATCATGTATTCCCAACTAAAAAGTGATTCTTTTACCAGTAGTGGGAAACATCGATTGTAAACATAAAATATCAATGTCATATTTCATTCATTTTCTTTACATGATTATAGTATTTATTTTAAATTATAATAACGTAATAATTTATTTTTATATTATGAAAAAAGTTGTCGATAAAAACAATGAGATAAAACTTTTACTTGCCTATTTGTTGAAATAAATAATCATTGTAAATGATAAGTTCCAGAAATAATTACTCCAATTTGTAATTACTACTTTCGACTAACCTCAATTAATGATTAGTTCTAATTTTCTTTTTTCCGGACCTAATTAAAATTGCACATGTGAATTAAAGATTCACGTCCATAATACGTGTGTGATTTTCAATTTCTGTGCAATTATTCTCATTTGAAAATTCACAAGCTAATTAGTGGCGGTGGCGCTAGAGTCGCGATTACGTTTTGAAGTCAAGTTGCCCATCTTGTTGAAGTAATGTTTTACTGTCAGTGAATTGTGGCGATGAATGGCCGCCTCGTTCAGTGTACGATTACTCTGTTTTCTTGCGATTCATTTTTTGTAATTCAGTGACCCGCGTCTAAAACAGCTTAGAATTGCATTGCAATTGGTAAGTAACCCGATAACCAATTTGTCTTAATTTAAACGAATTTCCCAATAAGTATTTATAAGTCGCTGTAAATGAAAATTGTCAACTCCAAAACGTGCTCTGGTTTATACGGCCGGTAATTTGTTATTATTTTCGATCAAAATTAAATCTTTAACCTCATTATTATAATTAATGATTTAATTATCATAATGTTTAATAATTTTTTTTTACATATTGATGAAAATTTTTACATCTTTTGTGATGATTTACTTGAATCGACAATATATATCTACTGTCAGCTTATGGCAGACTTTTATATATAGTAGAAAACTTCTAGAGTACCCCAAGCGTATCAAAAATGTACTGATCTCTGATCTTGTTTATCCGAATAATTTTGATACACTTATCAAGTTGTAAAAATAATTGTAATAATTTTCGTAATATATTAATGCATTATTACTACATTTTTAGAATTTTTATAAGAAACAGAAACCAATTATGGTAATGTCAAGTCTCATGAAATTTTAATTACTTTCTGGAATGCATACAAAAGAAACAATTTAGAAAATGAAGTTGATTAGAAGATTCTTATAAAATTATAAAATATTATGTGAATATTAGTTATTTACTATTAAGTAACGATAGTAATATAAATACTTTTCGTCATGAAATATAATTTCTTAAAAAGACTGCTTCAATGTTTACAGAGTAGCTGAGTTATTATATTAGACGTAAAGACATAACGATTAAAAATGGACAAAACAACAGATGGATTATACCATCCAGATCGGAACAATGGAGCGGAAGATGTTACCATGACATTGGTAAATGCTGACGAGAGAGTTGCTATTCTGGATGCTGGTGCTCAATATGGAAAGGTGATTGATCGGAAAGTTCGTGAATTAAATGTTCAGTGTGAAATTTTATCGATAGATACACCAGCATATGTCCTCCAAGAAAGTGGATACAAGTCAGTAAAAATATATCAAACTATTTAATCAATATTGACAGTAAATGATAAATGAACAAATGAAAATTAATACTTATTATTTTGAACAGAGCTATTATTATCTCTGGAGGACCTAGTTCTGTTTATGCTGAAGATGCACCACGATATGATGGTGATATTTTTCGAATAGGCATCCCAGTGTTAGGTATCTGCTACGGAATGCAGATGATGAACAAAGAGTTTGGAGGCACGGTTATACGAAAAGAAGGTAGAGAAGACGGACAATTTCCTATTGAAGTCGATCCCAAGTGCCTTTTATTCAAGTAAATATATTACTCTTTTTACTTTTCAATGAAAACTTATACTTGAATGTCAAAAGTTTTATTTTGATTAATGTTTTTAAATATTTTATTATCAGGGGCTTGGATAAAGAACAGTTAGTTCTTCTTACTCATGGAGATAGTATAGAAAGAGTAGCTGATTGTTTTAGAGCTACAGCCAAATCATCGAATTTCATAGTTGGAATAGCGAGTGATAAAATGAATTTGTATGGTGTACAATTCCATCCAGAGGTTGATCTCACTCCAAATGGAAAACAAATGTTACATAATTTTCTTTTCGGTGTAGCTGGGCTCACTGGTAACTATACAATGCGTGATCGAGAAACCCAGTGTATTCAGTATATTAAAGAAACTGTTGGCAACAATAAAGTATTGGTAAGCTTCACATTTTTCTTAAATCTAGGAAATACGAAGTCTTGAATTTTCATTGAAACTGCAAATTTCAACTCTTATAAAAACTACTGGATCAATAACTCAGCTACTAAATTACTCTTAGATAATTTTCATAAAACTCATGGATAATAATATCAATAAAAGTTGATGAAAATAAATAATTAGTTACTAATGAATAAAAATGATAAAATTTACAGCTCTTGGTAAGTGGCGGTGTTGATTCCACCGTCTGTGCGGCATTATTACATAAAGCGTTAAACAAGGAACAAGTAATTCCACTACATATTAACAATGGATTTATGCGTAAAGGGGAGACTCCATTTGTTGAACAAAGTTTAGCACAACTAGGCATTAAATTGCGAGTTGTTAATGCAGCACATTATTTTATGGAAGGAACCACGTCGATGCCATTAGATAATGTTCCACCTGTTAATGTTGTTAACAACAAAGGAATTGGAGTTACCACAATTGGTCCTAGAACTAGAATAACCAAAATGCTCTGTCAAACGACAAGTCCTGAAGAGAAACGTAAAATAATCGGTGATGTGTTTGTTCGAGTGGCTAATGATGCTATGACTGAAATGGGGTTAAAACCCGATGAAGTCTTTCTTGGACAAGGAACACTTAGGCCCGATCTTATTGAAAGTGCAAGTGCACTTGTCAGTGGTAAATAATCTAATTACATTTTGTTTAATTAAAAGTTAACAGCTAAATTAAAAATCATTTATGCTCTTTAATAGACAAAGCTGATGCAATTAAAACACACCACAACGACAGTGAACTCGTGAGAGCTTTAAGGGCGCAAGGTCGAGTAGTAGAACCTTTGAAAGACTTTCACAAAGATGAAGTAAGACAAATTGGGTGTGATTTAGGCTTACCAGCATCTCTCGTTCAACGACATCCGTTTCCTGGACCTGGATTAGCTATACGTATATTGTGTGCAGATGAACCTTACATGGATAAAGACTTTTCTGAAACACAGGTATATTCTTATTTTTAACATCGATTTACGTTCAACCTTTGATAATTCACTTTTTCAAGCCGGAAATTATTTTTTTTTTTTTGTAAAATCATATTAAGATAAGGTTATTTTATAGGTGATCGTAAAAATAATGGCCGAGTACGAACAAATGCTTCAAAAAAAGCATGCATTGCTAAACCGTGTCGAAGGTGCAACCAGTGAATCAGAACGTCAACATTTACGAAGAGTATCAAGCAACCATCATATTGCAGCTACTCTTTTACCAATACGTAGTGTTGGAGTACAAGTATGTTATTTTTTTTTTTCTCTTGCGGGTTAATATTTTTAGATACAAATTTTGGCAAATTTATTTTGATGATTCACGCTTTTTTTTTAGGGTGATAGAAGGAGCTATAGTTATGTAGTGGGTTTATCCTGTGATGAGCCAGCACCAGAAAATATTGTCTGGGAAGATTTAATGTTTCTTGCCAGGCTGATACCACGTGTGTGTCATAATGTGAATCGTGTCTGTTATATATTTGGACCGTTGGTCCAACATCCAATTACAGACATCACACCCACACATCTTACTTCAAATGTGATCGCAACATTGAGACAAGCCGATCATTTAGTTAATCAAGTATTAGCATCAAACGGCTGTGTAAATGCTATCAGTCAAATGCCAGTTATTTTAATTCCTGTGCATTTCGATCGTGATGCTGCTACTAGAACGCCTTCTTGTCAGCGCTCAATTGTTCTTAGGCCTTTTTGTTCAAGTGATTTTATGACTGGTACTCCAGCTATTCCTGGCAATCAATTGCCCATGCATGTAAGCTTCTTTAATTGAATTGTTTAGAAGTCTCTTATATTTTTATTTATTTCAACGATTAATTAATTAATATCTTTTATTTTTCTTTTGTAGGTTGTTAAGAAAATGGTGACTGAAATATCAACAGTACCAGGTATATCGCGCGTTCTTTATGATTTATCCTCGAAACCACCGGGTACTACAGAATGGGAGTAAATGACACTTATTTTCGACTCATTTCTTTCTATTTTTTCACCACCTTTACGCGTAACGACTACAGAAGAGTGAAAAAAAAAATATATTGCAAAAATATATCTATTACAAAAAATTTAAAAATACAAGATTATGAATTCTTACCGATTTATATAAGAAAAAATAACTAAGCAAGAATAAATACTTGGAATATATTTGTATAGACTTATTATATACATACATTCATATATTCCAAGTTATTTTTGCTTAATATAATCGTGAAATGATTGCTTAATCATTGCACTGATTAAATATGATGGTATTGTGTACATTAAGGTCGAAGGTAAGTATCATGTTTGCTTGTAAATATGTCTCTATTAGATCAATTGTATAAAATAATAATTTATTCAAAACAAATGAGAAAACACATCATCCATGATTAATTTTTGCATCCGCAAATGTTACATTTTATTGATGGTAACATTAAATTGCTGTTGTACTCGATTTGCATATAATGTTGAACATGCTCAACAGATTTCCTATAGGTTTCATGCCAAACGCAACTTCCACTTTTGGTCATACATCTAAACAAACAAACATGTAGTAAATTAATGTAATTTTTATCATAATACCACTTTTGTTTTAATACAAACAAACAAATAAGAAGAAAAAAATAATCTCTTCAAAGTGTTCTTTTTTATTATTATAACCATTGCTTTATTTATAGTTCGCATAAATACACAAATTCACATGATGTAACTTTTGATCTTACCTGTACATGGTTTTCATTAAAATATGCAAGTCCTCTATACGCCTTTCTTTTGGAAGCATGCTAAGAAAAGTTGCGATTGATAAAGTGTCTATGTCATTGACATGAGTAGAATTTGCGATCCACGTTTGTATTTGATTTTTTACCTAAAAAGTTTTGTTATTAATTATAAATATTAAATAAATTGTTAATATTAATTAAGGAATATTAAATAATACTTGATATAATGGAAGACTAAAGAGGTAGTTTACTAAATTTGTTAACATTTCTTGATGTTCATTTTTTATATTCCATCCTTGAAAATTCAATTGATGTGATTTAATAGCTTCCCCTTTATCATCAATCATAATGTCGTCTTGTAAGATACTTATTTCATTTTCTAAAAAACTTCTTCGTTTAGATAATGCAATATCACTACCATTAATTTTCTTTTTATTATCAGCTGCCTTCTTTTTTCCTTTCAAAGTTTGAACATGATTTTTGGTATTATTAATAACTTTTGATTGATGAATTTGATCATTTACAATTTTCATATTTTTCGGCTTACGACCTCTTCGCTTTATAGGGAGTATATTTTGCATTGGTTTAATAAATCCATTAGACGTCGTTGCTTCTTCAGTTAATGGCTTTTTCATTTTTATTTCTTTTTCTCTTTTTTTGGCCATACAATACATTTTGACATCATTCTTGATATCTTCAGATAAACCAGCTAAAAAATCTGGATCAACTTGTGAAAAAGAAACACTCATCTCATGAATTGGTTTTCTTACTTCCTCTGAAGACTTTTCACGATCTTTAGCTTTTTCATTACTAGAACTTTTAATTACATTAATACTGTTTATTGCACTGGTAGCTTTTATATCAACTTCACTAGTTTGCCCTCCGTCTTTCTCATTATTACTTGATTTATAATGATTTAGTATTTCATTACGAATATCATCAGGCAATTCAATCAATACTTGCATGTCAATCTCCTTAACATTCGGCAAGTTTGGTTTAGTAAATGCTCGAGGTTTTACTTCTTTAAAATAATCTGTAGCCTGTGGAAGTTTCTTTTTTACCTGTTTCAAAGCTAATTCTTTAGTTTTGCAGTTTCCAGAAAGCTTTGTTGAAACATTTGTATCAATTTGTTGAGAACATGGAATGATTTCATCATCGCTATCAACCTCTGGAGTAGTAATTTTATTCTCAAAATGACTATGATTATTTTTAATTGCACTATTACACTGTTCAACAGGTTCTAAGGATTTTAAACAATCATCTAATTTATTATTTTTATCTTCTGAATTTAAAACAACTTCATTTTTATGATAATTTATTATTTCCATCCTTATATCTTCAGGTAATTCATTGAGTACTGCTTTATCTATTTCAGTAGGTGCTGGAAATCGACTAGATGATGGTTTTGAGTAAGATGTTGAAGGTTTTTTAACTTTAAAGTAAGCATCAAGACCTTGAGGTTTTTGCACATTTGATTCAGTTTTTTTCTCATTACTACCATTAGTTTTTATATTAATATCATTATTTTTTCTTTCAATTATTTTCGGTTCGCTTGAGGCTTCTTTAAGCGTATTAATTTTTTGTTCTGGTTTTTTCAGCTCGTTATTTATAATTTCTCGTGCAGATGTCTTCCCTTTGGCGATAAACTTCACCATAGAAGTATCGGTAATTTTTTTCGGTATCTCTAATCTCGAAATTTGAATTCCAATTCCACGAATATCATCAGCAGGTTGCTGCATTTGTTCCCATAAACTTAGAGCTTCTCTGGTAATAACTATTTCATCATCAACTGCTACTAAAAGATTTTTTGACTTTGTAAAGTTATCACAAATTCCATGACCCATAAATTTAGCTGGATCTTTTGGAGCATTTTTAGCTCTTACCATTAATTTTAATGTAATACATCTCCCTTTGGCATTGGCTTTCATCAATCTGTTACCAACTTCGGTGGAAAGTTTTTTTAAAAATTCCCGGGCATCCTGATCATTCTCGAAACGAATTCCATAATTAACTTCCGCTGAAACAGACTTTCTTATATGCTCTATGCTGAGTTTTGAATAATCAATACCTCTACATGTATTATACAACATTTCCCCTGTCTTCTTTCCAAATTCTTTCTGCAAAGTATTAAGAGGTATTTCCTGCAAATCGTAGCAGATTTTTACATTCATATTTCTCAATTGATGCATAGTCGAATAACCAACTCCAGGAATATCTTGAACCTTTATTGCTCCTATGTAAGCTCTCACATCTTCCGGTCTTAAATAAAATTGTCCATCAGGCTTAGCTTTTTTTGTTGCTAATCTTGCTTGCAGTTTATTACTACCAAACCCAGTAGATACAGGACAACCAGTTTTTTGTTTAATTTCCTCTCTGATTATTGCAGCAAATTCTAGAGGAGTTAAATTACATTGCTGGAGGATTAAAGAGATATCAGCGTACATCTCATCACAACTAACGGCTTCAATGTCCAATGTATAAGAAGCGACAGTGTTATAAAGAATATAAGAAACTTCCTTATATCCCTCAAAATCGTATTTAATTGTCTTTAAATTAGGGCAAAGCTTTAAAGCTTGTCCAAGAAACATTCCATTTTTTATCCCAGCTTTCCTTGCTTCGTAAGAACAAGAAGCTATTTCTGCCATTGAAATGAATTCTTCATCATTGATGTTAGAGAGAATAGCTGGTTTATTTCCTCTGGCGTGGGTGACAGCGATAGGTAATCCTTTTAATTCAGGCTTATTCCTTATTCCAACAGAAACAAAAAAGCAATCCATGTCTATGTGCATTATTATCGATTCTTTTTTATCTTTCTCTTCTAATGGGTGGTTTAATCTCACTGGAGGATCAAAGATATCCTCATCAGAAGAGTCAAGATCTTTCTGAATTACAGAAAGCTTTCTTTGCGACTCACTCAGCTCCTTCAGACGTTCTAAACCAGGAAAAGATCCAGTATTTTTAGATCGTAGTTCATTTACGTATTCTTTGAAAGTAGCTCCCATTGTTGATATATGATGTAAACGAGAGTTGTTGTAAAATTCTGTCAGAAACTCTTCATTTTTAGAACATAAAGCTGCTCCATGAGACTTTTGTTCTTTAACAGCTACGTTAGGCATATTTGTATTTACAATTTTAAAAGTTTCTTCTTTGAGATTTGTTGACTTTGATATGTCATTTACTAATTTAATAGAGTTAGAAGGCCCGCTAACATCTTGAACCTCTTTAATATTATTTAACTGAGTTTCTTTTGTACAATTTTGATTTGATTTACTACCCATTTTTAACTGGGGTTGAGTTATAGATGATTGATTATATAGAAGGTAAGGCCTCCAATCTAATAATTTATTGGCTTTAATACTGTCAGTAATCCACTCAGGTTTACATAGTGGAAGTGGATTTTTACTTTTTCGGTACTGAATTATTTTAGAGTAAGGCAAGTTTGAAGCTATCAAGTGAGTGGTAGCACCAGACCGAAGGTAATGATGATATATTCCTCCATATTCCATCATCAAACGTTTTAATTCATCAGCACAAGGGTTAGTATAACCATTTACAAAAATAGCTATGCCACGAAAGAGATCTGTTGCATGAGAAAATTCACTTTCAGCTGCTTCTTGAAATTGGTCTTCAAGCTTGGCTTTTTTTGCAGCCATATAAGATCCCTGTATAATTACATATAAAGGTTATTAATTAAAAATGAGTAGAATATTGATATTAATATCAAAAAAATTATTGTAAATAATTAATATATAACTTACCCAGTCTTCCAGTCCATTTTCAGCCCAAGCTTCTTTTTTCTTTTTTCTTGACATTGTTAATTAACAATAATTACTAATAACATTACAAATATATACATTGGTTAAAAAAATAAATAGCACTTAAAAATAATTCATTCTATTTGTATAATAAAAATTGTAAAAAAATAGGTGCAAATTTCTATTATTTTGTATTAGAACAATTTGCATTTTGCTAAAATTTATGTAAAATTATAAAAACTTTTTCAACTTTAAAATTAACACATTGTTATGATTGTTTACTTTTTTCATTCGTTGTGTTCCATCGATAAAAATTTATTCCAGGTATAAAAAAAATTAACAGATGTCGTTAAAAATCCTTTCTTATTTATCAACCGAAGATGCCGCCAGATGACACCCAATTGGGATTTCCCAAAATTCTCGTCGCTCATGAGGCCCATTGTTTGCATCATCCGGGTGATCAATTTAACATTTCATACATAATTACTGTTATAGTTTATATTTCAAGCTGATTATTGTATTTCATTAATCTTAATCGACAAGGAAATATAAAAAATAATGTAAGTACACCTTTATTGAACGTAGTCATAACATAAATATGACAGGTTTTAAATCAATAAATCTACCGGCAGACATTCATAGCAATGTTTGTGTTGTTTACATTTTTTTTCTACGCATCAGCAAAACTTTAGACGATTATTTCAGGGAAATGAAAGATAACAATGAAACCTATGTACTTCTAAAGTATTTAGGAAAATGTATTTCAACAAATGCTTTATACATCATTACATGTAGACAGATTCTAACCTTTTGAGACTGAAATCAAATTTATTTTATTTCAATAAAAATTCGTTTGATTTATAAATATACAATAGTTTATTATTTATATTACGTGATTTATAAAATATTTAATTTATTGTTTGGAAATAAGGTAAATGTATATTTGTAATGAATAAATCATACCAAATTAAGTTGAAAAAGTTACCATTTCTACAAATGAAGAAAATACTAACAAGATTTTCATCCATTTTGAATGTTAAATAAAATCTCTTTATTAATAATAGAATATGTGTATGTTTTAAAATTTTGATTATATTTATAAGCTTTTTATAGATAAATTATTTATTTGTACAAGTTGTAAATGGTTGATAGGTAAAGTAGATTTTAAAATGGTTTTGTTATCTAAACATTGATGCTGTTTTAACTAAAGAATGGAATAAATTCTAATAAAATAATTTATAATTTTAGAATAATGGGTGATCGTTGGGAAACTGATAGCTATTCGAGAAGTGATAGGAGACAATATCAGGATAATTACCGGGATAATAAACGGAATGATTATTCAAAGAGAGAATGGACAAACTCAAACAGAGATCATCGTGGTCGACGTTCGGATAATTCAAGTAGAGATTATCAAGGAAGAGATTCGATGAACTCGGATCAATCATATTACGGACGAGACTCTCAACATTCAAATCGAGATTATGGGAGAGGACGTGATTCCAGAGATTATCGTGGAGGAGAATCTCAAAATAACTATGGCAGTTATGACAATCAAAATAAAGATGATCAAGTGATATATGTTCAGCAAAGACACGTTGGAAGAATTATTGGACGTGCTGGAGCCACAATTAAAGATTTGCAATCCCAGAGTAATGCTAGAATTAATGTAAGTACTTCGATTTTTTAAATTATTAAAAAATAATAATCATTTTAGAAAATTAATGTAAAAAGATTAATCATCTCTATTTGGAAATATTGAGATTAAGTGATAAGATTATAGTTGTCTGAAAGTATTATCCAGTTTGTAACATATTGAATTAATTTGATAGATTGACAAATCCAATGGAGGAGGAGATGCTGCAGTAACTTTAACTGGATCTATTGAAGCTCAAAACAAAGCCATGGAACTTATTGGACAATTAACTGGTGAAACTTATTCTGGGTCACAGCAGGATAATCAATCTTATTCTGCACCTCAACAAGATAACTATCAATCATACGATAACAATCAAAGTTACCAGAATAATCAGTATTCTAACAATGATTACACAAAATCATATGATAACACACCAAAGCCTCAACAAGAAGAAAGAGATCCTCTTGACTTTGGTGAATTTGATTGGACCATAGCAAATAAAGAACACGAAGAATATATGGCTCAAAGAATAGCAAAATTGACGCCTTTAAAGAAAGATTTTTATAATGAAGATCCAGAAGTTGCAAATATGACTGATGAACAAGTCGCACAAATTCGTAAGATGAAGAATAATATTTCATGCCGTCGTGTATTTGAAGAAGAAAACAAAGATAAGTGTCCAGATTTTAAAGTACCTAATCCTATTTTAAAATTCGAACATGCTTTTCGTGATTATCCTGAAATTCTAGAAGAAATTCGCAAGCAGGGTTTTACAGAACCAAGCCCAATTCAATGCCAAGCATGGCCAATTCTTTTAAGTGGTAAAGATATGATTGGTATTGCTCAAACAGGTACAGGGAAAACTCTTGCATTTTTATTACCAGCGTTGATTCATATTGATGGTCAAGTAACACCACGTGAACAAAGGGTTGGACCAAACGTATTAGTTATGGCTCCTACTCGAGAGTTAGCATTGCAGATTAACAGTGAAGTAAAAAAGTACGAGTATCGCGGAATTAAAGCTACATGTGTGTACGGAGGTGGTAATCGCAAAGAGCAAATAGAATGTGTTGTAAAAGGAGTCAACATTGTTATTGCTACACCCGGAAGATTAAATGATCTTGTTAATGCAGGGAAATTGGATGTCAGTGAAGTGAGTTATTTGGTCTTAGATGAAGCTGACAGGATGCTTGATATGGGTTTTGAACCACAAATCCGTAAAACTTTGCTTGATGTTCGTCCTGATCGACAGACTGTAATGACGAGGTATATATCATTTATGACATGATTAAAATAAGTTACGAGAAATAAATTTAACGATTCTCTTTTCATGATTCCAGTGCCACATGGCCCCAAGGTGTTAGACGATTGGCTCAATCTTACATGAAAGATCCAATCCAAGTATATGTAGGATCTTTGGATTTAGCGGCAGTTCATTCCGTCCGACAGACGATTTTAATCGTTGATGATTCAGAAAAAGAGCAATATGTAAGTTTTGTACATTTACTAATTTTAAATAAATTTAGATGCTTGTTTATATAGAATATTTAATTAATTATTGATGGTTTTTTTAATAGCTTGAAGATTTCATTAGAAACATGGGCGAAGATGATAAAGTTATTGTTTTCTTTGGAAAAAAAACCAGAGTTGATGAATTTGCTAGTAAAATGGCGTTAGCAGGTATTACTGTACAAAGTATTCACGGAGGAAGAGATCAACAGGACAGAGAGCAGGCTCTCGCTGATTTAAAATCAGGATCAGTTAGAATACTTCTTGCTACTGATGTTGCTAGCCGTGGAATTGATATCGAAGATGTGACGTAAGTATTCAATTAGTTGATATTGAAACTTGAAAGGAACAATACTATATAACTTCTTATTTCTACAGTCACGTTTTCAATTTGGATTTCCCACGTGATATTGAAGAGTATGTTCATCGTGTTGGTCGTACAGGACGAGCTGGACGTTCTGGAGAAAGTATAAGTCTTGTAACTCGTGGTGATTGGGGTATGGCTGAAGACCTTATTGCTATTTTGGAAGAAGCAAGTCAGGTATGGTATTTTACATATAAAACAATTAACAAACATTAAGTATTAATGAATTTAATTTAATTATTTATTAATAATTATCAGGAAGTACCTGAAGATTTATACAATATGAAAGATCGTCACGGTGCATGGAAAGAAAGGAAAGCTCAAGAGAAAGAAACAGCACGTATAGATGCTCAGGGAGGAGGTGGACGTTATGAACGTGGTAATCGTGGTGGCGGAGGCCGAAGAGGTGGAGGAGGTGGTGGTCGAGGACGTCGTGGCGACAATTACGGTTCTTTTTATTAAATTTAATTTCTCGTAATTTTTCATATGTAAGTTTTTGTTTAAAAACTCCTTAATTGTTGAATTTTTAAACAAACAAAATAATTCTACTTATCCTTACGAATTCGATTATGATAAGAGTACAAAAACATTCAGTTTAAGCACAACGTCATTTTTATGTTTAATTTAATTTTTTTCATTCCAAATTCAAGTAGATTAAATTTCGAAAAGTCTGAGGTTAATAACAATTCAGGGATTACGTGTCTTCCTAAAAATACTGTAAGTGTAGATAATACATAATTCCTATTGTTTATTCACATCACAGATGGACTTATTTTCTATTTATATATAGATTATGATTACAAACGGATATATTTACTTTGTTATTCATATAAAATTATTTTTGCAGTACATTATCGAATAACCAAATCATAATTGTGATATTAAACATTTAGATTTGGGTTATTTTTAGAAAATATATATTTAGTGATTTAATAATAACTAAAAGTCATTATTATTACTATTATTATTATAAATATTATCTCATCAATAAATTAAAAAAAAAATAATATCAAGAATAAAATAATGTGTTCAAATAAATTTCATAATCATTAGATAATAAGAATTATGTTAAGACTTATCAAGGAATAATTCGAAGTATTTTCACTTAATCTGAAAACAAGAAAGTTTAGATTGGCATTACATGAACAGCTAAGTAATATTAATTAATTAATTAAAACAAACTATTTTAATTAAAGTGCGTTTGAGGTTTCCAGCAACATCACTGACTTGTGTTCGAGATGAAATACTGAACTGTTGTGGGTGACATGAAGAGGAGGAATCACATGTGAGTATACTTTAACTTCTAGTAGTAACTTTCAATTAATAATCGCATGTAGTATTTTTGATTTATAATCGTATCATAGTAGAAAATTCAATTTCATTAAAAGGAAAGCTGTAAATATTCTAGTAGGTAATTTTATAAATTTTAAATTCATAGGAATGAAAAAAATATTGATGTATAAAGACACTCTCTGAGAGTAATGTAGTTGATTCACGTTAGTGTTTTTGTTTTAACTAGCGTAATTAGATTTTTGAATATGAAGAGTTGATCATGTTGTAATAACATTAGTACGATAAAATTATCTTGAAAAAGCTTCTTAATTTATTGTTTAATTACTTTAAAAATTTTTAATAATTTATGCAAAATTAATTGATATTAAGTTAATAAAATATCTTTTTTTTTGTATAAAAAATTTATAACTCATAAAATTACAAAATTTTCCATTGTTTGTGATAGGGAAAATGTTGATTATGAATATCTGGTTATTATGGATTAGGGTGAAGAAGAAATAGTATCAATTTGCAGTTGAAAAGACAATATTTCTCGTCTTAAGAAGAACGAGCTGCTCTAAGTATCCTTATAATGGCTTTTACTCAAGAGCTGGTATTACAAAAAACTGACAAAGAAACAAAGCATAAATATCATGAGACCAAATCCGTCGGTATTTATGAAGGTAGTAGTAAAGAAGATGAAATAAATTACGTCGAAAGTAGAGATTATATTGTTATTGCTGAACCAAAAAGATTGAACGATCTTACTCAGTTAGGTAATTTATATGTGAGTAGACTAAGTTATTTGGTCTTGGATGAAGTTGATTGTGTACTTGATGTGGGCTTTGAGGCATAAATTCGAGAAGCTTTAGGTAGTATATATCAGTTTCGATTGACAAACAATTATAACGAGGTAACGTTAATGTTATCTAAATTCAGCACTACACGTATGTTCATCCAAAAATAAATTCAGACAAAATTATTAGAAAGCTTATCAATATCTAACTATTAATATTATTCATTTAGTACTATTTCGTCATCAACAAGTTCGAAACTTGGTTCAATGTTTTATGAATAATAGAAGCGTCTATGATATCTATAAATCTAATATTAGTTCACTTAGTAAAGTTATTTATACGGTTTTTACTTTTATTGGAGAATTGTATAACAAAAGTTTTAACCACACAACACTTTATAAAATATTTATAAATTATTCTGTATGAAGATTTCACTCAAAATATGGGCCAAGATATTGAAGTTATCATTTTTTGTGAGGTGGAAATTCAAGTTGAGTTCTCGAATTACATGGTGTTATAAGGTGTTAATTTTCGGAGTACATCTGGAGACAAGAACCAATCAGGTAGAGAGCGAACACTAGACAATTTTAAAATTGGACTAGTTTAAATACTTCTTGCTACTGACATTGATAGTTGTGGCCTTGATATTGAAGACGTTATGTAAGTAAGTATTGAACTTAATCGAATAATGTAGCTTATTAATATTGATTAAAATTCATTACATTTTTTTTTTTTTTTAGTTATGCTTTTGATTTTAATTTCACACGGAATGTTGAAGATTTATTCATGATATTGGTTGTGCTGGAGAAAGTAAAACTCCTATAACCTGAGGCCAATGGAATATTGCTAAAGAGTTAATTGGCATTTTGGAGAAAGAGAATCAGGTAATAAATGTTTTACAAACTTTCTAAATGATTGAAATGATGGATTTCATTTAATAATGTCGTAATAATTGTCAAAAAATTATCGTGGAAATGTATCGTGACAGAAGGATATGAATAATATAAATCAAATCAAGCTAAAATAAAATAGTAATATGTATAAATTTCCCTTAGGATAAAGGCGTTTAAAAAAATTTTTTTAATAGCAACCATCATTTTAATTGAATATTATTTATGAATGTTGATTAAATTAATTTCATTTCAATTGTCACTTTTATTTAAATTCATGGAATGTACTGGACTAAAGTAGAAAATTAAATTGCATTTATTAATAAAATATTAGGTAGGAAGATGAAAAAATTACAATGGTGTTTTATAAAAAAATAGAGACTTTTCTATGTGTAATTTTTCTCTGCTATGAATTGTGATACATTTAAGTTACACAGAACTTAACTTATGAAACATTCAGGGACGAAATAGTCTTCGTGTATTATAAACTTGAATATGATTTGAATGGTTTATTCATACCGTGTAAATAGCACTAGTTCTTCATGTAGGCGTATTATATTTATTTATTGAATATTGCATATGCAAATATATACAACGTGTTTATAATAAGATAAATATGTTATTGATATATTATTCTATTTAAATCCTATAAAAAGAGAGTATTATATAATTCGTTAATTACAGAATTCAATTGTAATAATAGAATAACAAGTTGAATTCTTTCAAACAGAAGATTTGTTAATTGTAATCAGCTTCAGTATAGTAAAGAATATAAAAAAGTTCTTTATTCCCGAGATAAAAAAGGAATTTGCAAATCCATTTCATCAGTACATTCATTCAAAGGATATAAAAAAGTCTATCTGAGCGAACTTCAATCCATTGTTAATTTAATCAACGAAAAACTTTACAGAGAACTTTTAGATAAAAAAATTTTTTTATTTGACATTGTTTTATTTTTGATTATTCTTTTGATTGAAAACTGTTTGTCGGAGCATCACAAAATACCCAGGATTACCAAATTTTAAAACTATTGTTTTATATCTTTTTAATATTATATTCATTGTCAAATTTAAAAATATTATTTATTTATGAAAGCTATTTTAAATATTTTTATTCTTTAGAGGAAATAGGTCTTAAAAATGTAACCAAAATTTCTAGTTTACTGAATTTATTATTCAACAATATCTACATTTATTTTTAGCATCAAACTCTTATCATCAGTGATAACAGCCAAAACTTTCTTCTTTATCTGTTTTGCTGTATTCATCCCTTTATAACTGGATGATAAAAGCAATTTTTCATGTGATGTTTAGTTATTTATGAAATATTATTGAAAGAAATCCATTATTATAATTATTTTTCGCTCCATCATATTTCATGAATTGTAAATAATTTTTATATTGTGAATAGATTTTTTTTTTATGTTTATATTTATGCTGTCATACAAATTATTGATTATCAGACTACTAGAGAAAAAGTATCCCCAGGGGTTTTTTAGAGTACTGCCGGAAATACTATTGCTGACAGAACGTAATTCTGACTTGGAAAATTTTACGAAATTCATAGGAGGGCTATTTTTTCTCTAATTAAAAAACATGATCAATATTTGGAAGGAATAATTTTGAAGTCAATTAATAGTTTTTCTAGAGTCATTCAGATTTTATCGTGAATAGGAAACTGATTTTATGAGTATGCTGTGATGTTGGAGTTTTTCATATAAAATGTTATTTGAATTAAAAAAAGTCTATTGAATTTTTTTTTAAAAACAAAATTAGTATAATATAAAAAACAAAATTATTCGTGCTAAATAAATTTTATTGGAAAATGCCGAAAAATTTTATTCACATTTATATTATCTCTAGAGATACATATGTACTCATCCGATAAAATCATCGGAGTGAAAATTAAACTTCTATCTCTCAAAGTAAATAAAAGAATATAAAAAAATATTTTTTTATATTCTTGACATAAATTTCTATTCCTATTTCGTTAGCAAAGCAACTTGTTATTTATTTCTCGTTTGTTTTTCAAAGATAATATTTTTAGAATCAACTTCAGAGGAGAAATAAAATAAAAAGTTAAATAAAAAACGGTAATTTTTTTTTTAAATAAATGAAATAAGTAGAAAATAAAAAGAATGTAAAGTTATAATAAGTACAAGTGATTGCTGAGTTCAGAGTGTTATTGGCTAAGTTGATCTATTTTGTTAAGTTAGAAAACATACTTTAAAGCTATTATTTTTTTTTATATAACTTTCAAAAGTCTTTATTCAATATTATAAAACCATTTTAATGAAGTAGCGGTATTCTATTCAATTATAAACAATGCCTTTGTTTATAAAATCTTTTCTTTTCACATAAATGCTTACTCTTATGTCTCTCAGTGATTCACCACTACTTTCAACTAGGAGTGTTTGACCTAATTAATTTTAAGTCACGGAAAAAATTTTATATTGTTCTAAATATTTTATAAAATCTGTAAAAAATTTATTCATACAAGAAAAACGGGTAATTTAGTTGTAACAATTATTGCATTGAAATTCTACTCAAGTATAGATTCATATATATATATATATTAAATTGCAATCAAAAAAAGAATGTTAGGAAAAAAAAATTTTTATTTTTATCAGGGGTTAAAATATATTTTTATGATTCTTTATGAACCTATTAATTAATTAATATTCAACGCTGATTGTAAAAATTAAAAAAAAAAAAAAATTACTCGGATGGAATAAATCGTTTGACTTTCTGTTTGTACAATCGAACGTAAAAAAGGTAAGGGAGAAATAGGAAGGTGGTGAGAGAAATAGGGGTAGGAGGTGAGAAAGGCGAAAGGTAAAATATTGCGCATATTCCAGTAATGGTGCTACCGCAGTACGGCTCACATGTTTTTTCCCTGCTCCATATAGCTGCTTGACGTATTTGAAACAATGATTGTTTTCATAGAATTATTTTTATTAATGAAATAAATTATAAAAAGAAACAAGTAATCTTTTAAGATCTATTTAAGAAGTAAAATAAAAGATGGTGATTTTTTCTGATTTTAACTGCGATTTTTGTTTAATTCAATTTTAGAGTTGTTAAAGTGATTACATTTTGAAAAAAAAAAAAAAAGAAATAAACTCTTGAAAGTAACTTTTTTAAAATAATTTTGTGATTTTATAACAGTTTAGTAAAAAAATAAATAAAAGGTAAATTTTTAAAAAATAATTCAAAAAATTTTCAGTGATAAAAAAAATCAAGTGACTTTAAAACAAACCACAGGTTATTATACTTACTATTTATTCTGGTTGTTACTGAGTATCGATTGAAATGAGTGGATTAGGTAACTGCTAATTTGCATCTGAATAATTATTGTGTGAAAAAAATTGAAACCGACAAATTTACTTTAAAGTCATTACATACGAATATTTTTATAATTAGAAAAAAAATAAAATAAAATAAAGAAATGACTGTCTTATCAAATTTCTGATTTACTTAAAGGTAACATTATCTAAATAATTATTTAACATTAATTAATATTCATAAAAAATGAAATAAATTTTGATGTTTTGACTTTGTAGCTATTATTGATAGATGTAATCTATCTATAAACAATTACTGAAATCTCTTGAATTTTAATCACAATGATCAATATTAGAAAATAATTAATCCCTTAAAATGAATATGAATCATTTGGAACATTAGGATTTCTATTATTGGGCTCACGCAAACCATTCGACTGCGCTTCATTAATTTAACGCTTTCTATTCAAGCCATAACAAAGATAATTAGACCAGAATTTTATATGACAGTTTTTTTTTTCATTATCTCTCTATTCTTTCTTTGTTCCTTATCATGAAAAGTAGATGAATGAAAGTGATTAAGACTAAAGAACATGTTGATATAAAATTAATAAAATTTACTTACATTATTCTTTAATATAAGGTCACAAGTTCGAAACCCAGCTAATATTAGCTGCAGTAAATGAGTCTCATCGCGTGACCTCGGTAAGATCAGAGGAAGTGGCGGCAATTGGTCGATATTGCCAGTAACGTTACCCTTGCCTCCTATAACGTGCTGGTATACATTGTATACTTCACTTAATTCTTTACTTATATCTCTGATATTTCTCATCTCTATATCTTGTAGCTAAGTTGCGCAGAACGTGCTCACTTCTTTTGAAATCTCTCGACTGTTAACAAAAATAATCAATTTTTATTTATACTTAAAAATTTTTTGCTTTTTAGTATTTGAGTAACCCCAAGATGGAGAAACTGAAGGAAATTATGAAACTTATATCGATAAAAGATGAAGATAATTAATTTTGTAAGGTCCATTAATTTCCGGAAGAGCCTCTAATTGGAGTACGATAAAAGCATTCGATAATTTAAATCAATCAATGGACAAATTTAAAATAGTACTTTCACAAAAGCTATTTTTAAACTCTCAAGTATAAATATACAGATAAAGGAAAATCTGTCACAAAACGTTATTTTTAAAAGATCCATTTTTCCGAAATAAAATTTATAACTTACCAATATCTATAGAACACTTCATAAAACTCATATTTGTTTCAATAATTTCTATTTTTAGATAATGCATTTTCGCTCTCCAAGACTTATTGCAGAATATTTTTAAAGAGGATTAAAGGATCAAAGGATGTTGATGGTTTATTATTATTAAATGTGCTATTTTTAATCGGATTTTTATCCGTTGACTAGTTTATTAACGATAATAATATAATTAGTTACATCGATTAATTTTACAAAGGACGTGGGCTCTATAAAAATTAAGGGAAAATGTTAGAGCATAGCCTCTTTAAGTGGTTGATTAACAACTTGTTTACTGACTTAAATTGTATTTTCCGCTTGCTAACTGTTCTCACGAGAATTTATTCTCTAACTACAAGCTCGGCGATTACTTTGATTTACATTTTCTTTCATATAAAAAATTCATGCAATAATAATTTATTTAATTCAACCATTAGTGGTTGGTAATCTTTTAGAGAGAAACGTATTTACTGGATTTTTTTTCCCTCCTTGAAAGAACGAAAAAAAAATTCAATTTTTGTTGATTTCCAGGCATTGAATGTACTAGATTTTTAGATTAAAAATAGCATCAACTGTGCAAATTCTGACCCAGTCATCTATCAAATAGATAAAATTTATATTCATGACAGTATTTACTAATTGATGTGGAAAGTCGATTTAATTCAACTCCAAATCACATTCTGATGAATTTTATTATTTTATCATAGAGTTTTATTATCAATAAATATTAGAAGCTTTTTTATCAATAAAAATCTCTGGAATTTATTTTATTTGCATTTAAAGGGTCTTTCAATATTGAACATATTTTTTTTTAGCAAATATCTGAAGTATTATCGGAATTTTTTTATTATTTATATTCATCATCAATATTTTCAGTAAAATTCTTGCTAATTATTATTATGGAAAGTGAATAGAGATTTCTAGTGCTTGTTCGGTGAGCAATCTGTCAGACGTACGATGAAAATAGGAAAGATTATTATCTGAACGTTGAATGAATGTTATCTTCATTCAATGTAAAGGAGCTCACTTTTCATTCATCAATTTCAACAAGTACTTATGTATAATTTCTATGAATCCTCGAAATAAAAATTTGACTTAAAAAAAGAATGCTCCAATTCGGGCTGTAAAATAAATTACCCTCTTAAAAATTGTATGATTGCTACGCCTTGTTGGACAAATTGGAATAATAAACTTTTGTTTCCATATTTTTTCAATGCTTTTCTACCCTAGAGACAATTATATATCTTACTTTTATTGATTGTTTTTTTCAATTATCAGTTGTTTTTTAACAAATACTTGAAGTAGGTGTATTTATAAGAAAATATTGTTTACTTGAAAATTAAATAATACACATTTGATAGTTGATGCTCTAGAAAATTTAATATTTCTTTCCTTTGATATTGAAAACGGTAAGATGCAATAGAAAAGGTGTGTGTCTATAAAATTGAATGAGCTTTTAGTTTATATTCATAGCTTACTTAAAAATGTTAAATGGATAAAAATGTATATGTGTTTATATGTTTTTTTTTCTTTTAGCAATTGCTTTTTCATCTGTTGAATTAATTTCAAAAAGAGACAAGACGGAAACATATTCTGTCTCTTGCACGGACTGTTCGAATAAAAATGCAACTTCCAGTACCAGTTACACACTACCGGAAGCAGTGTCTGAACGTATTAGCTCCTCGATGACACAAGGTAAGGACATTCTCCAATATTTCTTATTATTTTTACAGTTATTATATTTTCAATTTATTGTAAAAGTATATTTCAATGATTTCCAAAAATTAATTTTCAAAATAAAATTCAATTTTGGGGAATTTTCTTTCCAAAAAATAAAAAAGAAGGAAATTTTAAGCTTTAAAAGAAGAATAACAGTGACTATATAATCCTAAAAGTGAATAAATATCTCCTTGTTTGGATTAAGGAATCACCCGGATTATAGTTTGTCACAATTTCTGAAATAAAATGCCATTATTTTTAAAAAAAGATGTATTTGTCACATAAAGAGGTGTTTGGATTATGAAAATGTGCGGATTCTAGAGAACATGGATTATCGAAGCTTTGTTGTGCAATAAATTTCTTTCAAGTAAATAAGAAAAAAATATCTAAGCTCTGTAATTAGTGGAAATCGTCACTTTTGTTCAATGTCGTCTTTGCTTGGTCTGGTTTCAATTTAATTAAATAAAATTTTTTTTTCATAGAACATTGTAAAGTATAGAAGCTGGTAAAAATAATGGCTGATTACTAAAATTGCAAGACTGGTATTCATATTTATTAATTAACAATTTATACCACTGATTAATTAATTTTCGTGGATTTAATTTTAAACTGCAAGATTAAATTTTTCGATGAAAAGGGAATATTAATATTGAGTTAGCATTTTCATATATATCCAAATGATAGTTGACCAAGTTGATTATTGAAATTAATTTTAGATAAATATACATATATAGTATTAAATTAATTCTCTATTAAATGAATGTATTAATTAAAAATGTTTATAATATTTTCTTAGATCATTGGAAGAAACAATTTACATACAACAGAAAAATACATAAAAATTTCCCAATCTAGAGCATGTTAAAAAAAAATTTCATTTCAATTTTTTGAACTTTTTTTTTTTAATTAAAAAAATAATCTACAAGCTTTCATCACCAACGATCTATTATTCTTGAGCTATAGATTGATTTGAAAAAAAAAAACAGAAATTTATACGAGTGTTATCTAAAGAGTTCAATAAAATTTTATTTTATAAGAAACAATCACGTGTTGTACATTAGTTGTTTCATCAGAATTACCGATCAATCGATAGAACTATAAAAAAAATGCTTTCACATGAGCTCGCAAACCTATAACTGAAACAATAAAATAAAAATAATTTAACAACGAAATGATTTTATACTTTGGCATAAAATATTTTACATTTATAGTTGTTCTATAAATTTCTGACTAATAACTGTTTTACTTTGATAATAACTGATATTTATGATGCTGCTCTAGCATGAGGTTTATAGCCTGGCATAGTTACACCCTAAATATCGTAGCTTCAGGGTTAATTGTATTCTTTATTTCGAGATTTTAATCATGCAGCTTTAATGCCGGTTTTTCATAAATTATTACTTAGATATTTTTTTTATCTGATTTATGCAGTTATTTATGAAACAAAATTTTAGTTTAGAATTGTAAAAAATGATATTTTTTGTTTTAGAACTAGGCTCGTTGAAACTAGTCCAAGGTAGTAGTGTGAAACATGACAGCGGAGGTAGCAGTAACTTCAGTAAAAATTCCGGGAGTCCAAAATTGAATTATGACAGCCGTCGCATTTCAAAAAATCAATCCCTCCATTTGGACGATCCATCTGTTGTCAAAGAAGTGGAGAATGATTCACTTCCAACAATAGACACTCCAGAAGCATGTGACAAGGCAGCTCGCAGGTTGATATATACTTTTTTACCAAAATAAAAATAGGAAATTCAATATGCTAACGATATGTATATATATATTTGAAGTGATATATAAAATGTCTATTTAAAAATAGAGATAACAAAACCTGAAATTGAAATATAATCACATGAATAATTTGTTTGTACTCCTAAAGATAGGATTTCATCATGACATTCAGTAACAACCCTAAATTTATTGATTTTAGATTAAGATGGGTATTACAACGTCTTGATAATGGGGGAATGTCTGTGGAGCTTTTGCGAAATAACTTACAGTATGCGGCGCGGGTTTTAGAAACGGTTTCTGTCCGTGAGATGAAGTAAGTAAATTCAATCTTCAATGTAACATTAGAATGCAGGGTAATAATTTTCGTATAAAACCAAATTACTGCAGTTTTAATTAAAGTTTACAGAAATTAAACAGAAATTGTAATTAAAGTGAAAAATAAAATTAAGACCAATGACTTGGACATAGTTGTTGAATTTTAAATTGCACAGAAATTAAAATAGATTGTTTTAAGAAACTAATTATATTTGATACCATAAAATTTCTTAATTTTTATTAATTAGAACAACTGCTAATTAAAATTTACATTTAAATTTTGGTTAATTTTTATATTTTAAAGAAAAAAAGTATATTGCAATAAAAAGTTATTAAAATCAATTTTTATTTTCACAGACGTTCGGTTGAAGAAGACGATGAGTTTTCAGATGTTCAAACAAATGCAGTCCCAATCGAAGTTCGAGAATGGCTAGCATCAACTTTTACGAGACAAGTAGGAAGTACAAAATGCAAAATGGATGAAAAACCCAAGTTCCGTTCCGTCGCTCAAGCTATAAGAGCCGGAATTTTTGTTGAACGGATTACACGGAAAGTTACAAACTACAATCTTATGCAATTTCCACCTGAAGTACTTAAAGTCTTCAAGGTAAACTTTATTACGCTCTAAATTGTCTGTTACTCCAACTTCCTTTGAACGAGATGAAACTTCATTACAAATTTTCCTTATCCTCGTATTTCTTTTTAAATTCCCGTATCTTTTTAAAATTCAAAAGATATTCTAAACTATTCTCAACTAAAAACAACAATAATGATGACATTAACAAGAATTTCATCTAAATAAACAATTTATCTTCTCAATTATTGCCGTCATGATAACTCAAATCATAGCAAAAAAATTATCAATTTCCAAATGATTAATGTTCCAGGGTTTAGATGATTGGTCATTCAACACTTTCTCCTTAAATGATGTAGCCCAGGGCACGCCTTTGAAATACTTAGGATATGATTTATTAAACCGTTATGGAATAATACGAAAATTCAAAATTCCACCCCTAACCCTAGAAAACTTTCTTACTAGAATTGAAGAAGGCTACTGTCAGCATAAAAATCCATATCACAATAATATTCATGCAGCAGATGTAACTCAAACAATGCATTATATACTCAGTAAAGCAGGTTTAACGGTGAGCTATACAATATTTTATTGTTTAGAAAACACGATTATTGTTTATTTATTACAGATAGATTAATAACTTTTTGGTATATGTTGTCGTTAATGGTTGCGGTTAAACATATTTATAAAACATTTTCATCATTGATTTCAATACTATTGCAGAATTGGTTGACAGAATTGGAAATATTCGCATCACTAGTAGCAGCAATAATTCATGATTACCAGCATACCGGAACGACAAATAATTTTCATGTGATGGCAGGAAGTGATACGGCGTTGCTTTATAATGATCGTGCAGTGCTAGAGAACCATCATGTTTCCGCAAGCTTTCGGTACAGTAATATTTGCTTAAATAACTAGATTTTAAGGTAGATCTCTAAAGTTTGGTATTAATAATTGAATAACTCAGTTAGTAAACTTTAATACAATTACCGAACATGGAAACTTTAATCATATTGAAAATCCTATTATTAACTCATAAATGAAAAATTTTAACTGTTACACTTAATTTCCAATTTTGTGCTTGTACGAGTTTCATTCAAAATTAATGAAAAAATGGGGATATTAAATACGGGTAAAGCCTCAAATGGATCTCTAGGGGAAATAGAGCCCTCGATTTATTATGAATTACTGATATAAAGTTTCTTTAAAATTTAAAACAAAAAATTGGTGGTTTGTTTCCTCATTTATCTTTTGAAGGTATTTTTAATTGAATACAGTTTCTTCAGAGCTATTTGCATGAATTAACGACTTTTAAAAAATATATGAGGTAGAATTTTTTTTCATCCTTATTTCTATGGAGAGTCTGATTGAAAATATAAATGCAAATGAGAAATTTTTTATTGATAATTTTTGTCTCTGTAGAAGAAAGTAATTTACACAAGGATTATGAAAAGTTTGTCGGATATTTCAACGTTGACAAAAATGTTTTTTATTAAAAATTTAAAATTTAAAAGGAATATTCTACGTTAGAAATTTTTCTCATTAACTTAATAACGTTTGAATATGGAAGAAATCATTATTTTCATTAAATATGAAGTTACGGTTTTAAAGTTAATGTTCGTTAAATCCTTGTGCAGTGGTTTTAATTATTCATTTGTCGAACTGTGTGATTCTATGGTATGATGATTTGTAATTGAATTAAATATTAATTAATGTCATTAATTTATATTTGGAGAGAAAATTACGGGTTTAATAAATTAATTTCAGTTAATGAATTTAGATTAATTATTTTATATTTAATAACGTTGAAAGTAAATATATTATCTATAATGAAATATCAGATTACTTTTTCTTTTTTTTCTAGAATTATGAAAGAAGAAGAATTTAATATTTTGCGAAACCTATCGAAAGAAGATTATCGTAAATTTAGATCTCTGGTAATAGACATGGTCCTTGCAACGGATATGAGTTTTCATTTCCAACAACTCAAAAATATGAAGACTTTATTAGCTGTTGCAGAGCCAGTAGTTGATAAAAGTAAAGTTATTAGCCTCGTTCTCCATTGCTGTGATATTTCGCATCCGTCAAAAAAATGGGACCTTCATTATAGGTAGATTAAACTTTTCTATATAATATATTATATATATATATATATATTTTTTTTTTTAACCCAGTTTCTATTTAATCTCATATTGATGTATCGACTTGGTCTTTTAATCTTTAAAAGTTACTTGTGTTTTCATAAAGATTGTGATCATCAATTTATCTTCTAACTATCTTACGTTATCTTACGTTTATTTTAATAGACAAATCTTTAGCATTTTTATCGAGTTCATGAATTATTTACATTTATTTACATTTTGTAGATGGACTATGCAGTTGTTAGAGGAATTCTTTAGACAGGGTGATATGGAACAAGAATTGGGTTTGCCTTTTTCTCCTCTGTGTGATCGTAAAAACACCTTAGTGGCAGAATCACAAATTGGTTTTATCGAATTTATCGTTGAGCCAAGTATGCAAATTTGCGGTGATGTGTTAGACTTTGTACTTGCACCCCTCAATAAAAAAGATAATATAGATGATACAGGTAATTTGATAGTGTAACATTTTTTTACTGACAATAAAAGATTGCCATAAAAATACATTAAATGTAATCTGATAAATTTTTTCTATTAGCATCATCGGAAGCAAAACGATTCAGAATACTGAGACCGTGGAATCAATGTTTAGTGGAAAATAAAAAATTATGGAAAGAGGAAGCCTTACGTGGTAAGTCATTTAAATGTTTTTGTGAAATTGTGTTTCTTTAATATATTCATAATTGAAAATTCTGCAGTTGCTGCACTACAGCCGGCAGCCTAAAGTAGTAATATACTGGATATCTATGGATCAAAGTGAATTGAAATTTTTATTTACCGTCTTTTTTAAATGATATAAGTCTTCAACAATTGACAATGCTGAATTGAATTTATTATAAATATTATTAACAATAATGGGACCGAAAATTTGAAATTATGGATTTGTAATTATGCTTTATAAAATTTAAGATATTTTTCATTTGCCTTCCCTATACACATGGGAATTCATTTCTTATGCGCGGGATCATTTACATGAGATGCTGAGCTATGCGAATTCTCCAGAAAAACTTTTTGATTAAATTATTGTAGGACCTTGGCAGTGATCATGAAACGTCCTTAATTCTCAGTTAAAGTAGAGATAAAACGGGATGAGATTGCCATAAAAGAAATAGCCCATTTTACCGTAATTTATTATCTCCACATAATAGCTTCATGCAAAAAAGCTCTTTTGCTGAGTATTGTAGCACAATCAATATTTTTAATGTTACTATGATCTCATTGCCGTGTATTTGATTTATATTTATTTCATCTACCACTGCCCTCTTATATACTTCCCTCAAATCATACGTATTAAGAATATTTTTTAAAATATTTATATATTTTGAATTTATTTACATTCATTTCTTCATAATAATTTAATTAAGTATATTAATTATGACGTATATATTTTGTTACTTAATGCTTTTTTTTCATCATTTTCTGTGATATTATTTACGATAATAGTATCATCGGTTTATGGATTATCAATACTTAAAGGTCAGTCGATTGAAACTTTTTTTTTTGTAACTAGCCCAATGTGTTTTTTAATACCTAATATATCATGATCAATAAAAATTTTAGTGCTAACTTCTTTTTTATTATGTTTAACAGTAAAAATTAATGTTTTTGTATGGGTAAAAAAATAATATGGTAATCTCAACCGTTATTTGCTTTAAATGCTGAGAGTATCCCTTAAAATAATTGATGTAGTTATAGAGAAAATACATATGATGTACCATAGACTATTTATAAATATTCTCAAATATCATCCACGTAATTATTATGCTATTTATGACTCTGATTCACGTTTGATTAACTTGCTCATGCAGCTCCATAATTACATAAAATTTTTCACATGATAGGAAAATGAATTGAGCGGCAAAAGCTTATATTTTTATAGTTGGACATCAATAATTGAAGGCCATATACATGAATTTACTTACATCGTATAAAAATATTCTTATACTTTTACTTTACAAATATTTTAATATTTAATTAGATAATAAATATTATTGTTATTTTTATCTTTCTAATAGCATATTAATTATGTGTTTGACAAACAATTAGAAAGCTCTTCAAATTTTCTTTGTAATGTCAATCAAAAACAGTTCGATTACTTAATCTTTTAGACAAATATTGTTTCAAGACGCTTCGAGTGCTAAAAAAACTGTCTAAAAATAAAAAAAAAGCTCTCCAAGATAAAAAAAAAACCGTCAATAAAAACTTTGAATGTAATAAAACTTGCAAGGGGATTTGTGCTATTTTTTATTATCCATGGAGTAAACTTTTATCGGAGTCATCTGTTCTTGAAAAGCATTTTGAAAATAATTTTAAAATTGTGAAATGATCTCTTTGCATCTGGGATGTTACACTTTTACAATCTTGAACATAAATGTGATTCCTTTGAAGAATAAAAACATTCTTTATGTTAACGACAAAGAACAAACAGTGGTATGAAATATCTTATTTATTGCAAATGTGTTTGCGAATTGGAAAATAGAAAACTGTCAAAAAGTAGCAAGCAACGAAAAATCTCATGTGAATTCTATAGTATCTGACTTTTTATTGACGTTTGTATTTTATTATGCTAAGTGTAAAACTTTTTATAGCATTCGAAGTATCTAAGCGATTTAATAATTGTAGAATTGTATGTTAATGATAATTTTTATGAATATTGTATTAAAAAAAAAAAATCTCGCCACAAATTTATTTGCCAAGCTAAAAGATAACTTAGCAAACGAGAATTGATTGAAATCCATATCAATTTCGAATTCTAATACAATGCCAACTGTAATATGATAGATATAATTGAATATTGTATGTTCTTCTGACCATATCTTTGTACCTTAGAAGAAAGGAATCATCAAAAGGAATGATTTAATTTTAAAGCCGATTTTTATATCGAAAAGTATTATTCCAACAAGTATATCAAGTCTCCTGCTACCTCTTTGAAATGATAGAAATGCATAGTAGTAACTTGATCTTTCAATCATAGATCTAGATGACCTGTCTAAAGAATTTTTGAATTGATATTTGTAATGATGTTGATACATAAAAATCGACAATTGTACATTGTAAAAATTGTTGCTCGGAGTGTGTCTTTAATAATATCCTTTTAAAAGATGATAATCAATATGACCAATGTAATAGAAATAATACGTGTGTAAATTGAAATAGGTGTAATTACTGACCACTAAATGTACGATAAATTGATAACATAAATTTACATATACAATTGCTATATTCAAGCCTCTGTAATGAAAACCTAGTACATGAAAATCTTCAATATATTTTGGTTTCTCAATACAGCTGGTGTAATTCGTACATATAAAAAAGAGATTGTAAGAATATTTTTCCCAACAAAGTAAATAAGGGCTTTATCAGTATTAAAAAAGAAAATACAATTATTTAATTTTATTTGTTTTTATTTGTTGATTTATCTTTTCACATTTCTATTAATATATTGTATAAATTAAATTTAAATTAAATTGAATCTATAAATATGGATGAGATATTTTCAAATACGATGAGCGTTGTTAATGAATCCAACATAATTAAGAAGAGTAAATATTTTGATTAATACTTTGAAATAATTTAAAGTTGGAAAAAAATTTTTTTTAAATTCTGTTTTAACAATTGTCTACAATTGCTGTGAAAATTTTCATCATTATACAAGCCCTAGTTCTTGAAACATTGTTAGAAGCACAAAATCGATAATTTTATTACTTGAGACAGTTCGTAAGGTAACTGTACCAGTAGTAGATATTTTTTTTTGTTTATTTGACACTTATTAAAAAATAAATAGTATGAATGACTACAATATTTTATATCAAAGCTTTTTTCAATAGCAAAGAAACAAGTTTCTTTCATGTTTCTTCAAAGCTGCAACCCGTTTTTGGTGTCAATATTATTCATAAGCTTCACAATAGGTGTCAAGAACAAAGATAATCAAGTGTTAACCTGGTAACAATGGTCCAGTTACCTTTGAGTCTGCTAAAAAAGTCTAGTGATAAAAATAAGTCTTATAATTGGAAAAAAAAACTAGGCAACCAAGTGCTTAAAGGCACTTCTAAAAATACATAACGAGTTAGCAATTGGTACAGAATAGGAAGAAAATGATCTCTTGTACTCTAATATGATTGTGTTATTGAATTGTATTGCTATTGTAAAATACCCTCATGATATATGATGTTGATTGTGAGTAAACATAAATTTTAATTCAAATATTGAAAACACCAATTTATGACTTCAATTACAAATCAACCAAACGTCAATAAACAATATTCTGATGGAGGTTCCATCAGTTCTATGTTGAAACGATTACTCTTCGATTAGAATTCGATTGATAGACTACGGAAATGACATTTTTTTGTGAAAAATGTGCTCACATAGGCATTATATAAGGGCTCTATTATGTTCTCTCACAAGTTTAATATCAACGTTTGGAATCAAATCAATAAATCACACAATAGATGAATATAATGGTAAATGTACGAGATGGACCATTGAGGAGATCATTTTATTTCCTCCAAGTTATCTTCGATTTGAAAATATCTATATAGAAGCATGAAATGACAAAAAAGCACGTATTCATTTTTTCGTCTTGACGTCAAAGAAAAAAAAATAAAGCTTAACGTAGAGCACTTTTCAAAATTTTTTCCTTAAGAGATTCTGCAAATAGTGGATGCTAAAAAAACATCCAAGAGGAACTGTATGTAATTTTTAGATTACGATTGAGCTGCTTCAAATATGACTCCAATTTAAAAAAAATATTTATACTTTTGTAATTGATTTTGTTGTAATATTTTTTTTTATACGCAATAATTTACCGAATATTTTAAATTATAGTGATTATTGTTAGTGAAATGTGACAATTAAATCAAAAATTCATTTGCATTTTCAATAAAATAAATATTACGACAGAATTTACAATAATTTAACTATATTGTTACAAACTGAATTATAATAATTTTGTAGATGAGTTTGGCAGTTAATTTTGAAGAAGAAAAATTGTAGAGACAAATTATTAAAGTATTCAGTAGCTATTGTTTCCTTTCTACTAAAATTTCTCATCACAATTGTAGCTAGACTATTAGAGTCAAAGTCGTGACGAATGATCGAAATAAAAGGAGATAATTGGCTATATATTGGAAATTGTGGTAGAAAGTAATATGACGTAAATAATCAAAAAGAAATGATAACACTCACAATTGATTATTGTCATAACATTTATAGATGAATTATTGATAGTATTATCTCTGTTTATTGCTATGTTGGAAAACAATTTATGAGTGTTTTTTCTTTATTTATTTTATCCATTATAACTGATTGATTATAAATTTTGTAGCCAATGGTGCATATTTATCAAAAGAAAAATATTTTGGACAAATAACGTGTTTATTTTCCAAACAATTGTGTTAGAGAATGCTATTAATGTTTCATTTGAATAAAAAAAAATATGTTATTGCACATGACAATGATAAAATGGATACCAATTTTCAATAGATGAATAAGCAATATTTCATTTAACACTTTTTGAACTGATTGAAATGTCAGTTAAGATGAAAACTAACAATATATATTATGTTCATCAATTTTTCCATTACACTCCTATTTCAAAACAATTGAACATTTTCTTGTTGATATATATAAATATAAATTGTCCTACATTTACAAAGTACTGACTTGCATGTCTGTGATTAAATCAAATAAAAAAGGGATATTGCCAAACGTCTTTATGATATTATGTTAATGCATGTTTCGAATGTATATGTTAACAGCCAATGTATTATGTCTTTATAAACCAGTAAACAGTCATAGAAGAATCTACAATAAAGCCTGATATTAATTTCGCACTTAAATCTATACTTTGGACTCAATTTTATTATGTCACCAAATATCATTACTTGATAAAATTTTTTAAAAATTTAGATTTAGATATCAATATTTCTTTTTAATGATAAATTAGGATTGGGATGACTTAATGGAATTATGGAGTAATAATTTTTTATGTAGGTGGTTTTAAACTGAATTAGGTTTAAATAATGTGATAAATTATTAATCCAGGATAATTTATATTAATGATGATGATCAATATTAAATTCATTATGTGGGTAATCCAATCTAAGCTTTGTCAGCTCCAATATTTTATCAAATTGGATTGAAAACGTTTGAATAACTAGATAATAGACTTGCTTAATAACATAGAGCTTTGAAGTTGCGGTAAAGTTTAGATAGATGAAAGAGATAACAAAATGCATGCAAGTGACTTACTGAATAGACAGTTGATTTTCTTATTGTGGTTACTCCGAATTCTACTCCATTCTTCATTTCCTTTTGATTCAACCTCCCCTTTTCATTAAAAATATCTTCGTTTATGTAGACCTTGAATGGTATACATTCGAAAGAATATTATTAAAAAAAATATATTTTTTTTTATTATAAGTTTTTTTTAGTATTTGTCATATTTTGTTATTACTTGGCTACTTCAAAAAAAATTTAATACGCATATTTTATTGGTTTCCAACTTGAAAATATAAACAGTTGTGTTTCAGGTAATTTTGTATATTATTTATGTCTAGTAATAATTTTATGATGTTATCATTATTAATAGTTCGGTATATCAATTTGTTTTCACTCATTTTCTTATTTATTTAAGAAAAAATTGGACTTTTTGAGAACAAAAAAATATGCAAAAGACTATTGAGTTTTGGAAGTCAGTAGAATTAGAATGAGGAAAAGGGGTGATTAGATTTTACGTTTATTTCTTTCATTTTTTCTACCAATAGGAGTGCTCAAGACAGTTTCATTTTAATAACTAACAGATTAACATGCGACGTGAAAGTTGACTCTGTTTTTGTAATTTTTAATATAAATTAATGAATTAGTTTTGTTATAAGAAAATAACGGAATAGTGGTGTCAATGCTACAATATTGAGGAGCTGTGTTTAACAAAGAATGAAAAACTTGAAAATCAAAACTAATTGAATATAGAAAACTGTATGATTAAATGTGTCGATATTAAAATGTTCAAGTGCTCTATTTCGAAGAATGTGATCTTTAGGCTTAGAAGATAAAAAAAAATGACACAGATAAGTGTGTGAATAAATAACTTCAATAGAGGAATTTTTTTTCACTTAATAGCAGGAGTAGCTATGATTCTCTATTTGAATAGCAGGAGTAGCTAGAACTTTCTATTTGGCTACCTTATAACGGGAGTAGCTATGGTTAGTGTTTTTTTTTTTGGTCATCTAAATTCAATCCTATTGTTACAATTTATTTTATTGTCCATTTCTTATTTAAATACTCCAAATATTTCCTGCATTATGAAGTAATGTTTCAGCGTTGCCTAGTGGCAAAATGAAACACAGGACGTTACAAAACTTGATATGAAGGAAAATCATTACCGGGTGTGTGTAAAAAATAATTTTATTATGAGAACGATCAAAAGGTCTTTACAGTTTTTGAAATTCAATGTAAAAAAACGACGGGTTGCACTCCGGGAGTGCCGGCAGAAGTGAAAACTTAAGTATTAACGTTGTGCGTTTTGGATATTTTGGAATGGTTAGGGAATAAGTTTGCACGAATTGCTTTAATTATCAGAATAAAAGTACTATCTTTTATATGGTAGAATACAATATTTATTTATTGCGCTATCGTACACAAACATGACAATTTATATTACATTAAAAAGTTTATCTCTCAAAAAGATTAACTTTCATCCATAATTTCAACGACTTTTTCACTATCATTCTTATCAGAACCATCATCGCCAATCTCTAAAACTGATACAATCGGTTTATGATAGCTGAAGTAAGAAACGAACAGTTTCGATTCGAACCTATTCAAATGTCTAATAAAGACCGCATCAATAGCAGTTTTGTATTTCGTTGTGCTAAGATTAAATAATAATAATCA